TCAAGAATATTAATGCCCTTACTGCGATGTAATACCCATCTCTCAGACGATCAGATCCTGGTACTTCTCATTGTTCTTTTCATGGTACACGATCAAAGACATGTTGCAATTGCTGGCACATCTCCACCATCGCACCATCGTGTCTCGACGATTTGGCTGTTGTGTGTTGCGTACATCCGAACATGTGATGGACGACATGCTGCAGTACATGTGGTGAGTAATTATATCGCGGGCCTTCGGGGACGTTCTAATGAACAAGTATAATCTCAGTCTCTTTGAAAAGGCTCGTGCAATGAGCTAAGTGCCTAATGAACAAGTATACTAACAACTCAGTTCATCAGGAAAACCCTCCCCTGTTAACTAGAACAAAATAGATACAATTAGAGTTAGTTTGTCTAAGTTACTCTAATTTGACAGATTAGAAGGCTAGCCAGAATGCTTGGCCTCAATTTATTTTATGAAAATTAGCGAAAGCCTTTTGCTATTTCAGAAAAATTAGGACAGTCTAGGCGAGCTAGGACAAACTAGTGAAGCCTTTTGCGGTACCCTTAGATTGCACTAGACGACATTAGACAGACTTTTCACCCTTAGAGAGTACAGGAACAAATTATTCATTATTAAAATGGGGTATCAATGCAATAACATATCGGTGAAATAGGTGCGACGAAATGAGCGAGCGGTGGTTAGATATACGTGAATACGGTTACTAGACGATGGCTTTGAAAATCAGATGTTTCCGTGTCGGAACACTCTACTCGTCCTCCATGCCCTCCAAGTCCAAAAATGAGAGGCTTTGATCATCTTGATCATAGACTCCAGTAATGCTGTGACGGAAGCGACTGTAAATAATGCTAAATCAGTGATATGCCACCAACTCAGGCACAAACTTACTTGACTTCCTCGTATATATCAGCCATCATTTTGTGGAACTTGACGGGTGCCGTCGTCTGAATCCTCTCCAACAATGACACGTGGTGAGTATAGATATCGAAAAACTGGTTACCGGTGAACTTAAAATCATCACTCGACCTGTTCTTCTTCGCGAGAAGGATGGCACGAATCTAGTTAGTGACAAAGAAAGTTAATGAATGAATGAGTACAAACATAGCGGGACTTACAGCGGTGCAGACCATAGCCATCATGGGGATAGGGATCTGTGGGCGACCACTCTTGTTCTTTGCAATATCGAGGAAGCGCTGTCCAAATTGTGCACCGATGGACCTCAATTGTTTGAAGAATACCTCGTATAAAACAAGGAACACAGGCTGCATTTGATATGGCTTCTGTCGGTTCAGCGATGGAAGACCCTGCACCTTAAACAGCATGATGTTGTCAGCACAATGTCAACTTTGTGCAAAAAAAAACTAACATAAAATGTTTGTGGAAAAATGTATGAATGATTGGCAAGAAGCCGATCAAGGATTGCGTCACTGGCAGCACCACTGAGCTGGAAGTAACCTAAAACATTCTTGCTAGCCACATCCTTGATCTCGCTGCAAAATAGACTAGCACGAGCATCGATCTATGGCTGACATCAACATCAATTCGCAGTAAAGATACAACACTGACTAGATTTGTGAGGGCTGACACATAGCCATCATCAATCTGCATCCATTTCTCAATCGGCACTGTATTGTGGTACCGTGCGGCCTTCAGCAGTATTTCCTGTGCATATACATTCCTTGCCGCAATTTCAGGGTATCCATGCTCAAAGGCAATGTATGCCTTGACCTCGAGAATACCACGCTGCATCACATTACGAAGTTCGGTGTTCTGGTCGGTGAGTCATACTGACCCAGTCTTCATGTAAACAAGAGACGCTGTAGGGTCAACTTGAAGAGACACTTCCTTGGATTGGATGCTGGGGAGCTCAGCCTGACTCGGAGATTCATCGGCACTGTACAGCTCAGATTTGAGACTATGGTTGTCTTCAAGCTCATCTTCGAGTACTGTAGATTTGGACCTGTGGTTCTTGTTAGTCTGTGTGGTGGGAACATGCGACTCAAATGATGAGCTCGTCATGATTGGGTCCCACATGGGGATCTGTTGAGCAAGCCAAGTATTACTATTAGTCACAGCTCAGAGTACATAGCAAAAAATACTTACCTCCGCTGCAAGCTTTTCCCCCCTTGCATTCAAAGGCCTATACTGTGAGCCCCAAATGGGTGGAGGAGGAGTCTTTGACGAGCTCCGAGCCTCTGCAGCCAGTTGTCTCTCATGAGGCCTTTTCTGGTGGTCTGAATCAGCAACTGTGGGAACCTAATATGAAGGTTAAGTGAATATGATCAGGTGTAATCCAAGTCAAATGTAAAGTAGTAGTCTCACTTCTCCAAATAAAGCCTTAGCGACGCTCTCCACTGGCTCCATCTCACTTGCAGATGCATTGGACTCCACACTGTGCTTGCTAGTATCTGACTCAGGTTCTGATTCTGAGTTGACAGCTAGCCTGCGCACTACAATCTGCATGTTAGTAAGTGTCACGTGGCAACATGTGATGCTGACCTCTCTTGGACCGCAAAGGTTGCATAGCTTCCACCTGTGAATCCGAAGCTGGAGAAGATATCCATCATTCTGATTTATCTGTGAGCAAGGTTGTAATATGTTTGTGGGAGTTGAGACTTACTGGCGCTTTTGTGACCTCTTTTGTTTTTGGTACTAGGTGGTACTGCTACTTTCATTCCAGCATGACCTGGACATGTAAGTAATTGGTACTGCAAAATAGTCATCGTGACTTGCTTTTGCCCGACTTCGCCTGTTTTGAGGCAGGTCCAACTTCACCTGTGGCCGAAAGTCCACGCTTGCGTGACTGTTTGTCGCCTCGGAGGGATTGCCACACTGAGGTGTGAGTAGTACCCCGAAACGTCTACTAGTAATGTAGGATGTATAGTACTTACCTGGGTTTTCTAGGGCTTGGTCCTTGGCTTTTCGGCGTGCTTGCACCAAGTGAGTCTTTTCAACCTTGTTGGTATGAAAAAACACTTACAGCATGAATTTGACTCCATTGAACTCCTGGCAGTCTAATTTTCAGGTAAAAAGGGGTGAAAAAAAGATAAAATGAATGTGTAGTTGTCTTTCCGCTCTGCAAGACTGCAACAAATGACTTTGGACTTGGAAGGTGAGTGAATTTTTTAAGTGTAAGTTAGAATAAACTCAGACCCGCAATTTAAAGCAGCGTTTATGTATCATAATATAGCGCCAGGGTTGACCCTTTCCCTGTCAGGCTTAGTTTGCTATTCAGTGAGTCTATGGTCACAAACTTTAACTTAACACAGCCTCACCGAGTAGTCTTAGTGCGCGTCCATTCATTTGCCCACCAGCACTGGTAATGGTCTTACTCTGTACCTGCACCATCTACCGAAATGAACCTTCTGACGCCGAGGTATGACAACATTTTTTTGCAAGCTCCGTTGCACAGAGCCGACATGTAACCAACCCACCTGATACTACTAATTCTGCTCTCAACAGCATCCAGAATGAACCCGAATAGAAATACAATCTTGTTTGCTGGGACAGCTTTGCTTGCAAAGAGCCTCGTGGAGATGCTTCTGTGTGAACTTATCGACCAGGCTTGTCATCTAGGCATTAGCGCAGGTAAACCCATGGATATACATCTAATATCTATCTAATATATGTAAGGACGAAATGTTTGATCCCGCGGAACTAATTCACGTGACTCTCCTGTCTGTGCTCCACATGAGCTCCACACGCTGTCTGATTTGCTTGAGCACTCGCTATCGTCGTGCGCTTGGCAGTCTCCTATTTGCGTGGGCGGTTCGCTCAGATGGTAACAGCCTGAGTAATGATACACTTGACAGTGTCAGGGTGTGGATGATGTTTGAGGTGGCTAAAGAGCACGCATGCAAAGTCAGTGTGCATACCCTCATCACGGCCCAGCAAACGATCTGCAACGAACTCGATGTACTGGCACATGAGCTTGGTGTTCATACCAATGAGGCCAACAGGGAGAGCATCTGGAAAGACAGTCCAGTAAGAAGGGTAAGGTGATTGAAATGACGGACCCGTCAGGAACTCCTGCTCGATGGTAACAGCCTGAGTAATGATACACTTGACAGTGTCAGGGTGCACTGGGGGGTCCTTGATGTAAGTGTCAATGAGGAGTGAGTAGGTCTCCAAGTGCTTCTTGAGCCAGAAGATGGACACGAAGGAATCGGAGAAGAAGATGCCTTCAATGGCAGCAAAGGCAACCAAGCGCTCAGCGAAGGTGGCACATTGATCAGAGATCCACTGGATTGCCCAGTCAGCTTTGCGCTTGACACATGGAATAGTCTCCATGGCGTCAAACAGGTATTTGTGTTGCTGGGGGTCCTTGATGTAAGTGTTGATGAGGAGTGAGTAGGTCTCCGAGTGAATATTCTCCATCATGATTTGGAAGCTGTAAGAGCACCAGGCCTCAGTGGCCTGGACCTCATTGGAGAAATGTTTGACGAGGTTTTCATTAACAATCCCATCAGATGCGGCAAAGAATGCAAGGACATGCGAGACAAAGTAAGGAAGATCAAGCATTACTGGGGGTCCTTGATGTAAGTGTCGGTGAGGAGTGAGTAGGTCTCTGAGTGAATATTCTCCATCATGATTTGGAAGCCATAAGAGCACTGGGCCTCAGCGGCTTACTATGACTACGTTCGACTTAAAGATGTGCACGGGCACACAAAGTAATACCTTGCGCTACACAAATGGGAGCTATTACTTTGTGGGTTCGTGATGCACAGTTACATGTTAAACCACACGTCGTGGCTGAGAGTTGAAGGCTTAATACTAGTTTCGCCAGTTGGGGGGGGGGTTTCAGTTTCGCGCGGATCAGTGAATGCTGATAGAATAGCATCTCCGACCTCGCCTCATATACATCACCTATCCTTCTGACTCGTACTGTCAACCGTCAAGATGTAAGTGAATTTTAGACATTTCGTATTCAATCCAACTCATTCAATCTACCTAGAACATGCCTGAAACAACCTGCACCGGCTGCAATAAAAAGCTCATGTCAATAACCGGGTATAACCAGCACCTTGCAAAAGCCACCAATCCTGCATGTTCAGCTATCTACCTTGCTTCACGGCGACTTTGTGCAAGTCCACCTGCCCCAGACGCAAATCAGCCAGTGCACTTTGAAGGTGATTTTTTTGGGATGTACACTGAGGACGAACTTGAGTGGCCGGCGGAGTTCGATGATGAGAGGGACATGGGAGATGTACCTGCAGACGAAGAGGAATCAGATCATGAAGGTGGTTGTGATGGCCACGACGAATGGGAACCTCCTGTAGTGCGATTGCCTGGCTCCGCATCCCACGATCATGATGAAGATGATGAACGTGACGAACGCGATGACATCCTAGACCCACCTACCTTAGACACGGAAGGGCCAGATGCCCAGCGCAGAGTACAACAGCAACTTTATGATCATGAACAAGTACCTACTGTTGTTCATTACCCCGATCAACGAGCTGGACAGCCCATCAATTCAACCAAACAGTCGAGCAACGCAACTTATCATGCACAACTCAATAGCTCAGAGGCAGATAATCTCTATGCCCCATTTACTTTGAAGCTCAATTGGGAGATGGCTCGATGGGCAAAGCTATGGGGTCCCAGTTCAACTGCGTTCTCAGAGCTTGTCTCTATTGAGGGTGTAAGTTGTACTGCCTCTCAACCACCAGGATCGGTCTAATTGCAGTACCTCCAGCTTAGTGACAAAATTGGTCTCTCCTTCAAGAACTCATGCGAGCTGAACAAGATCATTGATAATGAACTTCCGGGCCGTCCGAAATTCAAACGAGAGCAAATTGTCATTGCCGGTGAAGCATTTGATGTATATTATCGCGATATCATCGAGTGCATCAAGGCTCTCTTCAGTGACCCGAATTTTGCCGATTTTCTTGTCTTTGCACCTGAGTGCCACTATGCCGATGAAGATGAGACGGTTCGTCTATATCATGAGATGCATACAGGTAAATGGTGGTGGAATTGTCAGGTTGGTGTTTCGTGTCTTTGCAAGGTTGTCACGCAATAGTATTAATACTGTATTTGTAGAAACAACTAGACCACGAGCATCCTGGTGCGACAATAATTCCCGTCATCATTTCGTCGGACAAGACTCAAGTTACCTTGTTTTGTAACAAGACCGCATACCCTGTATATATGACTATTGGAAACATTCCGAAAGAGATCTGTCAGAAACCGTCACACCAGGCGCATGTCCTTCTTGCATACCTCCCAACTACCCACCTTGAACATGTCACTAACAAAGCTTCTCGCCGCCGCATGCTCGCCAATCTCTATCATGCTTGTGTGCAATGTGTACTTGCTCCACTCGAAGCTGCAGGTATCAATGGGATTAATATGCGAAGTAGTAATGGGGCTATGCATAGATGTCATCCATTGTTTGCGTGCTTTGTAGGAGACTATCCAGAGCAAGTTTTAGCCACAGGGGTCAAGACTACTCAATGTCCGAGCTGTGATGTACCCTCAGATGAGCTTGGTCTTGCAGCGGGTGCTGCAAATTTTCAACCACGAAATCTCAACACAGTACTCGATGCCCTCCATGCTCTTGATGAAGATGGATTAGCCTTCGTCCATGCATGTACAGATGCTGGCATTAAGCCTATTGTTCAACCATTCTGGCAGGAACTGCCGTTCATTAACATATTCGAATCCATAACTCCCAATATTCTCCATCAACTCTACCAGGGACTTGTTAAACATCTCCTCAGTTGGCTCGCTGACGCATGTGGTGGTGCGGAGATTGATGCACGATGTCGACGCCTTCCCCCAAATCACCACATTTGACTTTTTACGAAGGGTATTACAACTCTTTCATGCTTGAGTGGCACGGAGCATAACCAAATTTGCCATTTCTTACTCGGGATCATCATTGACATCAGGCTACCTGACAACATGTCTTCCGCCCGGCTCCTCCGTGCTGTTCGTGGTCTGCTAGACTTTTTATATCTGGCTCAATATCCATGTCACAGTTCTGAGACACTGACTTTGCTGGACGAGGCCCTTGATCTATTCCACGACAACAAGGAAATTTTTGTCGACCTCAGCATTCGGAACTCCTTCAACCTGCCAAAACTCCATTTCGCCCTTCACTATGCTCACAAGATTCGAATGTATGGTACAACAGATAATTACAATACGGAATACACTGAACACCTCCACATTGACCTTGCAAAAGATGCATACCGCTCCACTAACCACAAGAACGAGTTTGCACAAATGACGACCTGGCTTGAGCGGAGGGAGAAATTTTTTCGCCATGAGACATACATTCAGTGGAGACTCATCGCAGGCACTACCTGTCATCCGCATCATCACCCCCGTCCTCCCAAGATGTCATTTTGTCGTACTCAGACAATGACGAAGCATCCTACCATCAAGGCAGTCACATTGGACAAAGTCACAAATGAGTATGGTGCTACATACTTTCGTGAATCTCTCGCACGCTACGTCGTAAAAGCCACACTTCCTGCAAACACTACCATTACATCTCGGCAACTTGAAGATCGAGCTGTGGACGTGTACATCCCATTTCAAACACTGCCAGTGTTTCACAAGATTAAATGGGTCTCAGTCGACGTTCGCGGCCACGGCGACCCTCCAGTTACTGTCGATAGTGTACATGCACGTCCTGGACGTTCACTGGCAGGATCATTTGCATCCGACAGTGTCGCAGCTCGATTCGACACTGCATTCATCAATGACGGTACAGGTGGGCCACTCGGCACTAAAGGTGAGCTTCAGTCGCTATATCAACTGGTGATACACTTACACTCAGCGTTCACACAGGATTTCGAATCGCACAAGTTCGTGTTATCTTCTCGATCCCCCCCCAAAGCTATCCCCATGCTCTTTCCATCAACATTCCAGCCTCCGAAATACCTTGCCTACGTGGAGTGGTTCTCTGCTTTCCGTGCGCCTGACAAAGACCACGGCTTGCACAAAGTCACGCGCATCATGAAAAATGGAGAACGAATGGCTAGTATTATTCCAATCAGCAATATTCGTTGTAGCGCACATTTAATTCCGAGTTTCGGTCCTGTTGCTCCTCGCGAATGGAGTTCTGTTAATGTCCTTGACAAGTGTCGGTCATTCTTTGTAAATCCATACATAGACAGACACAGTTTTGTAACATTGCGCTAATTATTATTAACTTGTACTAAACTTTAGTTCTTAGAGCTAATTAATGCTAATTATCGCAGCTATCAAAAACTTGCCTAAATAGTTCTAAGTTTGCATGGGAGGGTTTTCCTGATGAAACATACGGTTGCTTGTGAACGTAGCCGAGGCGAATGGTTGTTATTCTGATCATACTACGCGAGTACCTATAAATCTAGCTACTTACGATATTCACCTATGATACCCAAGGCCGATGAGAGCCCGACTTTTGAGTTGATTGTTTGCATCTTGTTTGTTAGCGCAAGCTGAGTCAAGAAGCGTCTGAGGAAATTGTCGAGGAATGGACCAAAAGCAACCTGCACAGCACTAGAATCCCACCGAAACCAATCACCCAGTCAATCGATTCTCAAGGGGTTCGCCTGCCAAGATATGCCATATCGTTGTCATCCAACACTCCCAACGTGAGCACTAAATTCCGGCAGTTAGCGTATTAATCACCTGTTCGTGCCCAGGTGAACAGCTCTCCAAGAGCCCTTCATTCGCCACACTCATTGTCCATTTATAGGGATCATAACCAAGTCCTTGATTGGCAGATGCTCATCGATATTCGCTTCGAACGCAAGACTCGAGACCCTAGAGCGCGTATGCTAGTAAGATGAAACGACTGCACTTGCGAAAATGAAGACGTTGCCCGGATGCAGCGCCGATGGCTCTCCTTGTCAGTACGTAGCCAGGTGGGCAATGAGCACCCAATCCCAATTCCTCCAGGATAGTCACATATGTACCCGATATCTCACTGATCACGCCCGAGACAAAATTTAGCCTGGTCAGGGAGTGTCACTGGGATGGGACGTGCGGTGAGAGTCACGCGGAGCCACCGGTGCTTACCACTACCTAGCCTAGTCCTAGTGCAGGGAACAAGCAATACTACATAGTAGGCCAGCTCAGTGAGGCCTTTCAAGTGACGATGGAAGGTTGCAGACCTGGCTGACGATGTATGAGTTTTCTTTGTCCTGTGATCGTGCTTTTAATGGTCGATGGAAATCATGTGGTTGCTACGAAATTGGCAAGGCCTTAGTTCTTCGATCATGTCCTGATGAGAGAGAATCCTCGTGTAGTACAAGGCACGTACGGCTATATCTGGTTTCTCTTTCATCAGACATCTCTCTGTCCCACAATATCTCCTCTTTCGCCCACCTAAAGTCTAATATTGTCGCCACGTATAAACGGGAGGTCACCTCGTACAAATGATGTCATCCGTCATCTTTTTTTGCTTCACATTCCAATCCTGGAGCCGCTGAAGTCCCTTGAATGCATGCAAGTGGATATTCCTTGTCACGGAACACATAGGGCGCTTGACTTGATAATTGGAGGTGTAATCAATGTTCCTGTACAGCCCGTGCTTCAAGTCGTCAAGACATGTTATGCTGTAAGTTTGTGGTTGTATCACCTATTTCTTGGCATCTACTAACATCCCGTTGCGATAGATTCGAAAGTCTTTAAACGTTCTATTGTCCTGGAGGTTCTGTTCGTTGCTTGACTCGCCGATGCTCTAGATCCTCCTCCAATCTTTCCCTCGCCCCTAAAGGTCGCGTGATCAAAACTGCCAGGGCCTTTAGGATTACCAGGTTGCGCGCGATGTGCGGGTGGCAGCTGAGCATCCACATGGCGCTCTGCTGCAGCAAGCAGCCTGGTCTGTCCCACTACAAACACTTGCAGCTCTTCCAGCGTGCTCCGCACCCATAGCAGAACTGTGTCCTGCATCGGCAGGTCATGTGAGAACACCCCGTGCTACGCTCCACCATCTGAGCGCAGCCTGGACAGCGTATCCACCCTTTGGCGCGGCTTAGTTTGAGCACTTGCTCAGTCTCAGTCTCTGCACCAGTACAGATGTGGGTGAATCCTTCGTATCTTCCGCGACATTTTCCACATGTCCTTGTCGTGCATATAGGGGACGGACAAATAAAGAATTTGCTGACGAACCCTTCATGCAATGGCCCGAGGAAACGTCTGCACGTTGGTGTAAAACAGTAAACACGCTTTGGGGTCCCAAATTCTTGAGCTTTTAGTTCAAACTCAGTAAGAACCGCCTGCGTCAAGTGAGATCGAACTTGTGGGAGTGGAATGGTCTGACGACAGCATCGAGGAGGATACAGACTCTCATCGCGTGTCGCTGACTTGAATAGGTTGGTGATGCAGCCGATATCATAAAAGTGACCACATGGTGCCCGAAATTCCGCTTCGAAGATAGGGTCCCGACAGATCACACAGTTGTGAACGGCCCTACTAGTTAATGGATTCAGTAATAATTAATATCAATGGCAGCAACATGTCTCACCATGGCGCCTGACTTGTGATTTGACTACTCGATACGAGTGTCCACAAAAATGAGGCAAACCATCGACCCCATGATTGTGTGGTGCTAGAATTCTTGTTAGGACCAAGGGGTTACACTCGCAACTTGAAGCGTACTCTCTGGTGGCGAGTTGGCGCGGCGCAATAGCTCGCTGCATTATTGTTGCCAGCTTAATACCGTGACACCAAAGCTAACGATGATACAGGGACTATGTTCTCCGCCAGGAGACTTCAACTGGGCGCCACATGATTATCCCCTGATAGCCCCTAATTCTATACCTACCTCAAAATCTTGGCAAGTTCTTCATCTTCAACCTATCAGTGCTCGTGGGGCTAGGATACCATTGATGGTCAAATGAGGACTCATGTAATCAGGGATAGAACTAGCCTTAGAATTAGGTCGTCGACAAGAAGTAAGACCTCGAACATCGATATAGATTCTAGAAGTCAAAAACAGCCGCCCTTTCGTGGGGCATATGGTGTAGCTGGTTATCACATCCGCTTAGCATGGCTATCAGTTGCGGGGGGTCTCCGGTTCGAGTCCGGATTTGTCCACACTTTTTCCTCTGGACTTATTACCTTGAAAAGTGTCTGGAGTAAGGCGTTTCGTATGCATTGCTTCTAGTACATATAAATTTCAGTTTTGATTGTCCCGGGTCCGGCATGGCAGTAGTGGGAGGAGAGCAGGAAATAATATTTAGTCTCCGATGTATGTACCATTAGCCCAAATAGAAGTTATTTCCTTCTCGTTTACGGCTCAGAGACTAGAGTCACTACTGTACGCTTTCCCTTGTAGACACCTGTCGGAGATGATTGACAAGTATCAAGGACAGCTTCGACAGGTGTTGGCGGGGTCTGCAAAAGTCCCGCTCACCATTAAACTCAAATCTCTCCATCCTTGAAGTAAACCACCTTGGCATTTCCGAACGCAACTGCAAGCAGCTCATCCAATTTCAACCAACTTGTCCATTAACTTAATCTCCGAGTTGGGGTTGGTGGGTAACACGAAATAGGCGGTTGGCTCTAGTCGTCGTCGAGTCGCCGTGACCTGGTCCTCGAACTTAGTCTCGCAAAATGGCAGTTAGCAGTTCAGTAATCGCGGAAAGGGATGAAGCTGGGCGCATATTCTATACCACTGTTGGTACCGACACTCCAGCAGAGAAGGTACGTGGCAAGCTCTCCCAGTCTCATCTCATCTCATAGCTTTTGGGACAGACCTCACGGACCACAAAAACACCACCAAGAAACCGCCTTTTCAATGAAAAACCTTGGCAAGCTCTAGGGCACACGATCTCTGCAGTGTTCCTGCCGGCTGGATACCCAAACACAGTCACTCCTGGTACGCACCTCATTCTAACACCATCCAAGCTCTTCCTTAAAATGCGCGCAAAGATTATCTGCAGTCAGTACTTAGCTCCTACCGCAGCGTAGACATTATGGTCTCAAACGTGACCGTCTCTTCATCCCAGCTATCAAATGTACAATGATGTGCAGGAATTTTGCAGTTCTTTGTCGGGTTTGCTGGCTTCTAGAGGCGCTCTTGAAGGTATGGTCTCCACCTGAATGCGGATGCAAATTGAGTCGACTTTTATTATCCAGGTTTCGGAGTTGGCGACGCATCAGCATCAGCAACTCAGGCGCTCCTTCTGGCGGTCCTCAAAGACGTGTGTTCGCGTTTTACGAGTAAGTTGTATTGTCTACCACACCCCACCCCTGATAACATTCCTCCGCAGCCATAATAGGCGCTTATTACTTCGGTACATCTCTATACCCTGAAACAAAAACATTTCGTTTTCTCGCGGATGTTATCAACGACACGTCCATCGTCTTGGACACCATATCCCCGTATCTTACCACCATATCCCTCTCCCGCGTGTCTCCACATCTACCATCAGGATCAACTCTCCAAATCATAGCCCTGTGTGTGAGCGGAGCCATGAGATCCCTCTGTCAACTTGTCGCCGGTGGATCAAAAGCAGCACTCACAGACCACTTCGCTTCCCCTGTGAATAGCAAAGGCGACGTAGGCGAATTGAACGCTAAAGGTGCCAGCAGATCAACCGTAGTTGCCTTGACAGGCGTCTTAGTAAGTCTCAAGTCCTTTGACCGCTTTCGAATGATAACATCTGACTTGGGCTCTGTCATAGCTCGGAACGCTCATGGTACCTTATATCACGACTCGCTCCTCAACCTATACCGCACTTTTCGTTCTTGTCTTTGGCCATCTTTTAGCCAATTATCTTGCAGTGCGCAGCGTGGTCCTTCGATCGCTTAATAGGCAACGGTCTAGCATCCTTTGGAGTACTTTTCGCAACTCGATAGGACACGGACGTTCTGTCGTCTTAACTCCAAGGGATGTATCGAATCGAGAGATAATCCTAGACATCTCGAGCCGCATACGGGATGCATCCACCAACAGGGTGATCGGACATTGCTCATTGGGTGTATCTGTGCAACACGCTATGACACGTTGCAATCCGTCGCATGCTCTGAAGATGCTCCAACACTTTCAGGAAGAACCGTACGTTCTCTTCGTGGCGGACCGTAGATCGTGGGGGCGAAGGGGAGCGAGTATCCTAGTGTGTTTCAAAGAGGGATACGGATCCATGAACCAATTGCGCGCCTGGCTACATGCGCTGGAGATAGCAGCAGTGTGGAGTGCGCGGCCTACGCATCCCACTGCTAGCGAAACCGAGGACATCGTGTTCTTGGCACATGAGACGCTTAGGAAGGAGTTTTCTCGTTTCATGGGGTGCCTGAAGGAAGCAGGGTGGAATATTGAAGAAGACGCAATGATGATGGGATCACCGGGCAGTGTGATTATGTCGCCCGAGACGAAGGACACATGACTTCTTTCTTTCTATAGAGGTGCTCCGGTTTATCATAGAGCCCAATACGATATCCAGTCCATGATATGTGATTGCAATGAATTTGTACATGAACGGGATATAACTTAACATGCGAGAGGACCCACGAGAGCTACTGCTGAAAAGTGAGCTTCAGTACAACGTACATCTTTGTCAAAAGTTCTTCCTTGTTTCTTCTTAGCGACCTGGCCCCAGTACATCCAACGACAACGTAACCACCTGTAATCATGGCCTCTTCGGTCTCCAACCACTGGGTGTGCCCCCGACGATGCTCATACCGAAGCTCCCAAAAGCAGCGGCAGCAGCAGTCGCCGGAGAACCGATGTCACTACTAGTTGGACTTGTGACGCTCCCCAACGATCCTTTGTGTCCGTGAGCTGCAACTCCGAATGAGGAGCGGAAAGAAGAAGCTGGAGCGGACTGTATCGAGAGGAACTTGTTAGGTAGCGGTCGGTCATCTGTGTTGTACTGATAAGAAACCGTTATCAGTTATGTTCCTGTGCGAGGTGGCCGAGAACTGACTTGGAACTCGAGACCGATATTATCTGCTTCTGAGACATCTAGAAGCTTTATCAACTTTTTACCTATACCGTTCAGCCTCTCGACGTCGTCCTTGCTCCTCGTCCATACTTGAATCCTGTCGACCTTGCTCCGAAGACTAACCACTGCACCACAAATCTCGTCTCCTTCCTCAAGCTCTTCACCAACCAGCGCCATCGCGAGCCACGTCCAGCAGCGGTCGAGGAGTGCAGGATTATTCTTCATCGTCAGAACCCACTTGCCACCCTTGGAGTTGGCTGGATCCTCCCACATCGGTTTGATACCCGATTTAAAGATGTGATAATTGGAATTACGCTCCAGCTTGGAGGGTGGTTTCAGCCAGTTGAAATACCGGCAGAAGGATTCCACGGTATTGAATTCTCCGATGACAGTCAGGCCAGCTTCGTAGTCTTCTGTCTCGGGTGGAGCAGAAAGGAATGATGTACCGCCTTCCTCTGCAGCTGCCTTTGCAGTGAAGGGTGCTTTGGATTTCGTGTCGTGATAGACCGTCCTGCACAATATATAACCTCTAATGAGACAATGGTTTCAGTTGGCGCATAACAAAGACTTTACCAAGTAAACTGTAACGGATGCTCCGGCGCTTTCATGGTAGCTCCTGGAGTCTTCGGATCCTCTACCAACTCAGCTTCTGGTGGACGTGCAGACCCGTCGATGCTCAGCGATCTCGCTTTAGCCAGATGCGCGGTTATCGCGTCAAGTGATGGAATGTTCTTGTACCCTTTCACCTTCTTCTCGCTTTTGGTCTCCTGATTAAGCTCTTTGAGGTTCTCCTGCGTCAATGGCTCTGAACACACGAGTGGAGCATCCTCTGGTATAGATGGGGTTGTGGATTTCGGGGGTGTGGCGGCAGTTGTAGCTGTAAGCGCCGGAGACACCGAACGAGTAGAAGGTGCATTAACGGCCATCGAGTCATTCGTGGACGCTGTTGTAGATAATGAAGTTTGCGATCCCGTACGCAGGAGTGAAGCAGCTAAACGCGGGCGGGCAGGGGATGATGACGGTGTGTTTCCACCGCTGCCAAGATTAATACGAGCTGCGAGCTGGCCCAAGGACGGCGGGCGTGCGGCTGATGATGGTTTTGGAGCGTGCATGGATGCCTGTAATGAGTTTGGTGGACTGGACATGGTGGTTAGACTCAAGTCAGTGATATCTCCAAATCAATTAACCGGTAACAATACACCAACACCGCATTTTGACATCGCTTCAGCGCTTTGATCGTCCAGAGGTTACATCTAATACAAGACATGCACTGACTACAAATTAATACTATCTTAGAAGGCGTTTCCAGTCATCAAGAACAGTGAAAATAACAGTGTTACTGTACAGGGCCATAAACTTTACGCTTTCGCAACCTCGTCGTCATCCCAGCTATCCATTAGAGGTGGGTGGATGTATTATTTGGCAATCGGTACCGCATCTCACTGTGGGAAGTAAAAACTCTTAAAATAAAATGTTTAAAATATTTAATGACATATATCAAAGCTATAGGCACTGAAAAAGGCAACAGTTATTTTCAGTATCCACGTGAGTGTACTAAGCAATTGTTTTTCAGTGTTTCACATAAGTACCAGTGTCGAATGTATTGAATCATTTGTTTTCTTAATGTCTAATGCACTGTGCTGCCCCGTAGCTCTAATGCTCAGTGTTCAGACCTTCAGGTATCCTGACCATGGATGACTCTCTCTACAAAGGCCTGACCATGACCTGGCACATCCCATAGTGGCATGGTCACCTCAGCATGACCAGCATTCATTGATTGAAGCATCACATTCATAACTTAACTGAAACTGTCTGTTCAATCTAAAGTAGCAATACAGCCACTGCCACTGGCTGGTCACACAAGTACACGTGTTTTTGAATGATGACCAGTATGTAGCTCACTGTTGCACACACCAGCTCTCACACCCTCTTGCATGGGCAAGCAACAGGTCTCATAGTTCTTAGTGTCACATGACTGCAACTTTTCAAGATCTTCAATGACGCTGTCTTCACACCAGGTGGGAGATAATGTCTATGATCCTGCTTAGTGATGTGCAGGGCCGGGCCTGAGGCCCTCAAGCCCTGAGGCCAAGCCCTCACCAGGCCAGGCCAGGCCAGGCCGAGCCCACAGGCAGGCTTTCCAGGGCCTATGGCCTGGCCTGATATTTGACAAGGCCCAAGCCTCAGGCCTGGGCCCTGGCTTGTCCTCAGTGGAAGGTCCGGCGGTGGCAGCAAATCTAAAAAGGTAAAACTGTATGGTTTTAATCTTTCTCAATAAGGCAATTACATACCGTAATGTTGGGTGCGTGCTGAGTCTGCTCACTTTCGTAACAATGCCTGTTGTCGTGTCTGATGACGAGTCCACATCAGTGCACATCGTGTCTCGACCACGCCAAACTGTCACACTGTCCTCATGACTCACAGACGCCAACAACAATGCAACTCTGGAGATTTCTATCCACAGGAACAAGCCTCCTCCATCTGCCATCACTCAAAAGCCTGCACAATTGATCAGCAAACAAGCAGCCGATAATGTAGGCAGTCTGTTGGCAGACGAATGTGCACCTGACGAGGGTGCTATGGAGGATGGGCCCCATGAAAGTAAGCATTCTTTTCATCTTTCATCTCATGCTGATCACAGTTGATCACAGTCTTTGAATTTGAAGGCAAACACTTGTGACGTGCTGTTGCGAACGACCATGCTGACACGTCTTTCGATGTGCTCACAGGTATGTGATTCTTTTAAACTTGATATTAATTTTTCAATTGACTAACAATTTTTGTATTGGTATACAGGTATTTTATTTAATGCTACTGCTTGCACCTGTAATGTGCTTGACAGACACCAAATCCACGGCGCCCGCGGAAATGCACACAGGCAAGTCCAAACCTTTGATGCCTCATTTGTTAATGCTCACACTTTTGTAGGAACGCTCGATAGCGAAGGCTTCGAGTGTATCAATGACACCCACACCACGGTCTCAGACCCGAGTAGTGCAATGTGAGGTACATCTAGTATTGACAACGAGTAATATGAATATACACTAATTTTGATTGTATACTAGGACATGTTCAATCGGGTGCCGTGGATCACAACAGATTATTAGAAGATATTGATGTCCAAGACATCAGCACAACCATGAAGGCACACCGGGAGGACAAGACCATGGATGTAAGTGCCTTCTTTGGAGCACCTTATGCTGCGAAGTTGAAGGACGGCAAGACTTGTAATGTCAGAGACTGTAAATCGTGCTGGTAAGTGAACGACTCGTATTCCATTCTCAACAACACTCATGGGATCACAGCAAGAAAGGCTTGCCTCATCAAATTGTGAGCGACACGTTGACGTGTCGACATCATCTTGCATACAGACACTCCATAAGTTATCTCTCATCCCTTGGCCCTTTACTTAAGTGTTGTGGCACTGTAAAGGATGCATATCGTAAATGGTGCAAGGCTAACAAATTTGAATCGATGCTGCCTCCAGATGTGAAGGAACGAAAAAATGCAGCTGCAGTTGTGAATGCACAGCAGGGCAGTCTCGATCCTCATCTTCATGAGGTTCAACCATGTGAACATGTTCTCCCATATTCTGACAAGCTTTTTTGTGAAGCTGCAATTGAGTGGTTGGCATCTACTAACCAGGTATGGATATTCAGTGTGATGTAACTAGATACTGATATCCTTCTCAGCCGATTCAAGCAGTTGATCATCTGAGCTTTAAGAAAATGACTGATACTGCTTCGTGGGCCACGACGGGTGTCCTCATACCGAATTGAAAGGCAACGCGATCTGAAATTGTTTCCATCTTCAAGCAGCAGATGACAAGATTAAAGGAACAGTTTAATGTAAGTTTGGAATGGCTTAACTCTCATTCGTTTCTGATGTCTTCGAGCAGAGTAAGGCTGCAACAGGTGTCATCAATCTAATGTGCAATGCTTGGCAGGCAGCAAATGTGGAGGCATATTTTGCCGTCACTGGCCATTGGATCGAAGAACTGTCTGTTGGGGTTTGGGAAATTCAGAGTGCTGTGATCGGGTTCACGCTCCTCAATAATGCACACAATGGGACGTGACTTGGCCAGGCACTGTTCAAAATTGTTGATTGAGTGGGAATTTCCCACAAGGTTCGTCATTTTGTAGTATGATTGCCAGTTGTTTACGCAATAACAGATCGGGTATATCACCCAGGCTTTCAGGCCAAGCCAGGCCCGGCACATCACTAATCCTGCTGGACCCACCAGCCTCACTTTTGAGAGGAGGAAATCTAAGATGGATTGAACTAGTGAGGTATCAATAATTGCACTGAGACTCAGACTTAGTAGAATACAATTTGTTGGTGTCACGTGACTGCTACAAACAACGCATCAACAGAAGATTTGCCCCAATATTCATACTTATGTGTCTCCCTCAACCACGACCCATGATAAAGATGTGCAGAAGAAGTTGGGGAGACTTGCTATGACTGCATCAGCCATGTACAGAATCAATGTGAGTATGTGTTGTGATATTTGTTTTATTGAATATCACAAGTGCTGTGTACTCCATGGCCATAGACAATACAGGAGGGTGCATGTTTTGTTGACTCTGTTTACTCTCTCCTTCGCTGCTACTCTTGTTAGCATGGTGTCCTTCAAGAATTACCAGCATGCTCCCATGCTCGAGCTCAAGATCACTCTGCCCCACCCCAAGTTCCCCAAGCCCGAGCAGCCCTCTGAGAAATGAACGACGTGAGCCACAGTGCATGTTATGAGGTGTTGATGCATATAGTCACTTGTGGTGTGCATATAGTCACTAATGATGTGCATATAGTCACCCACAGTGCACATATAGTCACTCAATCACATGCTTCAATCACACGCTGCATAAATAAAATTGTCGCACTCATTCTTGTGTGCTTGCACATGTCTGCACATGTCTGCACCTGTCTCTGTGTGTTTGATGACATTTTCATTCATCTGCAATTGTCCCCACTCATCTGCACTTGCTTGCACCTGGTGATTGTAATTGTGTTCATCTGCACTCATTTATATTCATTTGCGCTTGTTTGAGCAATCTAGGCGAGTCTCTTTTCATTTATACATCACTGACAACTTCGCTCATTGTTGTGTACTTGTGCAATAGATACAATTTTTTTGTCATTGATCCTGTGGTAGTATGCACATCTCAATCCAATGCTAATCAAATGAAGGAGACCGGACATCATGGGTAAGACTCATTTTGCCAATGGCTGCACTTACAAATTGCAATTCACAAGTCAGGCTCAAGCCATCATGAGAATGCCTGCTCTCAAGTGCATCACAAATGACTGTCATCTCCCACTGCCTCTCAACACCTGCTTTTATCTCTCGCTAGTTCCCAATAGATCCCACTGATTCATCACTCAACACCTCCTGCCTCCCTCTAAATGCCTCCCACTATTGCTTGCTCCCACTACCCTTCTTCCTGGTCTGGGCAACACTACAGCTCAATCATTGCAGATTTTTGGTTCGGCTCGCATTTGTCATCTCTGGTAGAACTGGACCCAAGTTTGGTTCTTGGTTCTTGCCCAACCTCCTCTGAACCGGGCTGAACCCAACCAACACCATAAAGCTCTATCTAATTGACATGACTCGGACCTGTCTGTCATAATGTCGCCATGGACTCCATCATAAGTCCTGCTCTCTGACTTCATCTGGACTTCATTGACATATGCCACACTGATTCCGCATACAAACTCCGTTATTGTCTTCTGTGTCCTTAGCGGAATTCTCTTGTGTCTCATCTCTGTCAAATTCATGGTTTTGTGCATCAATGAAAAGCAGTGTCCCAGAGTGGAATGCTCAGTGTTTTGAGCCATTATTTTCAGTACCATGAACATCACAATGTCAGTGTTTTACTTAGTGCTATTCAGTGTGCCGTCAATCCCATCTCAGTGTCTTCAACACTGGAAAATGTCACTTTCAGGGTTCTAGGTACTGAATTCTCGCACAGCCTATCTTCTAGTTCCGATGTGGACTGCGGTCATAAGATCCAAAACCCTGAAAGTCAGTATTCTCAACATCGACTTTCAGTATTCTATACACTGATTTTCAGAGTTTTTACTTCCCACAGTGATCTGTACTGTTGATTGGTTAGCTTGTAGGGAAAATAAAAAAATTCTGACAAAAATTATATCTGAGTCTCAGGGCCTTCAAGGCTGCTTCAGCAGTTGCATCAGCGTCGATGATCAAGTTATCCTTGCACAGCGCCTCTGCAGTCTGGGACTTTTCCAATGCCTCCTCAGCAAACTTGAGTGCTTTACTCCAGCCATCTAAACTCTTTCTCTGCCCATGTTGGGATGTGGACCTATTGCGAAACACCTTCAAGCTTGTGATATAGGTGACTAACAGCAGGTTGAATATGGTCTTGCCAGTGCATATCGGGTACAGGCTGTGGATGAAAGGATGTGCAGTGGATTCTGACAAGAAATCAACAAGTGGAAGTCCTCCTGCCACACAGAAGCAATTTCCTGGGGCAACACCCATCGAGAACTTGTATGGTTTGGTGCTGCCATCAAAAGAGAAGAACTGGAAGGTACTTCCATCACAGAGTATGCTGTAGATCAGCATGCTAACATTGACTTGCATGTTGCTCCAGTCACAAGCTGAACTGGATGAGAAATCTTTGGCAAATTATATGTTAAAGGGATGTCTGACCATTACATTCTGCTATCACTTGGGCAATGGCATTCAAACTCTCTTCAACACTTCCGATTTGCAGTTTCATCTCCACAAAAATGACTGTTAGGGCGCTGAATGTCTTAAAATGATACTCAATCCTGCCTCTTGTCATAATGTGGCCATTCATGAGCGACTCTGGCTTGTTCCAAATAGAACTGCCAAACTGAGCCACCAGGCAGTTGAAGATCTGATGGATATTCAAATTTTTCAGTGGTCTGAGCAGTTAGGGGAAGGATGTTCACAGGAGCAAGGAAACATGATCTCGCTTCTTCCATAGTATGGTCTTGCAAAGTGCCATATTGAATCAACAAAACATCCATATCCATCACAATGTCTTTGAAAAATGCAGTAGGAATTTGGGAATGACAGAGTTCAAATGAGGGAGCATTGCTGAACTTCCATAAAGAGTCCAGGCCAATGAATGCAGCAATGTGTGGGTACTTGACATTAGAGAAACTAATGTTCAGGCCCTTTTCTGAGAGAATGTGTTGAGCCTCCACTCTCAAACAATGAAGTAAGGTCAAACCATACCCCCCAAGCTAGCCTTCAGCTTGTCCAAATCAAATTCAAATTCATCTATTAGATATAGGATAGCCATTTCAGCTGATGTTTGATCCTCACTGGTGGCAAGAAGAAGTTGCCTTTTGATATCATTGTTAGACAGCTTATCACCTCATTTTCTCTTGCCCATAGTGGTTGATGCAAGAAGGTGTGCTCCAGTTGAGGGGAAATGGGTCATGGAAAGGGGTTTGCTGAGCCGAAGGCTTGGAGAAGCTTTCCAAGGGGTCGACTTCAGGAGAAAGAGGTGCCCACCCTGGAGGTCACTTTCTTTCTTTGGCAAAACATTGCCAGCAAAGTCTAAACCTTCTTCACCTGGGGGGCTGTGTATGGTTGTGGCTTGACCTCCACACCATAATCAATGATTGTTACAGGGACTCTCAGACCCCTATCATCTCCACCAAATGTCACCATCACAACCACATCACAACACATGACAGATGACATCACTGGCACATGACTAAAACTGCACAGTACAGCATGACAGCTGTTGGAGCACAACAGCTCTAGACCTGACCTAGACTGGGATCAATAGAAGCTGCACACTTCTCCCTTATCGCCTCTACCAATACACCAGTGACAACTATCACTTATCACGACTGCAATCACCCTTGAAACATAGAAGCTGTGCACTTCTATCCTTATCTCTTATCATCTCTGAGCACCTACTGCTGTGTTGGTTATGACTCACCCTTATCATTGCCGACTGACTGGTAACCCTTATCGCTGATAGACCTTATCTCTGAGTCCTTATAACTCACATAGACACTTACCTACTTTGGATGCTTTCTGGTCAGATAGACCTCCCCTGAACTCATAGGACAATACCTATATATACCTGATAGTTAGAACATGTATTCTCTAACTTGATCTTCACTTGTGATACATGACTCTAGTATCTGGTCTGATGCTGGACCCAAGTCATTCTGGATGAACAGCCTTCATCTAGTCTTCCACTGTCTCAGTGCTCCATGAAGTGGACATGGGATTGACCCCATCAAGTGCACTCACTGCAGAAATGAGATTTTAGCCAGATCCTAATCAGAGGGAGACAATGAGTGTAACACGACTCTAAACGTACGTACCTTGTAATCAGACGCAAATCCAATGGGTCACAAAATTTTGTCGTTCAACACATCTAAACAGACACTTTTCCAACTTTACCGACGTGTCTTTTCAGACCCCCGTTTCTTCTCTTCAGATACTCGCTATTCCATCACTAATCAGCCCTGTAAATTGTCTTCTCAACCATCGGATTAGAATTCAGTTTGTCACCTCGGCTAAGTCTATTAAAATTCTATTGAAGTCTCTCAAAGTTTCAGCTCCTGCCTTGACTTGCAACCACAACCATCTCCGCGTACCATGGCACACCACCCCCACCTAGCTGATGCAAAGGATGCTGTCCGTACTAGTACTTACTCAAGTAAGTACTATGGCAGACCACGACAAGATCAAGCTCGAGCTGCCCGCACGAGTCAAAATGTTCAAGTTCACTTTTGAGTGCAGACTCCCTGGACCTGTCGTAACTTCTTTTTTTGATCTAAATGAGTGCTAACTAAATTTCTATGTAGAAGTACTGTTGAACTATCAATCCAAGGGCCTCCCAAGCGGTCACACTCACAGGCTAGTACTGTGGAAGGTCCGGAGACCAGTGAAACACAAACTGCCAAGCCGGAAAGACTTACCCACTGGTTTTGGAGGCCCAAAAAACGTAAGTTCTTCTCCCCAGTTCTATTGATTTGCTTTGCTGAAAAGATGTCAAGCGAGCTCAAGATCTCGTGCAACACCAAAATTACCCATCCAAGAGGTGAGTCAATTCACGGGCAGTTGGTCGATGATAGCGAGACCAACCCAGAGCAAGAGCCAAAGACTCCTGTAGACTTCACCCACTTCTATGAGGCCATGAACGTGGTACATTTTTTTATTTTTCCATATCATCATTACTTACAAAATGATTATATCCAGAACACCTACAAACCGCAAACATAGAAACCATAAGCATAAACTCGTACATGTTCCTTCAAAGCATCGCAAACCCTTGGGTTCCTCCTGGCTGATAAGATGTGAGTTTTCTGTGTCGCATCGAATCACTTGACTCTTACCATTGCATGCTCAGACACTGGTCCACTGAAGAAGTCATCATGCTGGGGCAAGCTGTTGTTGGGCACGTTCTGTGGGGACGGATGGGGCTGGTTGTGGCCGAATTGGTATGGACCATGACCCATCATCTGAGACTGACGGTCTTGACTAACACCATGTTGATTAGGATACATGGGAACACCACTAGGGCATTGCTGTGGGCCTTGGGACCCATACATCATGGACGCGGGGTGTAGGGAATGAAGAGAAGAGCGAGCGAGAAGCTACGAGCAAGCGCATGGCGAATCCTAGGAAGTATATGGACCTCATGTATATTCTTTGCAGAGTCTAATTAAATCTATTTTGTATATGTATGCAGACATAATTCAGACGTGCAAATCATGTTTTCTGATATGATCCCGTTGTCGGATTAGATACACAGATAACAAATCTACCTCTGCAAAGCTTATGTATCCACTGTCAGATTAGATGCATCACTATGTACCTCTCGCTAGTCTAGCGCTTCGGGATTTGTGTTGTATGCGACGTCTGTTTATATTCCGTGTATATGGTCTATCCCTACACTAATCGGGTCCGACTATTTTCTCATTTCCGCAGTGACTGTTGGCGAAGCCAGGCTTTGCTGTAACCATGATCATGTTCTTGACCATCCCATGGTCCTCAGATGCTACATACCTTGAACTAGAGCCTGACGACTTGCTGCAGCTACCTCAAGGTGCTAGGTTTGGTGAAATGATAGACTTAGAAAGGCCTTTCAGCCTGGAAGACCCTGTCCTGTGTGGCATGTCTGATAGTGTGGTCTGAGTGTTGAAATTGGAATTGTTCACTTACTTAGTCAGCACATTGTGGCTTGGTACTATATAGTTCCTGAACCTTAACTCACCTTATAAACACAGTAGTAGTGCTCCTGTATTCCTTACCCACTTCATTGGATAACACCGTCTTATGTCTATGGTCTGACTGAGACCTGACTTTCTATCACTGAGGGTGGGAGGAACAAGGAGGATAGTGTGCAGGCAGGTATAGGGCAAGATGTAGGAGGATAGTTGGAGCATGGGCACCTTGAGGGGGTAGGACAGTGCCTAGGACACCAGCCAGCAACTTGGATTGTTGGTGATTGCTGGCTATACTGCCCAGTGTGTTGGTACTAATATGCACGTGGTTGATGCAACAAGCCAACAGCAGCAGAGTCGAACATAGGAATGCAAACCAACAGTTATATATCCCCCTGCCCTGTCTTCTCCCCTCAGTCAGTTCCATCACGACTGAGGGTGAGCTCTTTACTTATCTGAGCCATACTTAGATACTGATGGATGCTCATAGGCCAATGCAGTGCCTAGGTACAGAATAATATAGTCAGTTCCATCACGACTGAGGGCTAATGCAGTGTCTAGTCTTTATAGGTTATGAGCCCTGCTCTCTCGTAAACGAGGAGTGGAACTACCACTAGATACTAGCAGGCCATTTAGGAATGACCCCACTGGGTTATTAAACCCCTGGGGCTTATCAAGAACAACGGACTTCTATTGGCGTCATCAAAACATTTAATCTCTTCCTCTTTGGGCAAGAAGCATCGAGCACAATCACTCATACATATATATACCTGCAAGTTACAGTTTATCTCTCTTTCTTCCCTTACCTTCATGCCTCCCACTTCACATACACATTCTAAGAGTTTCAGAACCAAAGGTTTGACACTCAGTCCACCAAATACCAGTATGGTTATCCCAACCATCACCACCATGTTTTCCATGCAAGTGACCATTGCGGCTATCTCACTTAGCCAAACTGACCTAGACAAATTCGAGGTCTTGGGTCACAGTAAGAACAATTGGGGGGTTTGGTCTGATCACATGCAGAACTACCTTCTTTTGAAGCATGGGGGTAGTTATATCTTAGGCCTGGTCACACATCCTGATCTGTCCCTGGACCCTGTCAGCACAGGCCACTGGGACCTCAACAACTTATGCATTGTCACCATTTTATGCATGTGTTCTAGCCCAGAGGAGAACAAGTTTCTCTGTGGCTACACAAATGCTTACCTTGTGTGGAACACCCTCAAGTCTCATCATGAGAAAATCAGCCCCATGGCCCAAATCTTGCTCATTCAACAGGCCTTGGTGGTCAGATATTGCCACTTGGAACATCTCTCTACTATGAGCACTCAACTCAGTGAACTCATTCGGCACATCTATGCTATTGGTATACCAAAGGAAGAAGACTTCATCACCATCATGATGCTGAACACCATGGTGGAGGATCTTCCTCATGTATGCAATCACATTGCTGATGCGCTTGCTACCAGCACTTCTGCCACCTCTTATGGCCCCTCAAACATTCATTCACATCTTGATGTTGAGCAGCAGCTCATTAACACCAAGACATCTAAGGGGGGAGATATCGCCATGGCTGCCACCGGCAATGGGGGTAATTGTGACTGCAATTAGGTGTCCTGCAGCACCTATGGCAACTCAAGCCATCCCATGAAGGATTACTTTGGTAAAGGTGGGGCTATGGAAGGAACATGTGACAAGGTACTGGCTCATAAACACACTGCTCGCAAAGCCAAGGGGTCCAGGGGCAAGTCTGCTGCTCCCAAACCTGCAGCAGCTACTGGGAAGCCCAGTGGCCTTTGCTATGACACCAGTGGATGTGCGTATCTGCTTGATAGTGAGACAAATCAGGCCATATATATTGCCTCTGCCCCAGAACCAGCTGACCCTTCTACTACTTCTTCCACAGAGTTTGCAGGTCTTGCAAGTGACTCAATCACTCCTGCATTTATTTGTGAACTGTCTGCTGCAGAGGAGGATGAGTATACCACCCTCATAGCCACTGTTGACTCCCTTGAAACCAGCCTTGACTGGCATAAATGCACCCACTCTGTTGATTTTGCCGGAATCACTTATAAGGCACCTAATCAACATCAATGCACCATTGTGGATCCTTCCATCATGCCGTTCTTCCTCGACAGCAGGGCCTCAGTCCACATTAGCAATGAAGAGGCCGACTTCTTCAGCCTTCGCCCTATTCCTCCTTGCTCCATCAATGGTGTCAGCGGCTCATCCATTCAAGCTGTGGGCAATATCATTATATCCCATTGCAACTGGCACAAGCTGCAGCAGACTGGCAGCTTCCCCTCCAACATCCAAAAGAACCCAGAATCTAGATTGTCACTCTTGGGTGTTGAGACCCTGGCTGGATGCTATCAAATTTTCAATTGAAGTAAAACACTTAAATATCATCATGGCTCAGAGCTGTTGCTGTGAGCAACATTTTGACCCAATGTCGTTGCAGCAGAATACTGGCCTGTGGTCATTTACTCTGAGTCATCTCAGTCCTGAACACTTGAATTCTCACCAAAGTACATTATCCAGACTCCAAGTGGATCCTTCCAATCACTTCTGAACATTTCACCTGGTCCAACAACTCCTGCCCCCAGTGCAAATGTCAAACAAGGCTTTTCGCGTTGCTATGGATGTCCTGCCTGCTCAAGCTTCATTTGTGCCTTCCAAGCACATATTTTCATCAAGCAAAGAGACCTGCACTCTATGGTGCAGCAACCTATCTCCGACCACACTCAAAGCACTACAAGTCATCTGTGAATGACCCATTTTTCTCGCTTGTCAAAAAGAAGTTTGATGCTTACAGCGATGGTGAGAGTATGTGTTGCACATTGGACCGTCGCAGGCACCACAATATTCCTCGTAGAAAGCAAGTTGTTCATATCATTAGTATGTACTACTACAAGATTATCACATGGCCTAAGTACTAGTAACAGAGTCCAGACATTGTTCCTTGATAATCGGTCTCAACATAACCAAACTGAGCGTTTACGAATGCAGACCTGAGCTAACCAGAACAAAACCCTTGTAAGTGTCTTGCAAGCGGGTTACAAGACCATTTCTGCAAATTCGCATTTTTAGATGCACCTCAATGTGTAGTTACTAGCATTCCTAGCTTCTCATTGGCTGGACCACCGGTCCGCATCAATTCTGAACTCGTTACCAACTCGCGAGTCAAACGAGGCACAACTCGTTGCAACTCGTAAGTGTCGAACTGTGTTGAGTTACCACAATTTTCCACCTCGGTTCGACTTGATTCGCCTCATAGCAACACTACTCAAATCTCTGCCCGATGTGTTTTGTTTTTGGGCTTTTGACCCGTTTCTAACCTGTACCGTCACATGACTGGCTAGTCGATTTTAGAGTGACCCACTGCGACCACTCCTTCTTCTTTGATAGTAGTATTTGCACATCGGGGAGGGGGGTTCCTTTAGGCTTGCTAGATTCACGCTACTGTATTTATAGTCTCCCAATCTCATCGGCGCTCCCGAGGTTCCCAACCTTGCCAAGGAGTTGTTTTTTGACTATAACTCTTTGCACTCACGATTCTGAGTCACACAGAGCCCATTTGCACGAGTCATCAGTCAAATGGCTGAACAGTTTTCTCCGGCGGATATTGTTATGATCAGCGTTCACCGAATGGCAAAGGCTTAACACAACCACTAGGACTCGTCAAGAATAAGAGCAAGAGATGATATTGAGAGTGAACGTCTGAGTCTACACTGGGTAGGAACTGAAGAGGTTAAGTCTAAAGAGAAACTACGCTAACTATCCTACCTATATACATAACATTGAATCGGAGATATCTGAGTCTGTAAATAATCGGCCAATGAGAAAAGAGTCGTACAATACTGCGCATGACGTAGGATGACGTCGCGATATATAAGCAATGATGTCAGAGACGGAGATTAAGTGATAGGAAGACATATGGTTCTAGCCCTGGGTGTAGGAGATTCGATCAGAGATGTGATTGGTGAAGTGTGAAGAGGTGAAACTGTGACATGGTGATGATGTGATAATGTGAAAGGTAGTGGTGTCACGTGATCGGTTTGGGTATGGGACTTAGCCAAAGGAAAACCGAGGAAAGAAAAATGATTCGTATTGGGAATTCGTGACATTACCCCCCTTTTAAGGTGAGCGTCCTCGCGAACATAGGATGGTCGAATATTTTTTTGTCTCCATTCCAAGAAATCAGGAGTTTGTAAGACTGGAATGATTGCGCTTGCAATTCGACGTGATTTGGGTGCATCGGGATTTGCCGCGTAAAACTCGCTGACTAATCTTGGAGAATTTTTTAGATTTTCTTCGTTTTCCCATGTCGCTTCTTCCAATGGATATCCTTTCCACTTTGATAAGAATTGCAATCGGTTTCGTCGCATTCTGCTGGCTATCACTGCTTCTAATTCGTATTCTTGCATGCCTTCCACGATTTCAGGGGGTGGACGTTCTGGTGCAATGCGAGTTGTTAACGACGAGGTTTTGTGAGCGGTGAGTAGTTCTACATGAAAAACCGGGTGGATTTGATAGGATTCCGGTAATTTCAACTTGTAGTTCAATTCGCCTACTCGTTCGAGTATTTCAAAGGGACCAAGGCGGCGATCTGACAACTTCTGACTCGGTCGTCGTTGTCTGATGTTTTTAGCGTCTAGCCAAACCCTTTGTCCTACTTCGAAAACTGGTGCGTCTTTTACTCCTCGATCATAGAAACGTTTCATCCGATCATTGGCGATTTCTAGCGTTGCCTTCGCTTCCTCTTGTGCCTCCTTCATTTCTGCTACTCTCTGATCGGCTAATGGAACGGTGTTGGAAGAATTAGGGGAAATGATGAATTCGGGGTTGTAACCGTAGAGGCATTTGAAAGGGGAGTGTCCGGTTACCGTAATAGAATTGTTATGCGTGAATTCTGCAATGGGGAGCCATGATACCCAGTCGTTCTGACGATAAGATGTAAACGCTCGAAGGTATTGTTCCACTTCTTGGTTTACTCGTTCTGTTTGTCCGTCTGTTTGTGGATGATACGCGGTCGACATGGACCATTTGATTCCCAGTCTTTTTGAGACCTCCTGCATGAACTTGGACACGAATTGGGTCCCACGATCGGAGATCACCTTTTTCGGTGTTCCATGCAACTTCCATACGTATTTGAGAAATAAGTCCGCGATTCCCTTTGAAGTAACGTCCTTGGTGGTTGGCGCGAGATGAGCTTGTTTGGTAAATCGATCGACTACTACGAGGATGCTGTCTTTGCCTTCTGATTTTGGGAGATCGGTAATCAGGTCACAGCTGACTGTTTGCCATGGACCTTCGGGAATTTCATTAGGCTTTAAGGGACCATGGGGTTTAGATGGTAACACCTTCGTTTGTTTGCACCTGTTGCATCCGTCTACATAGTCATTGACCCATTTCTGCATCTGCGGCCACCAATAGTTACGGGAAACGAGTTCGAGAGTCTTAGCTCGTCCCATATGGCCTGCTGCTGGTGTATCGTGAAAGATTTCCAGTATTGAGCGGCGAATGTCTTTGCTATTGGGTACGTAAACCAATCCTCTGAAAAGAATAAGTCCATCTTCTGTATTCCACTCCTCTAGTCCTTTTCGCAGCTGTACTGGAGCTTTCTTAAGGGTTTCGATAGCATTTCGAACTTCCGGATCTAGGTCGGTGCAGTTTCTGATTTGTTTAAGCAACGTTTGCTCTCCCTGTATCAGAACTTGGCCTCTTTTTGCTGCTTTTATTTGAAAAAACTCGGGTTTCAAAAGCACGCGATCCGAATTGTCGTTTTCTACCCCCCCTTTGTGGTCTGGCCTCCTGGACAGAGCGTCGGCAGTGTCATTGACCCTCCCTGGTTTGTGGTGCAGTGTGAATTCATACTCTGCAAGAAACAAAGACCATCTCGCTTGTCTGCGAGTCAACTTCTGACTTGTCATGAAGTACTCAAGGTTTTTGTGATCCGTCCATATCTCTACCGGTTCTGGTGCTCCTTGTACATAATGCCTCCACTCTTCCAAAGCGCGGATAATAGCTAATAGTTCCTTGTCATGAATATCATAGTTTCGCTCTGCGTCTTGCATAGATTTACTAAAGAAAGCAACAGGGTGCCATAGTCCATCGTCTTCCTTTTGAGACAATACGCCACCCGTAGCATAGTCAGATGCATCTGTTTCGATTTTTTTCTTTTTTGTGGCATCTGGCATTGCTAATATTGGTGCGGATGTGAAATTGTCCTTAAGGGTTTGGAAAGCTTTTTCTTGTTTGTCTGTCCATTTCCATGGTACACCCTTCCTAATGAGATCGTTCATGGGTTTGGCAATGTTCGAGAATCCGAGAATGAAACGACGATAAAAGTTTGCGAATCCCATAAACCGTTGGATGTCTTTGACACAGGTAGGAGTAGGCCATTCTTGTACTCCTTTAACCTTGACTGGATCCATGGAAACATGTCCATCTTTAATGATTAGTCCGAGAAATTCCACTTCTTTCTTTTCGAACGAACACTTCTCGGGTTTGAGATAAAGATCATTGTCCTGCAGTCTCTTTAATACTTCTCGTACCACCTTTCTGTGTTCTTCTATAGTGCCATTCGTGAAAACCAGGATGTCGTCAATGTAGACTACAACGACTTTTCCTTCCTTGAGATCTTGGAAAATCTGGTCCATCATGGTTTGGAAAGTGGCAGGAGAGTTCGTCATTCCGAAGTACATAACTACTGGTTCATGGTGTCCGAAAGGAGTTTTGAAGGCTGCCTTCCATTCATCTCCTTTTCTCATTCTAATATTATTGTATCCCCATCGAACGTCCATTTTCGAAAAGAGGCTTGCACCGGTAAGAGAATCAATGAGATCTTGTGATCGGGGAAGAGGGTATGCATTTCGGACGGTTTTCTCATTCAATCTCCGATAGTCCATGACAGGTCTAAGTTTTCCGTCTTTTTTGGCAACAAAGAAGAAAGGAGCTGCCACTGGAGATTCTGAATCTCGCAGTCGTCCTAATTCATATTCTTGTTTGAGCCACTTTTCACATGTGTCATGTTCTGCGGGCGAAAGGGGATATGCTTTCGAATTTGGAGGAAGGTCATTGGGATCCTTGAAGTCTACTTTATGATCCCACTTCTTAGATTCAGGGAATCTAGTAGATTCTTCTTCGGAGAAGACCTTGAGATAGTCGTGGAGCCATTCTGGAACCATCTCTTCTACGGACTTCTTTTCCTTCTTCTTTTCCTCCTGTTGAGCTAACTCCGAAGCTACTGAGCTTTTGTACTTGATCCACACAGTTTCGTGGTGAATCTTCATCTTCGATCTCCTCTATCTCTACCTTTCTAGGAATATTCGGATTTAAGGATTGTACTTTAGCTACAGGAATCGAAGTTTCCATGGTGATTTCATCATTGTCTTCTTCCATGGGTGATAAAGCAGGTAATGCATCCTTCTGCTTTTTTGTTTTGGTCCTCCTCTTCTTTACTTTGGGATCTTCGCATTTGACTGGGCAGCGGTTAAACGTCATTTTCCCCGCATTCCAATCTATGTTTGGATTATGATATCGTAGCCAATCTATTCCAATGATAACATCATCGGTTCCTAGATCTGTGATCAGAAAAGCCACTTCTTCCTCGTGATCCCCTATCTTCAGAGTCAAATCTGCGTAGCTTTTGATTGGTCCGGCGGAGTTTTTAGTTCCATCAATATTGCGGACGGGCAGTGCTCGCAGTAACTGCTTGGTTTTGACTTCGTTTTTGTTTATGAACTTTTGGCTTAGAAATAAGTTCGTTGCTCCACAGTCTACTAGAGCTTCCAATTCTGCTTCCTTGTTTTTTCCTTTCAATGTGATTGGCAAGTAAAAATGATCTCGTTTATTCCCAGAACAAACTTCTGATACTTCCGTAAACATGATTGCCGAGTCACTAAGAAAAGAAAAACGATTGTTCTGGTCTAAGTTCGCAGTCAACTTCGACCCTCCTAAAAACCCTGCTTCTTCAATGCATCATCTGAAGAAGTCATGAAAATTCTCTCGTTCACGATACGTTGGATATCTTCCAGTGTGATTGGTTTTGCCACCGGTTTTTCTTCTTCTTCTTCTTTGACCGCCTTGATAGCGGGTTTCTTGCCTTTGATATCCATCGCTTGTCCAGTGCAGTTTCGGGCCATGTGCCCGGGTTTCCACAACGATAACACTTAAAAGTGTCTCCCGATTTGCCTTGAGGTTGGGGTCCACCTCGCGTTTTAGATGCATCTACGTCCATCGCATCTCCTCCTTGAGAAACTGGTTTGAGAGGGCCTCTTTCAACCCATGGGCGACGTGGCGGTTGCCAGGTCTTCTTTTTCTCATCGTCCAGTTCCTCAAAGTTTGTTCCGATAATAAGAGCCTGTGAAATCATTCCCTCTAGGGTGCTCTTGTCCCTAGGGTTTACGTGGGCCAACTGATCCCTAATCCGTTGGGATAATGCGAGACGGAACTTGCGTATGAGTTCATAGTCTGAAAAATGGCAGTGGGCAATTTTCTGTCTGAAGAGAGACGAATTCCGTGATGCTGCAGTTTCCTTGCTGGAGATGATCTATCTCGCGAGCAATTTTCTCTTCTTTGTTGGCAATGCCCCACATGGCTTGCATGTCGTTTTTCAATTGTTCGTAAGACCCGAGTCGTCCACTCAAGGCAGTTCTGGATACGCTTTCTCCCCATTTCGCTGCAGAGCCCTTGCAGAAAGAAATAAGACAGGAACTCTTCTGGAGCTCAGAGGCGGTGGGGTAGGAGGTGAGGTAGAGGTCAAGTTGGGAGAGGAAGGTGTCAACCTCGATAGAGTTCTTGTCTCCTGTGAACTCTGTAGGTTTGGCCATCTTGAGATCAGAGCTCGAAACTCCAGAGGTAGACGCCTGTATTGTTGGCGTTGTCGTACGAAAGGCTTGCAAAGCCGTGATCGTTTGTTCCGCTGCCACTAGCCTCTGGGCTAACTCGTTCTTCTCTGTCTCCACCCTGTTTAGGTTCTCGGCTAAGAGTGCGAGATGATCTTTCAACTCGTTGTACCGGTGTTGGTTTAGATCTCTTTCTGCTGCGGTTACGGTGAATATGGCGTTCGAAATGTTCTCGTGGGTGATGGTAGTCCCTTGCGGGCCTAAGATGCCTTCCGCTACCACAGAGCCCGGCCTCGATAGGGTTGGTGTGGAGCTTTCTGCAGATCCCGACGGCCCTGCTCCTAGTGTCTGCCATCCTTGAATTGGTGCGTGGTGCGGGGCGGGGGATTGGATTGTTCGCCAATCTTGCTCGGACATGAAGGAAGGGGCAGTTGTTTTCCCGACAGGTATCGTTGTCGTGGATCTGTAGGGCGCGGTCTCTAACGAGACGAGATCTCCAAGGGGGAGCTATGATGACTATAGGTGCGAATACAGCGCGTGTAGCGGTTCGTCAACCTAAGTAGAACTCGAGAGGAGTTCGGGAGCGACGCGGTGAAGTTTGGGTCTTCTGAATACCCACAACTTCCTAAGGTAATGTAACTAGGGTTGTAAGACCCGCGAGTGCCGTTCTCTACAGTACGAAAGAAAAATAGGTAGCATGCAGTCGGTAGGGTCTTGGACCTAACTGCAGGCGTGCGGAGACAGGACCTAAATGTCGCTGTTCCTTATAGACTGGCGGCTCGCGTAGGGCAAGGGCCTGGTCTACTTCTACCAAAGACTAATCGTAAAAGAAAATGATATAATGCGCGTCTGGGAAAGATGGTTGGAAACGTAATCCGCGAGAAATTCTCAGCAGAATAGCACAGGTGAAGCTTGTTCGAGAACAAGGTGTCCAAGACAAGGTTCGAGTTGGAGTGGTAAGAAGACTTAACCTAATGTTATGATCAGCGTTCACCGAATGGCAAAGGCTTAACACAACCACTAGGACTCGTCAAGAATAAGAGCAAGAGATGATATTGAGAGTGAACGTCTGAGTCTACACTGGGTAGGAACTGAAGAGGTTAAGTCTAAAGAGAAACTACGCTAACTATCCTACCTATATACATAACATTGAATCGGAGATATCTGAGTCTGTAAATAATCGGCCAATGAGAAAAGAGTCGTACAATACTGCGCATGACGTAGGATGACGTCGCGATATATAAGCAATGATGTCAGAGACGGAGATTAAGTGATAGGAAGACATATGGTTCTAGCCCTGGGTGTAGGAGATTCGATCAGAGATGTGATTGGTGAAGTGTGAAGAGGTGAAACTGTGACATGGTGATGATGTGATAATGTGAAAGGTAGTGGTGTCACGTGATCGGTTTGGGTATGGGACTTAGCCAAAGGAAAACCGAGGAAAGAAAAATGATTCGTATTGGGAATTCGTGACAGATATCTACCATGGGGCCTGTCCATTTGGCTCCATGAAATGCACTACAGGTGTCACCTCAGCTTCCTGTGCCGAGGGATCTCTGTCAAATGATCAACTGAGGTCTCTGACCTCCATCTGACATGGACCGAGCGGAAATTTTTTCACTTGCTCTCGTCGTCACGCTAGGTACGGTGCACAGTCAGTTAGGAAAGCCTTGTCTTACTTACACTCATCGTGATTCGTCGGATTAGAAATTCGAGTGCTGCTCATGCTTCTTTCTCCCTCCCATAGGCATTCCCCGTGCGCCGACCACTGATTTATGTTCTCCAACTCATTGCGCCACTTTGGATTTATATACAAGCATATCCCCATTAGCAGAGGTTAAACACCGTCCCCCCGGCCGTCTATGTAGGAAGCTCTGACCCTATTGGAGGCAATGAGGAGGTGTGGTAGTTGGTAGTCGAAGTAACGAAGTAATGGTCGGACGGTCTGTCTAACCGTGCGTGAACTGAGTTCTCAAGATCCTATGTAGGAACATATGCACAAGGATCAATTATATGTTCTGTAAATTTTGGTGTCTTTAGACTTCATGTGTCTTGAGGAGCAACACCGAGACAAATGCACATCACCACCATGTCCTAGAGTTCTTCTGCCAATAGAAATAGCCTGAGAGCAAGTTGATTTCGAGCTCTGTTGCCAATCTGCTGGCATTGCATATGTTATCTGTTCGAAGCAGGATTTCAGGTAGATGAGTTCTTCCTACATTGCCGTGAAGTTCTGCCAGAACAATATTCAATGCACTTCCTACAACCCCGTGAAGTTATTCCAGAACAATATTCAGCACATAAAAGCAAGTTGTCTTCCTACCTTGCCCTTCAGATTTATTCCATTCCACATCACATCCCCACAAACCATGCGTTTCTCCTCCGCCCTTGCTGTTCTTGCTGCTTTAACAGCATCAGTCTCTGCCAGCGACGCTGACAGTGGTGATTGTCCCAAATTTTGCCGCACCACAAAGTGTTGCCCTGAGCAGACATGCGTGCAGACATTTGGCCATCAGAATGGCGATCTTGTGAGTATGAGTAGTTTGCGTCCTGGATCTAACCACATAACTCACCGGCGTGGTACCTAGCCCGTCTATCAATGTTACAATCAATGAGCGGCATGTTGCGACAGTGAACTACGGCGGTGAGTCGTGTTTTTGCTTTCGCATTGGTGTGGTATGGCTGATGGCACGATGCGTGAGTAGTTTGTTGCTGAGTCGATCAACGTGCTTGCTCTGGAACAAATTTCACTGCCGTGTGAGTAATGAAGATCTTGGAATAGAGGATCATCTCAAACACTTGGATACATAGTACATGACGGAAGTACTTATCATACAATTTTGTAGTCTCGTCTTAAGCTTGAACATAGAAGCTCTCGATGACACCACCACTCCTCCCGTCATAGGCATTTTTAGTTTGCAGTGAGCCGCTGGGGTTTATTGCGACTCCATCAGATGGTGTGCAAATCGTCGTCATTGAATTTCCAAAGTTCAAGATCTAGCAATGGCACTTGTGTGAGTAGGTCATGAAAGTTGATGCGAGTTATATGGAAGGACCCGGGTCTAACAGAAGTCAGAACTGCTAGCTTTGGTGTCCTCGAGAGCATCCAGGCGTGAAAGAAGTGGTGACATATATATAGCAGAGACTTGTTTTATATCGCTCTGACACAGACTGGAGAGAGAAAATAACTCATCACCAAAAGTCCACAAATCAGACATTGCCTGATTTGGGTTGACGTTGCACTACGATGCTTCTCTGACGTGCCATGTCACGGTCATACACAAGCGCGTGTACTATGTCATTCTAATAATAACCCTACTCAATAACAGTTTATTTCACCAGTTTATTTGCTGCTCAAACGATAAGCGGTGGGAAATCAACTGACAGTGTTATTGAGTGGCAGTTTATTTGCCAGTTTATTTCATACACAAAGTTGTCGGAGTGAACTGAGAGTGATTGTGATGCCGAGCAGCCGAAGTACGATTGATGAGGAGCAAAAGTATACCAGCATCAAGTATGAGTGACTACTGGAGTGAAGACGGACAACAGAAGCTCGCACTCGAGCTTGCTTCATGGGACCACATCTCTCTTTTGCAAACCCCCGATTGTTCCGATCAGCTCTCTGCACCTGCTGAACTCAACTATGCTGTTGACCCGATAACTGGGATGTGTTGTTCTCCGCGCAAGCATCGAGATCAGCACCAACACTCACAAAACTATACCCTCCCACCAATTTCATCCCTACTCACCACCAGCACACCAGGTGGCTATCTCGAAGATCTTTATGCAAATTTTTCTCCGAGTCCTAGTCACATTGCAGATCAGCAAACCCCCCAGCATAATTTGCAAAACTTACTCCTACATCAGCACTATGGAACCCAAGTTCACGCCAGTGCCGTCTCTGGAGACACCACACCACTACCATCGAACAGTCCCACAACAACGTTACCCACAGGTCCAAGTCCAACTGAGGCTATCGTGTCTAGCATTGAGAAGCCTCCATCGAAAGCTCCCCACCGGGCACAGGCCAAAAAGCCCGAGTCGGACACCAACAAAAAGAAAACGCGCACCAAGGGTGCAGGTAGCAAGTCTGGGCCTGCGGGTCGTCGAGACCATGGTGGTTCGGACAGCAAAATCGCAAAATTGAGTCCCAAGGCAATTAAAGACTCAAAAATCAAAACTCCTGTGAAGTCAGAGAGCATACAAGGACTTACTGACGACGACAAAGTTAAAGTTGTCAAGTATGTGACGTCACCAGAGCGCTGGCCTAGTTTTAAAGTTAACCAAGCACACTACTGGAATAATGTGAGTGGCAGTTGAGTGTCTCATACATGGAGCTTACCTGTACATCAGATCTCTGGGAATTTGTTGAAGGGTCGGGTGACATCTGAACAGGTTCGTAATTTCTGACATGGTCAGGCCTGGGAGAAGTACAAAGCAGTCCGTGAAAGGGAGGAACATACTGGTGGAGGAGATGGAGACAAAGATGGGTCAGATGCCAAGTGTAAGCAATTGAGTGCTAAAAAATGGAAGAGAGGTTCTGGTGAATTCTCCACTAAGGTGTTGGACGAGTTTGCAAAGTCCAAAATTTACCAGTTAATTGATGCAGTGTGCGTACAAAATCCATACAAAGTTCAAGTGCTGATGTACAAACAGTGCTCGCAATGATGAGAGTGTCATCCGTCATCGTGAATATCATTCAGCTACCCCTCTATCTGATGAAGATGCCTCACCCATGAAAAAACGGATCAAACGCTCAGAATCCTATGATGGTGACACCTCACAACTGCTTCAGCAAGTCATCGGACGAATTGAGGAGCGAGACAAAAGGCAAGCACAGCTTGATGCCAACAATATAGAGCTTGCTCAAAAGAAGGACAAAAGGGATGAGGAGGAACGTGCTGAACATCATGAGGCTGCAGCAAGGCAAGCAGAATGTGAACGACAGGATGCATTCGACAAACAGTGGGATCGCTGCATGCTGATGGTTGGTAATACGAATCCACATGTTCGTGCATATGGAGAGAAGCTTCTTGACGAGCTGATGGGAGAAAGAAGCAACATGATGTAATGTGCCTACATACAAGAATAATCAAGGAGGTTTTTTTGATGTAGCAGGCCTGTGCAAAATAAATCATCCCCCTCTAAGTCTGGGTGTTCCTCTGCCTCTCCTTGGACTCCTGTTACATTCTCGTCTTCATCCCCATAAAATCCGTCAATGCTTGTTGGGTCATCCCCAAGACCTTCAACAATATTGTGAATGATCATCAGAGCCTCGAGAATGCAATACATATCCTGCAAATTCCGACCAGGCATACATCATAGGGTGGGAAAACGACCTTTGAGTCGACCGAATGCATGCTCAATGAAGATTCACAGAGAGGACAACTTTCAATTCCAATTTTTGCGACGGGTCACTTCGACTGGGTCATTGGTAAGGTCATGGTTGTGAAATGGTTGGATAGAGAACTTGGTGAGAGGATATCCTGCAGTAAATATTACAAATTGCACATGTAAATGACAGCTTGAAAATACCTTTGTCAACGAGGATATATTCATGGGTATTGAAATATTCGCCTCTGTTTCGCCACAGGTGCGAGTTTCTGAACAACCTGCTGTCTTGAACACAGCCTGGCCAACCAAACTTGTAGGATGTGAACATTGCATGGTGATCACACGTAGCCTGCACAATAAGCTAATGACATGGCTGGCATATTCTCGTACAAAAATAAATGAACTTACAGCATAGAATTTCTTGCGACAGTGGTAAGCAAAAGGATTCCGCAAAGGCTTGTCTTGGAGTCTGATATAGCTACCATCCCCTATGCCAATACAGCCAGGAAAACCCCACTCGTCCATTGCATCAGACAACTGCTGATGTCAGACAGGACCAGGCCATGTCAGGAATCGAGAGTGAAGGTGGTGAAATGCCATGCACACACATTCAGTGTAAAGATAAACAGTTCCTTCAGCAATCGCCACAACAGACGCTGTTTTCAGTGCATTTTCGGCACCTACACAACATAGAAATGTTGCGAGTTGATATTTTATAGGGCACTGGGGTCGACTGCCACTCGTGGATGGATAGAACATGGGATCGTCGCTGATGAGGTCGTGCAAATACCAGAAAGTCCTGCGGTCCATACTACGCAGTATGATTTAAGTCAGGAATTGAAGTATATGAAAAAAACAACTCACCGCAGCCAGACTTTGAACGTCCTGTCTGACGAGACATTAAGGAGGGTGTCAAAGAAATCCTCGGACTTCTGTTGGTCATATGGTCCTCGTCTACCGCACCTACCATTTCATCTGTCCTGTTGACGGCGGTCCAAGGCCACCAATGCAAGTGAAACAGCAATGAGCTGATCCCCAGAGTCTTTCGCCTCAGCAAGAAGCACAACTGCGAGAGTTCCCAAGAGTTTCGTAGTAGATTCTCTCTCGCTGATCTGTTGGTGCTGATGTCGACGTTGTTGTCGATGCACTGAGCTATCACGCGCCATGAGTGTTCGTTTGCAGAGTCTCTCAGCAAGTCGGTCGGCGGCTCCTATTTCACTCTCCGCAACACGAATGCACATCAAACCTTACTTGACAGTTTATTCCAGTTTATTTCATCCTGCTCACTCAAAAAAATAAACTGGCGAAATAAACTGTTATTGAGTAGGGTTAATGTCCTAAGGTGTGTGGCAACCTGACAGCGAAGTTGCTAATGGTAACCTCGGTCTGCTATGATATCATCATCATGATATGTAACTGATATTAGCTTCGCTATTCCATGTGTAGTACATCAATACAACTACATAGTTAGAGTGCACCATACCCCTCCCATTTGAGCACATCGTCGTCAAGCTCCTCATCCGAATCAGCCTCCACCTTATCTGGATCTTCCTCATCTGAATCCTCCTCTGCATGGTTGTCGTCATCCAAGTCCAAGTCTAATTCACCTTCCTGGCACATCGAGAGAGAGACGCCAAGAAAGATTCTCAAGGCATTAGGACACTACTTTTGTGCATACCTATGAAATGGGTTGGTGCAAGTGAAAAAAGATAGGAAGAGTTACATACCTTCCTCAGGTATAGTGCAAAATGAGAAACATCGAATCAAACACGACCGAGTGAGAGCCGAGGGAGGCCAAGGTCCACGAAAAGAAGGATGAGCGTGACGGTCAGACTATAAAACAGGTAAAGAGGGATGTGTCCCAGAACGGGGATGAGCAGGTGGCTTTGAGAAAGTGTAAGAGGAGGAATATGTAGCTGGAAAAAGAGCTGGGAGACATGAACTTCACGATGCATGGGAAGTCTACTGAGAAATGTTATGACTGTGCAATTGTCTGAAACACGTTAATAGAACCAAACAAAAGCTTGTAACATAACACATTGATGCATCTGTGTTTCTTCATCTTATCTATTGTCATCATGCCCCACAGACACCGATCACTGTCCATGTCCAGTAGTTCATCATCCAGTAGCGATTTTGTTGATGCCTGGGGACTCTACTTCACTACCAACAACTTCACCAATACAAACTGAAGCACCAAAATTGAAGAAATCACTGCAAAAATGCAAGAGAGAATTGTCTGATAATGATACTGACAAGAAGAAACCTAACAAGCGAACAAAGTAAGCTGAATTCACATTCTCAATGTGCATATATGAGCATCTAATCCCTCCATCTTAGGAAACGAGAGAACAGGGACTCGGACTTGACCCAACAAGTAAGTACAAATGACACCAATAAAATTTATGCACTAATAGTCAAATACAGGAGAGGAATGATGCCACAAGAACAATGTTGCACATTAGATCCCCCATGGGGTCGATATGTTTTGCAAGTTTTTCGTATTGCTCCTCTTGTCAAGCAGCGAGAAGCAGCTGAAAAGGCTGACTACATCAAGGATAAACAGAAGCAGCATGACTGTGAAGCCATCTTGAAGAATGTGTAAGTACATCGTAATTGTGTTCATTTTCATTGACAACATCATTCTAAGCTCAAAGGATGTAGAGGCTTGGACGATCCGAACCTATAAGACAATCACTGCTGCTGCACCATACCTGCTCCAACACTGCTCAATTGCAACAAGAAGAAGTGGGAAGAACTCGAGGGGCTTCTCGCTGAGGTGAGTACTATAGCTGCATATATGTGCTAGTTTATATACTGGTACCCTTTATAGATGCAAGTAATCATTGGCCAAGTCCAATTGGAGGATGCCAGTCATCTGAAACTGGTCATTGGACAGTATACAGCACCAGAACTCGATGTAAAAGGTATGGATCCTCCTATATTTGCTGATATGTGCTGATTCTTATATTTCAGGTCGCATCACATATCACATAGTATCATTCTGCATCGCATATCATTCCACATCACGCCATGGCATTTCATTCAAATTCATCACTTTCATGCATTTCGCTGTGTCTCACATCAACACTTTTGCAGTGCTTTCTGTCTCTTCATTTTCACACTTTCACAGTGCTATTGAGTCTCGTCATCCAATCGTTGTACTATCAGGCTGACTTGTTTCCACAATGCTGACGCTGTTTTACCCCACCCTGCTTTATGATACCATCAGTGCCCATAGTCGCTGTTGATGCCATGTATTATGATAGCAAATTGACATTTGTTTCACATGACATATCAGTGTGATAACTCAACAGTAGATTGAGAACTCCTTAGCATGAGATATCAGCATGATAACCGGCTAGCATCTGAGGGAGTACTGACAGTTGAGTAGTACATTAGCCAAAAAAACAAACCTAGGTATGACCAGATAAGCAGACCCTGGGGCCTGATACACCTGCGAGAACTTAGAGCCCTTCTAAGGGCTGATGCGACCTTAGCTTTCCATCGCTGAACTGGGAAATTTTGGTGATGCTGCTCAACTCAGACACCAACGAGGCCAAGACGAGACAGACATTAATGACATGACGTGACTAAAGTTGCAATAGTTGTATTCTAGCAAAGTGTGAGGCATGAGCATGTGGTAAGAATGAGGTCTTTGCCTGTTTTGAGTAAACTGTAGCACATACCTCCTTCTTTCTCTCCACCACTACTCAGTTTCTGCACTAGCACTTATTGCTTGGTATACTCTCACTATAACTTCTGTTCTGCTCACATCAGGAAAAAGGGAATTTTTCTTAACAACACTTATGGTGACTTGAAGGTAATTTTAAGTAAGATTCAGTAGAATTCTGCTAAGCATGCCATTGCTTAAAAAAAAGTAGGGTCTTCCGATGAATTAGGCAACTGCAGGGGTAAACCCCCAGGTATTGGAGGTGTTACCCCTACCCCTACCTGCTCATATACCCACACCCACCAGGGGGGTACAGGTTTGGCCACGGGTAACAGTATGAATGACCCTGGGTAAAACCCACGAGGGGTATACCCGGGGGTCAAGGTATGATTTTGATATGCAATGCAACAAACACATGTACTAGTAATGGCTAGTCTATCTCAATCCTGTCCCATCCATACTCCATTTCCTCCTCCTCTCCCTCGACATCTGGTAGGGTTGTGATTTTGTGAATATCCTTGGGCTTGATGAGATTCAGTGCACTACAGGATCCAAGGCACAGAAGTGCCCATGTGGACTGCACCAAGAGACAGGACCTAACATGGGAGAGGAGTAAGCATCCACAGCTAAATAGCTGCTCAACATCCACAGACATTGCTATGAGTCCTGTAAGCCACCTCATCATACAAAGTAACATACCATGTACCAGGGATATTCAAGTAATCAATTGCCATTTGCAACAGATGTGGGTACAATGCACGACAGGCATACCACCAAGCAATAGCATTATTGACATGTTGAATAAATTGTTGCTCTGAAATTTATTCAGTGCATAGAATAATGTAGGAAAAAAAGAAACATACCTCCTTCTCATTTGCCAGCAAATGTTTTTCTATCAACTCCAAGTCTGAGTCATTGTCAGTTGATAAGTACAAATTCTGGAATTCATCATGAACGAGCAACTCTGCCATTTGGATCCATTGGTCTTCCCAGGATGAAACCTTGAAGTAGGATAGCTTATGGTGTGGATGTAAAACTTAATGTAGAAAGATGTTAACTACAAAACTCCAGTAAAAAGCTATAAAATACATACCCATAGCGATGTGATAAACTTCTGAACTATCTGTAAGTTTGTAGTAATGGTTGAGAGTCTTCTTTGCAAGTCAAACAGCTGCACAAATTGACACAGTATATTTCTTGTTGTGCAAGTATGATGTGAGCTCCTGGTCAATATGATCCATGGCAGGGATCATGGTAGCAAGGTTCAGGGTCACATGAGAGAAGTACAAAGTTGCATCTTTCAGAATCTAGTAAAAGAACATGTGGTCAGCACACTTTGCTGTCATGGTATGACAAATATGCACCTTCAATACATCCTGCAACTGTTTGACTATTTCCCACTCATGGTCAGTTAACTCATACTTATACAGGCCCAGATCCTGACATTGTGTAACATTGTTGACAGCTTTCCTATGGTCAAGTGCATAGTTCAGCATATCAAAGGTAGAATGCCAGCGAGTGGCCACATCACATGGCATCAGTGTCACAGACTTGTGCAAATCTTGGAGAATCTGACACCATGCAGGGAGTACAATAGTTGTTGAGTGGATGATCTTGTATGCCAGCTTTCGCAACTAGAACACAGATTGAGTATTCAGGTAAGTGGTTTTTTTTGACCTACCTTCACAAGCGCTAACTTCACAGGTCAAATATCTCTTTCTAGCACATTCCATTCATTCATTTCCAACAGCTCCACCTCATCCACCTACCCTTCATCATTATCGGCCACATCAGCGGCATGCTGATTGACTCCCTCCTCATCCTCTGCTTTGTCCAATTCATCTTCATCTGTGTCTTCTTTGTCATCCATGTTCCTGTCTGCTTCAGCAAGCACTTGATCAGCATCACATTTCTTTACATCAAATTTGCAAATCAAGGACTTGGCTACAAGATTGACCATATGGAGAAAACAACAGGTATGTGTTGTTGCTCCTCCAAATGCCAGGACCTTATCACTCAGTTCCTGAACCATAACATCATTGTTTGATGCATTGTCACAGGTTATGCACAAGATCTGCATGCCCTCACATTAGTGCTGAGTAAGTCCAATGATTTGTTCTTGTTCATTACCTGCTCTGATATCCCAAACTCCTTTAGCATCTTTTCAAATGTCTGTGCAAGCTCCTCGCCTGTGTGAGACTGTGACCACATCAGCTGATATCCTGCTATCTCAGTAAGTAGCCACCTTTTCAACTTCAATTATGTCTAATAGTAAGCTTAGGGGCTCTCCATTATGCTCCAAATGTGCCAAAAAGGCAATGAAGGCATGATGGTTGGGCAATGACCATCTGTTAGTGGTAAAACTGATTCTCCCCTCATACTCCTGGTAAGTTTGGTCAACTTTCATATATTCCATATGAATATAAACTCACCTGCAGCAATTTAGCAACATGTTGGCGAGTCCATGTGAATGCAAGCCGAACATCGTGTAAAACAGTGGATGGAGAAGGTAAGTAATACTCTGGTCTGCCCATCTTCATCAAAGACTGAAATCCTCAATCTTTGATGATATTGAATGGATGCAGACTCTCAGACACCCAGCGCACTATTTCAGACCTGCAGCAACATGGCTTAGACTTCTGCAAAATTTTCAACAGCTTCATACCTTGTTTCTGCACGTGTGTGTTGGCAATGTGAGTAAGTGATTTTTCCTCGGCCTGTCTGTGCAAATGACACAGTGATTGACCTGTTGTGGGGAATGTCCCCACTGTAGGCCCATATCCCATATAATTCCCATGCCCTCCCACCATTTTCCCGTGCATTCTGCTACCCATCCGCATCTTCCCCGAGCTGTCCACTACACAGAACCAAGCGGAACCCAGCGGAACCCAGCGGAACAATCACGTACCACATGCATTATATTCCTTTAGCCTTCGGAACATCCTCCTCCATCCTGTCCATGTCCTTCCATCCTCGCTGGTGAGTACTAGCTATGTTCCCCATGTTACTAACATGTTCCTATCTCATTCCCTATGTGTTATGGTACTTATGCAGATCCTTCCACTACTCAGGACCGATTCCTTATCTCACAGCCTCACCCAGTTGTAGCATAGCGCATTTCGGAACCCCTTCCTATATAGGTAGCAATAGATGGGATCTTAGTTTTTACCTTCTGATAGACTCGACTCCACTTCCACTTACAGAGTACTTCCCAGTACTCCACTCACTGTCTAAAATATCTTCCTGAATCTATTCCTGATCACATTGCATTGTTCCCGCCCCCATGAGTTCCGCTCGAAATGCCCGACATCGGATCCGACGACTTGGAGCAAGTACCAGACACAAGCCTGGTCCGACTTGCCCAATCATCCTCCTGCAGGCTTGTAGTTTCTTTTCCCTCTGTTTGTTCCCCATTAGTTCCATTTGTTCCCCGTTTGTTCTGTTTGTTCCGCGTTAGTTCCATTAGTTCCATTCATCACGCATTAGTTCCACTCATCGCGCGCTGAGTTCTGCTCATCGGGAACCCTCTGCATCTTTGTGTTCCCAGTCCTAGTAAGGACCGGAACCCTTCGGGTCGCTAGACAAAGTCTAGTCTTTGTTTCCTCGCACTTATTTGAGGACTCGCTACCCAGTAGCAATCCCCTCGGGATGAGTATAAGCCTCGCACCCTTGTTAGACTTCTGATCCACACAGAGTCTATTTTCCTCACCCACACCATCTCATAGAACACTACCAACAATCTTGCACCAAACCTCATTAGCATCTTTGGCCTCGTCTGCAGCTCACAACACAGCAGCCCCCCAACACAAACACATGTGCTTGTGCATGTTGCCAGTTGAGTGTGCATCTCCTTTGTCAAGGAAACATCTGACATTTGTCTTGCAGCCTTTTGCCTGGCACTTAAACTCATGTGCATGGTGTCCATTGATTGTAACAATCTTTGGTGTTGGATCAAAAAATGCATAAACAGGTGAGTTCCAATCCTTCATCATCCATTCTATTGATTCATTAAAATCATATTAATTCATTGTGTGCTGAACATACTCAGCTGGTCTTCAGAAGTATCTTCTTTGCTCTCTTACTTGCTATCACTGCTTTGTGATCCATTCTCACTGTCTTTGTGATCTAAGTCAACCTCATCAGCATATAATGTGGCTTCTTCTTCCATGGTACAGACTACAGCACGACAACTCATTGCTGCTGGTGGGGTTGGTGATTTTGAGGTTTTTGTTGATGATGTCACAGAACCTTTGTTGGCCACTGTGAGATTGCTGGTGGGAGCATTCCCAGCTGCTGGGTGAGTTTTTGCCTTCTTTAGTTGTATGGTCATGTAATCTCCATCCACATCAGGCTTCCGCTTCTTTGATGTGCCTATTGCCTTCTCTTTGAGGGCTGCTTTGGCTTTGGCTGTCATTTTGGTGACCTGTTTTGCTGTACCTGAGAAGATATTGAGTTGCATAGTGGCTGCTGAATTTTTACTGGTCACAGAGGGCTGGATTGGTGTAGTTCAATAAAATGCTTTACAGTTTGATACATTTGACAGCTGTACAGTACCCTCTTTATGTAGTCACATCATTATATAGTCACATGTCTTTTTTTTTAAAAAAATCAAAACCCAGGATTGGGGTGTGGGTAGGGGTGTGGGTACCACAAACCTGGACCCCTACCCCTACCTGGGTGGCACCCCTACCTGTGACCCATGCGTGTTACCCCATACCCCTGCAGAACCCTATGATGAATGTGACTTATTGTTACACTTGTCAGTGACTTCAAGTGTGACTCATCATGCCAGATTCTCTCAAGATGCATTGTAAGCTAAGTCAAAATGAGGAGACCAGTAGTAGAGGGATTCAGCTCTAAGGAGCCTGTGACACAGGTTCAAGTATACTAGTATATTGTATCTTCAAGGCTCCCAAGGTTACAAAGTCAATAGTAAGTGTAGAATTCAGACAATCAAGCGGTGAGAACCTTGTATATTCATACCATGCCACCAAGACATCCAAGTATGATATCTTTAAGGCTCCCAAGTTCCATACAGTTGATAGGTAAGTGAATAATTCAAGCACTCACAAAACCGTTCAAGTTGGATGTATATTAACATTGTGATCAAGACAAAGTGGTCAGGGAAAGCATCAATTCAAGTGGTGACTAAGACAAAATGCAAATTAAGATGGTCAAGCGAAGGAAATAAGTGTGATCATAAGATCTGCCAGAGTTGAATCAGGTCAGTAAGTGTGAACCCAGTGCTAGCATGTGAACCACTGGCAGAAGATGGCAAGAACAAATATCACTTGGCACTACTACAGCAGCTAGTAGTAGCAGTGACAGCTGTAGTATAAGATGACTACCACTAGCATTAGCAGGTGATGGTGAGGGAAGTGGGACAACTTGGACACTGGTCACCATGATCAGCACCTTGAAAAACTGAACAAGTCAAGTGTCGCACATGATACTGTAAGATGGTGGCAGATTGAACATCAGTGATCAGATAAAAATGATGATTAAACACTCACTGTCCTTGGCAGACTCTAAGTCCCATGCATCATTCCACCTCCAAGTCCACATCAGAGCCATTACTATGATCTTCAGACCCAGACTCAGACTCCAATATGTCCATGAGCTGAGCGTGCTTGTCCAGATCTTCATCATTGACCACACCATCATTGATGGCTCTATCATTGCCGGAATGATGGCTCTTCTTGGAAAATTCCTTTGTGGAAATGATGATGGTTTGGAACTTCTCATCTCAGAAGTTTTTCACAATTGACTTCACATATGAGTGTGTGGAAGAACCCCAGGTGATGTCATTGAATCCTGTTTGCTGATTGGAAACTTTAGCGGTTGAGTGATTGAGTGTCTTCAGCAATGGTATAGATTTACCCTTGGCAGTGAGAACCATTGTGATGGTTATAGTATGAGAAGCAACAAGCATCAATGCTTGCTTAACCTAGCAATGAGTGATCAGTGAGGTGTGATTAGAAAATAAAATAAAAATATATTACCACAGCACACAACAGCACTAGACCCCCAGCAGGATTCAAGCTGTCTCCTGGCTTGTCTAGTTCATGTACCTTGTGAGCACCATTGATGGCAGTGAAGTTGGCACAAAATGTTTGCACCATGAAGGCACCTTGATAAAGGTTGTGGAACTTCTGCATTGCATGTGAGTACCAGTGGCAGAGACAATAATAGAGGCAACAAATAGAGATAGTGAGAAGCATGTACAGATTTATCATCACCATTGGCCTTCTTGTACAAGAACCAAAGCTTGTCCAGCATGTAAGTAGTGAATTCAACACAATTATCATCCGAGTCCTTGAGTGTGTCCTGGGACTTAAGGTATGCAATGATGATTGCAATAGCTGCTGAGCCAATGAAGCTTCAATAGGAGTCAGCAACATGCTGAACAGTCTATAGTACCAGGTTGAAGTTAGTATTGCCATTGACACATATGAACACACTTACTATGATATACACGGTACTTGTGCTCATGACTTTGCATGAGATACTGGGGAAAATTGTGTCCCAGATCACCAGGGTATCTCAGCTCAATCCTTGCCCAAGCCCTGCAGGCTTTGCCAAAACACATGGTCTCTTATGAAGCATAGCTACTCACTTGTTTATCTTACACACTCACTTGTCTTACTTGCTCGTTAATCAATGGATTTTAATTTCCAAATGTGACTGTTGGGTTTTGTTTGCGACTACACTATGACTTAAGAGCATAGATGCAGTCCTGAACCACCTGAACTGGTCCTGAGACCTGAAGCTTAACATATTAGCAAGGCAACACACCCAATCACCCCTATTGATCACAGCTTGTTTGTGCAGTTTGAGTCATGAATTTAGATGTGACTCACAGATCATATTGTAACCCTTCCAAGACCAGTAAGGTTCATTGTTTGAAGGGCAGTGTGAGACCAATATCTTGCTCATAAGCTGGGAATGCCAAAACCTTGGATGGCCTAACAAGACCATACATGACCTTGTGAATATTGGAAGGCCTTGTTAGGTACCGTGCCAGCTCAGGAAGCAGAGGGGTTGGGGCTTGGCTTCAGCTCTTGCGCTGTGCCCTTAGCCGAGTACATGCCCTGAATTTGGAGCGGGTCTGATGTTGTCCAACAATAGGATGAGTTGACCGCTTAGGTCCGCTTTGAGGGTTGGGAGGTAAGAGCTACTAGCGGCGGGCTGACTAGGAGCAGAGCGGAGAAGGCGGGGAGTGATGTGGAGGGTGGATAGGAGCAGGGGGAATGATTGGTAGGAGCGGGGAAGGCGGAGTATAATGCAGAGGATGGGAAAAGGGACAAGGGGAATATCAATAGGGGCGGAGAAATAAGGGGAACACTTAGAGCACAGCTCTAAGTTGGAGCAGAGGGTCAGAGGGTCAGAGGTGACAACAAGTTGAGACTTGTGTCCAGAGGAGGCAAGGTCCTACTGAGAATTCTCACAAGAGGTAACTGCAAGAAGACAAGTAATATTAAGACTGGGGAAAATATCTAAGTACATGATATGTTATATACTTCTATGTATGAGGCAGTGATCAGGATAACTATGTTGTAAAGCTATGTACTAAGGATATAATTTGTAAGTACTTACACAGGTGAAGACATATGTTGGAGCGGATATCAATATGTACGTGTCGGATCAGTGATCGAGCGGTAATAGGAATTACCAGTGATCTGGAAGTAAGGGTCTATGTACCAAAGGGGAAAGTATATATCTAAAAGGGGAAAGAGGTCCAGTTGAATGGAGATGTTATGGAAGGGGACCGGTTGAGTGGTCGGGTGGAAGTGTAGAAGTGGAATGCGGACTGTGATTGGACGGAGCGGAGGATGGATGGAGCAGAGGTGGTCGGAAAGCAGAGCAGATATCAATATCGGAGCAGTCGGATCAGGTATATGACAGGTCTATGATGCCTTGCAAGGAAATAGCCCTGTCTTGGATGGCCTTTCAAGGGTGTGCAAGGCAGGTTGATCATGTGAGGCTGCTAAGGCTTGTAATGGAATACTAGGTCTTACTAGATCACTTAAGACTTGTGTACATCAGAAGGCCCTGAGAGGCATTGGATTAGCATAACACTGGTAGCTAAAATACATAAGTTGCACAAAGTCCATATGGCAAAGTCCAAAGCAGGTATTAAATCTATGTTAGCAGAAGCAGTAATGCAAGAAACAGAGAATGAAAGTGCAATGAGAGAGATGCAGTCCTAATAACCATTAGCCCTCTTTCATACAGAGGTTCTTTGAGGAGCGTCAAGATCAGTGATTTTCTTCTTCCCTCTCTTCTTTGAGGGAATGGGAGCTGTTGGAGCTTGCAGGGAGAAGTTGTTGTCATTGTCAGTCAGATCTGACAGTGGGGGTGAGGGGCATCAAGGCAGAGACACTGGCCAAGACTGCTAATTGTAACATCAATATAGTGGGAAAAAAAAATAATCCTGGCTGCATACCTAAATCACATTCAACGACTGCTTGGTCACATGCACACTTAGTGAATCCTTGTGCTCATTGTGAGCAGCAGGGCATTAAGGTTTTGGCTTGGGTTTTGGTTTAGGATGTGGAGGCTGATCCTTGTCATCATAGTGGATGGAGGCACTTGCAGGATGCTGAGGCTCACTTAGCCGAGGTCAGTGTTCCTCTCCATTAAAACCTGTAGCTCCATGGGCAGGTTGCATTGAAGTTGGAGCCTCATCATGATCAGAGGTGGAGTACCAAGGTTTATTGAACTTTGGAGGCAATGGTTCATGGGGATCAGATTGAGGCTGTTTGGGTTGCACTGCTATTTCTAGTTCATCATCATCGAGAGAGATAGGGCACTTGGATTTGATCTTATAAGGGGGTGGGGTATGGTCCTCACTATCAAACTGTGAGTGATACTGATGGTACTTTGACTTTGGAAGTGATACCGGTGGGTCTTCATTGTTGTCTGAAATAACCTGAGTGTGACACTGGTGCAGGGACCATGGCTTCACAGGTTGCTCTCACCTTTCCAGTTGAGGGTGGGTTGACTGTGTTCATGGTGTGCTGCAACCTCATCATCATCATAAACTAAGGTGTGACACTGCTGAGCATTGGAATTTGGGTGAGATGGCAAGTCAAGGTCGTCACCCACTCACCAAAGTCATTTGGGTGCATGTGTTATATTGTCTTCGTCATCATACTCCACATGGTGAGCTTGTTACAGCTGTGCTTATCTTACTTCTTTTTCCCTTGATCCACGCTTTCTACGCATGTCTCTTATCATGCTATATTTAGTTTGGTATTACTCAGACGCCTCATTGCTTACGCATGTGCTTACTGATACATACCTATTATTATGTCATACCCTGTACCCTGTATACTATATAAACCCTGGCTAGATGATGCTGATTCTTCAGCTTAACCTACGCTGGTTTTCCTCTGAAACATCTGACTTGATTCTAAGTTACCTCTTCAATACTTAGCCTTGACTTGACTTTGGACGTTCTTAAGACTGTTGTCTTGAACGTATCGACAGACCTTTGGTCTTATTGATTATTGTTTGCCTGCGTTATACTTCAGCATAACAGAGCTTGCTTACTGGTTGAGGGCTCTTGAGACCCATTAGAGTTGACCAGACATGACAGCACTGGGAAATAAATATCAGTACCAGCATTGCATATACATCTATCACACATCAGGAAAATAGTGGATCTCTTATTTGCACTTAATGACCTTATTATACCCTTTTCCTGTATTTGGATTAGAAAAGCAGATTCAAGTTGTTTGCAAAAAAGTTGGAGGAATTTTAGTAAGAGATATTCAGGTGGGTAAGGTGAAAAAGTCAGGAAAAGAGATGGTATTGCGCACTAAGTCTAATCATACTAAGAAATTGAATGAAAGTCAAATAAAGTAATGTTTAAGTTAGAAAGCAATCTCAAAGGCATTAGTGATGTTCTAGCCCAGCTTCATGCCCCAAGCCAGCCGAAGCCGAGCCTAAATAAGCCAAACCAAGCCCAGGCCCAAGTCACAGCCTGCCCAAGGCTTGGGCCTGGGCTTCAATTTTGGAAAGCCTAAGCCAGCAGCTCAAGCCACAGCTTGTAGCATCATTGATTTTTTTATTGATAATATTTATAACTAATTGATCATATGCTCCTTACTTCTCTGCTAATATTTGTGTATGCCTACACTCCACCTCTGCATTTGTCTGCATATTTTTACTTGTTTCTGCATGTCACTACTCACTTTTGCTTGTCTGTACTTGTTTCTGCACACCACCGCTCATTTGTGTGTGCCTGCATTGTTTGCAACATATAGGTGCATTTTATATATCTATGTATGTATGTACTTGCTTGTGTCTGCATGCTCACTTGTTCACATCACCATTGCAGAAAATTCAGCATGTGGGCCACAGGTTGCTTGGGCCCAAGCCCCGGCTTTGGGCCAGCTTGGGCTCATGGCTCAGGCTTGAATTCTGGTGAGTCTAAGCCCCTCCAGGCCAAGCCTAAGCCAGGGCTTTGAGCCCAAGCTGGGGTCTCTTCATCAGTCCAGTGAGTAGTAGTTGAGCCTGCGCTAGTACCAGTGTTCGCAGATGCTGTACTCTTCTGTTTCGCCATGACTTGGCAGTATGGACTCGGACACTGATTGAGTCACACGTGAGTCACAACTTGTCACTCGTTGCCACCCCACAATAGAAATACACTGTGAAATGAACTGCGAAATAAACTGAGAAATAAATGTAGCTGTCCAGGCTCTTAGGTTTATAAAACATATTGGAACACATAAGTTTGGATCAGGCAGTGAATTAAGAAAAACAATTGAAAAAAAGGCCACTCATTTTTGAAAAGAAGTGAAAACTATCGAAAAGTCCAAAAAATTCTGATTACAGCTCTTTGCATAAAGGATGGCAGTGGCGTGAAATTTTCGTTCAATTAGGAAGTGTTTAGACTTAGTGAAATTTGCTTGTGTAGCCTAAGGATGCATTGTATCAACATTGTATTACCATTAGTATCATCTTCACAACATGGGATTTCACAGGATCAGTCACAATGTCAAACTCGCAGCAATCTGACTCCATGAACGGATCCTTCTAAGCCTTTGCAACATCCTTGATTGCTGTGGATTCTCCGAACGCACTTGGTTTCGGATCTTGAGGCTCTCAGGCTGACGTTGTCATGAACTGTCAGCCTAGCACAACAATGCGCGGTCGTCTGCATGCTTTCGATCATGAAGATATTGATTGCCTACTTCGTCTCGTGAGGCAGAATCCTGATTATTTTTGGACCAGCTCATGCACCTCCTTGCGACAAACCAATTCATATCCGTCCATTTCGCGAGCTCGAACGTGCTGATGTGAGCTAAAAGAAACTCAATTGCATTGCCAATGAACGCAACGAGACTCTCCGTGCCGAGTTCATCGCATGCATCATGGGCTCAGTCTGTTCGTGATCTTCCGAGTCCCCTTCCTCCGAAAGTTCTTTGATTCGAGTATTGTCCTCATCGGAGCCATTGGAAAAAAGGTTACTGTCGTGCTCTAGCAGGCTCTTGTGTTTTTTGGAGTCATGAATAGTTATAAACGGCGATGATAATGATTTACCGGGGATGTGAGTGTACGACGAGCAAAATTTCACTAAGTCTAACATTTCCTAATTGAACAAAAATTTCACGCCACTGCCATCCTTTATGCAAAGAGCTGTAAGTAAAGTTGAGGTTTTACTGATGGCCTTGCGCATTGATTTTTCCCTTGAGGCTTGTGTCTGGGCTAGCTAGTACATTAACACGCTACTGTATTTGTAGTCTCCCAATCCCATCGGCGCTCCCGAGGTTCCCAACCTTGTCAAGGAGTTGTTTTTGGCTATAACTCTTTGCACTCGCGCTTTCTGAGTCACGCAGAGCCTATTTGCGCACGTTATCAGTCGAATGGCTGAGCAGTTTTCTCCGGCAGATATCTGCCACAGGGCCTGTCCCTTTGTCTCCATGAAATGCACTACAGGTGTCACCTCGGCTTCCTGTGCCGATGGATCTCTGTGAAATGATCGACCGAGGTCTCCGACCTCTATCTGACGTGGACTGAGGGGAAATTTTTTCACTCGCTCTCGTCGTCACGCTAGGTACGGTGCACAGTCAGTTAGGAAAGCCTTGTCTTACTTACACTCATCGTGATTCGTCGGATTAGAAATTCGAGTGCCGCTCGTGCTTCTTTCTCCATCCCGTAGGCCTTCCCCGTGCACCGACCACTGATTTGTGTTCTCCAACTCATCGCGCCGCTTTGGATTTATATACAAGCGTATCCCCATTAGCAGAGGTTAAACACCGTCCTCCCGGCTGTCTATGTCGGAAGCTCTGACCCTATCGGAGTCAATGAGGAGGTGTGGTAGTTGATAGTCGAAGTAACGAAGTAACGGTCGGACGGTCTGTCTAACCGTGCGTGAACTGAGTTCTCAAGATCCTATGTAGGAACATGTGAACAAGGATCAATTATATGTTCTGTAAATTTTGGTGTCTTGAGGAGCAACACCGAGACAAACGCACATCACCACCATGTCCTAGAGTTCTTCTGCCAATAGAAATAGGCTGAGAGCAAGTCGATTTCGAGCTCTGTTGCCAATCTGCTGGCATTGCAGATGTTATCTGTTCGAAGCGGGATTTCAGGTAGATGAGTTCTTCCTACATCGCCGTGAAGTTCTGCCAGAACAATATTCAACGCACTTCCTACAACCCGCGAAGTTATTCCAGAACAATATTCAACACATAAAAGCAAGTCGTCTTCCTACCTTGCCCTTCAGATTTATTCCATTCCACATCACATCCTCACAAACCATGCGTTTCTCCTCCGCCCTTGCTGTTCTTGCTGCTTTAACAGCATCAGTCTCTGCCAGCGACGCTGACAGTGGTGATTGTCCCAAATTTTGCCGCACCACAAAGTGTTGCCCTGGGCAGACATGCGTGCAGACATTTGGCCATCAGAATGGCGATCTTGTGAGTATGAGTAGTTTGCGTCCTGGATCTAACCACATAACTCACCGGCGTGGTACTTAGCCCGTCTATCAATGTTACACTTACAAGCAATGAGCGGCTTGTTGCGACAGTGAACTACGGTGAGTCGTGTTTTTGCTTTCGCATTGGTGTGGTATGGCTGATGGCACGACGCGTGAGTAGTTTGTTGCTGAGTCGATCAACGTGCTTGCTCTCGAACAAATTTCACTGCCGCGCGAGCAATGAAGATCTTGGAATAGAGGATCATCTCAAACACTTGGATACATAGTACATGACGGAAGTACTTATGATGCAATTTTCTAGTCTCGTTGTAAGCTTGAACATAGAAGCCCTCGATGACACCACAACTCCTCCCGTCATAGACGTCATTTAGTGGGCCTCATGGATACGTTTTTGGTCTGCAGTAAGCCGCTGGGGTTTATCGCGACTCCATTAGATGGTGTGCAAATCGTCGTCATCGAATTTCGAAAGGTCAAGATCCAGAAACGGGACTTGTGTGAGTAAGTCATGAAAGTCGATGCGAGTTATACGGAAGGACCCAGATCCAACAGAAGTCAGAACTGTTAGCTTCGGTGTCCTCGAGAACGTCCAGGCGTGAAAGAAGTGGTTACATATATATAGCAGAGACTTACTCTGTATCGCTCTGAGACAGACTGGAGAAAGAAAACCACTGTTCAACTCAAACACCGACGAGGCCAAGACGAGACAGGCGTTAATGACGTGACGTGACTAAAGTTGCCATGGTGCGGTCCTGAAGCTTAACATCTTAGCGAGGCAACACATCCAATCGCCCCTGTTGATCGCAGCTTGTTTGCGCGGTTTGAGTCATGAATTTAGATGTGACTCACAGATCATATCGTAACCCTTCCAAGACCGGTAAGGTTCATTGTTTGAAGGGCGGTATGAGACCAATATCTTGCTCATAAGCTGGGAATTAGATTGCTCGCCCTGAATAGGGAGATCTACCCGATCGCAAGGCGTGAAGTTGAACGGCATTGAATGGGTCGATGATAATAAGAATTCTCAAGAGTCGTATGGTGCAGCGGATATCGGAATGACAAGAATGAACGACGATAGACTTTTTGTATGTCGCTATATGCGCGCTACTATGCAGTGAAGAATCTGAAGATGAAGGTGGAACTGATTCCACATGATAGCGAATTGATCACGATGCGGTTCATGTAAACAGATCTTGTGTCCAACAGAGAAACTAGTGTTTTGGATCAGCAATGACCGAGAACATTCATAGAAGACACTGAACGACGTACGTGTATTAATATTGTGATTTTATGGGACCCCAGAATATCATCCAGCACCATCTGAAACAATGAGCGAGACAGAATGAGCGAAGAAGTTGATATCTCATGCTGCTGCAACCGCCGCCGCCAATGGCTCAGTTATAGTAAGCTTCTCAAGAGCATCCTCGAACTGGTCGGCGTCGCTGTCGTCATCTTCCTCCTCGTCTTCTTCACTTTCCTCCGACGCAGACCCCTCGTCATCCGGAGCCTCATCTTCAAAATCAAGCTGGTGCTCCTGTTAGTACATCTCGCCGAAGAGAATCAGCACAACCTACTGGATCATAGACCACTCTAATTATTAGGCTGCAGCTTGGACACGTCGCGATGTCCTCGCAGTTGGCAAGCTGCTTGCGAGAGATCTCGAAGCGGTCGCCGCAGGGACAAGGGTAATGATAGACGCCCTTTACCTCATCCCATACCATATCTTCAATTTCGATCTCGTCGTAGTAAGCCCCCATAATGTGAAGTCGTTGCTTGATAGCCAGTGACCAGTCGAATGACGGCTCTAGGCTCTGACTCGGAGAAGATGGCATCCGTAAGCCACGACCCACGTGACATGTTTTAGAGGTCGAGTTTGTCTTGGTCTGCCCGAATATCACGTCCCGTTTAGCTCAGTTGGTAGAGCGCGTCACTAGTAATGACGAGGTCAGTCGTTCAAGTCGGCTAATGGGAATATATTTTACTTGCGCACTTGCGTTATATACTATATAATATTTTTAGCGGTGGATCAGATTGCGGGTATAAACCTATGCAACGTCGATGATGTAAATTTGGTATCGATTGCTAAATCTGCTGATAGTAGCGCTCGGCGGTTATCGCTGTGATCATCGACTGCATGATAGAGTCCTTGTGACCCCCTAACTAACCTGACACCACGACACCTCCCGCTGTAGGCGCTGTTGAGCGGGCCTCATGGATTCGTTTTTGGTCTTCAGTGAGTCGCTGGGGTTTATAGTGACCCCATTAGATGGTGTGGAAAGTAGTCGTCGTCGAATTGCGAAAGCTCAAGATCCAGAATTGGCACCTGCGGGAGTAGGTTATGAAAGTCAATTACTATAGGGGAGGACTCAGAACTGCTAGCTTCAATGTCTTCGAGAGTATCCAGGCGTGAAAGAAGTGGCTACATATATATAGCAAAGACTTATTTTTTTTTCGCTCTGAGATAAAATGACTGCTCGACTCGGACACCGACGACTCACAAGGCAAACGTTAAGAATGTCTGGATACACTGAACGAGTAGAACGACCATCAAGTCATTCATAGACGCTGTCGTAGATCATTGGTCAGGTTTGCAATCCCATTCGCAGGAGTGAAGCAGCGAGACGTGGGCGGGCAGTGGATGATGACATTGTGTTTCCACCGCGCTGAGATTAATACGAGCTACAGGTTGGTTCAAGGATGGTGGGCGTACGACTGATCGCTCATGTTTTGGAGTACGACTGACATGGCGGCCTGTAGGGATGATTGATTGATTTTTGGCGGGGTAGTTAGAGCTCTTCAACCGGTATTATTATGTAACACACCAACACGCGCACTTTCAAGTTTCAACTTTGATCGTCCTAGCCTGATCACATAGGCCGGCCATTTTTATCAGTCTTTGAACTCGCAATTTGATAAGTTCAGAGATTTGTAGAAATGGCTGACCTTCTGTCAAAATACTGATCAGAGGTAGCTTTCTTTATGCCAGCCATTACTGTGTGTTTTGACAGTTCTGCCAATATAAGCTATCAAAGCATGTAGAAACGGCTGGCCTTATTCATAATTGGTTCACTCCAAGCCACCCACTTGCAGGCCATCGCTTCAGCGCTTCACTCTCATCACAAAGGCTAGCCATTTCTCCCGCTAGGTGTGACAGCTGTCGGGACACCTAGAAATGGCTGACCTCATCTTTCAACTTTGTTCACGATTGGTTCACTCCAGGCCACCAACTTGCAGGAAACCTTGTGAACCTATCAAAGCTTAATTATAAGGACCTGGAGGCTGCGGAAATTCTCTCTCTGTGTCTCTCTTCCGTCTCGCTGTCCGTCTCTGGCACATAATATGTCTCGCCATCCATATTGCCACACACGCACTGCGGATACTCTCATCGCACGATTCGACGCACAATCTTGCTGATATGCATATCTACTATCAAGCAGAGTCGTCGGCATAAACAGGAAATCAGTAAAGTCGAAGAGGAGGTCGGTAAGGTCAAAAGGAAGACCAGTCAGCTTGCAGAGAGGATCAGTGAGCTCTACGAGAAGGTGGGCAGCCTGAGGGTAAGTTCCCACATCATCTCTGTCGTGAATCTTACTGATGTACGACCTGCCCCTATTATCAAGGAGTTAGAGGAACGTGAGAGGCTCAGAGAAAGCAATAGGGAAATTTACAAGCAAGTCCTGCAGGTACGTGTCACCACTACTAGTATCTTAGTCATTGTAATAAACATTGTTGCAGAATGAGAAAGCTATCGCATATCTTCAACGTCGTGCGGTTCTCGATGATGCCCAGGAGCAACAGCTACCAACAGACACTGAACGTTTAACTTTATACTAAATTTGCCTTGGTCACATACTTCAAACACGTACACTTCCCTGGTCCGATCCACGCATATATAAATCACACCTTCACCTCTTCTTGTGCCCGCACGAAGTCCCGCACCTGTTCTTCGAATCACACTTTCTCCTTGCACGACAAGTGTTGTCCCCCATGCACATGAAGCACCGTAATTCGAGCCGGGGCGCGTATCCTGCTAGTATGTCGAAGTGGGACTTGTCGGATGCGTCAAGGATTCCAAGGTTCCTGAGTCGTGGAAGATGCGGGACGAGGATCTGCACGTCAGTGCCATGGTGTGAGGGAACGGTAAGCCTCCTGCCAGCACCTGGTGCTCGGGTTCAGGATTTATCATTATATTATCCTCGACGATGTTATCCAGTACAGCCTTGAGGATGCTGCACACTGTCTCTGTCGGAAATGAATGAAAGTAACACCATGGCATTTTTCTTTTTCGCCCCATTAATCACTGGTGACTGTAAAATCCTAGTGATAAATAATCAGAATCGCTGGTCAGGAACATCAGACTGAATCAACACGTATTCGATATCGTTTCAAAGCAAGAGAGTTTAGGGGTAGCAGCGCGTACATAGAGCCATTCAAAATACTTGAATCCTCTAGAATCATCCTAGACGATCGCTTACGTTGGTGAGGCAGCGCTCGAGTAAGTACTGTGAAGTCGCGTCTGGGAGTTGAGAGCTGCACTGGGCGGAAAATGTAATGCCGAAGACCTGATCGAGTTGCAACATTACTGAAGACCAGCAGGATATCGTATAATTGGACTCTCATTGCCGCAGTATGCCATTTCAAGATGAACAGTGCTGAGCGCAATGTTGGAGTTGAGCCAAGGCCCAAATTCACAGCCAAATACAGAATGCATCGTGAACTGAACTCAACGCCGCTCGCTGTGGCCATTCAATAAGTTATTTAACATGATTGGATATCACGAGAGCGCCTGCGAAACGTCGTTTGTTAACTGCAACTGGAAACGCCATGTATGCACCGGGACATGGTCGATCAAGACTCACCATTACCCACATACGAACGAGTTGGAGAAAAGCAACGCGGATATCGAACACATATATAACAGTCTCCTTATGGGTGGCTTTCTAATACTTCGAGTCGAGAACTGTGCCTTTTCTTCGATCTGCCATCTGACAACATCAACCGCATGATAATATACATCATGCTACCAACCAGCGCAATGACCTGTGAATCAGTGAGTTGGGGTCGACCTCGATGGAAAAACAAATGGCAGAACACACCCCAGAGAACAGTGAGGGTATCCACCAGGTATAATTCGATGTCAGCAGAGCGCCGGATATGGGGGTTCCTAGATAAAGATTTATAATTTGAAGCAGGCAACATGTCATAATTGCGCCTACCAATCAAAGTTCCAAATCCTGCACAGTGAGCGCGTGTGAGACTGTGAGAACAGAGGTAATTATAATCTGACAATACCCACCACTCATGAAGAAACAGATGCCCATCCGCGCGCTATGACACAGATCAGATGGGTAGTTCATCCAAATTTAAACCATTACTCACCCAAGCTCAGAGAGGTCGGGCGTTAAATTAGCCATAAGTGGAACCCATACTCCGATATCTGCATCATAATTTATCAACCCATCTTCAGCTTTCCACTTCAGTGGAAAGAAAACTACTTACATAACCCCGCAAAATAGCCATAAAGTACGCCAAGCACAACGACGTCGGCCAGGTTACGCAATCCAATCAAACCCAAGTTGAGCACACCGCACGAAATCGTCGCAACTATGGTTAAGTTTGGGACTCCCGTGTACGCTGCGATAAACCCTGACGTGACTCGTCCTGCACAATTGGACACATTTAAAATCACTAGCTGGTGATCCTGTCAGTAGACGAATCACTTGCATAACGCTGGATCCCACAGAGTAAAACGAGAAGGTGACGCTGATACCGTGCTTGATTGAGTCAAGTTGCAAGAAGAACATCGGGTAGTAGAGGCCAATCTGGAAAAAGAAACCCCTATGTGATAGTTATTTGAAGGAATTCGAGAGAAGATGTGCTGCAGGTCTCACCCTGCTATCATGAGAATGAACGGTATATCACGAATACATTTTCTAGCTGCCGCAGTGTAGTTCACCGTTGTGGTCGGCGGATCAAGGCGAGTTCGCATGCATAAACATGCGATTAAAAGGAGCGCACTGACCAACCCTGCGCTTGCACGAATGGCATTGGCGAAGCCGAGAGGACCACTTAGGAGATTATTGAGCATAATCGGATGGATGGTAGCACCCAGCGAAGACCCCGAAGCGACGAACGTCAAAACTAGTGTGCGTTTGCGTCGGAAATAATGCGCGATGACAGCTGTGCTCGGGACAAACATGAGCCCCGTTGCGATACCCGAACCCAAGCCTTGAGCAAGGAATATCTATATAAAAAATAGAAAACGAAACCAGAAGACTCGGGAGACGTTACTCACCTGGTAGTACTGATTAGGTTTTGATAAAGATAACATGAAGAGAGAGAAACTCTGCAGAAGTGATCCGGCGATCACGAGATGGTAACTATCAAGCTTGCTGAGTGCCATCGAGAACCACCGACAATGCTACACTCACAAATATCCTCGGTCATACAGTGAACCTGATACAAGGCCCACACCGGTGACTAAAAACGCGTTCAAGCTCCCTATCCATCTACAAGAGACCTTGAGGATACCTGCCATGGAGACTGACTTAGAGGCTCACGATATAGCAGACGTCGTCTGGTTTGTGAGGTAATGCTGGGCATAGAAATCTGGAGGGTAAGATGTTTGACGATCCATCCTCACTGACATGTGCCACAGTACCTTGGTAGACACCAAATGAAGTGGAATAACTTTGAACATTCCGTCATGCGCCGTTTTTATCAGTACCAGTAACAGACCCACCCGAAGCCACAGAACTGTATAAGAAACCTAATAAAATAAAATAAGACGCGGTTTACTGTCCAAATACAGGTTCTTACGATCCAAAAACAGTGGCCCAAGCTGCCAGACCACCTTCGGGGAATTCATCCGAGCGTGAGGGAGGGTCAGAATCCTTGACGATTGGGTGTTCTCCCACTAGTGTCTCTGAGCCCTCTTTATCCTCTTGGAAAGGGGGTCCCGTGTACGGCGTTTGAAGCTTGGATTCAGAAGCCATTCGGGGGCTGGGACAATTGACAGCAGCGACTGTATATATACATGGGCCCACATCGAGTCACGGGTTGTGAAACTCGTCTCGGCTTCTCGGAGGAGAGCGATGGCGTTTACCAGACTGATGGGAAACGTCACGTCAACATGAATGCGTTAACTCTGAGCTTTTCATGGTCGAGGTAGACTGCAACCGACACCTGCCTTTGTCACAATGCGAATCCACTTGAGAAATGAAACCCTGCAAGGCCCTGCAGGAATGGAAAGTTTGACAATCTGGGAAAAAAGAGCTAGTCTCGTTCCCATCGCGATTGAAATACCACGGAGGGAAGATCGTGGGGCGTTGAGATCGATTTGTGCCCAAATTTTGGTTGTGCGCTGCAATTCTTAAACGGTGGCGTATAATCGGCCCGATGATGCCGTATTCTTGTAAGCGCTATAATATTATGATAGCATAAGTATGATAGCATAAGTATGATCATGAGATCTGTAGGGTTCAAGGTACGGTGATACTTGCATACATATCCCATAGCGTCGCACAGGGCGATGGTAGCGCCAGGGATCAACACATACGTCATGTCTGAGACTCTGACTAGCCCGAAAGACCAGAGGCTTAGAGATGTCGTCCAACATCCAGCGCGCAACCGTCAATGGGCAAAAAATTCAATTAATGACCAGTGACCCATGCTTACTGGACTCAACTTACCACTACTCGACAAATTGTCCGTGACATTACAAGTCAGGCTGGTCTCGACCCTCAAGATCAAGTTCCTTTGAGAGATAGGAAGACAAGCATTCAGATCCACTGACGTGACAGAGCATGCAAATTCATCCGGATCAGATGACGGACAGATTTTCAGCTGGGGTTTCGCAAGCAACTACTGTTCAAGAAGTTAGAACGGGGAATAAATAGCAGAACGACTCGGACGTAGTGTGTGGCCTATAACAAGATGACCAAATCCTCAAGTTGGTATGAACCACGCTCTCAAGTCGCTGGTTTAAAACGCAGATTGAAGCAGGGTTAAATTCCTGTTGACAGGCGAAACAAAGCAAGTTGAAAACATATCCAAATCAAATGACCCGGATGGTTTCGCGAGGATTAATTGATGTTCAAGTTCAAGAACTAGAAATGATGGAAGAACAACGCAGTGTGTGACCCATGCCAGAAAGACTGAGCCATCCTGGTATGGCCCACACTCTCAAGATATTGCTGGTTTTTGAATAAAGAAGCAAGCAGCGTTCCCCTTGCTGACGGCTGGGTGTAAATTTGCTTCGGCGTTTGCCGCTTATCTTTCTTTCTCGCTAGCCTTGGACGCAATTTGCACTCACCAATCGACGAGAGCAGTTATTCACTGTGATATGAGAACGGCGACTCGGAGTGTGTGCTCCTATTCATAGCTGAACGAACTTCAATTTTTTCGTGGTCTTCTAGGCGATTGCTCGGATTGATGCTACAAGCTCGCTTTCCGATGACCTCTCCACTTACCACATTGATATCTTCTGCATAACACAGTGCGAAGCTGCGAGTCCCTACTTAGTGAGCATTTTCTCATTAATCCTGCATAGACCTATGTATCTAATGTGGAAGGCTGACGTGGCAGATTTGCAGAGCGATATTCTCCTTCGGGCAACCGTAGTCGTCCCTAATACAAAAGGAACGACTGTCTTCTGTCTATCGGGTCTGACTACAGGAGACTAGCGGTTGTCTCAAGTAGTGAATAACCTACCACTACTAATCTGGATCACCGCCACTGGTACGTGTGACTTCGCTGGTTTGGTCGACGGCTGACCGGTCGACTCTCCAAGCTTCTTTACCTTCAGATGAACCCGGAGCGTACACACATGAATGAACCACGGCACAAATTGACAACAACTAAGTTATTGGCTGCTAGCAAATATTGTTCCATCATGAGGTCGGCGCAGATTTACTTGGTGTATTGCCCCCACTTCAGAAGACAATAATATTTCTCCTGTCGAGTTCTATCTTAGTCGTTGTGAATGGAATGCTACCAGTGCAGCATTCGGGTTTCGGAACACGTGACGTAGTCGCAGCGTCGCTTTACATTTCCTTCAGGTTGGTGTCTTGCCTTAAGGGTAGCGAATGGTCTGCGGATGACTGAAGAGCAGCGAATGCCCTGCTGAGGCGATGCCGATGGCCTGGCGCCAAGGATACTGAGGTATTCGATTCTGACTCCATGTTAACTAGTGGAATTCCTGGCTTTACTCATTACGTTGTTAGCATTCACTCCTATAGTGCGGACAATCGTTCTGTATGCGTTACCAACGGAACAGATGGACTACATGACAGGGCGGATATTGAATATTCTTTCTTTCGAGCCTGCTGTCAACTACATATATAATTAGCTGAACAGCTGAGTGTTTCAAATTCCTTGACAAGGCAATTGTTATAATACCGTCAGGCACCTGTCATCACAAGGACATCAACCCTGCGATACCCTACGGGTTCTTCTGAATTCTCTTCTACATGCATTGAGATCGTTGTAAACAACTTGTCAATGCCCTGTCACTGATTTAATGTGCCCCCACCAGGTAGTCCCATTAGTATGAGGTTGCATAGCGCTCTTGCAGGGTCCAGGGTAGTGCAACCCTCATCATCCGCAAGCCCTGCATTTGCTATCGCATAGCGCTTTTCTTACCCACCATTTCCTTTGATGTCTATGGGACAGTCCAAAGTTCTCAAAGAGCTCACGACGAACGAGAAGTTACGTGATCTGGAGGAACAGTGACACAGACAGCCATCTGACTCCCACACATCTTCAGACACACCTTTAGAATCTGACCTTCCAGATGGCGGGTTTGTGGCGTGAGAAACTGCTTTCGGGCGGTAAGTTGTGCCTCGTACGATACCCTCCAGCAGCGTATCTCACATTCATGACGATGCCCAGTTTCCTATCATTAATGCAATTTTGTGGCTTCGGGTTCGTTCTAGTCATCCTTCGAGACATCTCGGTCAACAGTGCTTTAACAGATACTTGTCATCTTTTGGCGTCTATCAAGGTGTGCAGCAGCCGCATAATTGGTTGCAAACAAGGTTGACAATGAACTTGAAGATTTTTACACGCGACCAACCAGTCACCGTCTGCAATATCATAAGTAAATACCCCGCAATGTGTTGTCTCAGTCAGCGTCAGATGGATCGGTGCACTGTCCACATTCCTCACAGTCAATCTCACTTTGATCTCAGGTCCACTCTACGACAGAGGGCGGTTGTAAGTTGCCACACGTCCATAGTCAACTTTTTAGCACTAATTGCTGATAGCTACAATGATTGTTGTCGCTGCGTCAATAACTGTCCTTGTTTATGTTATCCCTCGCAAAGCTTGGTCAGTTCTACTTGGTGAGTAGCCTCGCCAATCTCGTCGTCGATGAGCTACCTAAATGTTGTGACTAGGTTTTTATGGTCCAGGGTGTCCTTGTTTGGACTAGGATGGGCCTGACGTACGCTCCCAGCATTGCGGTGACCTCTCAGCGCTTCTCCAAAAGATGCACATTGGTGATGTCTCTCGTTACATCCGGTACACCACTTGGTGCCATGATTCGTCCGATCATGCTCAATTACCTTTTTAACGCCACTGCTGGCTTTGCGAGAGGCGTCCGCGTCAGTGCGGGTTTTGTCAGTGCTGTTGTTGATCCACTGCTTATCCATTTGTACAAGAGAACGACCGGCACCGGCTGCCAGCTATAGTGCAGTGACACGAAAATGTTCATGCGAGCTTCTCTTCATCCTCATGACCGTTGGGTGTGTCATTTCTGGCGTGTGCACAAAAGTCTTAACAGCTGATTGTGCCCAGGTCAACGTTATTTCAGATCAAGTTTTTCTTCCCTGTATTTTATTTGCAATTGGACTCTGTCAAACATAGTACTGACGCCAATTTCTCGTTCTACTCCGTACGCCCAGGATTATTCTCTTCATCGTCAATTCTCAACTTGATTTAGCTCGTTTCATTGGACGCTGCACGATAGGCCTCATTGCAGCATATACGGGGGTGTTGAACTTGGCGATCATATCTACTGTCACATGCAGTGCCGTTATCATATCCATGATAGCTCTGAGTGACATGGCCAGTGTAGTTGTATTAGGACTCACATATGGTTACTTTTCTGGAGTTTGTATGTGTCACCGCAGCTTGTGTATTGTCTGGACTAACTATTATCCAAGTCATTGCGCTTGTGGTCCCATTGCTAACTGTATTGACGCCTAACTTGTCGGAGCTAGGGTTAGTTTTTTTTTACAGACATGTAGTCTGGCCAATAATGTTGACCCTCCTATGCAGGGCGCGAGTGGGCATATGCTTTGCTTTCACTGGTGTGTATTGTTCATTTCTGCTTCGGAATTCCTGACAGAGCGCGAATGGTCAGCCGTTGGTGGATTACTTGGTGAGCAGTTTATTTTGGGGATTTATTTATTTATTGAACCCATGTTTTCAGGCGGCCCAACATCAGGCGCTGTGCTTTCATCTCAACACAAGTGGTGGATACCGTCGCTCTTCAGTGGGGCGAGTAGTTGGCGTGCATTTGCGTAAGCCCCATGCTTATCTACTATGCTAAGCTCATCTCTCTTGTCGGAAGTTTGATATATGCGGCCATGCGCTTGATAATATACCGCCGAGGAATAAACGGAAGTCATACATAGCCACACACGGAGTTTTGTAGAGGCCGGTACCTATATACTCACATTTGTTAACGCTACTTCAGGTCGAGCTGACATGCTCACCACACGCTAACGGTAACATGTGATAGATGGTTCCTGATCCCTCAAGACATTTGCAGTTACTACGCGAAACTATGTGACGACTTGGTGTCTTCGCAAGATCTTCTCAACTTACAACTTATCTGTACTAGAGCAGTGCGCACCACATATCATGCAATGTAGCTTCAATAACTTGTAAGGCAGGAGGATGGTACCAATCGGAGTCGGCAACTTGGTGCGTAACAATTCCGTGCTCATGACCGAAGGACAGCTCAGATATTGCCTTTGCCCAGAGGCGCACCCTCCTGGCTTAAGCTTTGGAAGCCCTGACCAGGCCCAAGCCCTTAGGCCTGCCGTGGTCCTGGCTCCTGGGGCCTGAGGCCAGGCCCAGTACCTCACTAGGGCCGCCCTACTAGTGCACACGCGGTACAGTTAGTCTCCCGTAGGCCAGTGCGTCCACACACATAAGTACCTCAGCGTTTCACCTCTGCGTTATATTGCATCACATCCCAGCTTCCAAGCATTAATATTTTTTCTGCGTTTTCTGCACACGCAGTTCGTCACAGCACCCAATTCCTGATAGGAATCTCATCCCATTGCGATCTGCAGCTATCTCTACACACAGGTGCGTTCCTCGGACTGTCGGCAGAGATGTCGCTAACTTTTTTCCAGACTGTGACCATGGCCGACCCTATCACCTTCACTGAGGCCATCACTATGATCATGACTCTCATCGAGTATTCCCAAAGTCTCTCCTCGCTCTTTGGGTTGGATGCGCAAAACGGCATCACACTCGAAGACACTGCACGCCTGATCAATTCTACCAACGTGAAGTTGTTTGCGGGGATCGAGTTCGCCGACATTAAAACCATACGCGACAAATTCTATAATATATATCTGAAAACCCTCGCCGCACAGTCTTCCATCAAGAAGAACGACATCACCGAGTCGGGCTTCCTGGCCAAGACATATGACTCCATCGTAAAGGAGAAGGATAAGGTGTGGAAGTCCCTACAAAAGTTGGATTGGATCTTCAGCAACAATAATCTCCACGTCGACGACTACAACTTCTTTGCCCGGCTCATCTGCCAGGGTTATATGCTTCTCCTGCACATGCACTCCGTCACTCAGAACCTCCGTTCTATCGAACTCCTCGAAGAAGTCGACCTCGACAACTACAAACTCCTGCCGGAGTCACTGACCCTCCTGGAATACATCAACAAAGGCTTGGGGCAAATTTCCAAAATGGAAATTAGAGTCTGGAACTTGCGCCTTGGTCAAATCTCGGAGGTCACAACGGGCTATTATCCTACCAATACATCAGTGTGCGTGATGTATACGTGGAAAGACGAGTATCAGAAGCTGTCGAGTACCCCCTGGGACGAGGCGCTCACCGGGAACAAGGTCCCTAAAGGCTCTAGTGGACAGCCGAAGGTCGGGAGAGATGGCAAGGACGACGTTATCCAGAAGAGGACGCGACGCGTTGCGTACATTAAGGAGGTGTACAATGCGCTCACCGGCAAAGACCTGTCTAAGTTGACGGAGAAAATGACGGGTTTGAAGTCAAAGATCGAAGGCCGGGTAACGAAGCAGGGGGGGACGGTCGTGCCTGCTCCGGTCGCGACGCTCCCGTAAAGAGATAAACAGTCGAACTCTAGCATCTTGGCAGTGACATCTAGCAAGTATAGTGACCCAGGCCGCTTGTCTTCTACTCGCACCTACATTACCTATACATTGTCTGTTTGCGTATAAGTAATTGACAGTCGTTTACTTACCGAATGTGCTAGCACTGTATTTCAATCGCAGGACCAGTGTGCGTTGACGTCAGAATCATGCGCGATGACCGCCGTGCTCAAGACAAACACAAGGCCCATCGCGACACCCGAGCCCAAGCCTTGAGCGAGGAATATCTATACAAAATCAGAAAACGAGACCAAAAGGCTCGAGGGACGTCACTGATAGCTATTAAGCTTGCTGAGTGCTGTTTACCCAGTGTCGCACCTCGCACATGGCAATCAGGAAATGTCCATAAAATTAGCATGCCAAGGAATAACAAGTCCCGCAATTAATTACTACATACACTACACGTCACCAGCAAAAGTCATCACCATGGCTTGACGCCCCAGCCCAAAAGGGCAAATGTGACGGGCAAGCCTTCACCTGCCAAGATTGCGATTCCAGCGTAGACCACCACCTTGGTCAATACTAAAGAAGAGTTACTCTCAGAATTTCGCATCCCGTCAAAGATATAGTGTACTCACCATCAGCATCGTAATGTTTGACTTCCTTGCGTTGAAATGGCCCGTTGCTGTTCTCGAGCTCGGATCCGCTGTAAGCCCCGGGGTCTCCATTGGCTAACGACGAGCCGTTGTTCGACTTTGCACCTCTTCGCTTGACCTCATTCGTTCCGCTTGTTCTTCTCAATCCCGAATTTTCCCTCATTCCGCTGACCTCAAGGGCGCCAGGAAGATCGATCATACTCGGAATGGGGCGCAAACTGCTTTCAACTGGCATGTGTTGGTAGTCTGTCGCAGGGGTATAGAAGCGCCGATGAGGTAGGTCAAAGGAAGACGCAAGAAGACGGAAAAGAGGTGGAAGAGTGAGGTGCAGCAGGGATTTTGCGAGAAGGCGCCACACAAAAATTACAAGGATCCCTGCGTAGAGAAATGTAAGTAATAGAACAAGATGGGAAAGAAATGGGAACGGACCAACAGTGACTTTGGCGCAAGCCAGAGTCCACCACGAAGCTGTATCTTCCCAAGTCCAAACGATTCCCTGAGGACTGGGCATCACAGAACCCAGGAAGCGTTCGTCGACGCCAGAGTATACAATGTGCCACCGACATAGCGCAATGCCGAGGATGACGGAGACGAATGCGATGGCATCTTCGAAGCAAGGACAATCGTCGACCGGTTGTGGATGGTAATGTACAAATAGTAGACAGATGGGGATCACCGTCAGCGGAACTGACAAGAAAATGAGTAGGAATACCAGCAACGATGAAAGGCATCACCTATCCAGCGAGCACTTGCCAGCCAATTCTCAATTGTCTCTTTCAGAATCACATAGGCTCCCGAGATTATAGCGCCAAGGAAGACACCAACCGCACAGTCGGTAAAGGAATGCATGCCCGTGTACAAGCGCCCGAAGACAATGGTTATGGCGTATATCACGAGCATGGCACATGACGCATAATACATCGATGCTGATATCGTGGCTGATTGGATGTAAGCGTTTCTAACATAGCCGAAGATGAAAAGCGCCATGGATACGCTGTTCGTAGAATGCGTTGAGGGAAATCCATATTCAAGATGGTGCGTCCCGATCGCTAGGAGAATGCGTTCGATAAACTTTGCTATGAAGGAGTCTCGTTCACTTACTCAGTCGTGTTACGGGAGGGGCCAATGGACGAGGTGAACAGATAAGGTCCTTCACGAATGAAGAGACGTAGACTCCGGAAGCTAAAACAATCACTAAGCTGTATTTCATTTGAGTTACAATAATTGACGGACGAGGAAATCATACCCTCGTCCGATCTCCTCATAACCGAAGAAAAATAATAACGGTAGACCAATCATGAAGAAAGTGTGGGTACCAAGGGACGAGCTATAAAGGAAGTATGCATCCAACCATGGGTGTCGTATACATTCCTACGGAGAGTCATGAAACAGACTGGCATATTGAAGAAGACAAGACGAGCCTGCATCCGAGCCAAGATTTGACTCTCTCGTTTCACCGAACTGAGAATTCGGGCACGTATAGCTGCTCTCCACCATGGAAGTACAGTTTCGTACAAGTCTTGAGCACAAGGCGCGTCGGTGCGTCCTCGCTCATCCAGCTGCAAAGATTCTAGTTGATCATGATCAGTGGTGATGACGGGTATCTTATTATCTGTGAGGCCGTCATGAGAAGTCTTAGCAGGGGATAGTGTATGCGAGTTCGACGCCTGAGTCAACATAGGCCAGTACTCTGCCGAGCTGAGTGTGGTGCGTACTCAAAAGACAAAGTGCAATTTTGGAAAAGACGTGCGAATACTACCTTCCAAATCGGGTCTTCTCATCCTGTGCAAGTAGCTTTGATTCTGAACTCTCGATGAGAGTAGAGTACTGGACAATTAATCAAATTATAATGTGTAATTAAAGGTGTGTAATCAAGGCGATGTCTCGAGGCCGTACTTAATCCACCCCAGTGTAGCCATTGAATGTACCATCCCCCTCTACACCTCTCCTATGGTAACTTCTTCCATACCGACAGAACAAGATTGGCAGAGTCCAGCCAGTCTTCCTGCATATGACTCACTCCCGCATCGTCATTATGACTTCAACTCGATCATGTCTAACGCAAAGTCCACTGCTGAGACTGGAACCGATTTCTATGACCGCGGTCTGACAACTCGCAAATATGCTCTTGCTGGAGTGGCATGCTCCAGTATCGTCAGCTGCTGTTGCATCACTGCAGGCACTGTCGTTATGTCCACTTGTGGAATTTCGGGTGGGGTTTGGCTGGCAGGAAATGCCACCGCCGTCCCTTCCTATCTGCAGTCAGAGATGTTGGTCCTGACACTAAACTTAATCATCACATTATGTACGGAGTCCATAGGCTTCATACACAGCATCTCGTTACGCTCTGCACTAGCCTCTGAGTCCCGACTCAGTTTCAACACTAATCTGCGCCTGATGACCGCAGCTCGTGGATGGCGCGACCCTAACGGCACCCTCCTTAATGCTCTCATGGCCGTCCTCCTCATTATATCCTACGGCTCAGCCACACTCGCCGCATCTTTGTTTAGCATCATAGGGTTTCCTTTCCTCATTTTGGGGATCGCACTTTTTCTTCAGGTGGCGATCGCATTGGCAGGGATGCGATCTGTCAAAACATTGACGTGGAGCTACTCACCTTTCGATGTCACCGCTGCTCTGGTTCACCACACGCAATTGACACCATCTTCTTTCCGGTGCATGCGTGGCGTGTCCGAGTCCGACCGGGACATCATCGGAGGTCCAGCAAAGCCGTCGGAGGTGCAGCCCTCGGCGTGGCATGCTCACTCCAGCATCCGGAAAGTTGTGGTTTTTCTTTGGGGGCTCGTTTTAGCATGCGCTGGATGGGCCGTACTCATCGTGTACAAACACAACCAGGACGAACCCTGGAAATCGTGGTCATTGCTCCCTGATTCTTCTTATGACCTTTACTACTTTTTGGGCGTTCAAGCTCAATTCGCCGATATCAAAGCCATCAGTGTTCAGACGTGGATTCTGGCCTTTGTCAACATCGCAGCTGTGCAAGGACCATTGACAATTGGCCTACACTGCTCCGAGCTCATCGCAAATGTCATTCAAAATGAAAGGCAATGGAGATGTGCTACAACAAGGAATGGACTCCGCACAGTGACAAACCCGCTGAAGGCCTTTCTCGCCAATCCCCTCGGTCTTTTCCTTTTCGTCCTGAAACATGTGCTACGTGAGTCATATGTAACTATCTTTGATCGGTTTTCTTGAACAATATCACTAACATTATAAGTAGACTGGATGTTTGGGCTGTCATTCTCGTTCGCTCCTGGTGGGATGACCCATGGCAACAAAATAGTAATTGTGCAATACACTGCAATAATGAATGTATACCAGGTGTGCATTTATTATCCAAGTACAGCCACTACAACATCCTTACAGCGCTCGTGCAGATTATGAACTTATGTATAGCGCTGTGTATATTTGCCTGTGTCTTCACTCTCCTTGCACTGCGCCGACCATGCGGCCCCCAGCCAGCTACATACGGGCACCTCCAGACGCTCGCCAACCTCGTGGATGAGTGGTCGCCTGTGATGTGGTGGGGTCACAAAGAGGACGGAATCCCATATTGTCACGCGGGTAGGGCATCTTGATGGACACAAAGATACTGTGTTGACGCTCTTAAATAGGGACGAGCAGTCATCTGCTGCCGGATGTAGAGATGGACTGTGTGTATGCTGGTTCTGGCGTTGTGTCCCATTCACCCAACCAGGGAGAAGCACCCGTGCTTGAAAAGGTATTTCTTGAATTATGATTTATCTTTCATCGAGTCAGGCTGATGATACATTTATTGACGGCGCACGGCCAGCCACACCATCGAACGAGACATTCATGCCGTCTGCCGCATAGGTAGCTCTGCAGTGTGTCATAATATTGGGCACACAGTACCCTTTCCAGCTGTTATGATTTTTGCCTCGACTATTATACTTGGGACTGATCTACATACTCGGTTGATAGTCAATGTTTTCGGATACCATGCCTCAGATGTTTCCAATTTTGTAGAAATGCTGCTTCTGTTCAGAGTTTATGAAATTTGGGCGATGGAGTGGGCCCAGGGGCCCACTCGAGAGAAGTGACCTCAAGCCTCACACAATGGGGGCGCGATAGCAATGTAAGTTGATGACTAAACCCCCGCTCAGCAACTGAGTCCGGTTTGTTTTTTGCTGATTACACACCAAAATCACGACCGATCGAACCAAGCAGGCATTCCCATCAAAACATCAAATTTAACTTGACCAGCGCGTGTGCTTGACAAAAAAGTTTGATTTTGATGGTTCAGATCATCAGGAGAAACCCCCTTTTTGTATTGGGGACAATTTGAGCAGATCATATCAAACATAGAAAATCATGTACCATTTTCTTGAATGTGTGCCAAAAGGACCCAATATTCAACAGTCTGAGCCAATGTGTCCATTGCAAAAAAGAATTCAAAAGCATTGGAGAAAATTTTTAGATACAGGACACTATATCATTATATTAATTTATGAATGCCATGCGCAGCAAGCTGCACTTCCAATAGATGCGCCTTTCTCCCCTCCTCGCACTGTTTGATTTCAGTGTCTCAACAATCTGCTACAAGTCGATACATATAGTTCTGAGAGACCGTCAGAAGGGCTGGAGTCTGATGATAGGGGGGATGGGATTTTGAGGCATTTCTGCTGGGGGGGTAGCTGATATCCCCCCACTCTGGAATTGGAAACCTGTGGGTCAGTGGTTTTTTGATCCTTGTTGCTTATTGAGAAACTGCTGACTATAACGACTCAGACTTACTTGTTGACAGGCAAGTTTTTAATGGGTGAGTTCCCATCAATAAGATTATGCTCGCCAAACTCAAGGGAAGGTGAGCATGGGCTAAACAGTCATTAGCCTGAGATCTGAGAAGCAATCATTACACTATCAAAACAACCCACCACTTCCAAGTCCCAGGTATTAAATTCTCTTTGTCTGCAATTGAGTCCTGCAACACTATAAGTCAAAGTTTTTGTAGGATAGAAGTTCAATTTACGCACCATAAATATAACACAAGTTGATAGACTCAGATAGCTGTGCACAATCAAGAACAAGACAGAATCAATGAGTGGAGAAAATTTTGTGCATCTGAGTCAATACTGTGACTGAACCATGAGAATAAGCTGGCATGCACCTGCTGTGGCAGTCATGTCTTGCTGGTTGAGCATGAATGGAGTCAACAGTGAGGTTGTTGAGTGTTCCATCCTCATTGATGGTGTTGTAGTGGATTTTGTGAAACATGGCTACAGCTTGAAAAGGTAGTATCACATCAACAGCCTCAGCCTCAAGCTGTCGTGTGGTCAGATCTGGCTCCATGACTTGGACTAAAAAATGTGCCAGTGCTGCATGGAAATGCACAGCCCCATACTCAGCTGCAAGTGCTGGGAAAGTCATTTGTTTTGTGGACGGGTGTTTTGCTACCTTGTATTGTCAAGAATAGAGAAGATCAAAGTGCGGTGGGGAGTAATCTGATGGTTGGTGATGATATGATGAAGCCAAGCAGTGATGCCACTGAATGAATTTATGGTGCCAAAGAACCTTCTCTTGTCACTCAAGCCAAACAGTCATCTGCATGTATTCATCTTTGTGGTTCATTTCATGGTATGTGTCCTTCACAAGGTCGATGTGAAGGTGTTCAGTATATTTGGTATTGTAATTGTCGGTTGATCTGAAGTGCTGAATCATGGAAATATAGTGTCAAAAGGAGTGGAGCTTTGGTAGATTAAAAGATGAGTGAATACCAAGATCAACAAAAATTGCTTTATTGTTATGAAACCAATTGAGTGCATCATCCAAAAGCTCCAAGGTTCGATGTGAGTGACATGGGTACTGTGCAAGATACAAGAAGTCAAGGAGGTCTCTCACAGCATGGACCAATCGAACTAGAGGTGCTCCATTTAGCAGGCGAATATCAAGAATGATGCCCAGTAGAAACCGACAAATTTGCTGGTGCTCTGTGACACTGACTTGCAACAGAATGGAGATATGTTTCATGAAGACATACACATTGTGGTTTGGAAGCAAGTGTTTGCATCGCACATCAATCTCTGCCTCACCAAATGCAGATTTGATCCATGCAATCAAGTACTTCACAAGACCTTCATACAGTGGCTCAAAAAACTGTCCGCATGTTTTCACAATTTTCACTATCTATGATATTATGTGAGAATATACAAACACATCAAGGACATGCTGGTACCATATTGTAGTACTACTTCAGGGCTTCCAATTGAGCCCTATGGCGTGGGAATTGGTCGAGATATGATGGAGGTATGAGGCTTACAAATGATGACTCATGCGGACAGTTTTTTGACTCAAGTATTTTATAGTGATAATCAGGTATTCTAGTACATTGTGGGACCTCCCTTGGCTTTAATTACTGCCTCTATCCTTCTAGGCATACTCTTAAAAATATATCTAACTATATAACCAGAATATCTCATGTGTCATGGTCATAATCACCATGAAAGCCATCTCCTCTGCTCAAAGGGATAATATCCTCTCTTTGTCCTACACTGGCCTCTCTGCTCATCAAATTTCCTCTACAACTGAAGTATGCAAGTCTACTGTGGCCAAGTGTATCAAAGAAAGCCACCTGGACAAGGAAAACTCTTGTGGAGGATGTCCACCTCTGCTAATAAGAGGGCTATCATCCAACATATCACTACAGGAAGGGATAATAATGCCCTCCAAGACACCCATTATATCAATTCCACCATCACTACCACTGTCTCTTCACAAACTGTAAGAAATGTTCTCAAGGCAGCTCATCTCAAGGCAGTAACAAAGAAGAAATGCCTGTTATCTCTATCAAACATAGGCAGAGAAGACTACCTTTGGCTTGGCCCATCAAAACTGGACTGTAGAGGACTGGAAGCATGTTATATGGTTAGATAAGACCAAAATAAATAGGATTGGGTCAGATGGGAAGGTATATGTATGGAAAAAGAAGAGGGATTTTCTAACAGACAGAGAGGTTAGTGAGACTGTCAAATTTGAAGGAGGTTCTCTAATGGTACGGGGCTGTATGAGATGGAATGGTGTGGGTATGCTTGCTGAAGTTGAGGGGAGGATGGATGCTGAGCAGTATGTGGACATTCTAAATGACCACTTGCTGCCTAGCATAGCTGAATTAGGGATTGATGAAGAAGACATCATTTTCCAACAGGATAATGATCCCAAACACACATCTAGGAGAGCCAGACAATGGTTTAAAGAACATAATATCAATGTTCTTGACTGACCAGCACAGTCCCCTGATGTCAATGTCATTGAACATCTCTGGGGAACACTCAAGAAGATGCTTCAAGCCCCCCCTAAAGGAGTATAGGAGCTATGGGAGAGAGTAGTAGTGGAATGGGCAAGGATTACAGCAGAATATTGCCAGAAATTGATTGAGAGTATGCCTAGAAGGATAGAGGCAGTAATTAAAGCCAAGGAAGGTCCCACAATGTACTAGAATACCTGATTATCACTATAAAATACTTGAGTCAAAAAACTGTCCGCATGAGTCATCATTTGTAAGCCTCATACCTCCATCATATCTCGACCAATTCCCACGCCATAGGGCTCAATTGGAAGCCCTGAAGTAGTACTACAATATGGTACCAGCATGTCCTTGATGTGTTTGTATATTCTCACACAATATCATAGATAGTGAAAATTGTGAAAACATGTGGACAGTTTTTTGAGCCACTGTATAATTGGTGGAGAACATTGGGAGTGATGGCGTGGAATATGTTACAATGAGGTAGGTCCTCCCAGAAAGGGCAATAGAGTGGTTTAATACCTGCACCACAACAGGCCCTTGTAAATTTGTATGGATCTTCATCCACCAGAGCAAGTGCATCCAAAATCGCACCTAAATCATGCCCCATGAAAGGTAGATCTTTACTCCCAAGCTTGGCTGATGGAATATCACACTTTGGGCATTCGCTGGTCTTGACACCTGTCACAAGGAGCTGCTCGGGGTAATATCTAATGTAACAAGCAACCAAAGGATGTCCACAGTATAGGGAACCCTCTCCACTAGTAATTTACATCCCACTTCTACCTGGCTCTACCAGCAGTTCAACCACGTAGTGCATGCAGGCATGGAAAAGATTTGCAAGGCATTGGCGTCTTGCAGATTGGTTAGGTGATATCTTCTAACTTTGTGGTGGGGAGATAGGCAAGGAGTATCTGAGCACTGCAAGAAGGACACCAACAGATTTCTTTGGGTAAGTTGCCAATAGTCATGTATATTGGGTAGGCAGCTTATTTTGAAACATTGTCACTTGGGTTTTGTCTGATGACAACAAGATTGGTATAACTGTGGCGCTGGGCTTCTCTTTCTTAAGCTGTGTCTATTATTAAACTCAGTGATGCATGCCTATGAAGAACGGCATGGCCCATACCTGCATCTTCCACCACCACGTCCCTGTGTGAAGATCATGGTACAGCCTTTGTGTCTCGTCCTGATCAGTATAGTGTCTTTCTGGGACAAATATGAGGTAATGCAATTCTGGGTCTCTGTAAAGTGCCTTGACACACTCTATGATATCTCAACAGTACACATCAAAAGCTTCTCCAGCCACTAAAATCTCCTTGTGCTGGAAACGTGGCTAGCATGCAGGAATGTTGTTATCAATGATTTTATTCAGTTCTTGTGAGTTTTTGTATGAGAGGCCGAGTTTATCACAAACCTACCTGCAGTGAGTATTTGAGATTGGAGAATGATGTAGACCCAGGTCCCCACATTTTTTCCCAGTGCACAACCTTGTAGTCAAATTGTGATGTGACAGGTGCCCAAATCCCACTATCTCCAGGATCAGCAGCATTATCATTCAACTGCTGATGATAGCAATGGTATGCGCTTTCTGGATCTTCTGAGTCTGAGTCTGAATAGTCATGTAACATAGCTCCAGTGCTAGGAAGAGGGTACTTGACTATATGGGGCCCTCAGTATAGTGGGGCTTCAGCTTCATGACAGTGAACATGATTTTGGTCAGCTTCATCAGTTGAAGGTGTGTCCAGGTTATCTTCAATGAGATGCTCTATGACAGGAGGCTCCCAGTCTCTTTCTTGCTCAGCCACTGCTCCTTCAGCCTCTATATCCTCTTCCTCTAACTCCAAATCATCATTGTTAGTTTCCTCAGGCCATTCCAAATCGCCAGCTTGTGTGTTAAAATAGTTGCCATCAAAAACATTAACAGGTGGGTTTTTGTCCAAACAGATATTCTGTGAGTTATGCTCATAGACAGCTTCAGAGCTATGTTGTTCCTCTGCTGCCATTAGACTCGGAGGGCTTGACTCATGTTGATTTTGTCCTGAAGGTACGTAGTTTTGCATCTGCTCATATATGGTGACACATTTGGGATTCTTTGATTGGGCTAGGTGTTGAGAGTAACCATTCTTGGTGAACATGTGTTGGCAGCTGCTGCAGGTGGGCATGATTAATGAGTGACTTGGAGTACATTGTTCAGTGAATAAAATTGGTGATTTCAACTGCATGTGTGGCGACTTCCAGATTTATAACTCATTTTTTGAAAATTGATTGATCGGCTCTCTTATCAGCTATGTCTCCTCCATTACAATGGGCCAGAAATTCAAGGCATCTACCCCAAGTAAGAAGGCTGCAGCTATCCACACTACAAAGTTAATTACAGCATCAGAAGGACAACTTGTTGATGAATCTGGTCCCAGTGTGATTTCATAATATCTTTTATTCTCAAATCATGACTAGTGTTTTTAAGGGCTCGCAAGACAGGCAAAATCTAATGCCTACAAGAACCAAGGTACATAAATTGGTGATACCTTCATCTATTTTGTTTAGTTCATCATTCTAAGTTTGGATGTTGGAAAAGAGTACTACTTGTAAACATGCAACATCCAATGGCATGGTATCAGATCACATCAAACTCCCTCAAGTTGGTGAGACATTTTCCACAGTGCTACAACTGTTCTACTAACATATTCTGTGTGTTACAGATTCAAAGGATGCTACATCTGCAAAGCACTCAAGGCAGCACAACACAGCCCCCACTGCTACAGAAATGTTTGACTCAGATAACAGTGGTGATGATGGCAACAAAGTTGCAGTGCCAAGTGATGACTTTGATGAGCATCAATCATCCAAGGCAGCAGACTTGGAGGATGATCTCAAAGCGCTCAAATTCAACAAAAAAAAACTCAAACAAGTACTGGATTATGAGGTATAGTGTTTGAGGTGATTTCTTTGATATAAGTGTTGACCGTAATCTTGATCAAGTGCCCTCAACTGATTCAAAGTACACGGTCCAAGAGCACCAGCTCTCAGGAAACACAAATGTCCCATATTCCTAAGAGTGATATAGATGACAATGTGCATCACACAGTTTTCTCTGATGCAGATGATGACTTGCAGCTTGTGGTGAAGACTCACTACCACAAACCTGCCCCAAAGAAGTCAAAAAAATTGATTTAACATAGTAACTTAAAGGTATTGTCCCATTGTGTATACTACTTTGTACTGATCTTGTAATTTTGCAGAACAATTCTACCAAGGGTGTTGGAAGCAAGTGCTGGGCCAAGCCAGAGGACAAGGTGAGCATATACTCCATTTAAAAAAGGCCCTTACTGACAGTTCAACCATTCTTAGAAACCAACTTGGCGCAACACCACGGAAGAGTTATGCAGCAACACTCAAGTTGAGAATCTCATAACTGCCCTGCATGCCAAACTGGTGCGAAGAAGTGAAGACAATTAGCCACTGAGCAGTCAGATCATGTACAGTAGCCCAGGTAAGGTTAACCTCACAGAACAGCAGCCCCATATGCAGGATATGCTGTGTGCTTCCATCACCCACATTCTCGAACACATCATTTTCAAAAATGCCTACCCAGACTTAGAGCAGTGCTGCAAGATAACCGGGGACATCCTGCTTGCATGCACCAATGATTGCCCCGAATTTGAGGCTGTCAAGTCATGAGTAATGAAGGATATGAAGTATGTGTGAGCATTTGCTTCAGTGGTACTTTTTAAAAAAAAATTCCACTCAATGCTCCACATTCTTACCACTTTTTATGTCAGATATACTAAGCCTGAAGGATGGATCAGCCATTTCTGCAGCAATATCTGAAAACAAGCCATACCAGGTGCCTGTGATTCTTGACACCATAGTAGAGGTGTTTTTCATAGATGATGCAAGTATGGGGGTGAGATTTCATGAGAAGTTAATGTCGACTCTTGAGGATCGTCCAGATAAGAGGGAGCTTCCAGTTGCCATGGTCACTCTCGCCAGTACAGCGGTGCATTTGACACTGGAATTCCACAAACAAGTAACTAATATGTGGCATAGGTGTGCAGCGTGATCATGCAATATTCCTCAGAGAAATGCAACTGTGATTTCAATTCGGAATTATATAGCAGAATTTACAAAAACTTGGTGGGCATCTTGAATGGTATCTTCCAGAGGAGTGAGCGCAAGTACCATGTACTGATGCATTCCATCTACAAGACTGTCTAGTATGTGCCCACTGAATTGATTTCATTGTCATCTTTACTCACTGTAGATTGCAGTGGGTCCAAGCAGAATGTGGATGAGGTGTTGATGTTCCTTGATATTGATGCAATGGAGGAGTAATAGCCCATTAGCACTGGTAGTAATTGTTTTATGCACCCAAAATGATATTTTTAATCCTATTCAATTGGATCTAAATGTGTACACATGAATTTGCCTTGGCATCAATCAAGATAAATTGTCTACAATTGTAAGGGGGACTAAAAAAATCAGCCATATGTATCAAATGTATCAAATCCTCAACAATTGGCATGAATTATGATAGATTGTATCTTATTTGAGATCATGAATTTTCCTGATGATTGTGTATCTGCTTGTACTTATCTGTAGCCTCTGTCCAATTTATGAACTTGTCCCTCTCTTTCTGATGTCACCTACTACAGAAAATGACAAGGAAAACACTGATCCCTTTGTTGAATCTCCTACTGTGACTGCCAAAGTCCTGAAGACTAAATTGAAGATGCCAAGTGCAAGCACAAAGACTGTTTGGAAGTCCAATGACGATGCTGTGTTGATTGCAACACTTCTCAAGGAACAGGAGGAGGGTTGTCAATCTGACTCAGGATTCAAACCAAAGTCATTTGTTGCTTGTGCAGAAGCACTCCAAGGGAGCAAGAAGATGAGTGGAGGGGTTGCAAAGACATTTGGCTCATGCCATGACCATTGGGGAAAGGTATGTCTTGTATTTTATTTAAAACACATTCTGACATGCTTTCAGTGTAAAAAGGACTTCACTGTCATCAAAAAACTTAGGGAACAGTCTGGATTTGGTTGGAACCATACTTTGAAGATTGTCACTGCCCCACCAGATATCTGGGAGAAATATCTCGAGGCAAGTACATCCTCATCAGATCTTCATGAGGTATTGACACAGTGGCTTTTGTAGACACACAAAAAAGGGAAGGTTTGGAGGAAGAAACCCTTTCCTCTCTATGACAGTATCCAGATCCTGGTCAAGGGAATTGTCACAACTGGTGAAAATGTCTTTCATGTGGGCATGGCTGTGATGACTAATGCCATTGATGTGTTTGACACACCTGCTGACTTGGGCAAAGAAAATTGGATGACAGATGATGAAAGTCCAACTAATGAGGTATGTTGCTTGAATATGTGATTTATTAGCTGATAGTTATCTAACAGGATCTTGCTCAGTTAGAGACTCTCATCAAACACAGCAATTGAAAGCACTCTGCTGCTGAAATCACACCATTTGGGAGCCACAAGTGTCTGTCTATGGGCCACTACATTCATTGTTCTGCAAGTGGTCATGGCTCAGGCACTGATGCCATGTTTTCAGTTGTAGGGGCTATCGAGACACTCGCAGATAAATTTGATGAGTCTGGTGGGCTCACTTCTCCACAGCATTGCAGTGCTGCCATTCACCACCTTGAAGAGAATGATGACTTGTCCAAAACAGAGTAGGTAGCAGCTGTTTGGCTATTCTCTCATCAGACTGCAATTGCAAATTGTTACCTTGCAATCAAGAAAATATCTATTCACACTCATTACATTGAGTCAGAGCTGGCCAAGTTCCAGACATTGTAGTCTAGAGTATATTGTGTGCATTTGAGATGTATTGATAACTATCCCACATAGCTTTGGCAATGAAATCCCTGAGCTCAGAAGCTTGACTTTGCTCTGCCAACAAGATATTACCTCCAAGGTCCTCAACATCTACTGGCACTGCTCTAACATCATTGACTTTGGGAGTTTCACGTGCCTCTGGGAGGTCATTGCTGTCATAAATACGGATGAAGTTGTGGAGTACACAGATAGAAGGAACCATCTTTGCCTGTGTTTTGAGGTCATACTTTGGTGCAACCACAAGAAGTTGAAATTGCCTCTTGACAACTCCAAAAATCTGTTCAATGACATTACAAGCTTATGCATGATGCAAATTGAAGAGTTCATGATAATTTTTTGGCCTAGATAGATTGTAAAAAATGATTGAATGATAGAGAAATCACATCACCATAGACCAACTCTGCCTCACTCATTTAGATGGTATCGCTCTCCATGGTATGGGATCATTAGCCCATTGCAAATTGGAAAGCCTGCATCAGCAAGGAAGTATTTACCAGGAGTGGATAATCTTGCACATGTGAAGTAGCTACTCCACATGCACTTGGATACTAAGCTTCTCGCTTTCCACACTTCTGTCAATCACATAAATATCAAACTCTGTGTTCGTAAAATCATGTACTCACTTTCATCATATCAAGACTTAGCATTTCTAATACCCAATGGCTGGAAGGACGGCAATCAGCTCCCTCCAAAGTTTCTTATCTTCTTTGATGATATTCAGGATTCTATAGCGGTGGCAAAAAAAATACAGAAATGACTCCCACCAGTGCTGCATCACAAGATAAAGTGATTTAACTCAGACATGACAACACAATTAATAGAAGACAAGGTTAATCACCTGATATCTGGAGACACCTGGGGTTTTTGCACTACTGAATCATTCAGAATGGTAAGGGTGTATTTAGTACCTCTGTGTGATTGTAGCTGTGTTAATATTATTTTAGGGAATAGACATACCTGATATATTGCTTGTGTTAAGACCATGCTCAGGGGTAAGGTGGAGTCTGAGGGGCTTGGCTTCAGCTCATGCACTGCACCCCTTACCCGAGTACATGCCCCTAATTTCAGATTGTAGTCCAACTCAAGTTCTATGAGCTCCAACAGGATGTTGGAGTGGAGGCTCTCTGAAGGAGGGCCAATGGACTATCAGGTGAGCATGGGAATGTTAGGTAGAGGTTGGTCTGCCCGATAGGAGAGAGTTGGAGGACTACTGCAGTCAGAACAAACAGTAGGAGCAGAGCAGGTAGGACTTGCTTGAACAAAGTCCAGAGTGGAGCAGAAACAAAGAGGACAGATTTACAGAAGGGCTGGGCTCAAGTCCAACACGTGGGAAAGGCGGCCAAGCCATAGGAAGTCGGACAAGTAGAGAAGGTGGCTGACCTAGGGAGTCAATCCTCTAGGCCAGCAAACAGGAGTTGTCAATGGTAATGCCCAAGAACAAGAACAAAAGAGCAGGGCTTAGAAAAGGTAATATTCAGACTAAAGATGTACAGACAGAGGTACGTATGTTTATATACTCTAAGTAAGTAGCATGGCATGGCAGAGGGCTATGTGCTGAGTGTACAGAATTACTAGAAAGATGACTGAGACATATGAGAAAGAGGCTCAGAGAACAGTATGTATATGACAGATCAATAATCACTCAGATATAGGGATTACCAGTGATCCGAAAAGGGGAACTATGATACAAAAAGGAGGTAGGACCAGTTGAGTGGTTCCTAGTCTAGAAGTAGACTGGTGAAGCAGTCGGGCAGACTAATAGTCAGGTGGACTGATACAGGAGAAACTGGAGGAACCAAGTAGGTCAGAAAAGCGGAGATGGTGGAGGGAGTAGGAGTAGGATTGGGTGGACTGATAGGGTGGAGGAGCAGAGCTCCATATAGGGTCAGATGGTATGGATATAGTGTCGGAGTAAATAGGGGTAGTGTCGGAGGAGCAGAGTGGAGTTGGGCAGAGGTAGCAGGGCTAGTCCTGCTAAGATGCACTTTGTGCATTTGTTGGAGAAGGAGGGATGGAGCGGATGGGGACACAGGGGGTCAGACCAGCAGTAGGGATGTCTATGAATGGTATTGGGAGTGGTTGAATTTGGTATATGACACATGTCGACAATAGTGTGTTGAGTTATGAGATGTGTGTGCAAGAAGTTTTCTTCAAAACACATTGTAAGTTGTGATACACCTGGATAAGGGGGGATTCCAAGATGATATGGTCTACAGTGCAGTTAGAGTCCTTCCCTCCATGAATAACCTTTGTATACAAGTTATTTAACTCCATGCACTAGTCAACAGCTCAGAAGCTGCCTATTTTGATATTGAACAGCTCTCCTGAGCCACAACCAGCTTGCATTTCAACTGTGGATGAAGAAAATACAAACTCACCTCAAGCCATCCAGGTATACAAAATGAACATTACATAGAAAATCCAACATGTGCATCACATACTTATGCTTCCCAGTTGCCTTGAACATCAAGATCCATGCAACAATGAAAGTTCCTCATATAGTAGCATATACTTGTGGAGGAGCAGCGCATTTTCATACTGTTTGTCATGCTGAGCAAGAGGTTTCAATCTCATCCACCAAAGTCTGTGATCAGCGAAATAATTCTGTGTAATTATATCTGCCATTGCAAGCAGGTCATCAAACAGTGGCTCTGATACTGCAAAGGTATCCAAGTCTGCATGTAATGTGACATATTTTTTTACCTTGACTCTCCAACAATCAAGTCACCAGCATATACCAGAGTAGGTCATCAGCTGGTGCATTCTACAAAACCCAGGTTTCGAGCCATATATGCCAGTCTCTTTAGGTCAAAGAATTCCAACATTCCACATCAAAGCACTCTCATCTACTCACACCAATGAATGCTGCAAGAAGGTGCACCAGAGGGTATCCGCACTTGCCATCTTCAAATGAAATAAACCTGGAATAAAAATGACATGCTGGAGGCGATGCCAAGGTGTGGTTTTGATGGCATGTCACTGGAGTGCTGCTTGGAGATGTTCACCTGTGCCGAGGTCACTGTGGAATAGCACAACATAGTTCAACACATCTAGCTCTTGCAGGGGATCACATTCTGCTGGATCTTCAATGTTGCCCTGCTTCAGTAACTCAAGTACTGAGTTGATGTTCCTGGATACTGTTGAATTTCTAATATCCATTGCTTGGGAGGCTAAAATCAGTGTCTTTGTTGCAGGGATCATTTCTACTGATTGCAGATCTTGAAGGCAGTTCTTAAACTGACGGAAGCAGGTGGGCCCATACTTGATTAAATCAGAAAGGATCTTTCAGGAGTTCAGCTTCATTTAAGTGGTCAGGATGCAAGATAAGCAGATCCTTCCATCCTTTCTTGGGTGTTATGTCCATGGAATTCACTTGCAGGTTGAGTAGTGATGTTTCCCACAAATTGTTTGAGCAATGTGAGTCATCAAGTGTAATACCATGCTGCAGTGGAAAGAGGAGGCCAGCAGTAAGATGTTTGAGTGTGTCTTATGACTTGTCAACTGTATGAACAGTTGATTTAAGGTTGACATCAAAATTATCATATGTGTAGGATGCAAGAAGTGTCTGCCCCAGAGCAGAAATGCTGCAGTGAGCTTTCTTTGACAGTGATATAACAGCTGCATTGATTGAATCCACAGAGACACAGACTCCCATCTGTGATAGTGTATCTATGATCTTTTGAGGTGTGTGTGCAGACTGTGGAAAGATACCAAAGATGCTTTGAAATGAATTTGATTTCTGGTTTGTGACCTGCATGATTATGCTGAAAATCACAACCTTTTTCTACTAGAGGGAAGCCCCCCATTTTTATGCATGTTAAATGCTACTCATGATCATCATCAATCTATTACAATGCACCATTATCTTTCTCTGTTTCTCTGATGCATTGACTGAAACTGCTTCCATTAACCCATTCAATTCTCTGTTGCCAAGCACTTCCCCATAGATATCTTGATCATCATCTTCTGAATCTTCAGTTCCTAATTCTGTACTGATATTCTTCTTCCCCATGTTACAATAAAGGATGATCAAGACTAAAGCATATCATGAGTTCTGCTAGTCAAGTGTCAAGGGCTTGCTAGATTGGTGAACTCGAAGTATCAAGAGAGAACCTAGTAGATTCAAGAAAGGTAAGTGAGAACAAGAAGACGGGATCATCCAATCAGAAAAGAGGATGAGAAATGGTACAATGTTGAATTGACCAATCAGAGAATGGTATGAGTAATCATCTGCATAAGCATAATGAGTAAGCATAGTAAGCATGTTGGTAAGCATTCACATGTTGGACGTGTTGATAAGCAGTCATGAGACTTGATGAGTAAGTAAGGAAAGAAAGAGAAAGAAAATATAGCGCCATTGTAACACCCCATGGATAGAAGCCTGACAAATAGACCCTACAGAGTTGGTGCAAGCCTGTTAAGACCGTGCTCAGGGGGGAGACAGAGTCTGAGGGGCTTGGCTTCAGCTTGTGCACTGTGCCCCTTACCTGAGTATGTGCCTCTAATTTCAGATTGTAGTTCGACTCAAGTTCTACAAGCTCTGACAGAACGTCAGAGCAGAGGTCCTCTGAAGGAGGGCCGATGGACTACTGGATGAGCACAGGAATGTCGGGCAGAGATTGGTCCGCCTGACAGGGGAGAGTCAGAGGACTACTGCAGTCAGAGCTAACAGTAGGAGCGGAGCAGAGGAGACTGCTCAGATGAAGTCTGAAGCAGAATAGAAACGCAAAGGATAGTTGTACAAGAGTATTGGTTGCAAGTCTGACACGTGGGAAAGGTGGCTGAGGCGCAGGAAGTCGGATGAGTGGAGGAGGTGGCCAACCTAGGGAGTCAATTCCCTAGGCTGGCAAACAGGAGTTGTCAAGGGGTTTGCCCAAGAACAGGGACAAGAGAGCAGGGCTTGGGAAAGGTAATATTCAGACTAAAGATCTACAGACAAATGCACCTATGTTTATATACCCTAAGTAGGTAGCATAGCATAGCAGAAGGCTATGTGCTGAGTGTACAGAATTATTAGAAAGATGACTGAGACATACGAGAAAGGGGCTCGGAGAACAGTATGTACGTGATGGATCAATAATCACTTGGGTGTAAGGATTACCAGTGATCCGAAAGGAGGAGTTATGATACTAAATGGAGATAGGACCAGTTGAGTGGTTCCTAGTCTAGGAGTGGACTGGTGAGGTGGTCGGACAGACTAATAGTCAGGTGGATTGATACGAGAGAAGCTGGAGGAACCGAGCAGGTTGGAAAAGCAGAGATGGTGGAGGGAGTAGGAGTAGCATTGGGTGGAGGAGCGGAGCTCCAGATAGGGTTGGATGGTAGGGATATGGTGTCGGAGGAAATAGGGGTAGTGTCAGAGGAGCGGAGTGGAGTTGGGCAGAGGTAGCAGGGCTAGTCCTGCTGAGGTTCACTTCGTGTATTGTCGGAGAAGGAGGGATGGAGTGGATGGGGAAACAGGGGGTCGGACCAGCAGTAGGGATGTTCACAGGTGGTATTGGAGGTGCTCGGATCTGGTATATGACAAAGCCACCACATACCTTTCTCAAGCAGATCCATGTTAAATTCCTCTAGTTGTTCTACAGATGTATGTGACACAGTAACATGAGAGTAGTGTTTCTTCCTGGACAGATCTCCAACCTCCTGCACACATACATCACTCATGATGTTGCTTGCCCACTCCTCCATTGTATGTGAGTGCCTTGCAAGAAGCTCTATGATGCAATGACTATTGGTCAGAAGATCAACAACTATTTTATCATTTGAATAATGATTATTAGACAGTATTTCGACCAGGAATTGTGATGCTGAGATACCAACGATATCAAAGGCTTCTATAATTACATGTATCTGATCTCTGAGACTCATATTGTGTGGCTGTACAGAAATAGTATCTAAATTTAATCTACATATACCTTGACTCAATTTTCATTTTTTTTCAAGTGCCACAGGTCTTAGCCACTATGAATGACATTATTGACAAATGTTTTCACTCCGTTGCCAGAGGGATCCTCAATTCTAAAATGTCATTGTTGTTTCACTTATATTTAGAGTTGTTGATATTTACAACCAATTAATGTACTTCATTTCCACCTCCACAAATGGTCCTGAGCCCAGATGACAGCCCGGCTTGTCTTTTGGTCTGATGAACTGTTGATAATTCTCTCTTGCTGAGCACTGAACAATGAGCTACTATGCAGCTGGTCTGATACCAGCAAAGACAATCCACATCAGTTTCAGAATCCAGGCCAGCATCAACAGTAAAACCCATCACATGATCACAGTTGCATTTTGTCACAAAGTGGAAGAGGACAATATTCCACTGCAACAGGTAGTCACCAGCCCCAGGCAGTAGCAGCTACATATAGCCTAAGGCCCTATCAGCAGCAGCAAGTGAATTACCAGTGGTATGAGGCTCAGTGGTATGACATTCATCTTTGCTAGCTTTGTACATGGCTAATTTTTGAGTATTAAAATAGCTAGGTTCGAAGAGATGAGGCCCATGCCCCAATCTCCTGGCCTGCCCAGCCTTATATCCAGCAATCTAGTGGTGTACAGGTTAGTCTTTGACATGACCAAAGTGCTCAAGATATACTGACAAATTGAAGCTACCCTACATTCACCAGATGCTTGAACCTTGTAGTCAGCCTCAACTGAATCCAAATCAGACTCCCTATAGTCAGGCAAACAAGGCACCAGGTGACAGGAGAGTTCCCCAAGTCAATTCACAGCCACCACTGTTACTAGTAATGAATGACGTACCAAGTGACAGGAGAGTTCTCCCATTCAACTTGCAACAGTTTCCAGTGGCAGCTGGGTCACAACAGAAATGAGAATGCAAGGAAGAGTCCAATGACCTATCAGGAGCAAGACACAGTACAAAGAAGATATGGAAAGAGAATGGTGAGTCATTAACTCAACCTAGCAAAGGTACCAAGCAAACTCAGCCTCACTTCATGAAAGGATCAAAGCGGAAAGCCACTGGTACAAAGTTGAAGACCAAAGGTGAAGAGGAACAAGCAATAACTCGACTTGAAGAAGATGGCTGTTTGTCAGATGAGGATACCAAACTTTTGCTCGAGACCCTTCTGGGAAGTGACAGTGAGTTCTATGAAGGCCTTGCAGGCAATGCTAAGCATGTCTATAAAAAGGTAACATTAATGTGAAGTAAACTTACTTAGTTTGGTGCTGAAGCTGTGTTAATACAGATCTCTGAAAAGACATTCAAAGGAAGACACAGCATGGAGCCAGTAAGGGGACATTATGAACACTTATGAAGGATATTTTCATACATCCTGAATTTCAAGTCTATCACTGGCAATGGTGGCGGGGATCCTGATGTTGAGGTGCTTGATGAGAAAATCAAAAATGCATGAATTTCAGGGAAGGATGTTGGGAATTTATCAGATGCTATGTTGAAGAAATGGTATGAAGAGGGATGGCATGAGCTGCTCAACAACTGGTGAGTACTAGTAGCTTGACATCTGCATGACACTTAAAAGGATTGGTAGACTTGGTGAACATCCAGGACTTGTATGGGAGGAGAAATTCCACTCTGGAATGATCTCTGATGCACTCGATATCAGCAGTGATGAGAGTGACACGAGTGATGAGGAACACATCAAGGTGAAGAAGGCTCACAGCAAAGCTCTACAGAGATCAACTTTGTTAGCTACTGAAATACAAGCCAAGTCAGTATTGAAAGGGGTGCCTGTACCATGACCCACAAAAAGAAGGCTTCACAGAGTAGCATCAGCATTGAAGCTGCTGACTTTTCTCATCCAATATCAAATTCCTGAAGGCAACTGTGAATACTGACATCAAGCAGCTGAAATTGCTCAAAAAAGACGAGGATTGAGAGGACAAGCAGTATGATTTTATGGTAGAGAAGGGATGAGCTGAGGTGGCACTGGCAGAATGCAAGGCAAAGGCAAAGAATGCCTGAGAGATTTTGACTATGGACGGTATACCAGATGACTTAAAGGCAGCAGCTTGTCAAGTGCTATTGGACTACCTTGCTATTACAGGTCAGTGATCATTACTGTTATATATCATAATGGGAAAAGATCATTTAGAATGGCAAGACAATGGCAGCAGCCAGCTTCCCTCAACCACTCATCTGATTCCCATCTAGGAAGCTCTAGTTCATCATCTCCGACAACTCCACCATAGCCAGAAACATCAACATCAGCCACATCATCCTCAGAATCATTGTAGTCGGGATCACAATTATCAAAAAGCGGGATTAACTCAGGAGTGTCACTTAAGTCTATGCACATGCTATACAGAGTAAGGAGAGCTTTGACAACATGGTAAGTGTCTTGGATATCTTGCTCGGGTGGCAGATTCTTCAGACTAGGAAAATGGCCCTTCAACATGCTAAATGTATGTTTGACAATGATGCGCTGTGAGGACAAGCATTTGTTGAATTTACATCAGTGTGCTTTTTCATTAGCTGGCTGCCCATTGACCTCAGGTTCAGTGAATGGCCAGAGTACATATGGTGAAGACGGGTAACCTGGAGCAGGATCAGCACATAAAAATAATTAAGTAGAAGACATGAAAACACAACACACCCTTATCAGCAAGAACTAAAGAATTATTGGGGAAATATTTGAGCTGGTGTTGCCAGATGTGAGACTTCTTCCACATTGTCATATCTGAAACTGAACCAGGCCATCCTAGCTCAATTGTCATGAAGTGCTTCTCATAGTTAACAACAGCTTGAATATTAATCTATGTATGAAGTGAGTTAATCAAAATGATGCATGGAAAATTTACTCATGGCAGGATACTTCTGTTGACAAATAAAAGTTAAGCCATTTTTCTCTGACATCTTAGTCAGATGAATCAGAGAGCCATCAAGCATCCCAACACAATCCAGAACTTCAGATCAGTCCTGAACCCATGTTATTGTTTCATTTCGACAGTCCTCATCACCCCAAGTGACAACCTGGATATCAATCTCCCACAGAGCACACACAACATATTGACAATAGAGAAAAACTGTGCCAAAGCCAATCCCAAGCTTGTGTGTGGCCTGCAGGGGGTCTGCACCACAAGTTCCATAATGGACGAGGAAATAGGCAAGTTTATAGTGGTCAAAAGTAATGTGGCTGATACTAACAGAATGTCAGCACTTTAGGAAGGCCAAAAAGCAAATCATTCACTGATATTCATGGTGAAAATCCTGATCTGGCCAGCTCAATGATATATTGAAGAATTATTTGCACTTCTGCCACTGGTTGTAGGGACCATGGGAACTGGGTCCAGATAGCATTAGTGAGAGTGTGTGAAGGCCCATACTTGTCCCATGGAAAAAGTGGGATATCCTTTGGTTGGCTTCATCATTGAAATCTTCATGAGCTAGAGAGAAGACCTACTGTTAAGGTCGTGCTCAAGGGAAAGACTACTCAAAGGGCTTTGGCTTCAGCTTGTGCGCTGCGCCCCTTACCCGAGTACGTGCCCTTAATTTCTGAGGGGCAGAGGGGAAGTCCAACAGAAGTCTGGGGAGTTCTGGAGGACAAATGTCGGTGGAGTTCGGTGGAACTTATTTTGACTATTCACAATATGTTCCTCATCCAATTTTTTTCTCAATTCAGGTGCAGATTTGAATTCCAGCATGGCATCTCACAGTCATGCACCACTTGCTCTATCCTCACTTGCAGTGGTGCCTTCAATTCACTCTGATCTTGATACATTCAAGATGGAGTATCACCCAAAATCTGGTCACACAACCTCCATAGAGACTTTCTTGACATTTGGATGCAAGCAAGATCAACACCCTCCCATCATTGATGAAGAGCCTTGGCAGCTGTTCAGTTGCTGTGCAGACTTCGAGTTTGCTGAACTTGTGCACAATGCTGCCCTGAACAAAGACCACACAGATGTGCTGTTGCAGCTCATCTGGAGAATCATTGATGGTCAAGCAAGACTTTCCTTCAAGTCCCACCACAATGTTTCAGCAGCCTGGGATAGGGTGGCTGGTCAGATTACACCTGTAAGAGGAAAATGTTGTATTTCCCTTTTGTAGCTACCAATATCTTCAACAGTTCGAGAAGCATACTATCACAGCCCGGCATAAACAGGAGGACCTTGTGTTTGATGTATATACATACCCATTGTGGGACTGGGCCTTGGACTTGTTACTGGACCCACTGCTGGTGCCGTACTACATTTGGGATGCACAGCAGTTATATAAACATGATGGGATCTGTTATGAGTGTTTCCTCCATGAACCTCGGACTGCAGATCATTGGTGGAATGTCCAAGTATGACTTGTTTTTTTTGTACTGTCATTTTTGTGATTCTAAGTGATACTTTTTCCTGCATGTTGTATTATAGTCGTCTTTACCCAAAAAATGACGTCTCTTTTGCATTTATAATGTATGCAGACAAGACACACCTTTCTTTCACTGGTACAGTCAAAGCTTACCCGGTCTTCACTCAATGTGGGAACCTGCCCATTCACATCAGAAACACTGATGGACTTGGTGGAGGGTGGATGGTTGGTTGGTTACCAATAGTACATCTTCATTAACTGAAATTGGTCTCATTACTTCTGAGTTTCTTTCACACAGGTTCCTGAAGATTCTGAAAAGGATGGCAAACTGACATACGTGAACCTCAAATGCATTGTATGGCACAAGGGGTTTTTCAAGCTACTCAAAACTATCATACTCTATGCTAAAACAGGGTATGTGCATCTCTGTTATGATGGTATTATTAGGTGGTTGTATGCCTTCATTCTGCTCTTATCCACTGATTTTGAAGAACAGTACATTAGCTACTCATTTCTGTCGATGATTTTCTGATCAGTCAATTCATACTGGATGTGTCATGGCATTGATATGGGGAATGAATTGTCATTGCCCCTGTCCTATATGCCTTGTCCCATTGGATAAGATATATGATAATGCTTCTACTTACCCAGTCTGAACACCTGAAGGTGTGCAAGTGTCATATACCTGATCTGACTGCTCCAATACTAATATCTGTTCCACTTTCCGACCACCTCCGCTCCCTCCATCCTCCACTCCGTCCAATCATCATCTGCATCTGCCCCTATGCCTCTGCTCGACCGCCCAACCGGTCCCCTTCCATAACATCTCCACTCAACTGGAACCTCTTTCCCCTTTTAGATATATACTTTCCCCTTCGGTACATAGACCCTTACTTCCGGATCACCAGTAATTCTCCTCACTGCTCGATCACTGATCCGACACGTACATATTGATATCCACTCCGACTTATGTCTTCACCTGTGTAAGTACTTACAAATTATATCCTTGGTACATAGCTTTACAACATAGTTATCCTGATCACTGCCTCATACTTAGAAGTATATAACATATCCTGTACTTAGATATTTTCCCCAGTCTTAATATTACTTGTCTTCTCGCAGTTTCTACTTGTGAGGATTCTCAGTAGGACCTTGCCTCCTCTGGACACAAGTTTCACCTTGTTGTCACCTCCAACCCTCTGCTCCGACTTAGAGCCGCGCTCTAAGTCTTCTCCTTACTTCTCCGGCCCTATCAAGTATTCCCCCTGCTCCTTTCCCCCTTCCGCATTATCCTCCGCCTTCTCCACTCTGCTCCTAGTCGGCCCGCCGCTAGTAGCACTTACCTCCTGACCCTCAAAGCAGACCTAAGTGGTCCACTTGTCCTATCATCAGACAACGTTGGACCCACTCCAAATTTGGGGCATGTACTCGGCTAAGGGCGCAGCACAAGAACTGAAGCCAAGCCCCGACCCCTCCATTTCCTGAGCCGGCATGGTACCTAACAGCAAGCTTGCATAGAACTGTGGAATAGGGACAAAGCAGCTGGAGAAGAGGCATTAAAAAAACAGGGCTTGCAGCCAGTTATGGTCAGTACTTGTTTTATCCTTGATTGAATCTGACTCTCTTCCTGATAGAATGTCTTCTGGCAGCTCCCAAATTCCAACCCTCACAAAATGATCTTGCAGGACCACCTTCATGTATGTCATATGGGTGAATGGGGGAAACATTTATTTTGTGAGCTCAAATGACATGCAGCAGCTCTGGGATGCAGCACTGAGAAGAAGATTGATGACCAGTGAGTTGATACATCATGCTAATATGGTCACTATCTGAATCAAAATATTTAATTGCTCACAGGTTTGCTGCCTTTACATGATGGCACACTTTGAATCACTTTGATCAAGTTACTAACATTACATACAGTGACAGTAATAAACTTTGTGACATTTTGAAGGTACAACACATTGATTTGACACTAATAGATCACTGACAGGCCGCTTACATTTGACTTGGATAGCAAATATTATATACTACCCAGAATGTACTTATGCACACAGATGATGAAGCTGGCTATGCACTTTTACAGTGCATAGCGAGTTACCTCCATATTGACATGTATGTATCACTTGATGTGCATACAGAGAGCACAATTGAAGCAGGAAAAGCTGAGGTTTTGGAGTTTCAGACACATTTGGAGGTATGTTTTCTGTGTTTCACATCAATGCAGTGTACTATTATATTGATTCCTACGTGATATAGGAGTACATCACAGTCATCGACAAGATTGATCTGGATGTGATGAAGAACTGGAATTTCCCCAAGATGCATGCCTCAAAGCACATATTCAACAACATCATAGCAAAAGGTGCCGCTCGCAACTTTAGTACTCAACCAAACAAGAAGCAGCATGGACCAATCAAGTGTTGGTATCTATGGCAGACTAATCATAAAGACATTGCTAATCAGGTGTGTAATCACCAACTTTACTTCCCATCTGTAACTCAAACCTTTCATATATTATAGATCCTTGAACTTGATCATAAAAGCTTTGTCACTGAATTTGTTTGCAGCTGCATCGAGTATCTCAATGAAGAACAATGTAAACTCACACTCTCATGGGAAGAACTCGAAGAAGAGGACATTGATGATGAGTCATTTGAAGCTCACCTGCATATTGGTTTGCCCCTTAGGAATCTTACCAGCTTAGCACAGGTGAAGGAAGAAAACAGGTAAAATTGTGCCTTTGACCAGTTCAGGAAGAAGCTCACGACATTTCTGAATCACTTCCTGCCTTCTCACCATTTAACATTACCAGATGGAATAAGGTGGTTGAAACTTTTGGCACAAGACCAGGTGAGATCCCTTCACTCTGAAGTGTTAATCAAATCTCTGACACTACAATTTTTTCAAAAGATTCATGAACATCACTATCTCAAAGTCCACTATGAGTCTACTGCTAGCTGGAAGTTAGCCACTGATTATCTGTGATGCAGTCCGAGTCTTCATGGCCATGAGCGTTGTGACTGCGCTATAATTCACATGCAGGACAAGGATGGCCACGATAAAAATATCTTCATTAAGTTGTTATTCATATTCAAGCACACTGTTGGCAACCACACCTTGGATCTTGCTTTGGTTCTTCCCATGGACGTTTCACCATGCCAGTGCCTCCTAGATTGAGACCTGTGACTAACTCATCTGCATGCATGGCCCACAGCTTCATCTGAATTTATTACTCTTCACTCAATTATTTGTGATGCTTCACTTGTCCCAGATTTCAACAGCAATGGGGATTATTTTCTTGTTGACTATGTGGATACTGACATGTTTCTTTGTGTCCAAAGGAAACTTATCTGAGCCCCTTCAGTGACTTGACCCTATAGACTCGGCCAGCCCAAGTTGACATTTCTCCATAGGTGTCAGGCCAGCCCACTGTGGGCCCACATTAGGTTGTCATCCGATGTTCATGGGTGGGCCAGTGGATGCATTGTCCCTGACTGTTAGGGCTGGGCCCACAGTAGAATGGGTTCAATGCTTTGGAGTGGGCCCATGGGTGTCAGAATTAATGGATGTGTATTGAGGGGTGGGCCCATGGTCCATAAGTATCGGTGGCAGTATGCCAGGAAATGGGGTTGGCGATAAATGGGCATTTGGAATGCGGCCCATTAGCTTCAGCGAGGGGATCCTTAGCCCGGGATCATGTAGACCAGTGGGGGAATATGTCAGGCACTCAGGGCGCCAACACCACCAACATTGTGCCGCATTATAAAGATTTCATAGTCAAGATACCATTTTCTTGCTTTTTACCCCTCTAACTCATGCACCGGGAAATATTGATGAATATGAGAGGTAACATTGGCCCGGGATTGTGTGTCCCGGTTGGGGAATATGCCAGGCACCCAGGGCACTGACACTGCTGACATTCTGCCACATTTTACAGATTTCATGGTCAAAATACCATTGTATTGCTTTGTGCCCCTGTAACTCGTGCACTGAGAAATATTGATGAATATGAGAGGTAACATTAGCTTGAGATTGTGTGTCCCGGTCGGGGAATATGTCAGGCACTCGGGGGGCCAACACCGCCGACATTCTGCCACATTATAAAGCTTTAATTTGATAGTCTTAACTTGATAGTGTTAACTCAATAGCCTTAACTCGATAGCCTGAACTGTTAACTCAATAGCTTTGACTCAATAGTCTTCACTTGATAGTCTGATACAATAGTCTACAATCCATAGTCTGAGCTTGATAGTGTTAACTCAATAGCCTTAAATTGGCAGTGTTAACTTGATAGCCTAATACAATGGTGTCCACTGCAAGAAAATGGTATCTTGACCATGAAATGTGTAAAATGTGGCACAATGTCGGTGGTGTCTGTGCCCTGGGTGCCTGGCATATCCCCCTGCCGGTCTACATGATCCTGGGCTAAGGATCCTCTCGCCGGAGCTAATGGGCCGCATTCCAAATGCCCATTTATCGCCAACCCCATTTCCCAGTGTACTGCCGCCGATACTTATCGACCCAGCCGATGCAAATAGACCATTGTAGACCATTGCCGGCAATCATTCCCAATATCTATATGTGCATCCCATTTCCCAGAATATAATCACTGACCTTCCACCTTCATCAATATTTCCCAGTGCACGAGTTAGAGGGGCAAAAAGCAAGAAAATGGTATCTTGACTATGAAATCTTTAAAATCCAATTTAATGTCAGTGGTGTCGGCGCCCCAAGTGCCTGATATTCCACCATTGGTCTACATGATCCTGGGTTAATGTTATCTCTCATATTGATCAATATTTCCCGGCGCACAAGTTAGAGGGGTAAAAAGCAAAAAAATTGTATCTTGACCATGAAATCTGTCAAATGCAGCAGAATGTCGGCAGTGTCGGCGCCCTGAGTGCCTGACATATTCCCCCGCTGGTCTACATCATGCTAGTCCAATGTTACCTCTCATATTCATGAATATTCCTCGGTGCACAAGTTAGAGGGGTAAAAAGCAAAAAAATGGTATCTTGACTATGAAATCTGTAAAGTGCGTGCCGGCAGAATGTCAGTGGTGTCGGCCCCCCGAGTTCCTGACATATTCCCCGACCGGGACACACAATCCCAAGCTAATGTTACCTCTCATATTCATCAATATTTCTCAGTGCACGAGTTACAGGGGCTCAAAGCAATACAATGGTATTTTGACCATGAAATCTTTAAAATGTGGCAGAATGTCGGCAGTGTCGGCGCCCCGAGTGCCTGGCATATTCCCCGACTGGGGCACACAATCCCAGGCTAATGTTACCTCTCATATTCATCAATATTTCCTGGTGCACGAGTTAGAGGGGTAAAAAGCAAGAAAATGGTATCTTGACCATGAAATCTTTAAAATGCGGCAGAATTTTGGCGGTGTCGGCGCCCCAAGTGCCTGATATACTCCCCCCTGTGATGACACAGCCATTGTCTCTTCATTGAAGTATACACTCTCATACTCACATCAAAGGTCATCTGTAACAACACAACCATTGTTTTTTTCATATCTGCTTTGATGCTCGCATCAAAGGTCATCTGTGACGACAGTCATTGTCATCTTTTTGTGTCCACTTTCATGCTCACACCAAAGGTTATCTGTGATGACACTTACTCCAACAAAGCCTGGAGTATTGGATACAGGCTGCTTGCTCATCCAAGCTCTTCACCACATGAAACTCCACACCTCCATCACTTTTGCTACTGTCATCCATTGAACATACCCTTTCTCACCACCCAGGGATCTTACATCAATACTATGTACTTTACCCACCCACTAGCCTCATTCTCCTCTTCCACTGCTCAGCATGAGGTTGACTATTCATTAATCTTCGCTTCCAAGTGGATATGCAGCAATGGTTGTATTATGTTTCTGATAAGGGTGCATGGTCTTATTACATCAATAGGGTCTGACACTACCCAAAAAACGCTGATTTAAAGTGTGTGTGGCTGATTAAGATGTCCCCAGCTTGCTCTTTGCTACATTTTATGAACTGCCATGCCTCAGTGTGCTCAGGGCAAAGACTTTACTCAAGATCTTCAGAATATAGATAGCAGCTCCATCACCAACTCGACAGATTCTGATAGTGACAGGTCCAATGACAATTTGGACTTACTGCATCTTTGTACTGCAATTGCAGCACCTTCTCTCAATGCATCAGCTGAAGATCTTAATAAGGCAAGTCTTTATGTTGTGGATGAACGACAGTAGCTGATTTATTGTCTTTGTCTCTAATATTAGGCACTCAAACTTGCGCAAAGGCTACTTCTAGACATGTGAGGAAAGTACCAAGAGGCTCTGAAGAAGAATGCTCTCCTGGAGGCCACACTTTCAAAAGGTCGGAAGATGAAGCTTACTAACAAGGACCTTGCACTCACTGCCAAGGAAGATACCATCAAGAACTATGGATGCAAGTTTTCCATAACACATTGCTTCTGATTTGAGACCACCATTTTCCCCTTATGTGCACCACCTCCTAGGATTGATCTCACAAGCAAAGAGTGGTGGCTCTCTTCAATGTCAATACAAGATGATGTCAAAGCCGAAATATTTCTTTTTTTCACCAGCAGACCACAACATGATGGCCCATAAGAACTTTGGTTCCCATGTGAGTATTACATCAGTGTACAAATTGACCTCCAAATCACTCCTGCTGATGTGTTTTGAGTTTGTCAAAGGCATTAATAGTGTCTGTGCCAAAATAGTTTCTGACATCAAGTCATGTGCAGCTGCCATCTTCAATCTTTATGCAAAGTTCTTCATATGAGGATATGCACAGGATTCAGAGCCTGCATGCCATTGTGGGGAATGTCCCCACTGTAGGCCCATATCCTGTATAATTCCCGAGCCTTACCAGCATCTTCCCGTGCATTCTGCTACCATTCCGCTACCCATCCACATCTTATCCGACCCGTCTGCTACACGGAACCAAGTGGAACCCAGCAGAACAATCGCGCACCATGCGCATTATATCCCTTTAGCCTTCGGAATGTCCTCCTCCGTCCCATCCCCGTCCTTCCATCCTCACTGGTGAGTACTAGCTACATTCCCTGTGTTACTGACGTGTTCCTATCTCATTTCACATGTGTTACGATACTTATACGGATCCTTCCGCTACTCAGAACTGGTTCCTTATCTCACAGCCCCGCCCGGTTGTAGCATAGCACTTTCCGGAACCCCTTCCTATATAGATAGCAATAGATGGGATCTTAGTTTTTTTTAACCTTTTGATAGACTCGACTCCACTTCCACTTACAGAGTACCTCCCAGTACTCCACTCACTGTTTAAAATATCTTCCCGAATCTATTCCTGATCTCATCGCAATGTTCCTGCCTCCATGAGTTCCACTCGAAATGCCCAACATCGGATCTGACGACTTGGAGCAAGTACCAGACACAAGCCTGGTCCGACTTTGCCCAATCATCCTCCTACAGGCTCATAGTTTCCTTTTCCCTCCGTTCATTCCATTTGTTCCCCGTTAGTTCTGTTTGTTCCGCATTAGTTCCGCTTGTTGCACATTTGTTCCGTTTGTTGCGTGCTTTGTTCCGCTTGTTGTGTACCTTCCATATCAGTGCATTCCCAGTCCTAGTAAGGACCAGAACCCTTCAGGTCGCTAGACAGAGTCTAGTCTTTGCTTTCCTCGCACTTACTTGAGGACCCACTACCCAGTAGCAATCCCCTTGGGACAAGTATTTGTCTCACACCCTTGTTAGACATCTGAATCACCCCAGAGTCTATTTTCCTCACCCACACCGTGCCTTGCTTCTCAACCCTCAAGGTGCATACATAAAGTTCGCACATGTTCTCTTCCCTTGTCCAGACCAGATATCCCAAGACAACTTTTTCAAAACATCAAAGCTTGTTTATGTATGCTCTTCTCCTTTCTAACTTGCACATTCTGAATACCTTGATAGATTCTGAAGGCATCTCTTTTCAGCTGATCATCACTGGCTGCCAATGCCCCTCCAACTGTCATATCCACAATCCAGACAAGTCTTCTCTGCCCTCAGTTAATGTCCTCCACCCTCATTCTTAATCCTCCGCCCTCTTATATGCTCCTCCACCTCTCAAAATGTATCTCCAATGTCAGGTACATTTCTCTGCCCCTGACTCAATCAAGGTACAAGGCACCTGTCAGTCCATTTCCAAGTTTCCTTTGTACAGTCTGTTTTCCATCTAGTCTCATACCTTGTATGATCCAATCCTCCATTATAATTTAGCTTGTTATATATTATGGTTCATTGTCCCTTTTATTATTACTTTGTACTCTGCTGCACTGTGCTGCATAGCCCAGATTCTCATAGTATATAAACCCTATGTATTCCGGTATTACTTCTACAATATGATTATAGACTCAAACCTATCCTAACTACTCCAACTCAACTTAAAAGTCCTACTCGCCATCTAGTCTGACCTCAAGACTTATCTTACTGACCTCTGCTTCTGTCTTCTGACAGTCCTTGCCTTACTTTCTATGTTGGACTTAGTCCCTTGTAGCCTTACCTCTGCCAGAGCATGTCGGACATAGTTCCATACTACTGAACCTCTGTTGGAGCACGTTGGAGTCGATCTTTGACAGCCCCTATCCATCCTCTGAAGTTAAGGAGACCATACTCGCCTAAGGAGCGCAGCATATGAGCTGAAGCTAAGCCTCTCTATAACCCTGTTAGATACCATGCTCAGACAGAGAAGCAGGGGAGTTGGGGCTTGGCTTCAGCTCTTGCGCTGCGCCCTTAGCTGAGTATGTGCCCCAAATTTGGAGCAGAACTGACAATGTCCGACAATAGGACGGGCAGACCACTTTGGTCCACTTTGCAGGTCAGGAGGTAGATGCTACCAGCAGTGGTCTGATGAGAAGCAGAGCAGGTGAAGCAGGGAAAGTTCATTGGGGCAGAGGGGAGTAAGGGGATTGATTGGTTGGGTTGGAGAGGTAAGAGTGAATACTTTAGAGCACTGCTCTAAGCCAGAGTGGAGGATCAGAGGTGACAACAAGGTAAACTTGTGTCCAGAGAGAGCAAAGTCCTATGGAGAATTCCCACTAGTAGAGACTGCGGGGAGACAAGTAATATTAAGACTAAGGAAGTAGCTAAGTACATGATATATTTTATATACTTCTAAGTAGGAGGCAGTGACCAGTAGTCCATGGTACGAGGCTATGTACCGAGTATACAATTTGTAAGTATTAACACAGGTGAAAACATAAGTCGGAGCGGATATCAATATGTACATAACAGATCAGTAATCGAGCGGTTATAGGAAGTACTGGTGATCTGGGAAGTAAGGTTTATGTATCAAAGGGGAAAGTATATACCTAAATGGGGAAAGAGGTTCCAGTTGAATGGAGATGATATGGAAGGTAACTGATGAGGCGGTCGAGTGGGACCACAGGAGCAGATGTGAGAGCTGACTGGATCAATTGGAGGGCAGACAGAGTGGAGGTGATGGGAAAGCGGGAGGGGTGTAGGGTTGAGTGGAGTGGATATCAATATTGTTGGAGTGGTCGGATCAGGTATATCACAAACCCCTTTCATATCTACTTGGCATGGTTCTGACACCAATGCCCAAAACCAAAGCTAAGATACGGGAATTATGTACCGTGACTCCAAGCTTCATTGTGGCAGCAGCAGTCATTATACATTCATTAAGTTTACACTACAGAACACTTACTGAGTCAGGTTGCAGGGTATTTTTGTTCTTTCAGGCAACAAAGAGCTAGTCGAGATTGGCAACAAATCCCAAATCTCATACAAGGAGTACCATAACTACTACTGTCAATCTCTGACAACTGGCGGCACCTGGGCAGACAGCATCTTTACCTTCTTCAATAATTCCCTTTTTGCTACTTCTTCCTCTGTGGCTGCTCTATGCTCAGATGTCAGGGATGTGAATGGTCCGCATGATATGTGGGAAGAGGACTTTGAGCATGCAATGGAAATAGGGGGTGATCTGCCAGAAGTTGATGCTCCCTGAGTGCCATCACCACTCACCAAAGAGGATGCCCCACTATCAACTGTCAGTGTGGCCAAAGCACCTATTCTCATACCCCAATCTATATCTACAGCTATGCAAGGTCTTGCTGTGGCAGATTCAGAGGATGGCATTGTTGAGCTACCACCTACAGCTGCACTTAACAAGGGCTCTGAATTGCAGCCACCTGTCAACAAGCCTATTAGTGCTCTCGTTCAGAAGCCCAAGCCCAAGCCAAGGCACAAAACCAAGGCTGGGGCTGGTATTACTGAGGCTTTGTTAGGTGGTGCCAACAATGATATGGCATTGGTGTGAAGGTCTGGCCAATCAAAAAAAAATAGTATATTGTCAATGGTTTACAGCAGTATTAATGATTCAGAAGAGTAAAGTACATTCCCTGGACCTGTCTCTCTTTCTTCACTTGTGTGGGAAAACAATGCACAAATGACATGATGATTTCACACCCTGGACAGTGCTGCGCTACATTGTTCAGCTCACCAATGTCTTGTAGGAATGTGTTAAGGTCATGCTCAAGGGGGAGGTTACTCAAAGGGCTTTGGCTTCAGCTCATGCACTGCGCCCCTTACCCAAGTATGTGCCCTTAATTTCCGAGGGGCAGAGGGGAAGTCCAGAGGTCAGACATCGGGGGAGTTCAGCAGAACTCTGGAAGATTATGAGAGAATGGAGTAAGGCTACTACAGACAAGTCTGGAGTAGAAACAGAACAGAGGTTAGACTACCCTAAGGTAGAGCCGGAGATTTAGTCCTAAGGTTTAACCCCTAAGACTCGGAGGTGGACAAGAGATGAGACTCAAGTCCGGAGATTGCAGGAATGAGCAGAACTAAGATGATATTTGAACTAAGGAGTTCCAGAGTATTACAGGAGTTTATATACTGTAGGTATCATGTAAGTAAATCAGTCAGCAAAGTAAGGGCTATGTACGAAGCATGTGGAAAGTCTATTAGTAAGTGTATACAGATCAAAGCAGTGAGGTCGGAAATGAAGTATGAACAGATGGATCAGTAAGCATAGTGGAAAGGATATAACCGGTAGCCGGAGCAATAGCTATTCTAAAAGGAGCTAGGGGTGAGTGCAGAGATGAAGGTGGAGCGCTGGGCAGAATAACAGAACGGAGAACTGGACTTTAATGGAGTGGATCCGGAATTCCAGATCCAGAGGTACGGGATATGACAGAATGCATCTGTATGAGCTGTTCTATTAATAATTAAAGTGAGTAACAATCAACAATGACAAACATATCTTATTAATCAATGTGGCTTAGACACTTAATAATTTAAAACTTCTCCTCCAGTCCTGTCATTCTACCTCCACTCCCATCTCCTCCAATGCTTGTCCTATCATTCTGCATCCACTCCCATCTCCTCCTCCAGCACTGGCACTGTTGTTTCGCCTTCACTTGCATCTCCAGCACTTGTCCTGTTGTTCCAAGTCCACTGACACCTCCTCAAATGCATTGCACTGTTGTTTTGCCTCTCATTAACTGTCCCTCAAGATCTCATTATTTGGTCAAGGTTAGTAAAACTGATATTATATCTTCATTGTCTCTGACTAAATCCTCCCCACTGGGATTGTTATTTTCAGAAAAATATAATTGTGAGGGAGACCATGATTCAAAATGAAATGGGAGAGATTGGAATGCAATTGGGAACAATTTATAATAATATTATTATTAAATAATCCGGTAGTTGAAAGACTCTGCATAATTTTAAGACCTTAGAAGGACACTTGCCGCTTGCAATGATATCTCAATTAGGGCATATAAGTTATTGCTCAAAATTTTGCCCTTGCATTGGAATGGTCTTGGGACCCACTTGCAAGACCCCCTATATCACGTCCAAGCGGCTTCCAAAAATTTTGGGTTCTCTTCCAAGCGAGTTATAATGCCACTGGTAAATTGAGGCCTTACAATCTGTTTACAGCTGTTACCAAGTATAATGAGATAAGTCATTTTTTCATATGTGTGGAAATTCCAAATCGGATTGGGAAATATACCTCTTCTCATCGTTACTTGCATCCTAGCCATGGGCAACTGTAAGATCAGCTCTGACCTCAAAGAATGTGCCTTAAAACTCTGGAATGTGGGCTGGGACATCAAAGATATTTGTGATGCTCTTGGAGTCTCTCGTGCTAGTGTTTACTGCTGGAAAGCAATTTTCACAGAGTACGACACTGTCAAGCATCCCCCTTCACCAATACGTGGTCAGCAACTTTGTATCCTTACCCGTGCTCTTATGACAGCATGCGAGGACTTATTTGCCGAAGAATCAGACCTCTACCTTGATGAAGTTGTAATGTGGCTCACTCTGACACATGACATTAGCATCTCTGTGTCTACACTTTGTCGCAACCTCAAGGAAGCAGGGCTGACACAGAAATTACTTCACAAGCTTGCTGTGGAGAGAGATGAGCAACACCATAATGAATGGAGGGAGTCACTGCAAACAAATTTTGCTGGTGATGGGTCAGAATTTGTGTTTGTCAATGAAGTCAGCAAGAACGAGAAGACATGGGCTCATCAGTATGGCAGGGCAATGATGGGTCAACAAGCACCCTTAACAGATGTATTTGTTCATGGGGATCATTACTCGCTTGTCGCTGCAATTACAACCAAAAGTTACGTGGCAGCCCATGTTGTCGAGGGATCTTTCAATGGTGAAACTTTTTTAGCCTTTGTTGCTGTGAAGCTGGTGCATGTTCATTAGCAAACAATTGGGCTACTATATCTCATCATGACCTCAAGCTTCCCTACATGAATCCATTCCCAGGTGAAAGGTCTGTACTCATGCTCAACAACTGCAGGATACATCACAACGAAGAGCTTCAAGAGCTTGTTTGGAATACAGGTAAGTAAATTCTTGAAACTTTATGAACTAACAGTGATCTGTACCTGATAGGCTGTCTTTTACTCTATTTATCACCATACTCGCCTGACCTGAATCCCATCGAAGAATCATTCAGTACTTGTACATGTTTCCAAGTCGCATTTAGACTTTTCTGATTGACAATCATCCAGTCAAAGCATATCTCCGACGACACGCTCATTGTCTTCATAATGATGACAATCCGATCAATGTACTTATTTAAGCATGTGCTTGCATCACACCAGATATGTGTGAAGGGTGGTTTCGTCATGCAGGCTGTATAATTGATTGAATGTGTTGATATGTATCTGCTTCATATTGAGACACTGGCCAATGGTACACTGCATATTTTACATGGTTTATTGAGCAACAAGAGTTTGAAAGTTGGAAGGCTGAATTATAGTGGCAATGTGAATGCAAGAGTGCCAAAAGAAAATCGTCAAGATGTGATGCAGAGGGAAACATCCTCACACCCATGTACCAGTGATAATGGCATCACAGAACTTGCGGTGATGGGAGAGAAAGGTGCACCAGCCAAGGACCGTGAACCCAACAGAAATCCAGTCAGCTTTGAGCTTTTTAGAATCAGAAGGAGATACAAGGAACTTGGAACAAAAACTTTCGAGCATGACAGAATGCTTGGTGGTGACACCAGGTGATGGATACTCCAAAGGGGACGGTTGAGCAGAGGGAGCTGCAGGTGGTTGTACAGGATGCAGAGGTGCAGACAAAGGATAATACTGGTATGGGTACTGATAGAACGAAGGATGATAGTATTGAGCTGGAGATCCAGGGGGTGGTAGCAGTGGTCTCTGGCTGAAGAAAGCCGGGCTGGACTGAGGATGCATGTTGTGCTCCAATGTGGAGCTCAAACCCCCATCGCCAGGGTTGGCACAAGTGAGACCACTGTTGTTGGTCCCTGAGTTGTAGTCATGGCCATTGAGATAGGCATGGTATGCTCCAAAAGCAGGCATCAGAGAATGAGGAGGTGGGCGCATGGGCTTGATAGCCTTGTCTTTCATAAAGTGGTTGAACATCAGAGGCTCGTCAATGGTAGCATGTGGGTTTTGCTCTGTTGATTGGTGCTGAGGGACATCAGTGACAAAACACACAACTGTCATATACCAGATCCGAGCACCTCCAATACCACCTGTGAACATCCCTACCACTAGTCCGACCCCCTGTTTCCCTGTCCACTCCATCCCTCCTTCTCCAACAATGCACGAAGTGCATCTCAGCAGGACTAGCCCTGCTACCCCCGCCTGACTCTATTCCACTCCTCCGATACTACCCCTATTTTCTCTGACACTATATCCCATACCTCTGGATCCAGAATTCCGGAATTCCAGATTCTCCCCTATGAAATTCCGGTTCTCTGTCCTGTTGTCCACCCGGTGCTCCTGTCATATACCTGATCCGACTGCTCTAATATCAATATCTGCTCCGCTTTCTGATCACCTCCGCTCCACCCATCCTCCGCTCCATCCAATCATTGTCCGCATCCACTCCTATGTTTCTGCTCGACCGCTCAACTGGTCCCCTTCCATAACATCTTCATTCAACTGGACCTCTTTCCCCTTTGGTACATAGACCCTTACTTCCGGATCACCAGTAATTCCTATTACTGCTCGATCACTGATCCGACACGTACATATTGATATCTGCTCCGACTTATGTCTTCACCTGTGTAAGTACTTACAAATTATATCCTTGGTACATAGCTTTACAACATAGTTATCCTGGTCACTGCCTCATACATAGAAGTATATAACATATCATGTACTTAGATATTTTCCTCAGTCTTAAATATTACTTGTCTTCTTGCAGTTACCTCTTGTGAGAATTCTCAGTAGGACCTTGCCTCCTCTGGACACAAGTCTCAACTTGTTGTCGCCTCTGACCCTCCGATCCTCCAACCCTCCACTCCGACTTAGAGCCATGCTCTAAGTGCTTCCCTTATTCCTCTGCCCCTATCAATATTCCCCTTGTCCCTTTTCCCATCCTCCACCTTCCCCACTCCTACCAAACCTTCCCCCTGCTCCTATCCACCCTCCGCATCACTCCCCACCTTCTCTGCTCTGCTCCTAGTCGGCTTGCCGCTAGTAGCTCTTACTTCCCGACCCTCAAAGCGGACCTAAGCGGTTCACTCATCCTATTGTCGGACAACATCAGACCTGCTCCAAATTCAGGGCACGTACTCGGCTAAGGGTGCAGCGCAAGAGCTTGAAGCCAAGCCCCAACCCCTCTGCCTCTTGAGCCAGCACAGTACCTAACAGCTCCACCTTCATCTCCGGACTTACACCTATCTCCTTTTAGAATACTATTGCTCCAGCTACCGGTTATGTCCTTTCCGCTTTGCTTACTGATCCGTCTGTTTGTACTTCATCTCCGACTTCACTGCTTTGATCCGTTATGCACTTACTAATAGACTTTCCACATGCTTCATACATAGCTTCTACTTTGCTGACTGATTACTTACATGATACCTACAGTATATAAACTCCTGTAATACTCTGGAACTCCTTAGTTCAAATATCATCTTAGTTCTGCTCATTCCTGCAATCTCCGGACTTGAGTCTCATCTCTTGTCCACCTCCGAGTCTTAGGGGTTAAACCTTAGGACTAATTCTCTGGCTCTACCTTAGGGTAGTCTAACCTCTGTTCTATTTCTACTCCGGACTTCCATAGTAGCCTTACTCCGTTCCCACATAGTCTTCTGGAGTTCCGCCGAACTCCACCGACTTTTGTCCTCCAGAACTCCCCCAGACTTCCATCGGACTTCCCCTCTGCCCACCAGAAATTAAGGGCATGTACTCGGGTAAGGGGTGCAGCACATGAGCTGAAGCCGGAGCCCTTTGAGTAGTCTTTCCCTTGAGCACAACCTTAACAGCAACCAATCACATATTCCATACCATTGCAGCAGCCCAAACATTGAGACGGACAGGGTTCAGGTCCCAAAATAAACCTCCCTTTGCATATATGTGCTTGTCGGGGAAAAGGGGGTGATTTCCGATGGGGTAATGATGCTGCAGTTCAGCAACTTCCCTGGCACTATCTTGTTGTAATGCATCCTACAGCAAGTTAGCATATATCCACAGTTAGCCAGCAGCTCTAGTTGTCAATCTCACAATCTGGCTCTTGTGAGAGAGCATTGTGTCACGTTCTGTTGACATGCCGGGATCTTCCTTGTATTCATATGTATGGTTGTTGCAGCTGGACACCTCAGGTGGCTGTTGATTCTGGTTAGTGATGGACCAAAGTTGATGAGAAGAACGCACCATCTCTAAATTGATTGGCTTTGGAAGGAAAAGAAAAATAGTGTGACCTTTTGTACATTCTTGGACTGCATCAAGCATGGCTTGGAAGCTGATCTCATCTGTCAGCATTTTCATTGGCAAGCTAGCAGGTGTTTCGAATTTCCAACGTAAACGGGGGAGTGTGAGATTTGTTGCAGTGGTCTTTGCAGCACTAGCGACAGACCAAATGAAAGCATCAAAGGAGGTGTCAATTGAGAAAATGAAAGGATTGCACTGTGAAGACTTCATAATTGGAGCTAATGGTTTTTTGCCACAAGCCAGTTGATGAGAAATTGTTTCGAGGTGAAGATATGCTCTAACAGTCAAGGAAGGCTGAGGTTGGTCCTTGTCACCAGATTCAAAGACTGCAAGTTTACTGCGAGATTTACGACCGGTCTTGGCTTTGTTCTTTCCCTTCAATATGCACAGGCCTCTGGAAATGTCTTCGCTGTCGTTTCCTGCATCTGTGGTGGGTGCAGCAAATTTTCGCTTCTTCAACACCTTAGCAGGTGCCACGGTGTGGGTGAGGAAAATAGACTCTGTGAGAATCAGAAGTCTAACAAGGGTGCGAGGCTTATACTTGTCCTGAGGGGATTGCTACTGGGTAGCGAGTCCTCAAATAAGTGCGAGGAAACAAAGACTAGACTCTGTCTAGCGACCCGAAGGGTTCCGGTCCTTACTAGGACTGGGAACACAAAGATGCGGAGGGTTCCCGACGAGCAGAACTCAGCGCACGACGAGCGGAACTACGGGGAACTAACGGAACTAACGCGGAGCAAACAGGACAAACGGGAAACAAACAGAACTAATGGGTAACGAATGGAGGGAAAAGAAACTACGAGCCTGCAGGAGGATGATTGGGCAAAGTCAGACCAGGCTTGTGTCTGGTACTTGCTCCAAGTCGTCGGATCCGATGTCGGGCGTTTCGAGCGGAACTCACGGGGGCGGGAACGATGCAATGTGATCAGGAATAGATTCGGGAAGATATTTTAAACAGTGAGTGGAGTACTGGGAAGTACTCTGTAAGTGGAAGTGGAGTCGAGTCTATCAGAAGGTAAAAAACTAAGATCCCATCTATTGCTACCTATATAGGAAGGGGTTCCGAAATGCGATATGCTACAACCGGGTGAGGCTGTGAGATAAGGAATCGGTCCCGAGTAGCGGAAGGATCCAGTATAAGTACCGTAACACATGGGAAATGAGATAGGAACATGTTAGTGACACGGGGAACGTAGCTAGTACTCACCAGCGAGGATGGAAGGACATGGACAAGACGTAGGAGGATGTCCCGAAGGCTGAAGGAATATAATGCGTGTGGTACGCAATTGTTCTGCTGGGTTCCGCTGGGTTCCGCTTGGTTCTGTGTAGCGGACGGGTCGGGGAAGATGCGGATGGGTAGCGGAATGCGCGGGAAAATGGTGGGAAGGCATGGGAAATATGCGGGATACGGGCCTACAGTGGGGACGTTCCCCACACCTGTGGGGGACTCAGATACTGACTGTCCCCAGTCAGCACTATAGTAATTGACGGACTTAGCAGGATTTCTTCTAAAAGAGTCACATGACGTGGCTGTAATGGACTGAGTGGACGGAACGCAGCTGAGGAAGCATGATGATGATGATGTCGCGTGAGAAGTTAATGGAACGATGGAACGAAACGTGATCGAAGAAGCTCAATGGGAATGATGTCGCGCGAGAAGTTAATGGAATGAAGGGTTGGAACGCGACCAAAGAAGTTTGATGGCAATGATGTCACGCGGGACGGAGGAATGAAGGGTCGGAACACGGCCTAAGAAGTCTGATGGTAATGCTGTCGCACGGGATGATGGAACGATGGGCCGGAACGTGACCGAAGAACTGGTTCCTCAATGTAATGGGGAATGAAGGATAAACATGGGCGCTCCTTGGATCATCCGCTTCTTTTTGTCAACTTTTCACCCCCAATCGCTCACTAAGTCCCCTCTCACAACTATGTCTTTTAGCTTTGCTGCCTTCACTCCTCCTGCACCCCTCGACTCAGGTAAGGATCGGATCCTCGTGGAATGGAAGGAACTGGAGGATAGGGTGATTGCTGAGGCAAAGTGCATTCCGGATGATAAGGAGGAGCTGCAGGAAGAATGGAGGATGTGGTGCGAACGTTGGGCCGATATTATGGTGAGTGATCCGTCTATTCCATTCGATACGGAATGTTACCCCTCCACTTCTAGAGAGCGCTATCCAACTGCACTGACCGGGGCCGCGCCCAGAATGTCATCCTTACGATGTCCGGTGAGGCAAGGGCCGCTGGGCTTGGGGCTAATGAGCAGTACGAACGATGGACTCGTGAACGCGGTGCCCTCAAAGCGCTGCGCGAAGGATCGTGAGTCCCGTGAGGTGCAGATGGGTATTGACTCCCCCCCGCGCGCCCGCACCTGATCCACCCCTGCACAACCCCCTTCAATGGACAGAACGGGCGGGTCTGCATCCCTCGCCCCCCGGATCAACTGTATGAAGATGGAGGTAGCTATCCCGTCCAAGGTACATCTATCCCGTCACCTTGTGTTCGATGCTAATTCGACTTAGTCCACTGTTGCTCAGAAGCTCGTTACTCACAATCCACCCTACATGCGTTGTGTGAAGGTAAAGAAGGAGTGTGTAGGTGAGGACAAGCGGTCCTGTAATGGGTGCAATGCGGTTCATCAGAAGTGTGAGTATGCTTCGTTCAGAAAGGCGATGGGTATGTGATATGGGTTCCGATTGTGTTCTGGATGGTGCTGACTGAGTGTACGGATAGGCCTTAAGGGCAAGGTATCGGATGCACCCACCCTCTCTGCTAGTGCTAGCGGATCCCTCCACCGGACCGTCTCATCTCCCGGGTTGGCTGTTCCGTCTGGCAGTGAGCCGGAAATCGTCGAGGCCCCTGTGAAGCGCGCCACCCGCAACACACGCAAGGCAGCGGAACCCAAGGGTAAGGGAAAGGGTAAGGCAAAGGAAGTCGTCCCTGCCACCCCTACAGTGGAGGAGTCGTCTGATGAAGTGTCGCACTATGAGAAGGGCTAAATCGCGAAGGTGCAGCATGAGTTGTGCGTCCTGAAGGGCCAGCTCATCAGCCTCTATGAGTCTGCCTACAAGATTTCGACTGAGGTGGGTCGCTTGGAGAGGCGTCTTGGGGGTCTCCTCTAGTTAGCGGATCTGCCCCCCTCCCGTATATACAATGTCTTCGAATTGTCCGTCTGTCATATCCTGTACAATGTATGCATTTTTTGGTCGTTCCGTCTGGGTTCCACATGGGTTCCGCATGGGATCCGTCCTGGTTCCGTCCGTGTCCCTATCCAGATCCTCACTGATGCTATGGGATAATGGGACTATAAGTAACGTATAAACGGGTATGAGTCGGGAAGGAGAAATATAACACTGTAAGCCTGCGGACTATGCGTCCGACTTGTCTTCATCGATCCGCTTCATTCCTCTATTCCTCGCCCACCGTCCACGGACCCGACAGGCTTTGTCTATTATTGAATGGAACACTTGGGAACTACAAACATGCATGGTGCGGCTTCATGCGGGAGAAGTAAAACGGGTCCTTTGTGGTTTATGCGCGCACATATAGTCTAATCGGATCGAATGGCAAATATATAGCGGGAATCTGTAGATATGTAATTTCTTTCTTTTTAGTATGTGGGGCGGGTAGAGACGGAACGAAACCGAATGAGAGACGGATCACTGGACGAAACCCGGGGTAAAACAGAGAGTAGTACTTCTATGATATATTTTTGTTTTGACGGTATTTTCTTTTTCTTGGATATAGGATGCGATCGGGTCGGGGGATATTTACTGGTATGAGGGTCGGGTGGTATGGGGATGATGATTGTTATGCGCTGGTGTCGGGCTCGGGTTCTTCTTCGTCTGGCTTGTCGGCATCTCCTTCAGCCAACTGGTCTAATGCATCGTCCTCTAGTCCAGTGATAGTAGTAACTGGGATGTGGATCACACTGCGGGGGTGGTACGGGAGTATGCGGAATGCTGCATAACGAAGTCGCGATATGGACCCGTCCAGTTCCGCCAACAGGTACGATCCTCCTGTCGTCCTACGAAGGACTACCATTGGTCCTAGGTACTGGGGCTTCGTCTTCTGATTCAGCTCCGACTTGATCCGTGAGTTTCGGACTAGTACCAAACTACCCGGGAGGAAGTCGTAATCCTTGATGGAGGTGCGGAACCTCGCTTCGAAGTCCTTGACGGACTGGTACCTCACTTTGAGGACTTTACCCTTAATCGTGTCAAGGTCCTCCCGACGCTTCTGGAGTTGCGTTGCACACCATGCTATAAGTTCTGTGGATGAAATTGAGTCTTTCCCGGGCGGGGATACAAGGTAAGTTGCTTCTGTGATATCAAACGGAAAGAGGGGCTCGACCCCATGTACCATGAAGTACGGGGATAGTCCGGTGGACTTCTGGATAGTTACCCGCTCCGCCCAGAATACAGAGTGCGCGGATTGGTACCAATGCAACTCATCCCCCTCGCAACTTTTCATGATGGCCTCCCAGACATCGTAGTGCCTACACTCCACGATCCTGTTCGCCTGCGAGTTATAGGGGGAGATCCGGATATGATGGATCCTGTACTGCTCACGTAACGAGTCTACTGCTGCGATGAAAGGGGTTCTGTTGTCAGTAACGATTTCTGCTAGAGGACCCCACTGGCAAAGAATGTCCTCGAAGATAAACGCGGCTAGCGTCTTTGTGGTTTCAGTGCGGAGCATCCTCCATTCCGGGTAGGAAGTCAATGCGCAACACGCTTGGACTATACGTGTATACCCGCCCACTTTGGGCATCATCATGGTATCAAGGTGGGCCTTGCGGAACAGGCCCCCGGGTATCGGAATGGAGGGGGGGATATGTAACTTGCGGGTCTGGCAGATCTGGCATTCATGACATGTCCGGAGGTACCACTTGACATTGTCGACCAGGGTAGGCCACCAAAAGCGTAGGAGAAGGTGGGTCCGGACAGTGAAGACACCCTTGTGCCCGAGGTCGTCATGCGCCTCCTTTACTATCCGGTACCTCTTCCTTTCTGGAACCACTAATTGATGCCTCCCGTGGGGTTCCCATCGCCACATTGATCCTTCGAGAACGAAGAACCGGGATGCGGACATCACAAACGACGTGTATTCCGTATCTGATAAGGCCTCAGGTCGTTCCTGGGTTTCGAGGTATAGGTGGAGGGAGTCGATTTTTGCATGCTTGGCGTCAGCTTTTGCTGATTGCGGAAAGGATGGTTCTTCTTGTTGGGGGCCGATGATATCTAGGAATACAAGTAATGGGGATGCATCGCTGCTCGTAACAGTGGAACGATTCATATATGGGGCCCAGATGGGCTCGTGGTCAGTGGGCAGGACGGATGATATTGTGGGTAGAGTCCTATCATTGAGGAACTCGACCCCGAAGGAATACGCGCGGTCTAGCCAATCCTCATGGTCATCATCCTCCACGGGATCCGCTTCAGCGGGCAGCCTCCTTGAGAGACCATCTACCCCTGCATGCTTGGCTGCGGGAACATGAACGAACTCGAAGGAAAAGAGCAGGATACCCGCGATCCATTGATTGATAGTCGCATTGGGCTGAAGATCCAGATTATTGATCATACCTTTGATGTACTTTGCATCAACCTCTACAGTGAGGTTCGTGACCCCAAAAATGAATACCCGGACCGCCCGCAACGCGCGGAACAGTCCGTACAACTCGAGCTTGGCTTGTGAGTAGCGGGACTTGACTTCTGTCAGTGTGATGGATCCGAAACGATTCGGGTATCTTTTCTTATCTGCCCCTACCTGAAGCAGGATGTACCCGATAGCAATATTGGAGGTATCGATGGCTAGGATGACTTCCCGCCCGCACTCATAGTCGATCCGACGCAGTGCGGGGGACTCTAATATCGAGTCCTTCAGGGTCTGCATGGCGAGTTGGTGTTCCGCTCCCCACTTGAATATGGCGTCCTTCTTCGTCAGGTTGATGAGCGGGCAGGCGATCTGGGAGAAGTTACGGATGAAGATCCGAAGCACCCCACAGGTTCCTAGGAATCTGCGGACCTGGGTTGTGGTCTTGCACTCTGGCCAGTCACGGATCTTCTGGACCTTGGACTCTTCTGGGATGCGACCCTCGAAGATGCACATGTGTCCCACAATTACCACGGACGGAGCTGCTATTACAAATTTTGATGCGGAAACCGTGACCCTGACGTTCTCAAGACATTGGAGGATCCAGTTGACGACCAGGCAGTGTTCTCATATGAGGCGACAGATCCCCGGGTTTCGGGGAATGGTTTCGTAGGATCCGTCATCCCGTTGGTACCGGGTCTTAACTGATTTGATGGGCACGTCGTCGATGAAGGGGGAAGTATGATCCGGGATTTCATCCTGGAGGGTGAATGCGCTATCACCTTGGTAGACTTGGACTGCGTTGGCATGTCCTTGTGGAAGGGTAGTGAGTCGATGGGGGCCGAGGGGTGTTCCGAAGGTAGTGAGATCCCAGGACTCCTCATGGAGGAGACGCTGGTCATAACCCGAGTAAAGGTCCATCATCCCATATACTGCATACCCAGCGAATGATTCTGTGAGATGCTCAACGAACGGAGGGACGGATGCATCACGGATGGTTACTGCGTTCAGGGGTTGGAGGTTGTGCACAAGCCTCAATGACTTCCCATCCTTCTTCACGACACAGAACCAGCGGGAATGGTATGCGGCTGTGGATGGCTCGTATACACCTGAATCGATTTTCTCCTTGATGATGCAGATGACTTCTGTTAGGATTGTGGGAGGAATGGGGATGTTACGTTGAACCCATGGGATATGCGGAACTGTGGGGATTTTATATGCTGGAAAATAATCTTCGTTAAGGCGCCCGCGTTCCGCGGCGCCCCAAGCAAATGCCAGTTCATGGGTGCGGACTAGCCAACGGATCAGTTTGAGTTCCTCCAGCCATAACCAATTGGCCGGATCAAGGTCTAATGCTCCCATCTGCTCTTCCATATAGCAGACCCCTGGAACAAAATCGGGGGGGAATATGGGTAATTCAGGCATGCCTGCTAACGGATCGTCTGGGAGCCAACACACGACCCTAAATTCTTTGGGCATGTGGTGGGCACTGTCCGCACTTTCTTCGCAACTGGTTTATACACCAGCACATGACGGGTGGGATCATAGGAATAAACGGAATTGAACGCATCAACGGCTGCAGGATTGAGCACGGACTGGGTCAACATGAGATACGAATACTTCTCGGAATGTGGACTCACAGATTCATAGGAATATGCACGGACGGATGAGCTCCTTGAGAGCGACAGACGGACAGAACTGACGGGACGGACAGAACGAGAATGAAATGGAGATGGGGAAAGCGGACGCGTAACTTTGACTATCGGATTTGAATCTCCCCGCAGGTCTAGCGGCTCATCAAAAATCAAAAATCCCACTCCCCTCCCTTGGGATGCTCAGTACAGTGCTGTCCGGAACCACAGCGCGCGCAGGGCTTAGACCATGCGCGGGTCGGAAGCTTGATCTCACAGCTTGTGTTAGGGTCAGTAAGTGTTACGTCCTGTTCCCCGCTGAGGAGATCCGTAGTATGGCAACTCGTCAACTTGAAGAACGGACGACCCAACAGGACCTCAAAGTTAGCCCGCTCGACGACTTGGACTTGGAAAAACATTTCCCCCGCCCCAAAATTGAAGGACAAGTTCTCGATGACACCTAGGGTAGCGTCCTTTGAAGTATTGACGGACTCCATGGTGGTCTGATGGTCGGAACGAAGGGGTACACCTAGCGCCTGCCAAACGGACCGGGGCATGACAATGACTTCCACTCCCTGGTCCAGGACACAGGTGAGGGCCCGCTTCCCATGGACGGTTCGCTTCAATGCATCGCAGGGGCTCAAAGTGCTTGCCTACTACATGTCCCCGGTCGTCGTGGGTGACGTAGTCCTCAAATCCCCTGACAAACTCCTCGTTTTCTGGGCAACTAGTGAGCCCATTTACAAGGACGGTCCCGTTCATCACCCGTCGCGTGGTAGTAAGATCCCGGAACTGTTTACAGAAGTCTGGCGCAATTGCGAACAACTCCCTGACAGGAACAGAGATGGAGGAATCGAGGACCCGACTGAGGACCGGAGCGTCCGCGCCCTTGTCTTCTAGTTCGAACGCATACCTATATTGGCTCGACGACGGAACGGAGGAAGGTGTGTTAGTACGTGTTGAATCAGTGGGAAACGAACTGGTAGATGCGGATGGTGGCTGTGCGACGCGGGGAGTATTGACTGGCTTCGGGGCGGGCATGCTAACTGGTAGTAATGCGGCAGGGGCGACTGCTGGTGCCTTCCCCTTGCTGGTCGATGCTTGGACTGCAGGAGATACGATCTCCTCTGTCACGGTAGGCTGTTTAGAGGCAGGCCCCGCGCGCGACCGCATCATGGGTACGTCGACTCTGTCAAAGCGGATGGTCTTGCCCTTCTTGTCAGACTTGGGGGCCGGCCTGGAAGACTGGGTTGCAGCCCATGCGAGGCTGAAAGCCTTAACAAAGCGGGCATCCTCATCATTGTCATCTGACTTGGGTTCCGCCCAAGTGGTCAGATACGCGGAGGGTTCTACTTCCAACATGACCTCTTCATCGGGACCAGCGCGACAAAACATTCCTGCGGTTACATTCATATGGGGGGGCGGATCGCGCTGGCTCCACGGGATACGGGGTGATGTAGCGGATGCGGGGTCCTGTACATGACCGTCAATACGTTCCTTTAGGGTTCTACCCTCGCTCAGATGCCCAGGGATCCATCCCCCATCTGGCATACAAATCTGGCCACTGATCGCGTGGCATTTACACTTACCGTCGCGGATGTATGTCTCCGCTTCCGCACATCTCCGCACAAAATGATTGGTCCCTCCGCAAAACATGCAGGGCCTAGGCCCTTGGGCTTGGCGGAATGAATACTCCTGTTTAATTACCATTCCCGGACCGGGTTGCTGATGGGTCGGCGGAGGCGGTAGTGTTGGTTGCGTTGGTTGTGTCGGGGGTGCTGGAGCGGCCGATCGCTGCGGAACAAACATGTACATCAGGTATCATATTTGTGCCCTATGTAGGGCTGATCCTTGACATAGAACATATGTATGAATGTACTACTGATTATATATGAGCAGGCTGAATTATTTATGCAAGATTAAGACACTGAAAAACATCAAAAATGTCAAAAATGCGATTTTCTATATTTTAATTCCTGTAGAAGGATCCTATGTGTGTACTGGGCCAGCTATATGATATATCTACTCCAAATATACATAGAAATAGACCCCTCACCTCAATTAAGGTCCGGTCCTACAGGAAAAAATTTCACAGGGGGTGAACCACCAGGAGAGGGGGGTACACTATGCAACAGGTGATCATCCTATGGTCCTATGCTCCTGATATATTGTTCCTACTGTTGAATAGATACTGGGAATCATTTTTCAAAGTCTGTCCACCTAGAAATCATTAAATGAGAACACATTTTATGTTTTCTTGCATATGTGCTATATCTATTGATGTAGGACGCTTCAGGGGGTGAAATAAAGATGGGAATCTACTCATATATGCTCATAGACATGTTCTGAATATAATAGAACACCTCCCCACCAAAGGGGCAAAAATGCGAAAATGTTTTATAACCTACCCTATGTCAAGAGGGCCCTAGAGGAGGAGCAGGCACACAAATAGACAAAAAAAGCGGTCTATTACATTATATCATACATATATATACTAAACTGCTACTTATATATGCACAGGGATCTATTGTGGTGTGGTGGTGAAGCTGCAATGATGTAGGGGGAGGGTGGGAATAATTGAAATTGTGGGGATGTACCATATTGGGTCATGTTTTGGGTGTTGTGGAGTAAGGTGGCTAAAAATGCGAAAATGCGGAGTGTGGGAATAGTGTGAGAAGGCCTGACATGAGGAGGTGACCAAATGCCTGGAATGACAAAAGCTGAGTTTCAAAATTGCCAAAATTGCGGCAGTGCATATTGGGTACATGGTGATATATCATTTGTAATGGCATCTAAACAATTTGCCGTGGTAAGCCGACTCCAGGGATATATCACGGATTTACTTCAATGACAGTAAATGATATATCATACTGCCAGGATATTGTGCATCTTCGGCTGCTTCTGGCAATGAACTAGGGAGTCCAGCTATAACGGAATGAAGATCGGCAAGCGATTGGGCAAGCTGTTTTTGCTGCTCGCTCAATTGAGCCATGGTAGTTGTGCTGCCCTGATAACAAAGATATGCACTGAGCAAATTGAATTGGACAGTGAGCGCTGACCACCATGATGCGTGGGAACTACTACTGCTCCAGCTGTACAGTTTTTACCTTAACCACGTCAGTCTGATTGCTGCATCAAAAGTTAAAATATTATGATTCAATACACAGGTCATATTATAATGTAATCATACAATAATATAATGTACTGGATTGTATGGTGTACGCAGAGCCCCTCCGCGAGCCTGTATTATAATCAAGATAATGATTAATAATAATATTATATTAAAATATAACCTGTAATGTGAACAGCACTACCTCTGACCTATACCCTCGGGCACCTGCAGAAGCTCATCAAGTTTGTATTCCAGCCAGCGAAGGAAAGTGAGATGGGCGGATCTTACAATTTTCGACATGCCACACGGCACGCCAGCTTGCCATTGCATGCAAGGCGCCCAGTGCCTTCATCCTCCAAGGGTAAACAGCCAGCTCTAGATTTAGATCCTGAGCCAGGACATTTGTTTGAGGTGCAACAAGACATCGAAATTTCCCGCTCTGGCAAGAAAACGAGTGGGAAGACGCTGGTAAAAGCGTCTACCATGAGCCGGCGGCCCAATATCAGGCGCTTTGCTTTCATCTCAATACAAGTGGTGGATACCGCCGAGGAATAAACTGAAGCCATACATAGCTACACACGGAGTTTTGTAGAGACCAGTACATATGTACTCACACTCACGCTGGTTGACGCTACTTCAGGTTTACTCCGGGTCGTGACAATCATGGGAATCATGTCGGCGGGCGGAAGGAACGAGGTCGAGCCGACATGCTCACCACACACTAATGGTAATATATGATAGATGGTTCCCGATCCCGCAAGACATTTGCAGTTACTACGCGAAACTATGTGACGACTTGGTGTCTTCGCAAGATCTTCTCAACTTACAACCTATCTGTACTAGAGCAGTGCCATATATCATTCAATAACTTGTAAGGCAGGAAGATGGTACCAATCAGAGTCGGCGACTTGGTGCGTAACAATTCCGTGCTCATGACCGAAGGACGGCTCAGATATTGCCTTTACCCTGAAGTGCGCCCTCCTGGCTGGAGCCTTGGAAGCCCTGACCAGGCCCAAGCCCTTAGGCCTACCGTGGGCCCTGGCTCCTGGGGCCTGAGGCCAGGCCCGGTACCTCACTAGGGCCGTCCCCCCTACTAGTGCACACGCGGTACAGTTAGTCTCCCGTAGGCCAGTGCTGTCCACATTCATAAGTACCTCAGCGTTTCACCTTTGCGTCACATTGCATCACGTCCCAGCTTCCAAGCATTAATATTTTTTCTGCGTTTTCTGCACACGCGGTTCGTCACAGAACCCAATTCCTGATAGGAATCTCATCCCATTGCGATCTGCAGCTATCTCTACACACAGGTGCGTTCCTCAGACTGTCGGCAGAGAGGTCACTAACTTTTTTTCCAGACCGTGACCATGGCCGACCCTATCACCTTCACTGAGACTATCACCGCGATCATGACCCTCATCGAGTATTCACAGACTCTCTACTCGCTCTTTGGGGGGGATGCGCAAGACACCATCACACTCGAAGACGTTGCACGCCTGATCAATTCTACCAACGTGAATTTGTTTGCGGGGAACGAGTTCGCCGGCATTAAAACCATTCGCGACAAGTTCTATGATGTATATCTGCCAACCATCACCGCACAGTCTTCCATCAAGCAGGTTGACATCATCGAGCCGGGCTTCCTGGCCGAGACATATGGCTCCATCAAAACGGAGAAGGATACGGTGTGGAAGTCCCTACAAAAGTTGGATTGGATCTTCAGTAACAATGATCTCCACGTCGACGACTACAACTTCTTTACCCGGCTCATCTGCCAGGGTTATGTGCTTCTCCTGCACATGCACTCCGTCACTCAGAACCTCCGTTCTGTCGAACTCCTCGGAGTAGTCGACCTCGACAACTACAAACTCCTGCCGGAGACACTGACCCTCCTGGACTACATCAATAAAGGCTTGGAGCAAGTTGCAAAAATGGACAATAGAGTCTGCAACTTGCGCCTTGGTCAAATCTCGGAGGTCAAAACGGACTATATTTGTATCGGCGAATCGGCATGCGTGCTGTATTCGTGGAATGACGAGTATCAGAAGCTGTCGTCCACCCTCTGGGACCAGGCGATCACCGGAGACAAGTTACCTGGTTCCTGTAGTGAACAGCCGGGCTTATGGGGCGATACCAAGAAAAATGTTATCCAGAAGAGGACGGAACGCGTTGCGTACATTAAGGAGGTATACAATGCCCTTACCGGCAACGACCTGTCTAAGTTGACGGAGAAAATGACGGGTTTGAAGCCAAAGATCGAAGGCCGGGTAACGAAGCAGGGGGGGAAGGTCGCGCCTGCTCCGGTCGTGGCGCTCCCGTAAAGAGATAAACAGTCGAACTCTAGCATCTTGGCAGTGACATCTAGATCTAGCAAGTATAGTGGCCCAGGCCGCTTGTCTTCTACTCGTACCTACATTACCTATACATTGTCTGTTTGCGTATAAGTAATTAACGGTCGTTTACTTACTGAATTTGCTAGCACTGTATTTCGATCGCAGAACCATTGTGCGTTTACGTCGGAAATCATGCGCGATGACCGTCGTGCTCGAGACAAACACAAGGCCCATCGCGACACCCGAGCCCGAGCCTTGAACGAGGAATATCTATACAAAATTAGAAAACGAGACCAAAAGGCTCGAGGGACGTCACCTGGTAATACTGAATAGATCTTGATAAAGAAAATATGAAGAGGGATTCTGCATAAGTGATCCGGCAATCAGATGGTAGCTATCATGCTGGCTGAGCGCTGTTTACCCAGTGTCGCACCTCGCACATGGCAATCAAGAAATGTCCATAAAATTAGCATGCCAAGGAATAACAACGCCCTGCAATTAATTACCACATACACTACACGTCACCAGCAAAAGTCATCACCATGGCTTGACGCCCCAGCCCAAAATGGCAAATGTGACGGGCAAGCCTTCACCTGCCAAGATTGCGATTCCAGCGTAGACCACCACCTTGGTCAATACTAAAGAAGAATTATTCTCAGAATTTCGCATCTTGTCAAAAACAGTGTACTCACCATCAGCATCGTAATGTTTGACTTCCTTGCGTTGAAATGGCCCGTTGCTGTTCTCGAGCTCGGATCCGCTGTAAGCCCCGGGGTCTCCATTGGCTAACGACGAGCCGTTGTTCGACTTTGCACCTCTTCGCTTGACCTCATTCGTTCCGCTTGTTCTTCCCAATCCCGACCTTTCCCTCATTCCGCTGACCTCAAGGACGCCAGGAAGATCGATCATACTCGGAATTGGGCGCAAACTGCTTTCAACCGGCATGTGTTGGTAGTCTGTCGCAGGGGTATAGAAGCGCCGATGAGGTAGGTCAAAGGAAGACGCAAGAAGGCGGAAAAGAGGCGGAAGAGTGAGGTGCAGCAGGGATTTTGCGAGAAGGCGCCACACGAAAATTACAAGGATCCCTGCGTAGAGAAATGTAAGTAAGAGAGCAAGATAGGAAAAGAAATGGGAACGGACCGACAGTAACTTTGGCGCAAGCCAGAGTCCACCACGAAACTGTATCTTTCCAAGTCCAAACGATTCCCTGAGGATTGGGCATCACAGAACCCAGGAAGCGTTCGTCGACGCCAGAGTATACAATGTGCCACCTACATAGCGCAATGCCGAGGATGACGGAGACGAATGCGATGGCATCTTCGAAGCAAGGACAATCGTCGACCGGTTGTGGATGGTAATGTACAAGTAGTAGACAGATGGGGATCACCGTCAGCGGAACTGACAAGAAAAATGAGTAGGAATACCAGCAACGACGAAAGGCATCACCTATCCAGCGAGCACTTGCCAGCCAATTTTCAATTGTCTCTTTCAGAATCACATAGGCTCCCGAGATTATAGCGCCAAGGAAGACACCAACCGCACAGTCGGTAAAGGAATGCATGCCCGTGTACAAGCGCCCGAAGACAATGGTTGTGGCGTATATCACGAGCATGGCACACGACGCATAGTACATCGATGATGATATCGTGGCTGATTGGATGTAAGCGTTTCTAACATAGCCGAAGATAAAAAGCGCCATGGATACGCTGTTCGTAGAATGCGTTGAGGGAAATCCATATTCAAGATGGTGCGTCCCGATCGCTAGGAGAATGCGCTCGATAAACTTTGCTATGAAGGAGTCTCGTTCACTTACTCAGTCGTGTTACGGGAGGGGCCAAAGGACGAGGTGAACAGATAAGGTCCTTCACGAATGAAGAGACGTAGACTCCGGAAGCTAAAACAATCACTAAGCTGTATTTCATTTGAGTTACAATAATTGACGGACGAGGAAATCATACCCTCGTCCGATCTCCTCATAACCGAAGAAAAACAATAACGGTAAACCAATCATGAAGAAAGTGTGGGTACCAAGGGACGAGCTATAAAGGAAGTACGCATCCAACCATGGGTGTCGTATACATTCCTACGGAGAGTCATGAAACAAACTGGCATATTGAAGAAGAAAACAAGACGAGCCTGCATCCGGGCCAAGATTCGACTCTCTTGTTTCACCGAACTGAGAATTCGGGCACGTATAGCTGCTCTCCACCATGGAAGTACCGTTTCGTACAAGTCTTGAACATAAGGCGCGTCGGTGCGTCCTTGCTTATCCAGCTGCAAAGATTCTAGTGGATCATGATGAGTGGTGATGACGGGTATCTTATTAACTGTGAGGCCGTCATGAGAAGTCTTAGCAGGGGATAGTGTATGCGAGTTCGACGCCTGAGTCAACATGGGCCAGTACTCTGCCGAGCTGAGTGTCGTGCGTACTCAAAAGACAAAGTGCAATGGAAAAGACGTGCGAATACTACCTTCCAAATCGGGTCTTCCCATCCTGTGCAAGTAGCTTTGATTCTGAACTTTTGATGAGAATGCAGTAGAGTACCGCACAGTGAATCAAACTATAATGTGTAATTAAAGGTATGTAATCATGGCGATGTCTCGACGCCGTACTTAATCCACCCCAGTGTAGCCATTGAATGTATCACCCCCTCTACACCTCTCCTATGGCAACTCCTTCCATACCGACAGAACAAGATTGGCAGAGTCCAGCCAGTTTTCTTACATATGACTCACTCCCGCATCATCATTATGACTTTGACTCGATAATGTCTAACGCAAAGTCCACTGCTGAGATTGGAACCGATTTCTATGACCGCGGTCTGACAAGTCGCAAATATGCTCTTGCTGGAGTGGCATGCTCCAGTATCATCAGCTGCTGTTGCATCACTGCAGGCACTGTTGTTATGTCCACTTGCGGAATTTCGGGTGGGGTTCGGCTGACAGGAGACCCTTCCTATCTGCAGTCAGAGATGTTGATCTTGACACTAAACTTAATCATCACATTATGCACGGAGTCCATAGGCTTCATGCACAGCATCTCGTTACGCTCTGCACTAGCCTCTGAGTCCCGACTTAGTTTCAACACTAATCTGCGCCTTATGACCGCAGCTTGTGGATGGCGCAACCCTAATGGCACTCTCCTTAATGCTCTCATGGCCGTCCTCCTCATCATATCCTACAGCTCAGCCACACTCGCCGTATCTTCTTTTAGCATCATAGGGTTTCCTTTCCTTATTTTGGGGATCGCACTTTTTCTTCAGGTGGCGATCACACTGGCAGGGATGCGATCTGTCGAAACATTGACGTGGAGCTCCTCACCTTTCGATGTCACCGCTGCTCTGGTTCACCACACACAATTGACTCCATCATCTTTCCGGTGCATGCGTGGCGTGTCCGACCGGGACATCATCGGAGGTCCAACGAAGCCGTCAGAGGCGCAGCCCTCGGCGTGGCATGCTCACCCCAGCATCCGGAAAGTTGTGGTTTTTCTTTGGGGGCTCGTTTTAGCATGCGCTGGATGGGCCGCGCTCATCATGTACAAACACAACGAGGCCTCACCCTCGCAATCGTGGTCATTTCTCCCTGATTATGCTTATGACCTTAACTACTCTTTGAGCATCGAAGTTTATCCCACCGGGCTCGAAGCTATCAGTGTTCGGACGTGGATTCTGGCCTTTGTCAACATTACGGCTGTACAAGGACCATTGACAATTGGCCTGCACTGCTCTGAGCTCATCGCAAATGTCATTCAGAATGAAAGGCTATGGAGATGTGCTACAACAAGGAATGGACTCCACACAGCGACGAACCCGCTGAAGGCCTTTCTCGCGAATCCCCTCGGTCTTATTCTCTTCGTCCTGAAACCTGTGCTACGTGAGTCATATGCAACTATCTTTGATGGTTTTCTTGAACAATATCACTAACACGATAAATAGACTGGATGTTTGCGCTGTCATTCGTGTTCGGTCCTACGGCGTGGAGGGTAGATGGCAACAAAATAGTAATTTTACAATACACTGCAACAATGCTTGTATACCAGGTTTGCATTTATTATCCAAGTACAGTCACTACAACATCCTTACGACGCTCGTGCAGATCATGAACTTATGTATAGCGCTGTGTATATTTGCCTGTGTCTTCACTTTCGTTGCACTGCGCCGACCACGCGGCCCCCAGCCGGCCACATACGGGCACCTCCAGACGCTCGCCAATCTCGTGGATGAGTGGTCGCCTGTGATGTGGTGGGGTCACAAAGAGCACGGAATCCCATATTGTCACGCGGGTAGGGCATCTTGACGGACACAAAGATACTGTGTTGACGCTCTTAAATAGGGACGAGCAATCATCCGCTGCCGGATGTAGAGATGGACTGTGTGTATGCTGGTTCTGGCGTTGTGTCCCATTCACCCATCCAGGGAGAAGCACCCATTCTTGAAAAGGTATTTCTTGAATTATGATTTATCTTTCGTCGAGCTGATGATACATTTAGTGACGGTGCACGGCCAGCCACCATCGAACGAGACATTCATGCCGTCTGCTGCACAGGTAGTTTGGCGTGTCGTCATATTGGGCACGCAGTACCCTTTCCAGCTGTTATGATTTTCGCCTCGACTATTATACTTGGGATTGATCTACATGCTCGGTTGATATTCAATGTTTCCGGATACCATACCTTAGATGTTTCCAATTTCTTGGATATGCTGCTTCTGTTCAGAGTTGATGAAATTTGGGCGATCAGTGAGAACGGTGTTCGCGGCTTGCGAGCGGGGCCGCTTGCGCGTTCCCTGCCTGTAATTCCCTTTCCTCCTGGGTTGTTTGGGCGGTTGCACACGCTTTTGAGCGCGGGTTTGGGGCGTTTAAAGCGGGCGAATTAAGGGAGCTTGGCGTGATGCTGTACCGCGGGGTCAAGGAAGTTGATCGCGGGGAGTCATTCAGAGGAGAGTGTGAAGAGTGAAGGAAGAGAGGCTCATGAGGATGGTGTTGGATGTCAGATGGTGTATTGTTGCGTTCTAACTTGCACGGTGAGTCTAGAGTCTAAGAGTGGAGACGGATTGCGATATGGTAAGTGATCATCAACATTCGGTGAACGAGGGATCGTAAACAAAATTCTCGTGCAGCCCCACTATAACGTTCTTGTGAGAGCGGATGAACTCGCTGCAGTAGAACACGACTTTGGAAATGTAGGTGAAAGCCGCGCGTCGAGAAACGGCAAAACGTGTATTGTACAAATTCTGTGCGTAAATCTGAACTGTACTTCCATTAGGTATAAAATCACAGGTGTCCCAAGAAGATATTATCACGAACACAGTGCAGCCTCCCGTTCCTTACACTTGTGCCACGATGCGCCGTGTGCGACACCACTTAGATCCAGCTGCAAAAAAGTGTTGGAGATTACTAGCGTGTTGTCTCGGGCATACGTTATCGGGTGGAAATTGAGTGGGATCCAGAGAAGTTGTCCTTTGGGACCTACAACCCTCCTCGTTCGGGCCCGAAGCGGTTGGGGTTTCTGAATCTTGAGATGAAGGAGACAGAATAAAGGGCATGACTCTGGTTGGATGAGAAACGAATTGCAGGCACTTTGAAGAGTCGGTTCCAGTCAGGAAATTCTAGAGCTCACACCCGGATTGTGCGGTCACATCTGCATGTTAGCGAAAAGTGCAAGCAGCAGGTGCAAGCGGTTACTATGATCTAATTCCTTCACCAGTTTACTAGCACGGCAGGGCAAGTCATTTAACCGCTTGTCCGAAACGTTGCAAGTTTTTCTACGCCTCTAGCCTTTGGATCTGGAAAGTGGTGTCTGTAGACCATGATCCACGCGACTTTTCGTGATTATCACGTGATCGCGTAACTGTTGAAATTTACGCGACGCGGCAAGCGTGGACAAATATATTGTCTGACCCACATCTTTTGATCAAAGCAATTCAATTGTAGACGACTCCTTTAGATCTTCTTCATCGCCAACTTCTCTATCTATAACCTGGAGAACGATGGTTCTCAAACGACCGCTAGATTTTTATGAAAGTCCTGTACCAACATCATCTCCCCGTGGTCCAAAACGTCGTCGACATCTATCTTCTTTACCGCCTTCGTCGCCGTTCACATCAGCCTCTTCATTATCTGCAGCGCCCAGAACGCCATGTAGCTTCCGAAATTGGACGGTACCCTGTGACTCTCCCGCCAACCCCTTTGGTCGCATCCGGCGGCTGACAACGAGCACAACGCTTCCCCGCCCTTCTTCGTACTCGAAGCACTTGCCACTCCGTTTCCAGCTCATCCGACCCGACGGTGACGGCAGAAGTCACACCAACAAAGATGGGGTGTACAGAGTCGTTCAAGTCCCTCTGACCTATACCCTCGGTCACCTGCGGAAGCTCATCAAGTTTGTATTCCAGCCCGCGAAGGAAAGCGAGATGGGCGGATCTTACAATTTTCGACGTGCCGCACGGCACGCCAACTTGCCATTGCATGCAAGGCACCCAGTGCCTTCGTCCTCCAAGGGTAAACAGCCAGCTCTAGATTTCGATCCTGAGCCAGGACATTTGTTTGAGGTGCAACAAGACATCGAAATTTCCCGCTCTGGCGAGATAACAAGTGGGAAGACGCTGGTAAAAGCGTCTACCATGAGAGACCCCTACCACTATCCTGGTAATGGCTCAGAGGGCAGCTTGCTTGATGCTGAAGACGGTGAAGACGACACTTGGCGGTGGGAAGCGGAAGAGGACTTTAAGCTTTCGCAGCTCTGGGCTCCGGGTGGAGACCTTGAGAAAGGTATCATATATGTACGTCTTTTCTCTTGCCGTGCACTGGACAGATCTCATATTCATGAATAGCGTCATGACTCTACGACTCAAATCCACATCACATTAAACACGAAGAAGATTCAAAGTCGCAAGGGCGTTGGCAATAAGCCTTTCCTCTTCATGGCATGGGGTTCCGCGGACATATTCGCGCCACCTTCAGCAGCCTCTTCTATTATCCTTACTGGCATTGAAATAGGCCGGTGGAATGGTTTATCTGCGTTTGAGAAGTTCTTGAAGGCTGAAGAAGAGAAGGAACGCTTATCGTGTAGCGTAGAGGAAGAAGAACTTCTGGATGATGATGCAGAAGGGGAAGTTGATCCTAATGTCGTATGTCCATTTCCGCACCTTGATGTAAATATTCTAATTTGACTTTCCTAGTCTTCATCGACGCTTCCCATGTGCCCCTCCATTGGCTTTTCGTCACCCGCTTCACGCTCTTCATCAATATTCTCCCTCACCTATTCGTCTTCAGCATCTTCAGCTATCACTCCATTCCCCGCCTCGCCATCAAGGAAGCGTCGAGTCGACTATGCAAACAAACGGATGCTCGAGTTAACGAAGAAAGTGAGGAAAAGCTCGAATGGCTCGGACGGTGAGGATGACAAGAAGGAAGAAGCCGACGAGCTTGATGACGATGACGATGAAGACCCTGCCGCGGCAGAAAAACCAAGCGACTGGGATCCTTTCGGGCCTGACGAAGCTGAAATATGAAGTTGAACTCGTGCTCATGTGGGTTGGTTGGGTTATTCGGAATGGGTACATATGACGATATATATAATTTGGCATATTTCGTGTTCGCACTAGTAACATCATCATGGTTTCAACATGGGTCAATACAATGGCATTCTGAACAATTTCTGATAGAGAGGAACTGGTCACCAGTCTAAGAACCAGTCTGACGTGCAAGGAGTCTACACTTCTCGGAGACAACGCCACTCTGGTGTCTCACGGCCAGCCTGAGTTCAATCGGCAGTCCCCAATAATCGCAAAATTGAAAGGGTCAGGCAGAGGTGCCAGAAAATCTATGTGTGAAGGATATAACTGACTGCGACAAGACGATCCGTGTTATTTAAGCATACACTCCCAGCCGCCGTCACCGTCTCAGCTCTCCTGAGACTGGTTCTTATACTGTTTTGCCCACTACAAGTGAATGAACAACAGTACGAGCACACAAAGTGGGAAAGCGTACCATCATGGACGGAATTGGTCGGTCGGGTTGAATATGTCTGACCTGTTCAAGCCACGCAAAATAAGGACCACAGCAAGAAACGAGAAAAGCGTTCCGCACCTCACGGTCCGCACTGACACTCCAAACTCCGTACGCAATGGCAAACATACCAGCAAAAGTTACGACCGTGTTAGCTCGCCAATTTGCGGGACGGCTCCACCAACCACCTGAGGCACATCCGAGTCGTCAGGTTGAGTATTAGCTCGGAACCAGCCGCTTGGACGTACCAGAGGGGGACCACACATGCTTTGGGTATGGATATCTAGCGCCACCTCCCTAAAGACATGTCAGTGTAAGGCAATGTGCATTTCGAGATGATATTACCATGTCTTTTGGTTCTGCGGAAGTTGAGTGTGTCGGGGAAAGCAGCGAAGAGGGAAGATTATGTAAGACGAACTCGACAACCAAATTGAATTCCTGATCCTTAGACTGTGACCACTGACTAGCTCTACGAGTGTCTGTGAATTGATAGATGCCGCTCCTGATTTTTTTTCCTGCCAATATGACTATCAGTCTCCAAGAACAATCGCGAACGATGTTAACGACTGTACAAGTGATAGTGAGCTTATCTTTCTTGCTAGGTTCTCTATGCAGTGGAATCTGGATCATTTCATCCGTCTTTTGTGAGGAGCCCTGGTACAGCCGGTACATCGTGCATGCTTTTTCCCCTCGTACTCATCTGTTAGTAGCTTTATAGGAACTTGGTCTACAGGTCTGGCTAGGAGACTAGAGAAATCCGAAACAGCACTATCACCCAAGACCGGACTTCCATGATAACATTATATCTTATCTCATACCTCGTAATGCCTTGTAACTAAATACAATGTAGCGTCAGCTGCTCAGCCTGCTTGATCAGCCATATATTGTTTCCACGAAAATTATCAAGTTGATTTTATTATCCTGCGAAGATGAACTGGAAATCTTTCTCGAGTGATGATCACACTGAACAAACATGGCGCGCCTTATGTCCCGGTCCTGTGCGCTTCTTCTTATCTTCATTTTCTGGTGTACAGCTCACCATCATACTTCAATACAGATAAGATAATCAAGTTGTCAAGGGAAAGAAAGCAGTGTGGGAGGGTATTGGCGAAGTCGGGGCGAAGGTTTAGCAGGGGATCATTGTTGCAGCAATGAGTCGACTGACGTCAGCGAAAATACCAACTTATCTGATTCTACACATCGTCCAGCATGCAACTCCAAGATACCCATGCCCTCATACTCGTTATCACCCTTCAGAGCTTCATGTAAGCCCGTTGGCTTATTTGAGTTCCTATAATCAGCATAAATACTGTCCGAGATAATGAAAGCATGAGCTTTCATTATCACTGCCTTTTGGCGTAACGGTTAAGGGACGACAGTCTTGGCTACTTACACTTCACCGATCATCACCCCTCATCGATTATGACCCTCAACATGTTCTATCTGTTCGTCATGATTTGGGTTTACTACGTTGCAAATTGCTCCTATGGTCTACCATATGGCGACGCGTGAAACACCGAATCTTGATCGGCACGGATTTGTGATGGAGGCGCTGAGTCACTGCCCATCATTTGACACGAGTGACCGCACGACTTCTGGTGTGCCCGCCTGCTCGAGCGCCTACTATTATGCGGGATATTATAAAGCATTCATGACCTATGTGCTACTGGAACTCGTTTCTTTACAGGGATCTTTTACGTATGGTTGAAAGTCTTCCTGTGTTCGACACTGCTGGAGTAAGTCCCCTCGTCGCTGTACAAGTCCCTCACTGAGTTTAGAATGGACTTTCATGATTCATGACACACAGTATATCCTATGTAAGCTTACACCTTGTTTTCCAAGTGCCTTGCAACTAAAAAGAACATAGCGTCAGCACTCACGATCGTGGTCAGTTTACCGTTTTTGTCGTATGTTTTCGATTCTGAAAAATGTTTGTTTAGGTTTACGATGTTGTCACCCATCTGGATGAGGAGGTGGGAGAGATGACTGCACTGAACTTCTTGAATCTCAACGCGACAGATCGATTATCTCGTGAGGTCAAGGTCTATTTCCATCAAAGGGATATTTATCATGTGCCGCTACCTTCCTATCATTATTGGGGCTATGCGAATACCAAGTAAGCGCTTGACATGTTAAGAAGAGGCACACTTATCACCTTCAGTTAATGTTGTTGGGGTAAGCATAGACGACGAGGTATTGAATTGCAACAGTGTCTCCTCTCCTGCTAATCACCATTTAGATGCGGCTCACATCGATGTGCTCAAGCATCTGTACGTGATATTTGTGCTTAGTGGAAAGGCATCTCACATGCGGCTCAGGGCTTTCTCTCGTGCAGATGACTTGTGTCGAATGTATGCTGCTTCCTGCTGGTGCATCGACGAGCAACTAAATGCGAGATTAGTTATTTTCCTCCTGCGAACTTATGCTCTATGGGGCTGCAGTAAACGGGTTCTTTGTTTTCTCTTAGCTGTTTATCTGGTGAGATCTCAAGTTAACAGAATCTACCATTATAACATTGTAGCCAGGTTGCCTGCGTCACAGATGTGACGTCCCTCCAACGATACACTGAGTACCTCATTGCCGGCAGGTGAAACCCGTCATTCCAACACTAGTTCACTCACGACGGTCATACAGAGGTATCGTATGGACTAACTAACCCAGACATGTCGTGGCTCCTCGCGTGTTTTGTTGGTTTGATTACCGTGGAGATGGGTCCGTGGCACCTTCCTGAACACCACGTCGAGCTAACAGCTTATTCTGCTACGATAAAATCACAGGATTGTTTGGAATGACCATGTATCGTGTTCTGAGTCAATACCGCGCCACTTCGGGAAAGTTGCTCAATATGTTAGTGCGGCATAATATCGTATATTTTGCAGCCAGCGTGGGTAAGTGTCATACACTCACTGTTTGTTAAAATGAATAACACTTGAAAAGCTCTGAACGCCCTCAATATTGTGGGGATGTTGCTTGCTCCGATAGAGAGTAAATGGCCTATTGATGTCATGGAAATGTTAGGACAATAATTGTTCGATCTAACATCGACTAACGACTACACAGAGTACAGATTCTCTTCCAGGGGTTGCTTGCAACACGCATGCAGCTCGACCTTTGGAAAATCGACTGCCGAACAGTGGAATCGACGATGGTCACGATATCAATGGAAGAATTTGCAGTGATGAGGCCCGATTCTACAATCAATCAGAATCCTCATGTGGCAACTTCCAACTGCTAAAGCGACGAAACTCTAATTAGCTAACTTCACGCCTATTATGTGCCAGACATGTATTACAGGGTTCAGCAATCGATCGATACACTCCAGATGTCACTTCTGAGCATCATGTGGTAAGCGTCATCTAAGCCATCACTCCCAACAAAAGCAGTCCGATCACCAAGCCGCCTCCAATGCTACTTCCGCCCATGCCCACACATCTACTTGTATCGCCCTACGGCAGACCGGTATAGTTCAAAGAGGGTGGTGGTAGCATGCATTCACCAATAGTGCAATTCGCACAAGGTTCTACTGATTTCAGTGTAGCAGTAAATCAATTCTGGACAAAAGTGTATCCACCAAAAGTGCAATTCGCCCAAGCTCCTACCGATTGGTGTGTAGCAGGAAATTGATTCTGGACAACAACGCATCCAGTCCGCGGTTAACATCAACCCTCCGACTTCATTACAGCAAAGCGTCGTGGTCGTGACGTTCATGTAATCATTTCCCTATAGACATATCTCACTGACTGGTTCCGGTCGTGATTCAGGAAATTACCCACCGTAGAATGTATTGTTGATTGTCAGCATGATGCTTGCGAGGTGAGTTGTGCCGAACTAAGTACTACTTATAAGCTGTTGATCATTCGTCTTTTATCATAGACATTCTGGATCCGCCGCTTTATGATGGCGCATGCTGTCGGCAGAAAAGTAGACACCGGGGTTTGACGTGTGTCGCGGCGAAGCTATCCTCGTCGTACCTCATTCGACCAGGATGACAGTATACTTTCACTGGAGCGGGTGCGCTGAAGTAGCATGGTCAGGGACTGTCGATCTATATCTGACATGCAGCTTTACTAATGTAAAGATAATAATCATTTGATCGAACATCGACTAACGAATACACAGAATACAGATTCTCTTGCAGAGACCAGTTGCTAGCAACACGCATGCAACTTCGCTTTTGGAAAGCTGACCATCGGGCACTTGGGGAAATCGACGACGACAATGATGGCATTTAGGGTTACAAGGTCCGATTCCAACTGCTAACGCGACCGCACTCCGATTAGCTGGCCCACTACTATGTCACGAGCTCCTCAGGAAGGTACTACACAGCCTTTTTTGTGCTCTTTCCAGTCCTTTCGCTGACAACCCTGTGAACAATACCGCACAACCTTGCACCGGCTGCAGAGCAGCAACGACCCAGAAGTACCTCCTTCCTTTCCACAAGCAGCGCAACCATCACGCAGCGCTAGTGCAGGCACAGGCGTCGGTGTAGTCTGCATATCAGCATCGCCATCATCCAGATCAATGCCCTTTTCCAAGTACGAAGGCACGAATAGAGGACTAATCGCTGCCCTCGTCAAAAAGGGCGCAAGCGATCGAAGCCCCGGGTATTTCTTCACAAATGCCTCTGTCCCCACCCCAGCGCCGCAAGAACAGATAGGACTCTCGTCTGGCTCCAACGTTAGAGGGATGGCACCTTGGACACGATACTCGCAGTTGGGTTTGTGCTCCCAAGTACGGCAGCGCTCTGTCGCAGCCACGATGAGGTGCGTCCATGCCTTCCTCTCCTCAACACCCATCTCAATCACCTGTATATTATCAGGCGTCAGATGCATGAAAGCCTCGATCTTCTCGATCGTGGGAGAAGACGGCATCACCCAAGCATCAGCGACGATGGTGTGCGAGCCAACATCCAAGCGGAAGTCCGTGATGTAGAACATGACAAAAGCCTCGCTCTCTTCTATCGCCTGCATGGCATAGCCTATAGGAGGCTTGCCATTCGAGAGCCCGCTTGCGCGCCCAAAGATGAAATGAAGAGTACGCTTGATATCCAGTAGTGTGGACCCTGTTGTCAATCCATGGGGGGCGCTTCTTTCACGCTCAGACATCATGAGGGAGATGTGAGGATTGACCCAACCAAGAGCCTTCTCGTTGGCGATGCTGAAAGGCACACATTGATCGAGGTTGACACGGTGCATGTTCCAGAGAGCAAGATCGCCTCCCTGCGGAATAACGGGGAACATGTCCATCAGGTCGGTTCCTCCAAGGGCGAGTTTCAGGGGTAATATAACCTGCGCCGAGTGAGAAATAAGTATTTGGAGTAAGCTAAAGACAGAGAAAACGTACTTCGATGTATAACGATTTTCGTGCGATGCGGAGCTTGACTTTCTTGGCATCGATAGGAAGCAAGTAAGAGAATTCCAAAGAATGGTCTCCAAGGGCGACGGCGATCGAATGCATAGAAATTTGATTCACAATGGGAGTAGCGCCGCCCATGAGTGAAACTTTCATCTCCGGTTCGACGATATCTACGCGAGTGGTGAACGACAGAGGTTTCCGACATTCTCCATCTAACGTGACGAATGTGCATGCGCCAGACGTCTTCATGGAATGATTCACATCACCGATCTGCATAATCTTTCCCTCAGTACTCTCTGGGCCAGCATCAGGACGTTGTCGGAGAACGTGCACGAATTGCTCGTCTCCCAAGTTCGCTTGGAATAAGGACAGCTCTTTCCCCCAACTTCGTGGCAAGTGGGCAAGTCACTGGGGTGCAGAGAAGAGATAGTACAACCCTTAAACGAGGCTCGTTCATCAGCACAACGGACGGCAGCGAGAGCCACACCACGAGAGGGGAAGTTCCATAACGTCCAGTGGCGTCCTCTTCAATGGCTGCAGTTTTGCCATCGCCCTCGCCGCTGATCTTAACGGTACCGAAAACCGTGTTGATGCAAGAGAACATATTTGAGGTTGCTTCTCCTCCCAGGAAGCACTGCAACACAGGTGTTCCAGCTCTGTCAAGATCAGGTAAGAGCGGCTGAAGACAATCCCGCGGAACAACGAGGACGACACAGACAGTTTGCGGGAGGGTCTTCCAATCGCAAAAGACAACAGGCTTTTCGAGGCGATGCATCCCCTGCGCCTGTTGCAGAGACATCCAATCCACAGTAAAAACACCGCAAAGGTGCAGCTGGCAGCATAGATCTTGGTAAAAGTTCATCCCGATCACAAGGGTTTTGTCATCCTGGATCTTGCGAAGAAGCATGTTCATTGTTGGGTCCCACTCTGTGACCACCCTCCTCTTGACGACACCTAGAATCTCCGCGAACGAACGACGATGGTAATGTCTGACCCCAGAGAGTCGGATTGGCGAGGACGACTGCTGCTTGAGCATGGCTACCTTTTGTAATATGTTCTCATGAGAAAACATGCTGAGGTAAATATTGAAGAGGACGCCCGCAAGCTGCTCTGGAGCGATGTTGATGGAGTGGCCAAGATCAGTCACAAGTTTCTCAGCCCCGCCGATCACCTTCCAGGTGAGGCGCTCGTGATTCTGATATGTATGTTGATGCGTTCCCCGCATGATGAGTTCATGCATGTTCGACCGGTTTGTGAACTGCGATACGAAGGACACAGGAATCAGGCCCAGGAGCAGACCGAGAGCCACAATATCCCCACAGAGTTGTTGCGGAAACGTGTCTTCTGAGCTGCCCACAGTGAGACCTTCCGTGTACAACGTGGCGGATGGAGTCCGATGAAGAATGGGAGAAGTGATAGCGAGGATGTTCAACACGCCGACATGATCAAGAAGGTTGGAAGTATCAATAACATTGAATGTGGTCGGCGCGGGAGACTGCGTACGAGTCCCGTAAGCATCAGAATCAAGTGTGATGCACGTGTGCTTCCAGGGCGCAACAAAGAACGGGGTGGATGTCAATTTTGTGGTGTGGTAGTACCCAAGGGCTTGACACAAGCTGAGGGCGTCACCCACAAAGCAACGTATGATGAGCGGGCTCGGAGAAGATGGACATTGACTACACAAGACTTTGGAAACCGAAGTGCACCATTTGGAAAACTGCGTCTTGCAGACATCAACTACATCTTTCAGAGTACATTCCTCTGGAGTGCTTCCGACCGCTGGTGTTACGCTCAGTGTCATCAGATGTCTTAGCAGTAATCAAAAGTAGTCAAAAGTTCTAGCTAACACCCTAGTGTTAGAGTCGTGCGAGTAAAGGAATAGATTGCAGGCCCTGGTCTGCGTAGGTCAAGTTAAAGAGTACAAACGGTGGATACGAGGTATATATAATGGTATTGAAGAGGCGAATGAATAATAGAAGCAGAGCTTTAATAGTAATGAGCCAATGAGAAAAAGAGAAAGAGAATTGTACGATGGAATGTTCTAGAAGTACATGTAATAGAAGAGTGACAATGTGAAGGTGTGATAATGTGACATAGTGAAGAGGTGAAGAGGTGAAATGGTGACAAGGTTTAGGGGAAAAAGGATAACCGTAACAGCTGGCGCAAGGGCTTCTGCCAAATGAAAGCAAGCGAGAGGGTCCGTTCCATAGTGGACCGCAAATTTGTCACCAGCCATGGAGTATGCTAAGGTTGGATTTGGATGTACCACCTCCAAGGGTCTCTCAGGGACGGCTGAGCATATGCCTGTCTTCCAGAAAATGTTGTAGTGATCAGCTGCTATGTTGAGCGCATACATAGACAATGGCCCAGCTGCCCGACTTGATGTGGGTAAGTCCCGGAACCGCGCTCTATTAGCTTTGATAGCAACAGCAAACACAGATTCAAATTCTTTTGCCTGGCTGGGAGAGAAAGACATCGTCTTGATGTAGAGCTGCCAAAGGCGCCGCAACTCGGCGAGAGTATCTCCAGTGCAGATATGGAGGAAATGACCATAAGGACCGTTGTTCCAGCTATCAAGATCACTAGATAGCCCGACTAACTTCGTGCACTGCGATGTGAGCAGGTCGAGGGAGGCTTTGTCGAGGAAAAGGTGGAAAAAAATGTTCCAAATTTGAGGCAATTTCTGCGTAGTGCCTTCATCAGCAAGGAGGGTGATCAGTATAACGTTGCAACGCTGTTTGATTCATTAACTTAGGGAGACCTGTCAAGCGTTAGGTTTGGGCTCACTGATCACTGCACCCTCGATGTCGCAGCAAGTGAAGTCCAGTTTTCATGACCCTGAACACAGCAAATTAGCACAACCGAAGACTCCTCTGAGGAATGTACTTTTACCTTGCGAGCAAGCGCTGTTTGTATATACAGTGTAAAGAACATGCCTCGGGTCGCCGCACCCAAGAAGCAGCATGTCTGCTTTTTTGGTTGGACAAAGATCCTGTGTGAGGCAAACTGCAGATGTATTGCCGATAGCGTAGAATAACACTTCTCCTTTCCATTGAACAGGGTGCGCCATGGGCTTGGGGTGGATTTTGAGCTGGTGCAACAAAGATGGTGCAGTCAAACAAGTAGGTCAGGAAGCCTGAGGACGGTGAAAACTTGAACAAGTTGACTGAGCGCTCTGTAGAAGGTCCGTGATCCTCTGGATGCTTTTAAATCTAGCTCATGAACCACAAAAAGTGATCCTACATAAATTGATTATGATGACAAACGTAGTGCTGCGGCACGAGTGAACCTCGTGATTCTACACGTACGTGTGCGCCTGGGCTTTTGTGTAATACGTAGTATTACTACACTGGTACGCAACTGGTACGACCGAAAAGTTGAACATTGATCAAACATATGAACTAATATACGAAACCTGCACGTAAATTTTCAGTCAGCACTTCTCAGAGTAGCAGTGAAAAGCACTACACCTGGGCTCTTACACGAGATATACTAGGATTCAGTCTGTTTGCCTGCGGACGTGCGGTGTGTATGATGGTGTAAAATAGATCGGAACTACGTTGATCGTCGTCTTTTAAATTCTTCGTTTGCACAGGTATACACAACGGTAACATCTGGCAGGCTGGCACTGCATATATGTATATGAAGCTCGAGCTGACTCGGAAAGAGATCTAAGTGAGAGGAATACAAAGAACTTTCCGAATTTCTCAGTATTTGTCAGCTAGCATATTTTTGGGCAGCGTGATAATGCTGTGCCACTGCTGTGACTGCTGCGGTAATTGCTGCGATGTTCTACAGTCAGTACTACTACTAAGGTCGTGTCTGGACAACGAGTAACAAAAATTCAAATTCAACTGAGCCAAGTCACATGGTCTGGGAGATCCTGGATCACACACCTTGTCGGTGAGACTTCTGATTGATAACACTTCGCACATATGGACCATGATATTGACCTTGAAGCCCAACAACAACTTGACCAATGTCGGCGTTGCTGGACCATGATTCTCATAGCCATGCTATTGCAGATTATGAATACCTACCAGCTTCTGTTTTTATCCCCAACTGTCTGCATCCCATATCATACATCCATCCTCACCGGTGAAGCATGGGTGTATGAGCTCATTGATGGACATCCTGACAGGATCCGGCACAACTTTGGTGTTGATTGCGATGTTTTCAATGCGCTGCTGCATGTTCTCCACCGCAATGGATTTGTCCTATCCCGCAATGGAGTATTGGTGGAGGAGCAGCTCGGCATTTTTCTATATACATGTGTCACTGGATTATCATCTCGCCTTGTTGGGGAGAGATTTCAGCGCTCCCCTGACACAGTCACAAGGTATAGTAGTCTCAACATTATTTTTCAAGTGACTTAATCTATTTTCCAAGATATTTCAAGCGCATGCTTTTCTTCTTCTCATCAGATCCGTTTTATGGCTCCCAGATCACATTTCCAACTCACACAAACCCAATTTCCGACAAAATTCTCAACGATCCTCGATTTCGATTCTTTGATCAGTGTATCGGTGTGGTAGATGGCACTCATATCCAGGCTTTTGTACCGCCAGAGGAACACTTTCATATGTGCAACCGCAAGGGTTTTTTATCGCAAAATTGTCTGTTCATCTGCGACTTTGATCTTAATTTCTTGTATTCACTCTGTGGGTGGGACGGATCTATGTCCGATGCTGCTCTGTGGACAGATGCCCACGTGAATGACCTACGAATCCCTGAAGGTCGATACTTTCTTGCAGATGCTGGTTTCAGTACCTCTGATGCCCTCCTTGTTCCATACTGGAGTGTCCGTTATCATTTGAAAGAGTGGCGACAGGCCAATATCAAGTAATATCACCTTTCCTTTATTATTTCAAGTCGGCATCTGACCAGGATTCTACACAGGCCACAGAACGCCAAGGAACTATTTAACCACCGTCATTCTGCACTTCACAATGTGATTGAACACATTTTTGGCGTTCTGAAGCATCAATGGGGCATCTTGTGGCATGTCCCTGAATATAACATGGATATTCAGGCTCAGATCCCTGCAGCGCTATGTGCACTGCACAACTTCATTCAGAAGTATCATCCTGATAACTTTGACCTCGATTCTGATGGAAACCTTCTCGAAATTAATCAAGATGTTGCGTTAGGCGAACTTGGTGATGGACCAGCTGATGCGGTGGAACGGAGAAGAGCAGATCAGCGGCAGGAGAGAATCGCAAAGGAAATGTGGGATGACTATCTCGATGAGCATAGGCAACGAGGACTTCCATTGCCAGGGTAGATTACATCGTCATAGCCTGTACTAGTCGTACTACACTCGATGGAACCGCTGGTTACAAGCCTTCAAGTTCGAACTTCTATACCATTACTACATCATCGTCATGACTTGTGTTAGACTTGAGTTTGCGGAGAGTTTTCTCCAACCAGGCGGCTCGAGTTGTCTCTGGAAAATTGGAGAAAATCACAGCCTGTGCCTTGTCCCTCGCGAAGTAGTCTGCGATCTCAAGCTGATCATCCGCTGTAAGAGTCTTATGTTCTGATAACAAGACAACAGCACGAGCAAGGGGGTCAGATGACGCCGCCTGAGTCACCTGGGGGGTTTGGAGGAAGTCTTTGATATAAACGGCAAGCTCCTTCATCGTCTCAGACCCATCCTTCTGTGCCTGGGCAGTTACAGATAGCGGCCGGTGTGAACATTTTTGAGCGCTTGTTTCTGATTCAATTATCGAGGGTGTAGAACTGACTTTGCACTTTGCGCTGCGGCTAACACTCATCAACACAGACGAGGGGGCTGAGCCACCAGCAGAAGAGGTGAGGAAACTAGATGGAGTAGAGGGTGATATTGATGAGGGATCACCGGAAGTGGCCAATGGCCCAGGAGTGTGAAGAAGCCCACTGCCACTGGCTTGCATGATGACATCTTCGGTCGCAGAGGTAAGCTGGTTGAGATTAAAGGGGGGAGGAGTAGGCTGAGGGATGTCATTGCCGGTGGGCGCTGGGGGTCATCGATAGACATGCGATCCTTTTGAAATCCTTGGCGTCATCTGCTCCATAGCACTGAAATGTTTGAAGCCCTTGTTTTTGTATGGTTTTGCTGCAGGGTGTCGCTGAGTGATTGCATTATTAGTAGTGCCAGGTGCAGCAGTGGCAACACTGGTACATACCTTGGTGTACCGATCCCAGACATCATCATTCTTTCTAACTATTCCAGCTCCATACTCATCACTCCATGTAAATCCCGATGTGTTCTTGATATCTATGATGGTGTTATATGCTGCTTTGAGCTACAAAGCATATATTCTTTGAGTTTTCCCCGGTCACTGGCAACACGGTCATATAACATACACTTTGCCACTTGTTCCTACAAAAACTAGCTGTCTTCTCAGCACCAGATGCATTTGGGAATCTCTTCTTCAGTAGACTTGCAGCATCAGTGAATGTTGTACCCTTGGGATTTCCATCGCCACTTGCAGAGAACTGAGATAACAGAAATTCAACAAGAACAGTTTCTTCTTCTGGTGTCCAGGAGGCAGGAGGCTTTCTTTTGCTTTGTTTCTTCTTCAGTTCTACTGGATCAATGGTACCACGAGAACGAAGGGAGCGAGTAGATTCATCACTGTTGCTTGATGAATTGGATGACATGGCGGTCATGGCAGGTAAGCAAGGTGGCCTGTGTGGGAAAGAATCTGTGTGATCCGGGACCTCCCAGACCATGTGACTTGGCTCAGTTGAATTTGAATTTTTGTTACTCATTGTCCAGACACGACCTAAGTAAATACAACTTGCTTGTCGCTGGCACATGTTCTGGTGTCTGCATGGTGCACTCATTAGTGCATGGAAGGACTTCACATGATAAATATAAGCTCGCCCAGTACTTGGTGTCTTGAAATGTAGCACTGAAGACCAAATTGTAGTCTGTCCCACTGTTCCAGATTTAAGATATCATACGAAAATCCACCACTAAAAAGTACGTGTATTACAATGTGAGTTCGAATCCAATACATGATGCGAAAAAATGGATCTGAAGGATATGCTACTATGTATTATACAACTTGAGTTCTGACAATTTATGAGCATAAGTTAGTGTCGCAGCAGTAATCGCAGCACACCACAGCACCAATGTCGCAGCACCCCCCAAAAAAGGAAAGAGGGTGCTGCGGGGTGCTGCGGTGTGCTGTGATTGTTGCTGCGACACTCACCAATGTGCATGCGGCGCTCATTTTTGGTTTGTTTTGCTCAACCACCTGACGTCAATATCGTCAGGTTGTCTGGTGAGTGCTCAACCAGTTCATTTCTGTTGCATACATGTCAGTAGTCCATCCGAGTCAATCAATTCACGATCAATGCCAATCTCGTTGTCTGTTATCGCTGGCTTGTGTATTGGCCCCGTGTCGTTCAGCACTCTGAGTCCCTTGATCCTCTGAGTCAAGATTATCCACTACTAACTACTGAAAAATCATGGTTCTTGTAAGTCTCCACATCTTAAAATCTTCTGTGCACAAGGCTGACAAGTACAACAGGGTTTAATTCGACACATATATAATTACTATTACCTCGAAGATATCCAACACTTGCCAGTTGGACGTCACCTACTGCAGCAGGGTAGAAAAGCATCATTGACTGGGGGCTACACCGTCAAGTATTGCGGTGATCTGACTGCGGTTCAGCAAGCACAGGTTGCCCATTGGATATATGACAACATCGAAGAGGCATGAGAGACTGTGGTGCAATGGTTAGGCTGCGTGCCATTTGCTCACGCACTCAGCATCATGCTCACACACCTCAAGTGCAGCATATTGGAAGCAGACATTGACTACCCCAGAGATGGTACCACTGAGGCACAGGAGGAATTCATTCTCGATACCGCATGGAGAACACTTTTGAAGGAGACCGGCAACAGTGCAGATGTGATCCACACTGATGTTGACCTGGAATGTCTGTCCATATTTGAACATCGCCTGTTCGAGAAGTCAGCTCGGTCAGGTTCTGCAGGAAACTATCAGTGGGGGCTGGATGCTGGAAACCATCAAGACAATTGGGACCCATATGCTGGGCTTCCATCCCACTGGAACCACGAGGATCGCAACAAAGGAGATCCTGATTATGATGAAAACGAGCTTGAGGTACTGTGCTCTCCACGTTTCGAAACTGTCCTAGTAGTTAACAATGGGTCAATGACTATAGCGCGGGCCAGATTTCAGCGATGGCGACAATGTAGCTGCTAGCTCCAATGAGCCCCTCATTTCTGATAGCTGATGCGTGCCATGACCTCGAAATCGACAGCGAGCAAAATCCGACGGGGAGCCTAGAAAGCGAAGAAAGGTGGCACTGACTGCGTCTTGAGATAATGGCCGCGACTGCGCAGTCACTCGTGATTAAAAACAGTAAAATGAATTATGAGGGAATCAGAACTAGCTACACAAATGGTTTAACGATGTTGAAGAGGACAACATCAATTGTTGAACCAAGACTTGCAGAAGCAGTGCTAAGAGCGCATGAATCTTGGTATAACTTGAGCACAGCGTGGATGCATAAGGACCTAGTGCATGCTTGACTCCATGGGTGGTTTAGAATAGACAGAGGTCCAGTAGCTGACAGCAGGCATAGTGAGTATTTGAATGCACACTCATTAATGTTTTGTGAGCAGCGCAGCAGTGGTTCGCGGCAGTTGCCGCAGCAGTGGCGCAGCATTTTACCTGTGCCCCATATTTTCAACATTATGTAATACTAACTTTGTCCTAGTGTTGCCGTCGAAGCGAAGTGACTTCGAGGTAACTTCGCTTCACTTCGAAAATGTGGGACTTCGGTTAACTTCGTTGTACCAAAGTTGGTCGAAGTGACACTTCATCCACTTCGAGAGGTGATTTGAAGTTATCAAATAGATCAACTATTATCACTACAAATCCAAAGCCCTTTATGCGCCTCCTGTCTCTATCATGTTTCAATGGTAAAAACCACTGTATGAGCCTCTCATACATGATCTCGATTATCCGCAGCATGAACTTCTGAGTCGGAAGAACCCTAAATCATGCTGCACGGCAATTCACTTGCAACGGGAAACAGTGCCTATGCTGTGTATATCAGCATTTACAGTCCGCCCACTCCACAAGTGATCCTACATCCATGTCTGCGTGATCATTGATGGCAGGATTCAGGCGCTTGACGAGGATCAATACCAGTGTTTGACTATGGATGTTTGACAACCTCGTCATCAACCGCCACTTCCCCCGAGCCCATCCTTATCATTCAGCCAGTCGACTCCAATGTTAACACAGGAAGGGCAATTGCAACTGGATTAGAGGAAAAGAGGACAGATGCTGCACGAGAAGTTAGAACTGCAGGACTGCGAAGAAGCGGCACTTCTTGATGCTGAATGCACAGCTGATATTGTTCGCTTTTGGACGAGTCTCTCGCAAGTACGTGTGCTGTTCGGTTGTTTTTTGGAATCAATGGCATATCAGATCTGTATACAAAAAGAGTACATTCCCGCTACTTTTTCGCGTCACAACGGATGTCCTTCCTGTGCAAGCTTCATCTGTCCGTTTTGAACGTGTCTTCCGAGTTCTCTTCCAGCAAAGAAACGTGCACACTTCGGTGTGCCAATGTATCATCATCGGTGCTCGAGGCACTACAAATCCTCAAGTTCTCTTACAAGCAAAACCAGCTGAATTTCACGTCAGATTTTATACAACTCGTGGCAGCAAGCAAGCTCGATGCACTCAGCAATTTGCGAATAAGAATGAGGATTAGTACCTAGTCTCTTGGATTATATCGTAAGGCTATAGCTACATTTGGTCAATCTATTATTTCTGCCAACTGTCCCGCCCATTGCCGACTTCGCGAAGTGGAACGAAGCGCACTTCGACTTACTTCGTCCACATCGAAGTGTACCAAAGTGTATCTAATTTTCACTTCGATTCGTTTCAGTTCGCTTCGCGGCAACACTACTTCGTCCTACCGGGGACGTGATCAATGGTTATTGAACGGACACCAAGTTGAGAGGTAAGGTTCATACCTCAGTGCAACGTTGCTGAGCCTGTACGTAGTCCATGAAGTCGATGACATATGCAGTAACAGACAATCCTTGCCCACATGTGCCCATCTCAGTTGGCAAGAGGCACGGCACGCGCAAGTTTTTAGCACCTAGCGTCGCCTTTGGCGAGGGAGAAACTCGAGGAGTCTTCAGGCACGCGAATTTTTTTGCGGGAGCAAACATTCCGAGTCCGTCCTTACATTTTGTACGAAGTCGACGTGACAGGGCTAAATGATCAAGATATCGATCAATCGATGCGTCGTGCATCATGTACTAGTAAGTAGACTCGTGATTTCCAGTCCGTCTGTGAGGCAAGCCGTAATTGGTCACCAGTCTAACTAGTAAGCGCCACCTGAGCCATTACTCCGAACAAAAGCAATCCAATCATAAGGCTGCCTCCAATGCCAACACCTCCACTAGTAGTAGTAGTATTGCCCGACGGCCGACCGGTGTAGTTCGAATAGGTTGATGGTAGCTCACACATAAAACCAGTACTACTGCAATTCGCCCAAGCTTTTACTGATTGTGTTGTAGCAGGAAATGTATTCTGGACATAAGCGCATCCATACGAGCCGTTCGCGCTGAGCATCTCCCCTCCAAGTTCATTGCAGCAAAGCATCGTGGCCGTGACGTTCATCCAAACATCTCCCGCAATGCAACCTATGAATGTATATTTCACTGACTAGTTCCGGTCGTGATTCAGGAAATTACCCACCGTAGAATGTATTGTTGATTGTCGGTATGATGCTTGCGAGGTGAGTCGTACGGAATTAGCTGTCGACCATTCGCCTTTTAACACAGATATTCAGGAGGATCATACAGGAAATGTAAACTGTGCCTATGGCGCATGCTGTTTGATACAAGCAGTGGAGGCCTGGCGATATGCCGTCGGTAGAAATATGGACATCCGGGGTTTGACGTACGCCACGGCCAGCTTACCCGTCTGCTTCATGACAGAATTTGACCACGATGACCCGTATGTTTCCAGCCGAAAAGTGTCCGTTGAAGTCATGTGAATATGTCTATTCCTGACCTTATCAGGCGTGGAAGGCTGACATGCAGCGCTCAATTGAATACGCGATCATAGCATGGGGACGCCAAATCAACATTGGAGATGAGATACTTGTCACATGTCACACGCGGATAGGATAACTAGCCACTTCACCAAATATTGCGAATGGTGAGGGCCTACTTCATGAGGGGCGACATAACTCACTATGCTAGTTTTTGAGGGGCAAATATTTCGAGCATCTAGATTATATCGAATGTGGGGAGCAGACTACAAATGTTCTAGCCCTATTGGTTGAATTGGTCGCGCGGGTTATTTGTTGCGTATCGTTGGAATCCCCGGACGTCCAAAGAGTTCCAGCCACGCCTCGCGAGTCGCAATGCTCTTCATCAGCTTTCTTGATGCTTTTAAGTCCCCTCGTAGCTGTGCAAGTCGCTCTCCGGGTTTCTATTGGACTTTCATCATTCGTGGGACACTGTATATCCTATGTAAGCGTACACCTTGTTTTCTAAACGGCTTGCAACTAAAGATTACATTACGCTGCAAGGACGATAATCGTTTGATTGAGCATCGACTAACGACTACACAGAGTACAGGTTCTCTTCCAGGTATTGCTAGCAACACACATGCAACTTCACCTTTGGAAAGCCGACCGTCATCCCGCACCGGAATCGACGACGACGGACACGATCAATGGAGTTTGCGGTCACGAGGTCCGATTCCACAGTCTATCAGAATCCTTCCGCCGCAACTGCTAAAACGACCAAACTCACGCCTACAAGTGCGAGACATATGTGACAGGGTCAATCAATCAATCGATACACTTCTTGAGCATTATATGGTAAGCGCTATCTGAGCCATCACTCCCAACAAAAGCATTCCAACCGTAAGGCAGCCTCCAATGCCACTTCCGCCCCAGCTAACACCTCCACTAGTAGTAGGATTCGATGGTAGCTTGCATGACGAGAACGAATTTCCAGTGCTAAAACTGCAATTGTACCAAGCATTCTCTGATTGCGTTGTAGCAGGAAATTGATTTTGGACAAAAGTGCATCCAAACGAGCCGTTCGCGTTTATCATCTTCCCTCCAAGTTCATTGCAGCAAAGAGTCGTGGCCGTGGAGTTCATGTCAAGATTTCCCACAGCGCAACCGCTCGTGCCGTTCACGCAAAATTTTCCCGTAAAGCAACCTAGAAATATATCTCACTGACTGGTGCCAGCCGTGATTCAGGGACATTACTCACCATAGAATGTGCCAACGTTGGTGCTCGACATGCTTGCGAGGTGGGTCGGAACTAGCTGTTGACCATTTGTCTTTTAGCATAGATATTCAGGGGGATCATACAGGAAATGTGGACTGTGCCTATAGCGCATCTGGCGATGTGCTATCGGTAGAAATATAGACACCGGGGTTTGACGTACGTCGCGGCTATTTCAGTCGTGCCTCATGACAGGGGGTCCTACCCTGATGATTTCCAGCTGGAGAGCGTCTATTGATGTCATGCGGTCAGTGTATATCCATTATCAGGTGACTGACATGTATCTCTCAATCGAATACACGATCGTAGCATGGTGACGCTGAGGATCAAGAGTCGACATGGGAGGAAAGACTCAATGCAGATGAGATAACCGACTATATCCTAAACGTCACTGACTTTCGCGAATGGTGGGGCCTACTTTAGGAGGGGAAATAATGGAACTCGTACCTGTTCTCCCTTCAAAAATGCTGGATTTGTGGGAACGTGGATTGCGAGCATTACATTGAATGTCGGGAGCAGATCACAAAATGAAAATGTTCCGATTGGTTGCCTGGGTTGCTTGTTGCGTAGCAGTGGAATCCCCAGAGGTGATGTTTCCAGCTGCTTCTCCCAATGTCCTTCGTTATCTTGTTGATGCCCTTCGATAGGGAACCACGGAAGAAAAAGGCGCAAATTGAAGGAGCGGAGCAAGCATGGAACAAAAATAAAACGGCTACCAATCTGAGTCGAAGGCTCCCGTGGATACGGACACTCTACCATCAGCGAGTCTGGATCCACGGAAGTATTCGAGTGTAAGGAGAATACTCTGGGTGGTGTACAGATCCTTCGTCGATGGCAATTTTGAGAGCTCCGAAAGTACAAGCTGCCATCTCTTGCATAGAGAGATCTGGTGAATGCCAAAACAGCGGAGCAATTGGGACCAGGACATCAGACCGGAGTGGTTAAGACGCGACAGTCTGGAATCCATGCCCCACTTTCCAATGAAAACGGAGCAGCATTCAAGCCGATGCAGGTGCCTAGTACTTGTCAATAAAGTACTCGAGTAAAAATAAATCAACTGGCTTACTGAACGGCCGGCGGGAACGGCGGACTGGTGGAGTACGCCCTACATCAGTGCATTTGGGGATTGACGAAGGGACGGAGCACGGGGCTCCATGACTAGATAGTATTGTCCTACATAGAGTATTACTCTCAATGGACATAAAATTGAATTTTAAAAAAAACTGGCTTACTGAAATTTTTGTGTCATATGTGAACAGGAACAACAGTCACATGTCGTCTCTGGTGTGTTATCCTGATGAGTGTGAATGTTCAAACGTTCAAGGTTTCATTAAACTTACGGTGTATGGCATTGTAGATAAGAGCTGTATGGCGCCGCACAAATGGGGGACAGCGAAGAAGAAAAGAGAAAGGCAAGAGGCGAATCTTCAAAGCCTATTTAAATTCAAGTGAGGCGCACAGACCAATGCCATTCTCGTACCGAAGCACGCAATTAAACTGAACCGTGTCAGCACAAGAACCACCTCGATTTAAATTTTGTGTTGTGTGGGGATTAAAACCTACGTGCAACATATACATAAGTTGATTCTGCATATAATAGTGTGAGCTAGAGTGAAAACACGATCACACGAACTCATGGGACCAAGATCTAGAGCTAGTATACATAACTGGTACAAAAACTGACGAGGGAGAAAAAGAGTCCACTCAAATTGGATATTTGCCGTTCACTTCAGGTAGGAAATTGCCTCAGCAAGGAATGTATCCTGTGTGATCTCCTGAAAAAACGGGTCAATGAAAGTAATGAGCTCCCGCGAGCTTGAGGTCCATTTTGGCCAATTGATTGGGTCAAATGGACCATTCGGGTCGAGGTCATTCACAAAGTAAATGAGACGTTGCGTCATATCATCCCCACCAAAGAAATTTGGTAGAGCAGATCCGTGGAACTGGGACCCGAGGCATGTCAATATCACAGGATAGGAACATGTTTGTTACGCTTGATCACTAAATAGTATGTTAGAAAATGCTTCGAAAGTGCCAAATCCGACTTACGTGCTGACCAAGCTTGCTATTTATCGGATCGTTGTTCCAACAAAAAGCGACGCAGGGCGTGCAGGATTGCATCGCCCTGGAATGCCGCGAGACGCTTGAACTGTGGAGTGATGTTATTGGCGTATCCCGTACCATCCGTAGATCCACTAAACGGCCGTCATAATCTGCAACGACCCGAATGAACATTAAAGTATAACAGGGAGTCGTGATCTGTGAGTTGCCAACTTGGGCGCGATGACGTTTACAGTCAAGCCTGGAGAAAAAGAAAAAGGTGTTCAAGGCAGGCGCATCTGCTGTCGCATCAAACTTACAATCTTCGGAACTGGGATTGTTATGGTAGATGATGGTTTTGAGGAAGTCGGAGGTCTCAAGAGGCAAGTCAAAAAAACTGGACCTATGACTACTAAGCACCTACGGGGGCAGTGCGTAGGGTATTCCTAGCCACTTGTTGACGGGACCAGACCAAACACCCGTGATAGTTGCGCTGTCTAGAGTGACTGTCGGCCCAAAACTTGACGCAACACCCGTGACAGCAGCGCTGTCTAAAGTCACTGTCAGCCCCAACGGGGGCAAGAAGGTTGCCAACCAGAGAACAAGCTGCCCCAGCATGGCGGATGACTCAAGAGGATATGAGGGCCCGCAGTCGACGATAGACACGGAAAAACTCAGTTGAGAATCATCAGGAAAAATGACAAGCTCCTTAAGTCACTTCGAGGGCAAGCGGCACCATCTCGAGTATCTCTTACTGTGACGATTCAGGAGTTGCTTCTACATCCTCACGGGCTAACTCAACCCCAATCGGATCTCATGAGAGCGCAATGGCCGGTAGCCTGACCTCGGGTCCGAAGAAGGGTGAGAGAGATGCTGAGTAGCGGGTACAGAAGACCGAAAGTAATTCATTTCGTCATCGAATCATGATCCAAGGCCACGGGGATATCCGGTTGGGGACTGGATGGCATCACTACTTGCAGACACTGCGCTATGAGTAATTGATGTAAGTCTTCTGCGCCATTTCTGGATGTACTACTAACTGATTTAAGCTAGAAAAGAATACCGCTCACTTCGTAAGGTTCAAGGGGTTGGTACGGATCTCAAGTTCCCCAAAGATAAGTTGCTTCTAGGTCCTGATCGGACAATCATTGAGCTGAGAGCCCAATGATTCATCTCGTGAAAGCAGATTGGGAAGTAGCGGACCATCATCTATCAAACTTCAAGGATGGTATCTTTGTGATATGACCTCCGACTGGTGGCCACGGAGCAGGGACCAGCAGCCTGAGCCCGGAGCAAGGCAAACATGCTATGAATGCATGATGCGCGAGTGTAGGAAATGGGCATGAGATCGAAAGAAGACGCACGAAAAAAAGCACTGTGCACATCAAGAGGAAGCCGTTCGTGGCCGCAATACCAAAAAAAATTAGAAGGACCCTTCGGGTAACACATCCATACGTCATCCCGAACATGACAGACCAGAAGACCTCTCGGATACAAGATAGCTTGTTCGTAGGCCTCCATATTAGATGTCTGAGGTAGTTTGTGCGCTGGGAGGCAGTCATTACGAAAGAAGTGAAAGGGAATCTTGGTCAACCCGCATCAAATCACTCACAGGGACTACGAAAGAACAGATTCCACACGCGCCGCGACGTAGGTTTTCAGGACAGCGCATCTTCTCTTGCCATTCCCGGATGATATCGCACTCATCATCAGGACGCGAACCGAGGAAATTCGGTGTCTTCTTCCTGCACCTGTTCTGGCTAATAAACCTTTCAACCAAGCCCAAGCCCAAACGTGGAAGACACAGGAGTGATGGGTAGGCATTTGCATTCTTCTCACCGAGTGATTTAGAGGGTGATGATGCAAGATGATGCGAAATACGCGGGTTTGAGGCCTGATGCCAAACCATGAGGGGTATATTCCCCATTCCCATTTCCAGCCCCTTTGCGTTCGAGTAGGCGTATGAGCGTGCTACGCGGCCATCTTCCCCCATAACTGCATCTGATACGCATCGAGAGTCTTGAGCGTAAACGAATTCGTATCCGCAACATATCAAACGCACCCAAGCTCCCCATCCCCATTCTCATCCCTCCAAGACCATTGAGTTGTCCATTTATCTCATCAACAATAGCTCCAGGGCGGTGTAGGATAGGATTAATATTCACTTGCAGAACACCTTTGACGTCAACAGGCGTAACGCCCATGCCTCCAAAACCACCCCAAAACGGACGTGTGCCGAAACGAGGAGAGGTGGAGAGGTCTTTTTGGGTGTTTGGCGTAATGAGGAGTGCTTTGGATGGGGGTTCGTTCTGCGCTGTAGTATAACACGGCCAGATTTCCACCAGACGACAGCTATGCGCGGACACACTAATCAGTACTTACGGAGGAAAGGAGACGGGGCACTTAACAATGCAGACAAGACGGCGATCAGGATGGGGGAAAGAGTGGAAATACTGATGGGCGACTCCTGAGTTACATGGTAAAACGCGGCCAAATTTCCACGGACTCTGAATATCTGCGACCTTCTTGAGGTACGCATGTCGATGATTGACCTTCAACAGCTTGCGAACCTCCAGAAGGTCTCATCAACAATCAGAATGTTTGATGCCACCGGAACTAATCCATGCTGATCAGTATGGAGAACAAAAAATACTGATAGACACTTAATGAATTACGATGCAGACACGACGGCGATCAGGATGGAGGAGACGTAGGTAGCCATAGAATAGTGATCAACTTGAGCGATCGTTCAAGTTCTCAATTGCCACAGGAACAACAGGATGACGGTAGACCTAACTTGAGCGTGCCGGACATGAAGAATCTCGGTCGCGGTCATGAGTACTTAACTCCTGTGAGGAATGTATATATACGTACTTGTGTCGAACCAAGAAATGTGGATTTGAACTTGTATGGCGCCGCACAAATGGGAGGACAGTGAAGGAAGAGAGAGAAAGCGAATCTTCGAAGCAGGCACCAGTGGGCGCTTAACTATGCAAATTGCTTCCGGTACCCGGGTCCGATCTCATTCTTCCCTTCCGCTATATCACTGCCACAAATTTTCTGATCAATATGCATATGACCATCCGTCGTACATTAATGGTGTTGAACCAACCTCAGCAGCATGGGGGTATTCCAGTGGAGTCGACCACTTTCCCCTCATTAGAAGCGAATGAGCACATTGACTTGTCCGAAAACTTATCACGGCAGGATCGAGGTGGTAGCGTTTGATAATGTTCTAAGAACAAGTGGTAGCTGAAACTGCAGCCAACAGTTTTTCTTAGAGCATCACTAGGAGGTTTATACGCACCCTCAGGGACACCACAGCAAACTGCAGTTCTCTTCATGTTTGAGTGTTGCCGGTTCGTTGATCTTCCCGCCTTCTTGATATTTTCTTCAGCTGCTCAAGACTCAAGTGCACACATCTATAATGCATTCCAATTCTTGCTGCATGCAACACCCTGACCGTCTTATACATACATCACTATCCTAAGCATTTGCTATCATGGCTCCATCATTAGAAGTATTAGTTGGCGTACTTACTCTCTTGCTCACATGGCAGATATTTGCCATGATGTGGCCACTGGCGATATGCGAAGCTCGAGTTACAACCGGTTATCGATCGGTAGGGATCTTGACGTAGACGCTAAGAATGTACACACTGGTACATCTTTCGATACCAGTAATAGCGCCAATCGGGCGTTCCGCCTGGTGTACCCACTTTCTCAACAGTATCAAATCGGACTTCCATGATGACAGTATATCCTATGTGAGCTTGTACCTCGTTCACGCCTTGCAACTAAACAGAACGTAGCGTCGGTACTTACGATCCTGGTCGGTTTATGTCGTATGTTGTCGATTTTGACAAATCTATTTAGGTTTACGATGTTGTCACACATCTAGACGAGGAGGTGGGAGAAATACCTGCAACGGGCCTCTTCGATGATAATGTATGAATCGCAACAGCGTTTCCTCCGAATCCCCCCGCTAATCTTCATTTAGATATGCCTAGCGTTGCTTCGCTCAAGTATCTGTACGTCAAATCTGTGACGGGCGAGGCCATCTCTCACATGCAGTGTAGGGGTCTGCGTCGTGCAGATGGCTTATGCCGAATGTACGTTGCTTCATGCTGGTGCATCGACGGGCGACTGAATGCAAGATTAGTTATTTTTCTTTCGCGAACCGATGCTTTATGGGGCTCCATCCCTTTCGATCTCGTGACTGTCTATCTGGCGCGTTCCCGGAAAGATAATATCTTCCAACGATACCCTGAGGTCCTCACTTCCAGCAGGTCAAAATCGATATTCTAGCGCTGCTTCACTCATCACGGTCATACAGAAGCAGGGCCTAGATCATCCAGATACATTGTGGCTCCTTGCGAATTTTGTGGGTTTTATTACCCTGGAATAGCTCTGTGGCACCTCCCTGGACACTACGTGGAGCCAACAGCTTATTCTGCCACGATGAAATTACAGGATTGTATAGAACGTCCATGTATCGCACTCTGAGGCAATTCCGCGCCACTTCAGGACAGCTGCTTAATATGTTGGTGTGGGATAATTTGCAGCCAGCGTGGGTAAGTACCATACTCCCTTCCGGTTGAAATGAATATGAACGTCCTTGATATTGTGGGCATCTTGCTTACCCCGGAGAAGAAAAAATGACATATTGGTGTTATGCAAATGTAATGATGATAATCATTTGATCGAACATTGACCGGCGACTGTGCAGATTACAATTGTTCTTCCAGGGGATGCTTGCAACGCGCATGCAACTTGACCTTTGGAAAACCAACCGCCAAGCAGTGGGATCGACGAGGGTCATGATACCAATGGCAGAATTTGCAGTTATGAGATCCGATTCCACGATCTATCAGAATCCTCGTGTGGTAACTCTGAATTGCTAAAGTAACCAGACTCCCATTAGTTGACTTCGCGTCTATTAATGCCAGACACTTATAAAATGGCTAAATAATCAATCTATGCGCCTCCAAGCATCATGTGTTAAGCGCCACCCGAGCCATCACTCCCAACAAAAGCATTCCAATCATCAGGTTGCCTCTAATGCCACTTCCGCCCAAGCTAACACCTCCACTGGTGGGGCCAGAGCATATAAACGTCGAATTCAAGTTGACACTGCAATTCCCCCAAGCATATGCTGATTGCTGTGTAGCAGGAAATGTATTCTGGACATAAGCGCATCCATACGAGCAGCATCCATACGAGCAGCTCGCGTTTATAATCTCTCCTCTAAGTTGATTGCAGCAAAGTGTCGTGGCCGTGACGTTCAGGTAATCATTTCCCGCAATGCAACCTATAAATATATCTCGCTGACTCTAGTGCCGGTTGGGATTCAGGGAAATCACTCACCACTGATCGAACCGCTGATGTTCAGCATGATGCTTGCGAGGTGAGTTGCGCGGAACTAGCTGTCGACCATTGGTCTTTTAACATAAATATTCTGGACCCGCTTTGATGGGCCATACAGGAATTGTGAAGTGTGCCTATGGCGCATGCTGTTTGACAGAACTAATACAGGCCTAGCGATGTTCTGTCGGTAGAAATATAGGCACCGGGGTTTCACGTATGCCGCGCATGATGATCACTATATTTCCGGGAGTGGCGGTTGAAACCGTGTGCTCAAGAGGTGGTAAGGCACTGTATATCGATACCTGACATGACCAGGTATGGAAGGCTGAGCATCAGTGACATGCACCACTCAATCGTTTACGCGATCACAGCATGACGAAAGCGTAGCGACGCTGAGAAAAGAATCAACATGGGAGATTTGAATACTCAACACATGGCGTGGATGGGATACCTGACTATGTCTTACACGTCGCTGACTTCCGCGCGAATGATGAGGGCCCACTTCATGAGGGGAAATGATGAACCTCATTGTACCCGCTCTCCATCCGAAATGATAGGTTCTTGGAACGTGCATTTCAAGCATTTAGATTACAGTGAATTCAGATGTCGTGTGCGGAACATAAGATGATCATCTTGTACATAGGGTAATGCCCGCGGGAGACAACCTTTTAGCAGTTGAGTGTTGCCAGATAAGGATTTTGATGGACTGTGGAATCGGACCTCGTAACCGCAAACTCCACGTTGATCGTGACCCTCATCGTCGATTCCGGTGCGGGATGACGGTCGGCTTTTCAAAGGTAAAGTTGCATGCGTGTTACTAGCAACTCCTGGAAGAGAATCTGTACTCTGTGTGGTCGATAGTCGATGTTCAATCAGATGATTATCATCCTTGCGGCGTAACATAATCTCGAGGCTCGATGGAATGCACGTTCACAGAACCTAGCATTTTGGAGGGAGAGCAGGTGCAGCGAGTTCCCCTGTTTTCCCTCATGAAGTAGGCCCTCACCGTTCGCAGAAGTCAGTGAAATTTAGGATATGGTCAGGTTGTCTCATCGCGTGTGTGAAGTATTTCACTGCCTCCCATGTTTTTTCTTCTCAGCGTCACCGTGCGACGATCGTGTATTCGATTGAGTGCTGCACAGCCTGGCCACACGGCTTCAATAGACATCTCCTGGAAATATACCGATTGTCATGGTCAGATTCTCTGTCATGAGGCACAACGGGGATAGCCCTGCTGCGACATACATAAAACTCCGGTGGACCCGGCTCAAGCTCTCGCTCTCAGGATAAGGGAAGGATGCTGAAGACTGATGCTGACTGAAGAGGACGGTGTGCCTCTGCTACTCCTCGTCCGGCGCACCGGTGTCTCATTTCTACAGACAGCACACCGCCTGACCTCCAAAGCACTACTTCTGTCAAACAGCATGCGCTAATAAGCACAGTTCACATTTCCAATGCGGTCCTCCAGAGTATAAAAGACGAACGGTTAACAGCTAGTTCCGCACAACTCACCTCGCAAGCATCATGCTAATCATCAACAACACATTCTACGGTGAGTAACTTATTTCCTGAATCATGACCGGAGCTAGTCAGTGAGATATATTTATAGGTTGCATCGCGGGGGGTAGTGCTCACTTGGGTTTCGCTTGGGGAAATCTTTGCGTGGATATCCCCGATTGCGTTTTGCTGGGGGATTTTTACATGAACGTCACGGCCACGACGCTTTGCTGCAATGAACTTGGAGGGAAGATGTTCAGCGCAAACAGCTCGTATGGATGCGCTTTTGTTCAGAATCAATTTCCCGCTACAATACAATCAGTAGAAGCTTGGAGGCATTGCAGTACTGCGCCTTATGAATGCGAGATACCATCACCCTCTTCAAACTACACTGGTCTGTCGCCGGGAGATATCAGTAGAGGTGTTGGCACGAGCGGAAGTGGTGTTGGAGGCAGCCTGATGATTGGGATGCTTGTGTTGGGAGTGATGGCTCAGATGGCGCTTACCACATGATGCCCCTAGAAGTGTATCGATTAATCAATTAGCCAGGCTGGTACATCTAGTACAAAATGTAATGACGGACTCGGAACGTTTGCTCTCGCGGAAGCAGTTTGCGTGAGCGTCATGTGAAAATTCCACTTAAGCGCCGAGTTCCTGTTGTAGTATCAGAGCAGACAAAATTCGTAGCATCATGCATCACCGCCCAAACATTAGCGCAGCAAACCAACGGCAAACCAACTCTGTGTGATCTTACCCTCGATCACCTTTCTGGACACTGACAGTAACTGCCCGTCACTGTTATTCCCCAGAACAGTGATCGTGCAATTTGAAGTTGTCAATTGCGACAGGAACAACACACTGGCCGTCATCATCCGTCGGACATAATAAATTTCATTCGCAGCTGAGGTAATCCAGTCATTCATGTGAGGTTATGGTGCTATAGCAAGAGTTGGTCAAGGTATCGAACCAAGAGCCTCGCTGGCGTTGTCGCAGAAATCCGAAACACCGACAACCGCTAGTCGGAGCAGAGTCCGTAAGTCGAATAGAGGCGCATCTTACTTACTCTCGTCCTTTTCCACAACACATAATATCTTCAAGATACAGAAGGCCGATTTACCACTTCGCTTTGCAAGCGCTAATCATATAACTATTTCTTGACTCTCCCCCTCTACTCCATATCGTACGCCATGCCGCCAAGTCCTGGCCCTCCGAGTGCAATATAATGCACTCCACATCACTAGCACTTCCTCCGGTGTGGCAAACACATCAACGATCCGTGACTGGCCCAAAATGCTCTGCGACGTGCTTAACCGTGCTGTGTTAACACTGCAGCTCCAAAATATGTTGACATGCATGAAATGTATTCGTCTGTCCTTGGTCTGTCCTTCTATATACGAGTTTTGTCGACGCCAACATTTCCCCTCACTCACGTACAGTTCAGAAGGTACTTGGTGACCGAGCTTTCACACTTGAGAGGATCACTTCCCGACGCTGGGTCTCTCAACATTACACTCTCACGCCAGCGTTTCCTTGCGCTCTTAATCTTGAATCATCGAGTTTGCTCTCGCTTTGAAACCCTTCCTTTTATTGGTGAGTTTGGTCTTGCGCCAGGGTTAGATCATTCATTCCAGAGAAACGGAACTCCGGCGTCATACGGGATCCGGTCATTTTACTTTACTAGTCTGCTACTGGTCTCTTCGCCACCAATTCAGAGTATTGTCACTGTCTTCCCTTTTGCCATACAAAGCATGATTTCATTACCCCGAGATAATATACGATCACTCCAAGATAATATGGTCACCCCGAGATAATAAGACTACATATGATGCACACCAACATATGGACACCCTGACAAGATGTGATTGATGTGGTGTTTGTCGGCACGTCGGTGTTTGAAATTACTTATCTCTGGGCGTATTCGATGTCCCATTCTCCACTGAATGTATGCATGCGCTCATCAAAATACAAGAACAACATCCCTAAAAGCGTCTGACTCACAGGTGTCTTCTGATCATCTTCGTTAGCTGTCCATTTTTGACAATCGTCCACGGACCACAAAGATAAGCTCGAGAAGGGTGACTGACGACTCCACTGGAGTCAACCTCTGCCCGTTAGTTGGGTTATGTTATACGCCTCTGCAATGTCCGATGTTGACTGGGCATAATCCTCGACTTCGCAAGGACGTACTCTTTCTCGTTCTGCTCGGTAGTAGAACAAGGCCGTATTTCCACCAGATGACAGCTCTGCGACCTTCTTGGGGCGCGTAACGAACTCACATGCCGCAAGATGGTCTCGTCGACAATCGAAATGACATGACACGCTAATCAGTACTTATGGCGGAAAGGAGATGTTGACAGAGAATTTAACGATACAGCCTAGACGGCGATCAAGAAAGAGCGTGGGCGACCCAAGACTACTGAGTGCCGTAGTAGAACGCAGCCGGAAAGGCCAGATGACAGACTCTAGATCTCTACGACCTTCTCGAGGTACGCGCGTCGTCGATTAACATAATCAGAGACACCCTTACTCAAGAAGGTCTCATTAACAATCAAAATATCAATGTTTCGTGCCACCGTATAATCCAGACGGGACACTGTATAGTGATCAGCACGGAGCAAAGGGAATATTAATAGACGAACAACTTACAAAACAATGCAGACAAGACGGCGATCAGGGTGGAGGAAAGAGTGGAATACTAGCGGACTGCCAAATTCATGCTCGAACGTATCATCAACATGCGGGTAAATAATACACCCAGAAAACCAGAACCAGACTGCGGACATCGCCGCATTAACATTGCCGAAAAATTGACCGATCTTACCCTCGACTAACCATAATATCGACGCTGTAGTGGAACGCAGCCGGATTCCACCAGACGACGGTGCACAGACTCTGCGACGCCCTTGAGGTACTGGTGTCGTCGGTTAAATTTTCGTGTTTGGTGCCGCAGAATAATCCAGACAGTACACAATCTGTTATCAGTATGAGGAAAGGAAATATTTTCAGATGACTTAACAATGAACGGCTCGTCTTGAGACTGCTAAGTAACCTGTCATCAACAGCCATCTAAATGCCCAGACCGATCTTACCACGATGTCGATCACCTTTTTGACGCCACCTGAGCCTGGTGATAGGGGCTGTCAGAACAATGATCGACGGTCGTGCGAGTTGTCACACTGACTCCAGTATCCCAAAAGACCTTGGGCTTGAAAGTGTTTGTGCGATGTATTTAGTTCGCGGCTGATGCGACATTCATCGTATGAGGGTTATGTGAGGGACGGTACTAGTAGTAATGTTACCCATCGCTCACACAACACTCACCATTGCTAGGAGGTATTGAACCAAGAGGTAAATGAGTCACGCTCGGAGAAATTCGAAGAACCAACCAAACATGTACAAAGTTTGAGGATGCAAAAAACTACAAACCGTTGATCAATGATCATCGATCATCACCAAATCATTACGCCACATAACGGTCGCTCATGTCATTACTATTCTTATTCGACCCAGCAGGAATGATTTCCAAGCAGTTCCAAGCACACGAAGTGACATTCAAGTGACATCCCTGAGTTTCTTTCGTCATTTCGTAGCGTCGAACGTGCATTACTTATTCTCACTCTCATATCAGCCACCTCATTTTGTGGAATGCATTTAGTAGTGACACCACGTTCCTATCAACTGACCCTTTTTTCTTTTCGCCGCCAGTCTCGTGACTGCTGAAACAGAGATCGGACCCCCCGCCCTAATACCACCGCAACTCCTGTCGTTGGTTCGTCCGTGACTCCGTATCTGAACCCAATGAACCTCATGTGGTCTTTACATCACGGCAGTTTAGCCAACTCTGATAAGTGTTGCATGTACGCACTCCCCCGAGCTTCACATTCGTCATGAACGATATCGTGCCTACAAGCAGTGTAAGTACCTCACCCATATGTCGGATAACATGACTCGGCTCCAATCGTGCTGAACAACATGCTTTTGTGGAGGATGGTTTCTCGTTAACAATGATTTCATGGACAAGAAAACTGCAGATCGGACTGATAACCCCTCCCAGCGACGAGACCGCTTGGGACGGGGAGATAATATAAATGCCATGGCGCAAGAGAACGTCTCAACCTTCGCACCTAAGGTAGAAAGTAAGTTGCCGTCGGATATCCTATCTTCTCCAACATCGGATCATAGGTCAGTAAACATTAATGAGGTCTTGAGATTTTTATATCTCAACGAGAGAAGAAATGACGCCATATGCTACTTCCGGAATGTCCTGTGACGAGCACAAGCACCTTGCCGGTCATGGGCTCAATTCTCGTTGACAAGAATGCGAGGGACCGTCTGACCTGGCGAAGATAAGGTGCTGTTTATCTTGGCTGAACTTTCACCGCCAAGCTTCAAGGTTTATAGATCCTGCTGTGCTGCTGACCTCTTTGCGCGAATTCGGTGCTTGCCTTGGCTATTGATAAGTAGCACGAAGTACAATGGCTCAACAACAAATGAGAGTGTATAGATCGTGTCTTATATCCAACACAGAAAACCAGCAGCTTCTGATATACGAGCATCGAGACACCGTCTTACATCAAAAGATGATCTTTCGCAACTTTTGCAGGTCCGCTGGAGGTTCTAAAATAGTTGACTGTCCAAAGACGCAGCGAAGTTTCTGCCTCGAAGCGACCTTGTCCCTCAGGAGAAAGGTTCTACTCAATTTGTCGCCAAGCTGATCTCGAGCCCAAGGTGGGTAGAAAAAAGGAGTTGCTATGTAGCCATTCAAGCAACCTATTTCGGCCGATAAAGTTGCGAAGAAGTTGCTGTAACGTCACCTCAGCGCAACCGAAGCCTTTCCTTTCGAAGCACTTTGATGGGATCATGATTCAAGAAGTACTTTATGAAGCTAAACGAACCTGCAACTGACGCCGCCAACATTTTGTTGGCCCGGTCTAGAAGTCGGGGCTGCTCGTCGAGTGCTCATCAAGCGGAGCCTGTATGTAGCCGAGCGCTTAGCGTCGCCTAAGTACCAATGAGAGCGCACGGCGCTTATGGCTGAAGAAAGTTTCAAATGTGAACGTAAACTAGGCCGTCTCTCAGATCAAGTTGGAAATCAACCCGTGACCCTCACGGCACTCACGACGAAAAGACCCCAGACTCTACTCGACATGTTCGCTTCAGTTTAATGTTACAGCCATCATCCGGGAGTGTTGCTCGAAGCATGGCCAGTATGTCCATTGGGTGTGGGTGTAACGCGCGAGTGTTGTTTGGGTATTGTTTGCAAAGAGATTGAGCCCACTGGAAGTATCCGCGCCAGGCCGCAACTCTAAGCCCCGGAGGCCTTGTATGTCGGTGTCTTCAAGTGCCTTCCGAGTCGATTGCGGTGGTGAAAAAGCACGAGGGTTGTTTGGATAAGTGTCCACTGAATTTATTGCAATACATATATAAAATAAACATGGTCTGCACTGAGTAGAAAAGCTAATGCAACGCGTAGAAACAAAATCGTCCAAAGACCGAGTGCAATCTTGGCAACAACACAAGTGTGGTGGAAAGACGACTAGGATAGAAAAGGCAGCTTAAGGGGAGGTGGGGGGCGAAGCCTACTCATGGCCGTAAAGGTGTCGAGCGGAGGGTTAAGTTGACTGGAACGAGAATACAAGCGCCTAAGTACTCCGAAGTTAAAAAATATGGAAGACGAGCGGTTAATAAAAACTCACCAACGGTGCGGGATGATAACTCACACGAGAATAAGGAATGTTCTAGATTCCAATGAGTGGGTAGGTACAATAGGACCAAGCTCGCGAGGAAAAAGAGCACATTACTGATCTGAAAAGTCAAAGTCAACATTGGGAGTGGGGAACTACATATTGATTATTGCGGTTATCGAGGTCTTTTGTGATATCCGTAAGGTTCCGTGTTCGTACCTTATTTCCTTAGGGATTGAAGGAACCGAGGAAGGTCCCAAAGGGTCTGAGTGATAACAGGGTACCATGAACTCGTAATAGCAATCTAAAGCAATGTAATCACGCCAATTCACCAGTGAACTAGTGACGCTCGGTTCAGACTTATATATTACATTACTTTACATTGTTTTATAACGTCATGTATAGGAAAGAGCATTTCAGCTTACAAAATATGGGAATATCGGTGGCTCATCGGTTTACTGATGGGCCCTCTCTCTTTCCCCCAGTCTCTTACACTCGACTGGGGGTAAGTCATATCCTACGATACATAATACATTCCTTACTGATGATACAGGACTCACAAAGTCCTGTCTCTTTAGACGTATAACGTCGTTTACTTTAGACCGGCTCGATGAGATTTTACGCCGAGTTAAACTCGGTTCAGTCGATGGAAAGAGCCGACGGCCATGACATTGACACAACGCCGCACTGGATGTCAAGAATAACACACCCTGTTGGTCCGATATCTCCCTGCATGGAATAGCGCGGTTTTTTACAGTTTAATCGATGCAACGAAGTACATACGATTGTGCAAAAACGAGTGGTCGAGAATTAATTTAACGAGGTACGTAATTGATAGTTCATGCGTTCTAATCGGCTAATATGTACAAGTATGTATGATCTTTCTGCAGGCAGTCTATCCTGGACCGTTACACTCATGTTCGGATTCCTGAACGCCTGTACGTGATATTAATCATAGACGATAACAACCAGGCTATAAAGGGTTGCCAAAACTTCTTCCCCAGCAGCTTTAGCACTCGATCCTTCTTTTTGCGTAGTGTAAGATGTCGGATATCGTCGAAAAGCCCACTCTGCATCATTACGAGACGTCGAGCACCTTCCACGCGACTCGAGCCAACGACGTCTCTGCCACAGGCATTGTTGACTTCGCTGACTGCGACCAATGCACCCGGTACCCCAATCGATGGTCAGGAATCAGGTAGTGCTCAACCTCATATGATTGACGCTTGCTGATTGAACCTGTTTCAGGGAGCACATCAGCGCACCTGCAGCCGAGTTTATGGGTGCCTTCATCCTATGTCTGATTGGGTGTGGTGGCAATTGCCAGGCGAATCTGTCCGCTAACACAAGTGTGTCTGCCAGCCCTCGGGGGGTGAGTTCAAGGCGCTGAAATTCATGGATGGACTGAAGCTCACTAGTGCTTGTTCAAAGGACGCTCTCACGTCCAACATATGTTGGGCCCTAGGTGAGTACCCTCGTATTTTCGTGCGTCGACATCTTCCTTAGAAGCTCGGCAGGACTCTCCCTTGGTGTATGGATATCTGCAAACTACTCAGGTGGTCATTTGAACCCCGCAGTGAGTGCACCATCAATATTTTTGCATGAAATGATTGCCGACTACCATCAAGGTCACTATAGCATTTGCCACTGTCCGCGGGTTCCCTTGGAAGAAAGTTCCCATCTACCTCCTTGCACAACTTCTGGGAGCCTTGTGTGGATCAGGTGTAGTCTACGCGACTTACTACCATGCAATCAACATCGTTGAAGGGGGTTCCAATATTCGTACAATTTCAGTAACTGGTAACCTTTTTGGGACCTACGCAGTGAGTTTTGACCTCCTGTTGCGGTATGACTTCCTTGAACTTATGAGCATCTAGGCCGATTACCTCCCTTCCGTCTCCGCCTTCTTCGCTGAAGTGAGTCCATGCATAACTAACAGTCTTCGATCGAATGCATACTGACGACCGGATGTAGTTTATAGGGTCCGCTATGCTCATCACTGGAATTTTCATGGCCACGGATAAAAAAAATGGCCCTACGCCTCCCGGCATTTTACCTGTTGCAATATTTTTTATAATCCTTGCCATCGCTTCATCTCTTGGTATGGATACTGGAGCCGCCCTTAATCCTGCTCGTGACCTAGGCCCCCGTATCCTCACCGCCATGGTTGGATATGGTCGCGAAGTCTTCAATTTCAGGAATCAGTATTGGCTCTGGTGCCCTATCCTTGGCCCGATTTTTGGTATGATTGTGGGCGCATTCTTCTACGATGCCATGCTATACAAGGGCACCGACAGTATTTTGAATAAGCCGTGCGTTTTACTATCTGTGTATGATGTAGACATTAACAACCCGCTTGTTTTTAGGACGGAAGTGGCTGAAAGGCACCACTTGAACTCATGCGCTCAACGGACCAACAAGCTTCGTGGAGTTGCAGACTCAGTTTGATGGCGTTGATTGCTCCAAGTGGGACATGTTGACCCATGGTTACGAGTGTGTATTCACGTAATTAGCTTTACATAGTCTCCCGTGTTGCTTCTATATTATCCGCCATGACAACTTTTCAATTCAACTTTCCGCAGTAAAACGCAGCCAGATTGCACAAGACGACGGTGCAGACTATCTGCAACCTCATGAGGTACGCAAGTCAACGATTAGCCCTTCATTAGCATACGAACCTCCACAAGGTCTCATCAGCAATCGGAATGTTTGATGTCCGGAATTAATCCACACTGATCAATATGAAGAACAGGAAATATCGACAAACAACTTAATAATGTAGACAAATGGTGATCGGGATGGAGGAAAGAGCGGAAACACTGATGGGCGCCTCAAGACTGCTGAGTTCTGTTGACAGACGACTGACGATGCAGACGATTGGAAGACGGCGATCAGTATGGATGAAAGAGCGGAATATTGATAAAAAAACTTGAGATCAAGTTCGTGCCAGCTATCGCTGAAAACTTGACTGACCGATCTTCCCCTCGATCACTTTTCTGAGGACGCCTAACGTATCTGAACTTTGAAGCCATCATTAGAACTCTCAGAACAGTGATCGACGATCGTGCAAATTGTCAATGCGACAGAAACAACAAGCTGAGTCGCTGATTGTCATCCGAGTAGCCAAAGGCCTGAAGACCCCTAGCGAAATTTATCATGTGAGGTTATGGGACGATATCAATTGGATAAGTAGCGACAGTAAGAGTACCACGTATATCGAACCAAGTTTAAAATCGACCAAACACGTACAAAGTTTGAGTTCGTAGACACGCAAACTGAGCTTAAGGCAGAAAATACGGGATTTGGCCAGTCTAGTTAATTGGTTTTGGCACAGGCAGAACTATTAAGAACACTCACAATGGCTGTACACTCTTGATTCCCGTCTTAGATGCAATGGCACCCGTTAAGAACGGTAAGAGCGCAGAACCTGCTTGTCCGAAACCTGCTATCCAGCCGATCGACCCTAAATTCAGGTTTCAGTTGACCATATTCATGCTGCTAAACACGAGGGTACCTGTGACGAGCCACTCAGGGAGGATGCGTACTGCGTGATTCATAGCGATGGGGTACATCAGTCCCAAAATTACACCCATCATTGCGATCGCCACGCCTCCGCCAACGAGCGAAGACACCAGCCATACTATTAGCTCTAGCCCAATTGCGAAGATGGAGTAAATGAACAAGACACGACGTTCCCCGACCTGTGCATCCATTAATGTTGCATCTTACGTGGACGGGATATCGACTTGCCTTTTTGTTCACCCATAAAGAACGACGCGGCCAATCATGATACCTATTTGTAAATATATAGTGGAACCCCCTAACATGCTCGAAAGAGCTTACCTCCCCAAAATCCTGATGAGATATATCCCGAACTTGGACCTCCACCGCGCACGTCGATGATGTATGTCACCATCCAGCCTGGACCATGACCAATCTGAGTGAACATCCTTTACACTTGAGTTGCATACTCACCACCTACAATGACCTCCACTCCTACTAACGCCAATATGAAGAAGGCAAGGAGGTGCACTTCTCTGAGTCGCAATATCTGGTTGAACTGGCTACTTTCACTCGTGCCCTTTTCGCCCGCTGGCTGTCCAATCTGATCGAGGCACTCTATGAGATGCTTAGCCATTTCCTCAATGATGTCCATGAGTGCTCTTCATACCATCCTGTGTTTTCGGCCCAAAGACTGCAATCAACGACACAATGTTCATGAACGCGACACCGAGGCTGCACAGGTAGTGAAATGACCAATGCGGGAGCTGAGCAAATTGTGTTGCTACCAAAGGAGATGACAAAGCGTCAGCTCCTAAATGAAAAGGATCTTAATCACGGTTTTACGTTGCACCACACAGAAGAAGGTATAACTCACCGTATACCTTTCAATAGCAAGATAAATTGAGAGCTCACGTAAAGACAACACTTACCGCGTGGAGTATCCCCATTTTCGTCTCGGGACTATCCTTGAGACTAGCCACAAAACCATTCGATTGTGCGTCCTGGTTCCAAGATCATTTGGGCTGTAGAATCACTTGTGTCACTTACCTGTAGAGCCATTCCAAAGCCATTGATGGCGTAACTTAGTACGAATGCAGGAAATGGCAAGGCAGCTGATTCTATGGCGTACGCTATAACTTGACACGCTGATCCTGGACAATAATAAGGCGACTATGACCTCAGCGCAATACTTGGTCTCACCAAGCACAATCACCTAAACCACGGAGCCTATCTCAGAGATCGTAAAAAATGATCATCGAATCGGATGACTTACCTTCCCGAAGCCGAATCTACCGTCCAGATATAGATTTGCGAGTGTTCCAGATAGGAAGCCCTATCCAGTAACTCAGACATCAGTGATTCTTGTATAGAAGTGAAATCGTACAACGCATGCGATGTCAAATATCAGAGATACGACAGCGAAATTCAGCTGTCAGGACGGTAGGAGAGTCAATTTCAGAGATAACTGTGGGCGTTTGAAATTACCTACGCTATATACTGCCTGTATCCGAGGGAGTAATGGACCAGTAGTCCCATCATTCCATCCAGCTAGGTACATCGACCCACAAACTGTCGCAAACTGCACTCGTGCGCGCAGCCGCTGACATTTCATTTTCGCTTTCAGGTCAGAGGTAGATGCTGCTCCTGAACCATTTGCAGACGACCCTACTCGCGTTTCGATTTCTTCAATTGTGTTTGTCACTTTCTTTAACATCGTGATGAGGGTCAACCGTCGGATGGCGCAAAACCGTATGACCTTCAGCGATCTTCGTCATCTGCATATTGAATTCTGACTTCGTATACGCGAACTACAGCCTGGGCAGTGGGGAGGTTTTCGGATCCAAGACTATGACTGGGCAAAGAAACTTGCGGGTCGAGTATGTTCGAGTGAACAACAGACAAATATGATATTGACAGCACACCTTGCATTGGAAATAGGATGTGGAGTATTCTTGACACAACAGGCTTGACGCAGCGTGATTGATGTGTGACGCGGAATTGACGCGGCGTAATCGAGGTTTCACGTGGCATGATTGAGGCTTGATGCGGCATGGGAGATCGTGGGAGATCGTGGGGGAGGCTTGACGCGGCGTTAACGAGACATGGGCGGGATTTGATATGGGATAACACAACATATATGAGGCTTCACAGAGCGGGAACGTTGACGCACGACTAACGGCTGGTATCACAGTATATCAAAGCCAATCTTCACTGGACCACGATGAAAATCAGTAGCGACAGCAGAGGAGGCCACGTACTACAGCATACAGGGTAATACATCCTCACTGTACGAGTCCACGTACGACAAGCACCGACTGCAACGCGGTGGGACTGTTTGGGAGAGCAAGTTCTGGCTCTCGGTCGTCGTGGTCAGAGTCAGAGTCTTGGTCTGATTAGTCGTAGGATGTAGCAGGTGTTCCCGACGAGTTGGGGGTCCATGCGAACATGGGAGTAGAATCGTCCATGCTCTCAGGGCTTGAGCCACCAGTACTGGCGCTACCTTGAGCAGCGCCAGAAAGTCATAGGAAGGGACGCTGAGGGAAGGAAGGGAAGGGGCCTTTGTGAACTCGTCAGTGTCTAAGAATTAAGCGAAGAAGTCGTCGTCTGCGCCATTAGATGGGGGCGGAATTCAGAAAGAGAAAGGGTTACATCAACGTTTGTAAGCTCGCGGTTAGACTTACATGCTGGCAAATTTACTTCCTGGAAAGCTCGGCACCGCCGTGTCTGATCCCTGTCACAAACTCCCCAATTAGCATATGACTGTCCGTCGTACATTGTCAAAATGTAGGGTACCATAGCAGTCGAGCACTTCCCTGAATGTATGCATGCGATAATCAGAATAAAAGGTTCACAACGTATCCGAAAGTTTCCGACTCACAGCTCTCTTCCGACGATCTTCGTCAGTCCATGTACGTTTGGACAACTGTCCACGAACCGGGAAGAAGTTGGCTCGAGAAGGGTGACTTGACATGATTAAACAGCCATCTCCCGGCTCGAACCAATTTCTGCTCGTTAGTTATATTACCTGACACGCACTTGCAATGTCTAATGTTCGCTGGGCATGATCGTCGAATTCGCGAGGACATACTCTTTCTCGTTCTGCTCTGTAGTAGAACGTAGCCGGATTTCAGCCAGACGACAGACTCTAGATCTCTGAGACCTTCTCAAGGTACGCGTGTCGTTAATTAAAGAAACAACGACACTGAGACCTCAAGAAGGTCTCACCAACAACCACAATGTTTGGTACCGGATAGGACACTGTGCAAGATCAGTAGGGAGCAAAGAAGATATTAACAGACAACTTAACGATGCAGTAAAGACGACGACCTATGGAGGAAAGAGCGGAAATACTAGCGGGCTCAAGACTGCTGAGTTCCGTAGTATAACGCTGCCAGACTCCACCAGACGAGGGTCCAGACTATCTGCGACCTTCTTAAGGTACGCATGTTGGTGATCAACCTACATCAGCTACGAACCTCCAGGTCTCATCGACAAGCAGATTGTTCGTTCCCACCATATCATCCAGACAGGACACAGTGCTGCAAAGGAAATATCGACAGACAACTTACACAGACAAGGCAGCGATCTGGATGGAGGCAAGAGCGGAGATATCGCAGCTGGTAAACAACTGAGTTTTTCTCGAACCCACAGTAGACAAGCAGGCATCTAAACACCCCAGAGAACCAGATTGTTGAACACTTGATTGACCGAACGATCTTGACGCTCGATCACTTCTCTGAGGACGCCTAGCGTAGAGAAGCTACTAGCCCTCAGAACAATGATTGAGGATCGTACAAGTTGTCAAGTGCGATAGAAAGTCGACACTCTGAGTCGCTGACTGTCATGTATTTTCACCAACAGCGAGCGCCTCAGCGGGACGGTCATCCCCAAAGACTCGCCTCGAGCGCTACAGTGTTGGACATGGTGAATTTCGTTGGCGGTAGAGTTGACCACGCCAACAAGATTCATCATGTGAGGGTTGTGTGAGGGACGGTACTAGTAGCATGGCACCCGTTCCTTCACACAATCTCACTCACTATATATGTATCGAGCCACGAGCAAGTTGGAACAATTGGAAAATCCTCAACATCGACCAAACACGTACAAAGTCCGAAAGTCCAAGTCCCCGTGTACGTTCCGAGCGGATCGTGAGCTTGCGAACGTTGACGCATGTGAAAAGGGCCTTTGTAAGCGCCCTTGTGGAGATTCGCATTCTCGTTGCTTCTGAACGAGAATGGCTCTGGTCTGTGCGCTCGCACTCAAATAGTCCTCCGCTTCGAAGATTCGCCTTCGTGTTTCTCTCTTCTTCTTCGCTCTCCCCATTTGTGCGGCGCCTTACAGTTTTAGTCCAATTTTTCTGACGCGTAAATCATGACCTCTACCGCCGCCCCCTCTAACACGTCAGGTAATTCTGTAGCCACCCCTTCCTCTGCTCCTTTGGGACCAGCTTCTACGAATCCCTCGGCTACTCCTGTCGTCGCGGGGCCCCAAATGACTCATGCTCAAGTCGTCACTGAGAATAATCGACGTACAGCTGACAACGCAGCCTTGCAGCTGCGTAGGAATGCAGGGGACCTCAACGTCCCTGCTGATGAGCCTTTGCTTCCCGTTCCTCCCGTCTCCACTACGGCCAACATTCTGCAACAGTGGATCTCTGCCTTCGTCAATCTTTCTCCTAACTCACAAGCTCAGGGGGCTGCAGTGCTAGACAGCATAGCCAGCACTAAAGTCTCTGGCGTCAGACCGAACGTTGCCCCCATCTCAAAGGTCCTTTTTGACAGCTCAAAAGAGGTTGCTACCTCGAGCGGTCTGGATTCATCTTACAACTTTGGGATCCATCGTTTTATTCAAGATCTAGCGAACGCTGGTGAATACTGTCCCTTGACGCTTTTCTCTAACAAGAACACAGAACACCTTCATTGTGAGGGACATTCCCTCAAACGCACCAAGGTGCACGTCAATGGAGTATCCCTCCATCTGTTAGATCTGTCGCAATTTGAAAGCGAGTGGGACATTGACCCTCTCACCTGGCAAGAGGCCTTTCAGCGTTATCTAACATGGATTGCCGATGTTGGTGACGCACAGGCCGTCAAGCGCTGGAACACTCACTTCACCACCCTTGCTAAAGATGAAGCCGTTTGGAAGAATTTTCGCGCCATTCTCGAGTTCGATATCGAGACCAGGCAAAACTATGCACTACGTCCACATCAGCATGACGAAGCAGAGTGGACTCATCGTTTACAGAAGAAGAAGTACACTACCCTACAAGATCAACTTTTTCGTCACTCCGAACACCTCCGTTCTTCTCTCGTCGATCGTTCTTCTAACTCTGCTCCTTCCTCTCGCTTTGAACTTTATGACAAAGATTTGTCCGTCAAGCGACAAGCTAAGAAGTTGGACGCTGAACCGTCCTCCTTTCGAGACGCTAAGCCTACCAAGTCTGTCGACCCCATGTGCATCATCTGTGGTCGCACCAGCCATCGTTTCTCGGCATGCACTGAAGAGACTTTGCCGAAGGGAACACAAACTTATGCGAAATACTCAGGCGGAAACCTTTGCAGACGCTCCAATAGCTCCCAACTCTGCATTGGTTTCAATCTCAACAATCCTTGACATCAATGCAAATGAGACCACTCCGAACAACACCTTTGTTCCTTCTGCGGGCGTGCCGAACATGGTGCCCTCTCTCGCTCCTGCCTCTGACCTCGTCGAAGAGGATCATTTATTGGTGCATGTCCCTCATCTTGAACCCTCTTGCGCATCTGCCCCTAGGCACATATATTTCGATAATCTGCAAAAACATTGTTCTCCGCATGATCTTGATGCCGACTACTCTCTTGTCAAAACACCATACTCGCCTGAAGGTTTTGATCATCTGCTCGAAGTCACCAATCTCACTCATCAGTTTCCCGAACTTACATGGAAACTTCGCCATGGCTTTCCCATTGGTGACATGGCTCCTCTCACCTCATCATATACTCTGCAGAACTTACCAGGCGCGGACATTTTCCATGACATCTGCAATGAGTACATCGCAGATGAGTTAGCTAAGGGTCACTTCTCGGGTCCTTTCACTCATGAGCAACTCTACGCCAAGATCGGCCACTTTCGCTCATCTCCGCTTCAAATTGTCGTCAAGAAGGGCATTAATGGTGCTCCTGATAAGCATCATGTTTGTCGTCATCTCTCTTATCGTGGCTCAAAGAGCACATCCATCAACAACAAGATTGATGCTAGTGAGTACCCTACAGAATGGGGTACAGCAACAGAATTCGCAGAAATCGTACGTACATCTCATCACGCGCTCTCACATCACCCTCTCGGATGCTCTTTGCAAGTCCCGAACATGCTACCGCGTCATCGCCAAGACCATACGCACCCTATGTACATGTTCACTCATTTGAAGGCACGGGATCTCTTCCACGCGCATCATATCTCTAATCTACTTCTCGCAGATACGAGATGCCCCAGCTGGCGCTCAATTCGCTACTCTAGATGTCGAAGCAACTTACTGAGGCATTCCGTGTCTTCCCACACATAAACCTTATCTCATTGTCTACCATGAGGGCAAACTCTACATAGATCACAACATTCCCTTTGGTCTAACCTCCACCGCGGGTCTTCAAGGCAAAGTAGCCGATGCTACTGTCGCCATTTGGCGTGAGCTTGACATCAAACCCTCCAAGAAGTGGGTTGACGACGTCAGCATCTTCCGCTTCCCATCACCAACATGTCTCTTCGTCGGCTTCTCTGACGGCTCCTTATATCATTATGAGTATGATTTAAATCATGCGAAATTGCTCATAGCTCCTGCAAAGGTACCTTGGCATCCAGACAAAGGCCAGGATTTCAGCAATGAGGGTGACTATGTTGGCTTTCACTGGAATGTTCCTCTCAAGTCCGTCTCTCTTACTGAGCGCAAATGCCTCAAATATGTCGCGCGCCTCTCCAAATTCTACTCACTCTCTCAGAACACAAGAGTTCCCAAATGCGAGCTTGAGAGCGTCGCAGGCTTCCTGAATCATGCTTCGTTTGTCTATCCACATGGTCGCTCATATCTCTCTAGTTTCTACTCTGCCATAACAGATTACGGCTCAAAGGACTTTGTCCCTCGCTGGTTACCCAAATCTGCCATTGCTGATGTCAAGTGGTGGCTGAAGCTTCTTCGCTCTAAGCACCCTCCTCAGGATCTATCTTCTTGTCCACCCACGCGCGACTATGGCATATGGGTGGACGCCTCCACGGATGTCGGCATCGGTCTACTCTGGAATTCCAGATGGGCCTTCTGGCGCACTAATCAGACTTGGCGAGGCCCTCATCGCAACATTGGCTGGTTGGAGGCTATAGCAGTCAAGCTCGCCATCTGTCTCATCCATAGCAAATGCATCACTGATGCCGACATTCTTATCCGTAGTGATAATCAAGGCGTCATAGCCTCCTTCAAGAAAGGACGTTGCTCCAATCATCTCATCAATATGTCCATCCGACGATCTGAGGTACTCCTTCGAGATGCGCATCTCTCATTAACTTTCACTTATGTAACCTCAGCTTCGAACCTCGCAGATCCTATATCAAGAGGAATCTTACCCTCCGCTCTCTCACACCTCTCTCTCCCTCCGTCACTACCTTCAGATATCGTGTCGTTTTTCGACCATGAAGGAGAGTGAGCTATATTGCCAGGTTATGCAAGGTGTCAATGTGCACGCTGCCATGGCCGCCTTCTGGGCCAACAATCCTTCCTCCTCAGTCTCTTCGTCCGTCTGCCAATCTGTAGCTCAATCATTGCAAGTTTCTCGTACTCGTTTGCCTCGTCCTCCTAGAGCTAGCTCTTCCATTACTCCATCTGAACACCGACTGCATGTCCTCGCTAGTGATCGTCTCCTTGTTTGGTCCACTCCTGCCGGTCAGGAATGGCAAGCAGAGTTAGAAAAGAATTTCCCCAACGCATCTCTTTTTCATTTATTTCAAGTATGCCATCTTGCACTTATTCTGTTCTCTCCTCTCATGCTCCATCAGGTTATGATCCGCTCGCTCGATCAGGACACGCACAGCAATTACAGTGCTGGTCTTCTTAGATTCATGCAATTCTGCAACTCCATCAATGTCCCTGAGACTCAGCGCATGCCTGCATTGGAAGCACTGATTGTGCAATTTATCGCAGCCTTTGCTGGTATCACAGCCACCAAGACTCTCAACAACTGGATGGCCGGTCTCCAATTCTGGCACATCGTCAATGGCGCACCGTGGCTCACATCTGCAATGGTACATCATACCAGATGCGGTTTCTCCAAGATGGTTCCTCCCTCTTCTTGTCGTGCCAAGTGCCCACCTGTCACCATTGAGGCGCTATCTATCCTTTTCGATAATCTGTCTTTCATCGACCCTTTTGACTGCGCCGTTGGCGCCGCAGCTCTTACTGCCTTTTGGTGCTGTTGCCAGTATGCATACACATTCTCTCTCATAACCTTTATCACTTAGCAAGCTCTCTCACAGCTTGGGCGAACTTGTCATACCGAGCCCTAATCTTTTTGACCCATTCAAGCATGTCTCCTGATTGGTTCTTCCTCTCTCCATATTTGTTCTTCCCAACTCATCTCGCGCAGCCTCTTTTCGCATACCGTGGACCAAGACAACGAAAGAGGAGGGTGCCACCATCTCCATCACTGCACGTCCCCATCGCACCTGTCCTCTTGCTGCAATCGAACAACATACCATCGTCAATGGCAATGTTCCTGCGCATGCTCCTCTCTTCGCATATTGCACGCCAATGGGTTGGTCTCCACTCACGCACCAAGACTTCATCACTCGCTGCAACAAAGTCTGGGTCTCACAAGGCTTCCCGCCTCTGCCTGGTCATGCCTTTCGCATTGGTGGTGCCACCGAATTGCTGCTCCAGGGTGTGCATCCAGATGTAGTCTCCTTGCAGGGCAGATGGACCTCTAATTCCTTCCTGGAATACTGGCGCAGGATCGAGACCATTTTACCTCTCTTTATATCATCTTCCATTAGCAATGACCGCATGTTGAACTTAGACACCATCATGGACTCTTACACACGACAACAATGTCTCCCACGTGCCGCCTCCTCTTCGTAATCATCTCTCTTTCCTATCATTACTCTATGGGCACACATTTCTGCAATCACATTCCTCTCTCCGTTCCAATCGCATCTCTAAGTGTGTGGGTTTGTCTCCGAAGGAGACACTACCGTCGTGAGCTGCGCTTTTTTCTTGGTTTGGTATTGCTTCTCCTTCAGACCCAATGTCTGCTCCCGATACTAAATTAGTTAGCGCTCCGAAGGGCTGTTCTTCTCCTCCTCCTGATCTGCATTGACTTTTGTCTTGATACACGCACTTTCGGGAACCCTCAGCTTTATAGACACCAAGCAAAGAACATGTCTCGGACGAGCAACTGCAGCCCTTCCTACACAAAAACCAAATCCTCTAGCTGATTAATTCAATCACCCGAAAATTTGTTTTATTCCCCTCAGATCTCTCTTTGAACGTCAATCAAACTCATTCTAGATATTTGCTTTACTACTCATTCAAATATCCGTGTTCTCTCGAAGATCTACTAACACGTTTCCCTTCACACGTCTGATCTGGTCTCCTCACTCCACCTTAACGCTATCATACAAAGGCTTGGTCAGTCCCCATGCACAGCCACCCTATTCAGCCACCAGCTCATAATACCCAAGTCCCCCACGGGAAAACCTGTAGGCCGTTTATACCTCATTGATTGGAGTTGTACTGTGGGGGTGAGCATATTCTGCTTTGCCCATGTTACATGCTTATTAAAATATCCCGTTCAAGCTCAAGATGAAGGCTATATCCATTTCCTACAGCTACAACTTTTTGGCAAATATCTGATCTTATATTCTACATAAGTTCGAGGAATGAGAACGTACATAGAATGAGGTCTATGTGGCAACACAGCTTTTTGTGGTTTCACCTTTCTTGCTTTGTACTACCATCTAGTAGTACTCACAAGTTCTCAACTTCACTCTCGTTTCGTCGCATCTTTCCTTTAGAATAAATACACTATTCACAGTATGCCGAGAATTCACAACGATCCTAATCTTGACATCTGTCTGGACTACGACAATTTATCTTTTGCTAATATTCGAGCTCAATTGGTCAACAACAACACCACCAAAGAGCAAGCCATTCAACTTCTCAGGAACATCTGGCAGGCAAACAATGACACTGACAAGGCGCAATGGCAGCAACAGCTTGAGGAAGACAGAGAGAGACGCAATCACCTTCAGCGTTTAAACGACAAAGAACAAGATAGACTTGATCAAGAACGGGTAGATGAGGAAGAATCTGTACACAAAGAAGAAAGGAAGAAAAATAAGCACAAGTACATTCCCATCTTATCCACAGGGATACCAAACGACCTGTCCATCACACCCTGTTCCTACGCAATCAGAAAGATTGACAAAGGAGAATACATGGAGTTATGGTACTTTACCAATGATGGACTAGATGAAGCTCACGCGAAGAAGACCATAGATGACGATGCCATGATCATGTCAAAAATGGCAGACAGTTCTACCGCGTGGGTGTCTTCGGCCTCGACTTGTAACACCTGTTCTGTCATGGACGATCAGAATATCTCGTTTGAAAACTCCTGCCAAGCATGCCCTTGTTTCATAACAGCCATGGAAGAAGCTGACTGGCCAGAAGATCGAGTCAGAATGATGGTGATCTTTTGGAACAACACACAGATTCACAAATATTGGTCTCTACGAGACCTGTTAGCACAGAAGACCTTGCTGGTCTATCAAGCCGAGCAACGCAGGTGATGGCACTTCGCCATGAAATTTACGATGGGTCCTTATGACTTATCTCAGGTCAACAAGACAGTACTTGAGCAGATGAGAGAGAAGGTATACTGGGAAGAATGAAACAAAAGGGACAATGAGTGAGACTACAAGGTCAGAGTCATCAATTCGTCAAACGAATAGAACCAAAGCTTACCAAGAACTCGGTCCTTACATTTCATCTGTGCACAAAATATTACGTGCGACGCATCATTTGCTGTGCGACCACCTGCTACATGCTACATGCTACACGCCACATGCCACATGCCACATGCTACAACTTCATTTATGCAGTCAGATCAACAACTTGGTCACTATGGTGGCTCTGCTTCAAATCAGTGCCATGACTCTCAACGAGAGTCGTGCAAGCGATCAGCGTTGCCTGAGCAAGGGGGCAGAATCCAGAGAGCCCGTCAGGATTTTCACTCAGGCGCAAGTGGAGGTGTCCTATCCGCATGCACTGTTTGCCTTGAGCGAAACCCACACAGAATCATTGAATGCAAGGCCCCCAGAACATGGGACGATGCCTTCGACACCATCTGCACTCGTGTCGGAAAAATGCTCACAATGCGAGATGGAAAGCCCATCTGCAGTGATTGGCAGTGGGTTACCAGCTGCAGCGAAGTCAATCACGATTGCCAGCACTTTTGCTCAGGATGTGCCGTGTCCACTCATGGAGCTCAGGCATGTCCTCGAGCACAGAAAACTTAACCCACTCACCCCTTATAACCCGGATGTGTGGCAATCGAAGCTCACGTCATCCGGTCTCTTTGACAGATATTCACACATACCAGAGGGGCTCCGTGAAGGATTTTGTCTCAATATCCCTAAAATTAAAATCACACAAGCGCTGCCTAACAAGGAGTCTATCATTACATATCAACAGGAATTTCAATCTATTATTCAATCTGAGCTTGAGAAAGGGAGATACATTGGGCTGCTTATGGCCAATGAGGTTGAAACTCTCATCAGGCCCTTTCAATCTTCACCCTTCTCCATTATACCCAAACCCGGCCACCCTGGGCGCTATCACATCATTCAGAATTACTCGTTTCCACACACTCCTTCATTCAAATTCCCTAATCTGTCAATCAACTCCTACATTAATCCAGATAATTTCCCTAGTACTTGGGGGACATTTCATGTATTGGCTCTTACAATTAGCTGTCTGCTGCCCGGATCTCAGATTGCAACCAGAGACATCTCAGAAGCGTACTGAACGGTCCCCATTCATCCCTCACAGTGGCCGGGCTCAGTGGTCTGAATATTGGACAAGCATTTTTGCATCGACACGTGCATGTGTTTCGGTCTGCGCCCGTCAGTGGGAGCATATGGAAATGTTGCAGGTGCAGGTCTCGACCTTTTCAGATACCAAGGAATCGGTCCAGTATCCAGATGGGTCGATGATCACCTTTTCATTCAGATTCTCAAGAAACATCTCGCATCGTATAATGAACAATGAAAGGAATGGCATCAAGCCATTACAGAGAAGGGACAACAGCAAAGTGGCGGAAGGATATGGTATGGTGGCCACGTATTCAAGGATGGTACCTTGGAAGAGTTTGATGAAGATTGTCACTTTCCTGTCATTGACTTATCAGAGTCCTCGCCGAGATCACATGAGGATGGTTTATTTTCTTTCAATCTATCTGACATTGACGAAGCATCAGACGACATTGGCATTCCTTGGGAAATTTCTAAGGACCATCATTTTGCTTACTATAATCCCTATATTGGGATTATGTGGGATTTGGCTAGACTCATCGTTTACTTGGCAGAAGATAAGAAACAGAAGTATCTATCAGTGATTAATGCATGGCAGAGGCATGCAACACACGTACTTAATGACGTCCAGCAACTATACAGCAAGTTATTACATACTACACTTGTCATTCCAAAGGGGTGGGCATACCTCACCTTGATGGAAGCCATGTTGCAACTCGGTTTTGAGAAATGGTTTCTCCCATGGAGACCCGCTAAAAACCTGGCGGCTGATCTGGAATGGTGGACGACAGTCCTCCAGGAGCCCTTTGTTGGTCGACCCATCCCAAGACCGCTCACTCTGCATGACCCAGCCGCATTCTCAGATGCCAGCTCGGGCGTTGGAATTGCTATCATCATTGGCCCTCAATGGCAAACATGGCATCTCCATAAAGGATGGCAGACCCTTGATGGTCAAAAAGACATTGGCTGGGCAGAGGCGATCAGGTTTGAATTACTCGTTCGGCACCTTGTCCAATTGGGAGGGCCAGAACATCACTTCTGAGTCTTTGGGGACAATCAGGGAGTCATTGAGGGATGGCGCAACAGTCGAAGTAGGAACACGGTGGTCAACATCATCTTCTGGAGGATCTTCTCTTTTCTTCACCATTGTTCAGCACCATACTCATTCCACCCCACATACATTGCAAGCAAGTCGAATCCAGCGGATGACCCTTCCAGAGGGATCTATGGAAGTACAGAGTTTATACTCCCCACCTTCCCCATCCCTGAAGCCCTCCAATCATTCATCATCGACCCATTTGCCATCTCAACCAACCCAGATCATTATGGCGTGAGTTCCTCGAACATCATCAAGGGCTCTGCTCTCGACCATTCCGATGTCGTCCACACAGAGAGTAACAGTGGCCCCAGCTCGGACAAGCTCTATCGCATTCACGCAGAGCAATGGGGCATCAGTGATGGCAAGCCGTTTCAAGGCCCCTTTACCAGCAGAGGAAATAGTTAAACTGCAACCCTACAAGGCCGGGTTAGTGCCAAGGCCATCCCCTCTCCGTCCACATTGCTTAGCATGAGAACATCTTAAACTTTGGTTTCCCCTTCAAACGAGATCATCTCGTGACATCAATGGCAAATTCCTGGCCATCACAGAGGAAGACTTACAATGAGTGTTGATGGTGATGAATCTTTCCTGGGCCCAAGGAACGAGAAAATGCTATGGAGCAGGTTTTTCACATATTTTGTGATGAGAGAGCCATCCCGGAGGAGCAGCACTGTCCAGCAGACACACTCACAATCCTTAACTTCATCTTGAGCTGCGCCGGCTTGTATTCTGGAAAAAACATTGTCCAATTACGTATACATGGTGAAGGCTTGGCATACATTGCACGGTCAACCCTGGAAGATGCAGCAGGACAAGATGAAAGCAACACTTGATGGGGCATCAGCACTCACTCCAGTCTCCTCGAAATGAGCCAAACGTGAACCCTTCACCACAAAATTTATTGTTGAAATTCACACCAACCTTGGATTATCCTCTCCGCTTGACGCAGCTATATACGTGTGTTTGACAAGCACCTTTTACTCTCTCTGTTGATTGGGCGAACTCACTGTAACTGCTATGAAAATCTTCGACCCGGAGAAGCACGTCAAACGGTTGAACATGGTAATAGATGCTGAGGACAGACAGGGATTGCTAGTCACTAAGATTCATTTACCTTGCACCAAGACATCGCCAGCCTGCGAGGACGTATATTGGGCGCATCAGGCAGATGGAACAGATCCCAAAGCAGCTCTCCTGAATCATTTCATAGTAAATGACCCACCACTCGACAACCACCTATTTGCATGGAGACATCCGAAAGGAATTCAACCATTGACGCGAGCAGCATTTCTGAAGAGGGTTGGAGAGATAGTCAAGAGGATGGGGATGACCAATCTGAAAGGACATGGATTGCGCATCAGAGGCACACTGGAGTACTTACTGCACGGCATACCTTTTGATGTCGTAAAGTCAATGGGGAGGTGGTCGAGTGACGCCTTCACTATTTACTTACGAAAACACACCATGATCATGGCTCCATACCTTCAAGAATCACCCATTCTCGAACCGTTCACCCGTTACACCATGCCACTGCCACGCTAGGGAACAAGGTATGTTCACTTAGCCCTCCTCCTTCGAAGTGGGAGTCCATGCTGCACCCAATGTGTCACAGGGCTCCTTCTATTTGGGAATCACGGCTCATCCTGGACTTTCTGCACAGGTTCAAAATGACATTTCGGGTTGCAAAAACCCTGCGGGTTTTAAGCCCAAATAGCTGCACATGTCTCATTACCACTATTTGTACAAATCAGATATCATTGCTAATCAATAGATCTGATTTCTTTGCTCACCACTACAAACTGACAGCTACGCATAGACATTGATTTCACTGTCAACACAAAATTCCACTATAGTGTGTGTTAATTAGTTGCCACCAAATTGTGGCAGTTCCCCATAGATACAAGGGATTTGACTGTGGATACATGCATAGTCTTATAATGTGAACATGTCCAGTGACTCAGAAAGTGAGCAAGAACATCAGGACATCATGAGTTTACTTTTCCAAAATTTTTTCAGCTTTTTCTTACTTCAACCACACTTATATAAGTAGCAGGGACTGAAATAAGTAGAAAAGGAGAAAAGCACTTGAAAAGTTGGCACTAAACCAAAAAAAAGTTGACACTACTCAAAAAGCATGTATTACACAAAAAAAGTCATAGTAATTCTACAGATTTGCAGGTATACTCTTGGACAATTTGAACATGTGCTGGAGTCGCCCACATTCAATGAGTGGCCTGAGCATGGTCGCAACATCGAGGGCCCCATCATCATCATCATCATCATCATCATCATCCACATCTAACCGCATCCCATCAGCTCTGAATGTCCATGACTAACCTGCTCACCAGTGCCACCATTCTTTCCTAGTATTCCTTCAAGTCCAGGTGGCATCAATGCACTTGTATCCACATAAATGATGTCCTGAATATTAGTAGAGGTAGCAAGATATGGCACCGGCAGACAGTGGGAGCAAGAGCAAAAGACAGAAAAGTTGCACACTTTGCGAGCAGAATTAACTGAAGGATAGGACAGATTGCTGGAGTTAAGTGTGAAGGTAGGACTTTGAGTCAATGACATGCAAGACAAATGATTAAACATTACAGGTGTTCTGCTGAGCCTGAATTAATATTGGTGTTTGCTGATAACTATACAAACAATTTGTTTAAGTTCAAATCCTTACTGGTATACATACCACTTGTACTTGCTTACTCTCTACTCTCATAGCTAGTCAAACAGTATCTGTCTTGCAGAAGAACCAGAAGATCAAGTAGACAACATAAATGCTAGCCCAGAAAAAATGTGGGAAACCAGACTATGACATTTGATGGACCATGAACTTGCATGAACTTGAATGATGTGCATTGCGCCGCAAACTAGAATAACATGAACTTGACCACAATAACTTGAATGATGTGCATTGCAAACGTGAACCTGAGAACTCATTGATGGGCTGCAAACTGGAATGACATGAACTCAACCATGACAGTTTGATGGACCTCATCACAGCTCCTTGATTTCAGCAACAGATTTTTACATGGATGCAGTCCCCATGCTCACTCACAAGTTGCTGGCTCACAGGTGTATGACAATGAGGACTGAGGTGTGGCGAAAGCGAGGATGGAGGACAGGCCTATTTATGCATCACTCACTGTGAATCTTCCCCCTGGTCTACACCCTTATGCTTATCTGCTTTTTCTACACTTCATCTACTTTTTTTGTTGGTGTATTGTACTTTTTTTTATACACTCATACTTTTTAAGCAGAAAAAAGTGTGAAAAAGTTGAGAATAAGTCACATTTGGGTGAAGGGATCTACTAAAAAAAGTTGAGAATAAGTCACATTTGGGTGAAGGGATCTACTAAAAAAAGTAGCTTCTACTTTTTTCAACTTTGTAAAGTACACTTTCGCATTTTTGCCCCTTTGATAGGGAAGTGTCCCAGGGCATTCAGATTATGTTTAGGAGTATATATGAAGAGATTCCCATCCTTATTTGACCCCCTGAAGTGTCCTACATCAGTAGATATAGCATATATATAGGAAAACACAAAATATGTTCCCATGTATTTATTTCTAAGTAGATGTACTTGTAAAATTTCTCCCCAGCATATGTTAACCAATAGGAACAATGTATCAAGAGTCCAGGACCATAGGACAAGACCTTGTGATGCAGTACACCTACCCTCCATCAGCAAAACCCTCAAAATGACATAGTGCCCTAGCCGAGTACAGCCACCTGTGGTAACTTACAGCATCCACAGTGACATGTAGCAACTGGCTAAAATTTAATATTAGTGCTTGATTATATTACAGCAGGTTACAGCGCTTACAGGTGCTTACAGATGCCTTAGTGGTCCAGTAATATAGTGGCCTGTAGCGTGATACAGTGGTCACAGAGCATGATTTTTTTTTCAAAAGAAAACTGGTATGGACAAGGTAATACATAGAGCTAATATTACTATGCTGCTGCATTCAACTCAGAGATAGTGTGGTAAAAATCCTTATTGATGTACTTGTTGAGGAAAAATGATTGAGTGAACTTAGAGCTGTTTTGTAGTGTCAGACAAGTATCAGTGACAGGACCAAAGCAGGGAATAATGTGAGCAAAGGAGCAAAGTTGATCTAGGGGAAGGATGTCCCCAAAAGGTATTGCTCCTGCATATGTGGCACATTTTAGAACATGCATCTACGTTGTGCATTCCAATACCATTCCACATTGCTAAGGTACTATGTTGAGACATTGGATGTAAGTAAGGAAACATGCAGCCCACGGGAGAGTTCTGCCTGGTGGTGAGACTGGTAACATAATGAGGCGAACCTCAACAACAATGTGTCCTAGATTTGTATCTTAGAACAAATAACACTGAAGAACATGTCAAGTTACCTTTAAGCCCACTAGCAGGCCCTTGTTCTGTGCCATCAACAGTAAATATGGCAGCAATGTAGCAGCCATACTTCCAATTGGCATCTGGTGGAGACGCATTAACCATCAGAGCAGGAAGGAGGGCTGACCCACTGTGGTGTGGTGTCTGCTGCATGCATACTTTGAACCAAATATCAAGATGCTTGAATAGAAGATTCATGGTTGGTGATGCTCGACATTGTCCTGTCAACTTGTGGAGGTTTTGAACAGTCTGACCCTCCTGTTGAATGTAATCAGCAAGTGCTGCTCGCAAGTTGGGCCAACAGAACTTCTCAGTGACATTATTGATAGCTTGGTGTTGTGATGAGGGGTCAAAATTGAGATGTATGGCGGTGGAGCCAATGACAAATGTGTGGAGTGGTCTGGGCGCTGTGGTGGACAACAAGGCAAGTTGTGCCTTCTTGAAGAAATTTGATACAACATGCTCTGTCCCTGTTAAGGTCGTGCTCAAGGGGGAGGTTACTCAAAGGGCTTCAGTTTCAGCTTGTGCACTGCACCCCTTACCCGAGTACATGCCCTTAATTTCCGAGGGGCAGAAGGGAAGTCCGATGGAAGTCTGGGAAGTCCAGAGGTCAGACATCAGGGGAGTTCGGTGGAACTCCGGAAGACTATGAGAGAACAGAGTGAGGCTACTGTGGACAAGTCCGGAGTAGAAACAGAACAGAGGTTAGACTACCCTGAGGTAGAGCCGGAGATTTAGTCCTAAGGTTTAACCCCAAGACTTGGAGGTAGACAAGAGATGAGACTCAAGTCCAGAGATGCAGGAATGAGCAGAACTAAGATGATATTTGAACTGAGGAGTTCTGGAGTATTGCAGGAGTTTATATACTGTAGGTATCATGTAAGTAAATCAGTCAGCAAAGGTAAGGGCTATGTACGAAGCATGTGGAAAGTCTATTAGTAAGTGTAACAGATCAAAGCAGTGAAGTCAGAAATGAAGTAAGAATGGACGGATCAGTAAGCATAGTGGAGAAGAACATAACTGGTAACCGGAGCAATAGCTATTCTAAAAGGAGCTAGGGGTGAGTGCGGAGATGAAGGCGGAGTGCCGGGTGGAATAGCAGGACGGAGAACCGGACTTTAATGGAGTAGATCCGGAATTCCAGATCCGGAGGTACGGGATATGACAGTCCCCCAGAAATCACTGATGGCAGCCTGGAGATCACCTGCTTCATCAGTGTTCTTGTCATCATTGATCTCATCATCCAAGTCATCTCTATATCCAGCAGTGGCAGCGTGCATCTGAGACTGCAATTGTTGAGCAATATATGTTGCAGTATGAAAATGTCGACATTTTTCGATGTGATCCAGATATTGACATATCTGGGGATCATAGTTCTGGTTATTTGTAGACTCTGCTGGATCCTTGATGAGAGTTATGCGAGCTTGTTCTGTGGTGTCAGCTGATCACTGTATGGGGGAACTGACTTGATAGATACTCGGCACAACACTTTGCATCAATTTGAGCTTTGGAATGTACCAGTTGTCAAGGATGTCTTTGCTCTTGGCACCCCAATGCCCACTGTGTGCAATAACTTCATGTTTGTGGTTGTGAAATGTCTTGAGAGCATCAAGGATCTTCTGACATTGTTTCCCATCAATGGTTACTGCTTGAGATAAGGAATGGAAGTCCATTAGCACACAAACAGCTATGACAATGCCTGGAGGTGCAGCATTTGTGATGACAGCAACAAGGTAATGCTGTATGTCCTGCTGTGCTTTTCTGGTGACTTGCTTGAGCATCAAGATACCCTGTTTGAAATGTCAGAATGTCACAAGCGGTTGTAAGACAGAAAAATGAAAGTAAAGCTCCTCTGTGCTGACAATATTAATACATCACTGTACATTATGATCATAGGATTTGCGATGCCAATGGTGCAAGGCCTCCGGAGTCAGAAACAAATTTGGATCTGAAAATGGCCAGTTGCACCAGAATGGATCAACAACACCGCTGAGGCGGTTGGGCTCACATGTAGCAAAGAAGGCTTTGACATTTCGAGGGTCACACATAGATTTGATGCTCTTGAGTTGTGTAAGGGTGGTTTTGGCTCTGTGTGGGGGGTGTTGGAAGGCATCACCAAATTGCTTATATGAAGCCATGGTGAGTGGTGAGGTCTTTCCTTGAACACAGGCGAGCATGGCTGCCTGGGGTGTATCCATGATATATGAAGCCAGGGGAGTGAAACAATATCTAAGGTTTCTGACTGGGTCTGACATCATACGTCTGATGAGTGGCTTGAGGATAATGTCAAGACACTGATGGATTAGGTGAGCTTCTAGAACACCTTGCATACACTTGACCAGATGCAAAAATTCAGTGATGGGAAGTAGGGCTGTGAGAAGAAAAGCATGTGATGATGCCTAGTTTTGAACTGCCATCTTGATGTTGGTAAGACTGATGAGGAAGGGGTGAGCGATGCGTCCGCTGGTCATGTTTGTGATATTGGTCTTATCAGAGGAAAGTATTACACCAAGCAATGTAGAATCCTCTGGAAGCCTGGACTGTGATAGAGCAATAGAAGTTAGACAAGTAATCACACTAAGCACTAAGGTATGAACCTGCATCATCCAGGCTGCTTTGCCAGTCATCCATTCACCATATATCTGTACCATATGCTCTGCTGTGGTATATATGCATTCAGGTATGAGGTCAATATCCTTGGCAAATCTTGGATTATTGAAGAGCAATTCAATACAGTCCAGCAGATCATGTCAATACAGGTGCACAGGTAGTTTCATTGGATGATCGGTGGAAACAACACAATATTGCCACTTGGGACCAGAGGGTAGAAGCTTAGCACGACCATGTAGCTCTTTTGCTGTGCGAAAGGAGAGTGGTAAGGCTTTGATCTGTCAAGGACTTGATTCCTAGCTGATCCAGAGTCCGTGAAGGAAAACATACCAGTTCTATCCCTAGGAAGCGATCTATGGCTGCCATACTCAATGCCAAGGACAGATAGTTATTGTTATGATGATGTGCATATACATCATCATTGAACCTGTTAAGGTTGTGCTCAAGGGAAGAGTAACTCAAAGGGCTTGGGTTCAGCTCGTGCACTGTGCCCCTTACCCGAGTATGTGCCCTTAATTTCCGAGGGTCGGAAGGGAAGTCCAATGAAAGTCCGGGTAAGTCTGGAGGTCAGACACAGGGGGAGTTTGGTGGAACTCCAGAAGGCTAGGAGTAAATAGAGTAAGGCTACTTTGGACAAGTCCGGAGTAGAAACAGAACAGGGATAGACTACCCTAAGGTAGAATTGAAGATATAGTCTTAAGGATTAAACCTAAGACTCAGAGGTGGACAAGAGATCAGACTCAAGTCCGGAGAAACAGGAATGAGTAGGAACTAAAATGATATTTGAACTGAGGAGGTACTGGAGTTTTACAGGAGTTTATATACTGTAGATATCATGTAAGTAATCAGTCAGCAAAGTAAAAGCTATGCCTGAAGCATATGAAAAGTCTATTAGTAAGTGTACAACAGATCAAAGAAATGAAGTCAGAAATGAAGTGCAGACGGACAGATCAGTAAGTGAAGCAGAAAGGTGTACAACTGGTAGCTGGAGAGCAATATTCTAAAAGGAGATAGGTGTGAGTCTGGAGATGAAAGCGGAGTGCCAAACAGACAACAGGACGGGGAATAGGATGGAGACCTGGACTTTCATAGGGGAGAATCCAGACCTCCAGGTATGGAGGTACAGGATATGACAGAATCACTCCAGGAAAGTCAGGCCCCATGCATGTACCCTTGCAGCACCTTCAAATCGCATAAAATGCCCCCCTGAAGCTCCACCACCCAGTGTCTCTCCATCAGGGATCAGAAAATCATTCTCCAGATCTGCTTCTTCATCGTGGTAGACCATATCATCCCCATCTGAGTTAGGGCCCAGGTTCCATGCTGGCGGCAGATCTAAGTCCATTGAGAAGCCATGAGGGCTTTGAGTTCCAAGTCTGCCAGAATGGGCAGAAGACTGATAGTGTGATGATGATCGATTGGATTCAAAAGATGCATGCCAGTTCAATGAGTTGAGTATTTGTGCTGCAGTTGTGAACTCCACAGTAGTATGTTGTTGGCATGATATGAGGGGCTGGCTTAGGTGACGTGTAACACCCAAGGCATCCTTGAACTTCTTTAGACAGTTCAGGCAGTTGGGCATTATGCTAGCTAGTGTCTACTATCTAGTAACAGTATATACTAATGCTTCTAATATCACCTGCTCTTCACTTTCCTTTTTAGTTTTCATCTCAAGAAAACATACTAGCAGCACAATGAATGAACATTATTATGTATGTATGGTATGGTGGATGCAACATGGACAACAGTTGGCAATGAAGATACTACAAGGAAAGTCGTACTACTCAGGCTAGTACAGTTATCAATCGGTACTTGAGACACGAAATTGAAAAATGAAGTACCATACTTTTACAACACTTTATAAAAGCCCTGTTATATTTTTCCTACCAAGTAGTATATGTCAAAATTACATATCTGAAGTTTCAGAGAAAAATGTACAACTGTTTGTGTATGTCATTCAAAATGGTGAGGGGACCTCTTTTTTTGCCCATTTGTTATGACTAGAGTTCACTGAATGGCAAAGTCTAACACACAACCACTAGGACTTGGTCAAGAGGAATGATGATGAACAAGATAGTATTGAGCGTGAACGTCTAGGTCTACCACCAGTGTGGAAATGAAGAGGTTAAGTCTAAGGAGTACTTATGCTAACTAACCTACTTATATACATAACATTGAAGAGGAGATATCTGAGTATGAAAGAAATCAGCCAATGATAAAAGAGTCGTACGATACTGCGGATGACTGATCATGATATATAAGTGATGAGTCAGACGGTGACTAAATAGAAGCCCAAGATCCGACCTGTACTTCTTCTGGAAGCGAGATTGTTCTAGCCCATGAAGTTGGGGAACCAATCAGAGAAATGGTGGGTGATATGTGAAGAGGTGAAGGTGTGACAGGAAGTGAAGTCACGTGACCGGTTCGGTAACTGGAAGTAGCCGGAGGAAAGCCAAGGAACGAAAAATGATTCGTGTTTGGAATTTGTGACACCATTATTGCTCCATGATACATGTGACTCATTAGCTAATCTTTGCTTATTGAACATTAGCAAAATTGTTATCAGTTGCTCACTCCGTCTCACCAGTGGCCTTGGAATAGGGCCATGCAACTTTCCCAAGACTGGTTTTGCCTTGCTGAATTTCTGCCCCTCTGCCTTTGCCCTCAACTTATCCTCATTCCACTTCTCCAAAGCAGTGTGGTACTGTGCTCTTCAGTCCTTGTTCTCCATCTTGTGCTCATCTTCAAGATGTTTCCACACTGCCAGTCCTTTGGCCCTCTTCTCGCATTCTTCTTTCCTCATTTTCTTCTCGGTGATGCACTTTTTCTGCTCGTGTTTAAATTCAACAACTTTCTTGTAGAACTCATCACCAGAAAGGAAACACAACAAACTGTTGCCCATCAACTTTCCTTTCTCCTTCCCTTTTCGCTTTTTCGCTTCCTGATTTGCAAGCTGTCCACAAAGGACCTTGCAATACCTCTCATTCAGGATATTCATGGCCTGAAGCTCGAGGACACAGCGCTTTAGTGTGATGTTGGTGGCTTCTGTTTCGCGGAGAAATGCAAGCAGTAAAATCTCGTTCGAGGTCTTTGGTTCAATGGCAAAAGGGTGTTTTTTTTGATGGGGGAGATAAGGTGGGTAGTATTGTGTTCCAGTTGTGTCTCCGAAGTCAAGGGGACCAATGAGACGAGCCCTGACAATGAGGTCTCTTGTAGTTTTCCAATCAAGGACCTGATCTCAGATTGCATGGTTGTCACAGGTTGTCAAATACGTGTTGCTGTAGCTTTGGTGTTGTCACCATCGTCTCTGTGGTTGTCATGTTTTGTTGACAGCTTCCCAAGAAGGTCTGCAACAATTCTCATGGGTGTCAATGGCGTGATAGGAAGCTGACCCTCACATGATGTTTCCTTACTAGGGGCCATCATCTCATTAGTGATGACATCTTGGTCGAATGGCGAGATACAAGTCTTCTGAAATGCAGTGCGAATAAGGTCTGGCGTGAGTGCATGAAGGTGAGCCCATCCGTAAATTGACAAGAAGTTACTTTTTGTAACACCTTCTCCTTTTGTTTGCTCCCACATATCTCTTTCCTTCCTCCAATGTCTCTTCAAGACTGCAAAAACAACCACATCTAAACCCTGATAGACATGTGTTGCATGTGCAGGATAGCATATCATGTGGATGCGATGGGCACGTGCATATTGGAGGAATCCTCTGGTATAGTGTGAATTGTGTCTGTTGATGATGAGGAGATGATTGCAACCATCTGCCTTGTCCTTGGTGCATTTATCGAAGTCTTGGATCCATGCTATGCCAATCTCACCATCAGTCCAGCCTTTCTTTGAATATCCAAGGCTATCATCATCATCAGGTAAGGCTTATTCATTCACGCTGACAAGGACTACTCACGATGCATGTGCAGGGTTATCTTGCTTCCATTTGACTTGGTATGCATTGCATTTGAAGATGACTGTGGGAGAACTTGATGTTCCATCGGCACATATTGTGATGATAACAGTCACATTTTCCTTGCTTCCAGTTCTTTGCTGATACTGTGGCCCAGGTTTATGGCTCCCGATGACTCGTTCACCCTCGCCTGATTGTGGCGAGATCCCAATTTCATCAACTGCATGTATGCAATCCTTGGCAATGTCATATTGGTCCAGAACACCCTCCAAGAGATCAAACCATGCCTTGTTTGTGTTCTCATTGACTGCATGACCACATTTTGAGTTGAGCGGAGCTGACCATGATGTTTTCAAGTGTTTGGAGTGCTTTTCAGTGAAGTGGTGTGTCCAACACTTTCCAACCCCGGGAAAGTCATTACCGAGATGAGCACGGCATATTTCGTCAATGTGTTCTTGAAGTTGTTGGTGACTAAGTGGAAATCCTTGATTACCTATCTCTTCTATGTATGCAAGTACTTGTTTGGTCTCTTCTTCAGAGAGCCATGACTTCGCAGCATTCATCTCTGCTAGTGACCTCTTGCCAGCTGTGAGATGTGCAAGTGTGGTATGAGACAGCTTGAGACCCAACCATCCGCGCCACCAACCAACAACACATATGCTAGAGTACCAACAACGCCTATTCGCCAGAACCCGCAACCCGCATATGGTCGTTAACCAGCTACACCTCAGCAGCAACTTGTAATCACAGAAGACATGAGAACAGCCGTCAGACAACTTGTTAACACTATTCTCCAGCAGCCAGACAACCCAAACGGCCAAACAGCATATGCAAACCAGATCGCACAGTGGAATGTGAAATGGGGCAAAAATGCTCAGGTCACGCACAAAACGGGGTACCCGCTCAGACCAGGCACTGCAGCCATTGGCTCGAGCGAATGCTTTGGATGTGGGACACACGGGAATAACAGACGCAACTGCCCACTGCCAGGAGATCATGCAGAAAGGTTATCGTGCAAAGAAGCAGCATGGAGAGCAATAACAAGCAGAGTACTAGGAGCATTCAACCACATGACAGCCACACCAATCTCATTGGTTATCAACCAAACCCCGCAATATGACACTGCATGGATCGAAGAACTCACCAAACAAGACGAGGGAAAAGTGGAAGGGTCAGTGTAAGGAACAATACTATGCTGACCCAGAGCAAACCAGAGATTCAGGCTAGAGGAAATGTCCTCGCGTGCACGGAGGCATCGTGCAAGGACACGAACTCATCTGCACGCCCCAAGCTTTCACCCAATCCCATAGTTACTCATGTACCAACACCACTTGACACAATCATCACTGTTGACCTGTACTCAGTGGGACATATCGCAATAACTAAGGAGCAGCTGGAAGCAAAGGAGGCAGTACCTTTTATCCACCAGGTCATACTCGAAGGGCCAAAGGGAGAAGCAGTCAGAGTACGTGCGCTTTTCGACGACGGGGCTATGGTGGCTGCAATGTGCACATCAGTGTTCAAAAAAGTCAAACACCGTCTAGACAACTGGGGTCCATCAGAAAGGAAGCTGAGAATGGCAAATGGAAGCATCGTTGACTGAGAAGCCAAGTGGTCAGGAACAATAGAGATCAACGGAGTACGAGCAGAGGGAGATTTAGAAGTCTTTGATAGCGGAGGAGGATGGGCATTTCTGTTTGGAAAACCTTTGCTGCAGTCGTTCAAAGCTGAACACAACTACCAATCGGACACGATCAAGATCATCAACAGTTCCCAATCAACAACCATACACAACCAAGTAGCACACCCGCAAGCGTTACAACGTGCAGAGCACCAGGGCACTAGCCTAACCCAAGACGTCAAACAACAAGAAACTCCCGACGATGCACTTCGGCACCATTCAAGCAGCAGCAGCTCAGAATGCAACCTGCAACCCACTCATCCTCCAACACCGCCTCACACGAATGAACCCGCCTGGCGCCCATCTCACATACCTATGGGACAATGGAAACCAAGCACCATGAACTCAAAGCAACAAGAACAATGGCGACTACACCAGATGTGGAAACGAGTCCCAAGAGCAATGGATGACCTCACAGCAGAGCGAAACTCCAATGAGGAAGATAATAAGTACAGTCAAATAATGGGGAGTGAAACACTCCCCTCAAGGGAAGTCGAACTGGACACCCCCCACCAGGAGAAACACAGAATTGATGACTCCAAAGTTGCAGAACCACCAATACCAATTCAGGTCTTGATCGAACCAAACCAGGTAGAATGCAAGCAAGAAAGAGAACATCTGGGACCGCAGCCACAGGATATCTTCACCAGGCATACTTGGCCTAACAACCCAGCAAGAGTAACAAAGATTCTATTGGAGATCACCTTCGGTGACAACATCACCATAGAGGAGAAGTTATGGTTAGAAGATTTCGTCCGATGTAACGCGGACATCTTCACACTATCCCTTAAGGAAGTCAAACCCATCCCAAACGCATACATAAACCTCAATGTCCCAGAGGCAGCAACTTTCAACTTACGCATTCACCAAAGACCGTTAACCCCAGATCAATCCCGATTCTTCAGCGCCCGTATAGATGAGATGTTAGAAGCAGGAATTATCAAACACACCCGCAGAACTTGTCAAATGCACAGCGACTACAGTCATTGCACAAAAAGCCCACGAATCCCCAGGATTACCTTGGGAAGAGCTCCGACAATGCATCAACAACCAATGTAGAACTGCAGGAGAACCACCAGCGTTCAAACTCCAAGAATGAGAGGTTGATGCACCGCTACCAGCACAACAGAAGGAAGCACCAAGAAAATGGCATATATGTCAGAATTTCGAACAACTCAACAGAGTTACCGAAATTGCGCCCATGCCTCAAGGCGACCTTCTAGCGAAGCAACAATGCCTCAGTGGACATAGGTACATTTCAGTTTTCAATTTTGCATCAGGATTCTATGCTCTCCAAGTTCCAGAAAATTGGCGCCCATACTTAGCCTTCTATGTGGAAGGCAGAGGCTACTTCTGGTACAAAAGAATGCTGATGGGGATAACAGGCACACCAACGATGTTTTGCGAAGCAGTCGCAATCAGACTTCAAGATTTTTTGGTGAGCTACACTATGGAAATTTTCATGGATGACAGAGGTTGCTCGGCAGATACATTCAAAGAAATGATGGAAAAGCTCGAAGTCATCTTCAAACGCTTCAGAGAATGCAATTTCTCAATAGCACCATCAAAAACTTGTCTCATGGTCACTGAGACAAAGTTCGCGGGCGCTACAATAGGACCCTCAGGAGTCAAACCAGACCTATTGAAACTGACCGCAATAGTTGATTGGGCACAACCAGAAGACACATTAAATCTGGTATCGTTCCTTGGACTCACAGAACATTATCGCTCATTGATCAAAGCATATACTAAACGTGAAGCACCACTCCGCGACCTTCTCAAGAATGTACCGCTCCCAGCACAGTACAATAAGACTACATACAAGAGGATAATGGGCAGTTACAAACTCGCAAACCACTGGAAGACAGAACATACCCACACCTTCCTACACCTCAAAGCAGCAGTTACGTCGAGACCGGTAGTACAAGGACCACAATACAATGGATCACTGTTTGTCCTAACAACGGACGGATGTGCCGAAGGATTCGCAGTAGTACTATCGCAGAAGGTCTGAACACAGACTCCAGAAGGATGATGGGTAGAGAAGCTACATCCTATCAGATTTGCCTCGAAATGGACATCAAAAACAGAGCAACGATACAAGTCTTACCTCCTCGAATTCACCGCATTGAAATTCGCACTGGATAAGTTCTCAAACATTATCTGGGGTTTTCCAGTCGAAATAGAAACTGATTGCAACGCACTGAAAGATACTCTACTTAACTCCAACCTCGCAGTGGCACACGCACAATGGAGAGAAGGCATCCTATCTTACACCATTTCAGATGTTCGACACATCCTGGGAAAACTCAATGTTGTTGCAGATGGACTGAGTCGCAAATGGGAAGGACAACCACGCGTACTGGGGGACGGAAGCGAATGGACCGTCAATGAAGACTGGGAAGCATGCACCAGACTTACTAATGATATCATGCACATATCAGAAGCAAACTCCGCAATAGAAGCACTATGAAACTGCTTCATAGATGAACCAGTGTTCCAAGAGGTAATAGAAGCCATTCATAACCTAGATCATAGCGAGAACCTTGGCAAGAGAAGGCACACGAAACACCAAGCTTCAGAGTACCTCATCGACAAAGGCAAACTCTGGCAGCTAAGAGGAAGCAACATGCCGAGAGCCAGGTCAAGAGTCGAGTGTGTCACCAAGAAGGAAGCCAAAGAGCTAGCTGAACGAGCCCATTCAGAAGGAGGCCATTGGGGTCGCAACGCAATTAAACCAACACTTCTAGACCGTATTTGCAGCCAAAAACTTGACACATCGATCCTGGACACCATCAAAAACTGTGCTAAGTGCAAGAATTTTGGACCTACGCATATACACTCACTGTTAGAACCAATTACCAGATGTCACCCCTTCGAGCTCCTAGTAGGAGACTACCTATCCCTCCCCAAAGGGAAAGGAGGGTACAGCACGTTAGGAGTTTATCTAGATACATTCTTGCAGCATGTATGGGTGTTCAAGTACAAAACCACAGGAAGTGCAGCGACTACGATCGACAGTCTAACACGAATATCCAATGCGTTCATCGCACCAGAAACATTCATGGTGGACGGAGGAAAACACTTCAATAATGACGCGGTGAGAGAATTTTGTACTTCGAGAGCAAGCAAACTACAAACCGTTGCTGTTACAGTAACATGAGTGTTACACGTCATTTCATTCTTCGGACTTGTCTAGACCTGGACCATGATTCTACTTTTATCTCTTTCTTTTTGATCCCATTGTTCTGAAACATGAGAAGCTCTCGCTTCTTCCCCTAGATTACAGAACCCCTATGCCCTTCCCCTTGTTTCGGTTCTCTCATTGATGGGGATTCCCCATGCCCTTTGCCCTTACCGTTCAACCGGTAATTCTTACCTTCTTTTACTTATGACTCACACAACCCCCGACCCTTACCATTACCTCGGTATACCCTGTACCCTTACCGTTCCACCGGTATCTCACCCTTACGTATATATACCTCATTTGTACAGTAGACAGATTCTCTAACTTGAATCTACTCAGTTCTCATCTGATCTTGTCGTTGGGTGTGAACTTCTCTTGCCTAAGGGAACTCCCTCTGCACAAAGAACCATCTCCTCTTGAGACGATACTCTTGAGTTGAACTCCGTCTCTTGGATCGTATCCTCGAGAAACTCCAAACGACTCTATGCAAGTAAGGGCCTCAACCCTTACTCAGACTTAGCACAGGCAAGCTCCTTGCTGGGCTAGCGCCGAAGGCCACGCTTTGAATGCCCCTTGCGGGTTTAGCACTGCCGGATCTCATCCGAGAGGTTATGCGTAACAGTTGCAGCATACTCGCCATGGGTAAATGGGCTGGTCGAAGGAACAAACAAGCTATTGCTCCACATCTTGAAACACCTATGCGCACCAGCCCTGGGAGAAGACAACAACCAAGAAGTGTCATGGGATACACTCCTGAAGTCCTGGCCGAACCATCTGGACAACGCCATCCACGTGCTCAATCATTGCCTCCTACCAGCTCTCAAATTCTCGCCGAAGGAGCTCTTGTTAGGATTAATCGTCAACACACCTCCTACGCCACTAGAAGAGAGTACATCAGTACTCTGAAACACAGATGCATCGACGCAGATTGCATACGTCGAACAGCAGCGCCTAGACAGCTACGAAGAAGTGGTTAGACATGCTATTAGAAGAAAAGCAGCCTTTGACAAGAAGCTCTTGCGAAGAGCGCCAGGGGAAGTCATTTTCAAAATCGGTCAATTAGTCCAAGTTTACCGCAATGACCTAGATTATACATTCAAAACCGAATGGAAACTAATCCCAAAGTGGTCTGTACCGTGCCGAGTACAATCACGAAAGCTGAATTCGTACAAACTCGAAACTCTGGAAGGAGAGTCACTGCAAGGAGACTTCAGTGCCAGATGTCTATGAGCATTCACGCCGAGAGCAGGAACCAAACTTGCAAGAGACCAAGACACTTACGAAACAAAACTCCAGACGAAGGAAGCAGAACATAGAGACACAGAGAGCATAGAGAATGTAACTAAAGAGAGGACAACGGTCAAAGAAGAGGTGGACGAAATGAATGATGACAAAGAAGCAGATGATGAAAGTGTAACAGATGAAACAGAAGAAACAGAGCAGTGCTGAGAGGCGGCGTCGAGGGCGGCACTGGTTGTTTTTAGGGGGGTGCATGGAGTAGGGGATCCTAGGGCAGAGATAGAACAGGAGGTTCCCCATGGGCGATTCCGAAGGCTTAGTCAGCCAAGATGAGCATAGAGAGCACAGCATGTCAGTAGCTGAACTACATGATAGAGCAGAGCCCATCATAGAGACACATAGCACCACTCCACTGGTCTAAAACTGGTCCGGTTTTTTGCAACAGCACAAAAATGCAGTTGCCATCAGTCCAGGGAGCAGGCCTCTCTTCAGGTTGGGCTTCTCTTTTTCTCTTCCTCTGAGCAGCTGCATTGATTTTGTCATACTCTCAGCACCTCTCACATGTTTTCCAGGTACTATCATGAGGGAGAACATTTTTGCACTTTGACTTTGAGCATATCTGTAGTTCAGGTAATAAATCTGAGTCCATGATGTGTGCTTGTTGTATAGTACAGCTACATATAGTACAAGTCTCATCTCTGGCAGGGTCACATTCTTTTTTTGGATGCTGGCGAGAAGTCATGTGCCATGTTGGAAGGGGGGGGGGGGTGAGCTGGGAGAGCTGAGCCATATGGCAGGGTCCTCATACAGCACAACAATGCAAAGAGGGAGAGGGAGAGGTTCATGCATTTGTGTAATCTTATCATGATGTGCAGTCGAGAGATACTTGACCTTTAAACATTTGTACTAACTACATAGTGACTCAAGCATCATAGTATCTATTACCTCAATGAGTGTTTAATGTACAAGCTATCAGTATAACAGTTCTTGCTGAAATTCCATCATGGGTCCTTCAATCTCGAGATATTTTGAAAGCATTATCTTACTCTTGTCCTTTTCCACAACACATAATATCTTCAAGACATGGAAGGCCAATTTACCATTTCACTTTGCGAGTGCTGACCATATAACTATTTCTTGACTCTGCTCCTCTGCTCCATCTCATATGCCATGCTGCCAAGTCCTGGCCCTCCGAGTGCAATATAATGCACTCCACATCACTGGCACTTCCTCCGGTGTGGCAAATACATCAATGATCTGTGAGTGGCCTCCATTGTGTTGATGCATGAGTGAGCATGTGAGTGACACGGCATGACAACACGTCGGAGTTATACCACAGGAATACAAACCACAATATATATACCCATCTTGTTACATATGCCTCTTCCCTCAGTCTGTTACATGAGCTGAGGGTAAGCCGTCTTTTCATCCCACCGTACTACCTAGACACTAATGCTCATACTTAGAGACTGACTGTGACACTGTCTAGATTTAACAGGTTATGAGCCCTGCACCCTCGTAATTGAGAGTGCAGAAACCATCTAGACAAAGTTGCATCCTAGCAGCTTTATTGTGACACCAGTGTTATTAAGCTTGTTTAGGTCGACGTCTTTGAACGTTGTTCCCACTTCCTCTTTGGGCGAGAAGCATTGTGTTGATAAATGCTCAGGCCC